AATAGAAAAAAATTGTTCGCACGAACTATGCCATGATTTTGGAGTCGAGCCAAAACGCGGCGACGCCGATCGACGACCCCCCCCCCCCTCAATTACTTTCATCAGCTGGACGATGCAGGAACGTTGTTGACAAATTGGTGTCCCGACGAATCTTGTGACTCAAAAAAAAAAATAAAACAAATCGGGTGATTCTGAAAATCAATTAATTTCTGTAATAAGAAAAAGAACTTAATGTCGATGGTTAAAAGTGTCTCTTTTTATTGGTTGAGGGTAATTATTTTCTTAAGAATAAAGGCGTTGGAAGACCCTTTTTTGTATAAAAATAATTCGCTATAAAATATGGATTTCATCGAAATTATTTTTAAGTTTTTAACAATTTCGATCTGTCGTGAAAAAAATTAGAAGCTTAAATAGAATAATTTATTCCGTGGTCACATAAAATCGTTTCCTCAAAATAAAAGGGAACCTTAGTTTATTCACCAAAATAATTTTCAGCAAACATTCAAAATATTTTTAATTGGATTTCAATTCGAATTTTTCCATATTTGAATTACAATTGAATCAACGAAATTTTGAAGCTAATTAATGGAACAATTCAATAATTTTGCGAAAAAAAAATTATCAGACGGATTACGAGAATATTCTTTATTTTCAGCAACTTAAAATGTTTGGAATCGAGAAATGAAATATTCAAATTCTTTTTGATATACTCTAACAATAAAATTTCAAAACTTCTTCAGGTTAAACTAAGTAAAAAAAAAAACTCTTCAGGTTAACTAAGTAATAATTATTTTCTTAATTCTCAGATCATTTTCAAATTATTTCCAAAATCTTTAAACATTCTCCGTGTTCGCCGTTTCTTCAGAAAACCAACGCTAAAAAGCTGAAATCCAAAAAAAACACGCGCCAAAATCATATTAATTTTCAGTTTTTAGCGAAATTCTACAAACTTATATGGCGTTTTTTTTTTTCGTGATTCTTCTCAAATTCGATTGCTTCTTTTTTTTGACGTTTTTTCCACATGTTCGAAGTCCTTCAGTTTTGTCATAAAACAAACAAAACAACGCTCCGAAATGTTGATTAATTTGATAATCAGCTATATTAGGAAATTTTTACCAAAAATGGGAAGCGAGAACAACGATGCATGCATTCGTTCGAAATCTGTGTTTTTTCCAATTTTATCCGTTTTGTTTTGGCGCGACAACACGTATATTTGAATGACCGCCATTCCAGATGGACACCTACCGTAACCCTCGTTGATCCGTGTGTTGTGTGCCTATGTGTGTGTATGAGAGTGAGTGAGTGTGTGAGTGAGTGAGTGTGTGTTTGTGTGTATGCATGTGTGTGTGTGTGTGCGTTAGTGAGTGTGCGTATGCGTGAGTGAATGTCTTTGCTGTTTCGACGATGCGCGAAATAGCATGCGATGTGCGAGAGAAGCAGAGAAAATTGCGTGAAATGTGTCGGCGAGACAGTGTGCGACACGAAGAGACGGCGAGAGAAGGCGCAGATCGTTTTCGGAACCCTCGAGTACACAAATTCGTGACGAAAAGAAAGCGAGGGACTGACAAAAATGAATCAAAAATTTCAGATTGTCATCAATTGTTAATGAATTATCGAGAATGTCCGGCCTTTGAAGGCAAATGAGCCACAAAAATTCGAAATTTTTGGAAAGAATTGAAAAATGTGAATTCTGAGAAGTCTTACTGTAACATTTTGCGCTTCATACAGTTATTATTAATTTGTTGAGAATTTGATGAAGAAAATGTGAATAGATGAGAAATGTGCAAAACCGCGAATAAATTATGCGTCGAAGTGACGCTATATGCATTTTTAGGCGGGGATAAACAAGAATGTTTTGTTGTTAATTCGCACTACTTCAAATCTCAAATAATAGGTTTATGCTTTCATTTTCAAGCAATTCCGATTGAAAATTCGGAAAATTGCTATTTTGGAACACGAAAGTTCGAAAGTCTTAAGGAATGAAACGCGAAATTTGATAACTCAGTTTGTGATATTCTGAAATTTTCTAGAAAAAAAGAACGCTCTGAAACATTGATAGAATATGTTCAATATTTGAAAAAGAAAACTAAAAATGTTGTTTCATCTATACAGAAAACTAATGTGAAGAAAGTCTTCTATAAACATTTTACGGAAGACGCATTTTTTGGTTTATTCGATGTGAATTATTTATACGTTTCGCGATTGATTTTAGCAATTCAATTATTCATTATTGAATCTTTTTGGTGTATCGTCTATACATTGATAACATTCCTACATATATTTAGTTATTATATGCTATACGGAAAACAGACACATTTATGTAAATCGGGGAAACGGCAGATAATTTTTAAAATATCCAAAAATTTACTTCAGAAGTAACACATTTATTGAACACTTTAATCCACTCTCTCTCATGTGAAATTCTTAAATTTATTAAAATTCGATTTGTGTTGTGTTTGTGATTTTCCTGAATCCACGAAAGCAATTTAAGACTTAATATTTGTTCTTTTGTTTTGCTGGAATCTTAAGAATGTTTCATCTCGACAAAAAACCATTATCCAATACTCGACTCATACGACTTTTTTTTCGCAAATGACCTCCCCGTCAGAGATTTGGATCGAACGGTTTAAAGGACACAACCAAAATAGAATTTGATGGATCGCAAATTGTTCTCAATTATACGTCTATACAAATGATATCACGTTATGATAATGCTTCGTTTTTGTTTCATTCTGTCTGTTATCGAAACGACAATGAGGAAACGAAATGAAAATATTTGAAAGCAATTTGTAGCAAGGATAATTTGTAGACGGATCAAATTTGTAGACGGATCAAATTGACCAAATCGTTATTAACCTGATGGCTTATATTTTAGCGCAATTTGATATATATGATATAAGCTACATCTCCGAGAATATGCATTTTAGACAGCTGAAAACGAATGCGTTAAAAATCATTCAACATGGAAAAAATGGTGTTCGTAGTATTTCATAAAAGTTTCGAATCATAAAGAATTCATGTGACTTCCGTTTGCATTTTTTCCGAACGCAAGTGTGTTTGGATCATTTTTTTAAATGGACAAGTCTCTTGAGAATATTCAAATTCCGCAAAACCTCCTAATTGTCAATATCAAATTGTTTGACATAATTGCCTTTCTTTTGCGTAATCTTTAAATGGGAATTTCATCAAGTGAAGTGCCGCTAATAGCTACTCGCTATCATTTTTCGCATCAATCAGTCAAAGAGTTTATCACTTTTATTGCCTTCTACACATTTTTAAACGATAAATTATCCGCTTCGAAAAAAAAAACTATAGAGTTGAGGGGGTTTTGAGAATGGCATGGCATGAATTCCTTCATCTTTTTTTTGAGGGACCATTTCTTTCAAACTTTAAAATAAGTAATACTTGAAATATTACTAATTGTTTAGAATCATTATATACATTTATGCCTGATGTATGCAGAGAGATTGTGAATTATTAACTTCTTGGCTTCATTATCTTAAAGCTTATAGGCTCAAAATGGCGTATATTAATGCAAAATAGTGTTTAATGGAAATCATTTGATATTTTCTTTGATTTATTTTGCAAGAGCTTCTCATCAGATTCAGGTCATCCAACGTCGAGCTGACCGTTATATAATAAACGTAGCTCGTTGCACCATTTGTAATGCTCGTCTCATCATCGCCATTCGTAATGGTAGTCGGCGCCGGTGTCTTTTTTTTTATCGGTCGCTCGTTCGGCTGGTCACCAGTCCTCGGTTGTTTTTTTTTTGTTGTTTTTTTGCTGCGGCGCGGACGCAAGCGTGTCTTTCTGTTATATATGTGAATGTGTGTGTGTGCGAGTGTATGCCGCATTTTGTTGGCCGACGCTCTGTGTTCAGCCCACTGTTTCGCGCATTTCGACTTGCCAACGCCCCGCGTAATTGTTGAACTCTCTCCTCTCGTCGCCTGTTTCTTTTTAGGATCCGACGACGGTCGGTCAGTCGGTGGTGGGACGAACGGATGGAGGCGACGGACGAACCGACAAGCGCGCTAGAGAAGTGGGAGGGCGGAGGCGACGGCGGCGACTACAGTAGAATCTCGTCGCGCGATCGATTCGACACAACACCAACAATCTATTTTAGAGGGACTCACAATTCGGAACAATTCGCCGATCGAGCCGCAAAAAAATTGATAAGAAATTGGGCGGAGCAATTGAAATACCAAGCGTAGAATTAACTTTTTGAATAATTATTGCTGTTAGTTGATTAATATGCATTCCTCTACTCTCAAAGAACACGATTTTGTTAAAAAAAAAACTTTGAAAAAATGAAACTAATAGCCTTATTTATGTTAGTAACTTAAAATAACATTCAGAAAAAATGTTAATTAAAATGAAATCAATAACGTGTTGCTCATTTCTAATCCATTGTACCATAGACGATGGGACCCGCGATATGTCCGATATCCTTAAAATAATCAAACGTTGATTTTGTATTCGGCGAATAAAATTTCGAGATCTACGGTCAACTGTGTGCAACTCAAATCGAGTTTTCAAACCGTGTTCAACATTACATTACAAAACAAACGAATTTGAAAAATGAAAATTAAACGATTGGAAATAATAAAAGACACTCTGATGAGATCATAAAAAAAAAACTTAGGGGCATTAAATGAGGAATGAAGCGGAACGCAGGAAAATTGATGAGAATTATGTGGCACGATGGGCATACATACATTCAGACGCAATTACGAACATTATTCGAAATTTGAGTTGCGAAAAGCGAAAACACAAACATAGCATTATAAGCATTGATTGTAATAGGTGAGATGTGGTCGTGAAAATGTGAGAATGATGGAAAACGATAAAACAAAATCATTGTTTCTTTTTTTCAGATTTTTTTGTTTTAGTCGATTCCCATCAATATTCTATAATAACTAGGTTGGATATAATTAGAATCAGTGTTGGATTGAAGTTGGAAAACAGCGCCGAAACCCCCCGAGAGAAATCAAATTTGGGAATCAGGCGGCAGCGGCAAGCTCGTACGAAATATGCATGGCTTCTCCTACCAATATCATGATCGACGTGACGAGGAACACGACGATCGAGAACACAATGAGCAACACCCGATCGAGCACCGACGCCAGATATTCCCATTCGAGCGCGTACCTGAAGCTCAACTATTCGTCAATGAATTCCGTATTAGGCGAGAATGTGCAATGTTTGCATTTGCACCTATATGAGGGGTCTGACGATGAGTAACTCGGCACACACGACAATTGATACGCGACTAGGGACCAATAACAGCTAGTTCAATTCAAAAGGGATTAGATATCAGTTGGAATTGCATAGAATAAATACTCATTTTCAGATTTCGCTTATCTATGAAGATTTATAACAAATTTCATACATTGACGGCGTCAAACGATTGAAGTGAGGTGGGACCATCAAATTCGCGAAATCAAAAAAAAGTAGTAGAAAGTAGATTTAAATTTATTATTGACTGAATATTATATGCGCGTACACTATAATGCAATGTACGCAGTCTTGCGTACTTCTCGCTACACACATTGGCACATAGCCAATAATTTTTCAAATTTCGTCAAGTCGTTTGACGCCAACAAAATAACTTTATAAAATCGTATCTTAGAAATTCGAATTCTTATAAGAACCTAACTATTTTCGTTTTTTAAATTTAAATCTTCTATTCTTTTCGCCAATCTTCCTTATTATGAAACAGTCATTTAAGGATTCTCCGTTCCCCTCAACTCGTTTCATCTCTTTACTTCCTTCTACATATAAAATATATACTCACCTTCGCTTCAGTTTGCTCTCCAAAATGTTCGAGTCACCACTCATCGAAAACGCCGATATCGCTGAAGCACTCAACATCAACGGAGCGGGTTCTTCGCTCGGAATCGGAATTGATGGCGGTTTTCGACGAGCCGCGCGTAGTTGACCACGTTCACCGCTATCTGATCAATTGCGTTTTTTTTTGCGATATTTCATGCAATAACAAACTTTTTCCAACAGAATTCGCCACCGTATCGATTTGTCCTTTCTTGGCGATCACTTTTTTCATCGCTCGCTGCCAATTTTGTCGAACGCGTTCGCGGCGTTCTTCACCCAATGACCTAAATACGGTAATCATAGAGAAAATATATTCTGACCAAAATTCTGACATGATCGATCTGGCACTTATTGGCTGAGCCAACGGAGCTTGAGTATTAGTTGCTTTAAGTAAAGTGATCCCAGATGAGGCCGAGGGCACTTTTGACAGTTTTTTGAATTTCTGAAAATCGTCCATACAATTATTTTTTCAACTTCAAATTATACAGGTCCATCTCGTTTGTGTTTCTTTTCCCGTTTCCCAAACGTGACGCCCGTCTCAATCCACAACTCTAACAGCATTGTCGGTGGCCGCATTTTAAGCCATCTCGCCATCTGTAATCTCTCATGGAATTCGAATTAAGCTAATTGGCAACTTTTCCGAAGAATATGAATGCGATAAGTGGTGACACCGGCTTCGAGTACATTTTTTGCAAATGGACGTTGAGGATGACGGCAGTGAAAATTGTGCCGAGAAATATGATAAAAATGATCGAAAGGTAGAATATTCCTACATAAATGAAAGCGATTTTCTAAAATTGTACAAAAAAATTCGACGAACCAAATAAGGGAACGAAATCCGAAGAAGTGGGCATTTGCTCAGATACCATCATCATCAAAATCGACATTGCCAATAATGAATCAATTCCTAATGAAAGCTTTTCCCTTCTAAAATCCAAAATTGAATGCATTTGCAGAGGTTCACAATTTTAACCTTTCAGAACTTGTCGACGCCGCCGTAAAAAATCCAGTGACGGCAACCAATGTGATCACTGATGTCGGGATAACAAGATTCACAATATAATATAAAGGTTTGCGTCGAACGACCAGAATTGCTTCAAGAAGAACCCATGGTTCCGGACAGCAGACGAATTTCTCCTGTATTTTGAATTGTTTCGAAAAAGGCAATTTTGGAAAAACGAGAGAAAACCTCTATCCGTTTAATGTTGAAGCTTACAACGACCCACTCCTCATTTGGTATAAAATTTTCCATATTAACCGACTCATATTCGGCCACATAATTGATGTCGCTTTTCGAAGAAGTCCATGATGAAATTGTGAGTTTGCACGCCTGTTGGTCGTATGGGAAAAAGCTGGAAATTGAGACAATCAAACCCTATATTAAATCAATAGTTTTGAAATAAGAAGCCTATAATTATCCAAAAAATAATAAATTCATAACGAATGGAAATTGGGGGATTCTGAAATTAATTCAGTTTATTTTACGAGAACCCGCATATATAATTTTTTCAAATTTCGTTTAGTCGTTTGACGTCGAAAATATGTATTCATTTTGAAATATCCTATTATTAATGCTTCGTTGAAATTGATGGGCAATAAATCATTGAATACCGTATATCAAGAAGGCAGCTGGTGCGATACAACGCAGGGTACATGAATTTGACCTCGGCACCCTTTTCGCCTTTCCAATAATTGGTGGTGACGACGACGTTGATATATCGTTCGGTTTCTTCTCGATTCATCACAACACTTTATCAAAAAAAAATACATCGATTTTATTGGACTTTTCGTCAAACCTGTTGTAAAGATAAGTGTCAGGCAGCCAAATTGCGTCAAACGGTAGTATGGTTGTGTTGATCATCCCGTAAAGATACGGATTCCAACCAAGAAAGTCATCGGTCCATTTTTGAATTGCCCAAACATTCAAATCAACGTTTTGCTGTTTCTCGTTCTTAAAATGAATTTGTACAATCGTCCGAAATGAGCAATTTTCACTTACAATTGAAAGTATTTGATAAAGACTCATTGAAAAAGACACAGTTGTTGGTTTCGAGTGATTCATTACTGGACGTACTCGACTGTCATACCTTTAAAAATATTTTCAATTTTTGTAAAAATTGGTTTTTGCACTCGGCGTCTTTCAGTTGTAGGGTTTGAGATTATTATCATTAATATTTTTTTTGCTTTAAATGGTTTTTCTCAGGGTTGTTAAATTTTGAGCAAGGCCGGCTTTTTTCGGCCCGCGATTCGGCCCCCGACTCCGTTGTTTACGGCCGCACGGCTGAAGCGGGAATTCAAAAAAAAGCCGAAAGCCGGCCGAAAGCCGGGCCGGCCGGCCGGCTTTCGGCCCCGGCTTCAATTTACCAACCCTGGTTTTTCTCAATTTGATTTGAAAAGTGAGGACCCATTGTTATGAGAAAATCAAAAACTTCAAAGCTTAGTTCAAGATTTCCATCCAATTCGTTGACCATTTTTTTTAGCAACGCTTGAATCCAAAATGGTTTACCTTCTCGGATCGATGAGATCCTTTGCCAGTCTTATGTGTGGTAGAAATTCGCCAGTATCATCCATTAGAGCCTCCCCTGCAAAAACCATGCCAATAATTTTTTCGTTTTGAAAATCCAATGAATTTTCAATCAATCCGACCTTCTACACCCCCAACTCATTTATTATTCATTTTCGAATTTCGCACTGATTGATGGATCAACAACGAAACTCACTTGCTGATAGAGCACTCCGAATATTAATGAATATTGATATTGATAACAATACTAGGTGGGTCATTCTCTGCAACAAAACGATGTCCAATTAAAAAAACATAGTAATTAGGCAATTAAATAATTAGGGGATTGTAAAGCAACAAGCAAAAATATCATATACACATTTTCGTTAAATTTTTTTGCTTCACAGAAAACGAAAATTTTGGAAATGTGACAGTCAGAAGGGGGGTCAAAAAACGACCAGTTTAAAGCTAGAAAATCAAACAAAAAATAAGCAAAATGAAACGGAATGAACATTTAAAGGTGCAATGAACTCCGAAAACTTTTATAATACGTTGATTTCGCTTCAGTGCATGGAAGTAGAAAAAAGCCATTTATATGAACACTTGAGCAAACAGGCAGAAATTGCACTTTTTTATTTTAAAAGTGCTTAAAATTCAGGATGAACACAATCTATCATTCTATTGAAATGAGAAATTAAAAATTTCGGTTTAATATTTTTGAACTTTATTTCTTTTTTATGTGAATTTTAGTTTCTAGCATTCGATAGTTGAAATATTCACTCGTTCCACTGTTTCTTGACTCGTTCATGAGCATAAGTGAACAATGCGTAGCTCACAAAACCACTTAACCGAAAGTGGTCCATTTTTGGGCATTGTGTCTTCGTAGACACCTTCCTAACCTTGCGCACTATTTCGCTTCCAATTTTGGATGACACGGCATTTTTCGATTGGTATATTTCAGGAAATGAGACGCCGACAGTTTGAGAGGCCAAAACTTGCGACTTCAAGACGTTTCATCAAATTGTTATGTTGGCTCTCAACAAAATGAAACGAAATTGAACAGAGCGAAGAAAAACATTGAATGCGTTCCACAGAGAAAATGGATCTATAAAATTGCATTGCACTTAATGACGCTGTGTATAAACGCATCCTATACATATATGGGAAGTGGAAGAAAAAATAGCTGATATTTGCTAAATGGAAAACACAACAATAGTCTCTTTATGCATTTAATATCTTTTGCATTAATTGCTTAAAATAGTTCAGAAAAAAATTTGTATAGAAATTCCTAAAAATGGAATGACGATGATAAAAGTCTACATTTTTATTTAACTGTTAATTGAAAAAAATACCAGAGCTTTAAAAAAATTTTCGTCGGATGCCAATCTGCCAAAAGATGAGCCAAATTGTAAAAATTTAAGGCTCCAAGATGGTCTAAATATGCATTTGACAAATAAGGCCATTTTGTAAATTTTACTTGTTCTTGTGGGTATATTGTTTGAGATTATTTACTTTTGTTTTTACTTGTTTCGATTATTTTTTTTCGCATTCTGAATTAATTGTTCATTTTCAAAACTTCCCGAAATTCTCATTTTTTTTCATTTGAATCCCTGATTTCATTTGGTAAAATTGGACCTTATTTTTTTAGAAGTTGATCTGATTTGGTATTGCGGGGAATTTTTTTCGTAATAATAATTTTAAAAAAAAACAAATGTTACTTAAATGACGATTGCGTAAATCAAAAAAGGAGGTGTAAACAATAAGAAAGAGCAGAAATATTCGCCTTTAGAAGAAGCCATTTCCTGTTCTTTGTTTCGACCGATTCTTCATTTGTTGAGTGGGTGAGTGAGTTCTGCTATTGTAGTTCCATTTCAAAGACTCACACAATAATATTATATATTTATAAAATAAAAAATAAAAATCAAATAGAAAATGATCGAAATTGGTCAAAATGTAGCCAAACCGAGAGGTGAAGTGTCGCTTAATTTTTGATTGGTTTTGGGTTGAATGGGCGGAGCTGCGAAAAACAAAGAGCAAAAATGGGTGGATGTGGGTGGAGTGAGACAGAAAAGCAACAAAACGGAATTGAAAAAAAGGCGAGACGAGTAAATAACAGGATTATCGAACGAGTGTAAAATAAAAAAAAAAAACAAAAAAGATCTTCTCACAACATTAGAATTTTTTCTAATTTCAAAAAATCAAAAATCCCTAAAAAATTTTTCTTATTTATGTAACTTTTCATTGGCTTTCAAAATTTTGCATTCGATTGAAAATCAATTATTTATTATTGGAATAAATGCATTTGCGAAAAAGAAACATCGAAGAGTGGGTCCAAACTCGACACTTTTTCAAATCGATGAGAACAAAAACGGAAAATATGAAGCGCGCGAAGTTATTTACACGCATCATTGGCGACGATTAGCACGAAATGCGCTTCGAGCTCGAGTCATCAGTGAGCGAAAAAAAAACGTGAAAAATTCCCGTCTTCGGCATCTTACACATGCGGCGAAAATAATCACATATTAATAGATTCAGAATATTTCATGCTAAAAGAAAAAAGAAATGAATAACTGAACTCAAAACTCGTGCTAGTTTTGTTAGAAAAATCTCCCAAAACGGAAACAATAGCGCGGCAATAGTTTGAAGGGGCCAAACTCCAATGATTCTCAGCAAGAAATGCAGCACCGCTATTCAAGCGTGAACATTCGCAGCACTTTAAAGTAAAAAAAAACATTCATTGCAATATATATTCAAATTATTCGAGCATCACTTATCGCTGCCCCGTCGATTCGCCTTGTACCACTGTTTTACTTTCTCATGCCCACTTTCGGTCACAATCACCAGTTTCTGTTGAGTATCGGCCCATAAAAGAATTCCCTCGGCGGCAGCAAAATCTCGAACGCCTAAAAAAGTGAGAGTGACGGGTTGAATGAAATCAAGTGCATTTTCGATTCGAAAAAACCGACGAAGAATGACAGACCAAAAAATTCTTGCTCGCTCTCGAACGTTGAGTACATGTATGCATCGTTGAGTACCATTCGTTTTCGTTCATCTTCCCATAGCCTTATTTGATCAGCCACCTAAATATTATGAATCTCAATTCTGACTAATTGATTAAGTATACAGTAATCGGTAGGCAATTCAAAGGACCACCATTGGCAAGACATTGTGGATGAGCGTTGGTACGAAGAAAGGAAATAATTTGGGCTGCCGTAATTCCCACCTGAAACTCATAGAGGGTATATCATAATTTTCCGATAAAAGCGTGTCCTAAATTTCTCGAGTTCATTTGCTTAGACAATACATGATTAAACATATGAATACTCAAACGCAAAAATTTTGAACAAATGAGAAGAGCGTTTGAATTTCCGACTAAACAGTTGTGCTTTTAAGCTTGTGTGTGTATTTTTTCACAGATATAATTACATTTTTAGATTCGATTTATTAACATTTGAGGTTTAAAAAATCATAAAATTTTAAATCAGTGGTATAGCGCGAAAATGCGTGAAATTTCTAATTTATTTCTAATTTGAATGACGTTAGAAATCCAAGAATATACCAAACTCATCAAGAAAACAAAAACTGTTTAAGTGAAAACAACAAACCTGAAGAGCTCTTCGAACCGATTCTCTAGTCAACATTCCAACAGACATATCATTGAATCGATACGTCATTTCGGTAAATGTCGACAAAATAGCCAATTGAAGTGGAGACGATGTGTATGCGTATAATCGGAAATTCGTTTCTACAATGATACTTCCACTCGAAGATTTATCCGTTGGATTATTCATTGATGTTTCATTTGTGGCCAAATGCTGAATGAGTGGCGTCAAAAAGAATATTCTGTAATTTTTTTCCTCTGAATGTTGTGATTTAGTTTCGCTGCTTGAATTACCCATCCTTGCGTTTTCTGATGAAAATCACCCCAAGCTCTCTGAGATGATTAATTAGCTCACTTTGTCGTTCGCTCCAGTTGTTGTCGAGCACAAACGCCTCGTGGCCTGGTTCGAAGCCTGAAAATGTATAAAATCGAAAAATGCATTTTTGATCAGCAAACGTCACCTTTGTGTGCACATAGAATCACTTGAATGAGTAATTCAATGAGCTCGACGATGCTGTTGTAAGATTTCATTTCCAGTTTCAGGTATTCTTAAGTTCGAGATGATTAAAGAAGCTAAATTTTTAGAGTGTGATTTTTCACAGTCAATTCAGAATTTTGGTGAATCATACTTTGTAAGATGTCGTGAAGTACTGCCACATTTCAATTTTCAGCATAAATAGCGAAAAAAAATTCTGGACAAAAAGCTTTTTCTCTTATTTAAATTGACATTGTATAAAACAAAACGCATTTTTAATTTTATTTACACATGTCAATTTAAATAATAAGGCAAATTCCTACAGAATTATCAATTCAATTTAAAAGCGGTCACGTTTTTGCAATACCTATAACATATGTCCACATTTGCTGAACAGGACTTAGAAGAAGAAATTGGAAACCAGTTGTAGTAATCTCAATATCTCTTTGACCATCGCCTGACGTGAATCCAGCAGATTGGAACAATGCTCGAGTTGTTACCGATACCGAATTGATATTTTGTTCCGAAGGCAACGCCAAATACCTAGCATTTCGAAAATAAAAACACCTTATTTAAATAATTCACCTCAATATACAATCCCATCGTTCCAATGCTTTCTTGCTCACATCCTTCTGCTTCTTCTTCTCTTCGATCATCTGTGTCCTCAAGTTAGCGACGCGCGTCGAACCAGTCAACATAGAAAATACATAAGCGCGCCGGAATGATACCTGACGAATAATATTTTCGAAAACCAAAAGTGATGTGGAAAAATACATCAATTTCTCCATTCTCGTCGACAATATTGAGATCTTTTAAAAGTGATGTTGATGCGGACATGTCTATTTTTTCTATCATATCTTTACTGGCTCTGAAAATAAAATTTGGTTAGGGTTTAAAAGAGACAGATATAATTTTAAAAATTTTACGCGACATTCCCATTCCAAATTAATTGAACAATAACTTGTTGTGCGATTGGAGGAAGCATTCGAAACATAAAATAAGCTGAATAAAACCATTATTAATCAAAATAAAACAAAAACGTCCGCAAACCGCATGAAGGTTTCGCTATCAATTCGCTTCTATCTTCTGAACTTAAAGTTTTTATAAATTGGAGAAATAGACATTCCTGATTCGAACTCGATGCTTCTGAACTCATGTCGTTTAGATCCTGAACACTCCATTGAATCGAATAAACCAATGAAATAAACAAATAAATAAATAAAAACCTCTAGTTTTAAACTATAAATAATTTGAACATTATTTATCACAGGAACTATTTTATTGGCATAATAGAAATAACTTAAATACTTGTATAAGTGATATAGTAAACATGCAAGACTAACAAATGAATGAACCAAAATTTTCATTCATTCAGTGGCCTCGATTCGGTTTTGATCCGAGTTCACGGAGACCGAAGGATTGCTCTCATTCACGGATTTATTATTTTCCACCGTTTCTTGATAAGTCTCGGAAATATCCGTTTCTCCAGAAGGACCAGGCATATTTCCATCCTCATCATCGATGATTTGTTCATCCTCCTTTTCAGCGGCGGACGATCCTGTTCCAACATCTACAGTCGAACCTTCATCATCAACATCGGAGTCCTCAAACGGAATTCCCATTGTAATTTGGCACAATGTCTTGTAAAGTAGTGTTGCTTCGGGTTGATCCGAAAATTGCAACGTGAATGCCTTAACTTCGGTTGAAACTTCCTAAAAAAAATATATATATATAACTTGATATTAAAATACAACTATTATACCTCAGGAAGAAGAGTTTTGTCTCTAAGGAGTCGGTTAAGAAGCATTGTGACAAGACGAATATTGCGGCTCGTTGGAGATGCAGTGCACCTTTCTATGCAGAGTCGCGCGAACTTTCCGACATGCTCCCGCTCAAGAGGAGTCGCACCGCCACGAGCGCGCAAATCTTTCGAGATTCGCAACGTCAATTCCATAGATTGGAACATCACAGTTAATGATTCGAACGCTGTCATGCAACGCTCAACAACAGTGTCCATGTTAGACCGAAGAGCTCGAGAAGCCAATTCGCAAGCGAACTGAAAAAGATAAATAGCCGATAATTCAAATTGAAACGCGAAACCTTGTGATTATGAACTATGAAACTTTTCAAATGATTATCATTGTTGAAAGCAGCAATCATTCGAATAAAAAGTGGATTCGAATCTTCAGTTTCATCCAAAAATTTTTTCAACAAATTCACTTGATGAGGACTAAAAAGGATATTCTCGTGTTAGAAATTATTAGTAATCTCACCCAAGGTTTATTCCTCGCATAACATTGAAGAAAGCATCAGCAACGAGATGCTGCTCTCCTGGATCAAATTCATCGCTATCCAATCGTTTTTTCTTCCGAAATTCGTCAAATTCGTCATCTTTCAAATTGACTAAATCGAATACATAATTCACATCGGCAACTAAACGTAATTTTCATGTATTCTTAGTTTTACGATGTTTTTTTCGCATACGTTCATCGTCGCTCATTCCTTCGCAACGGTGTTCTTGGAAATCATGAAGTGGTTCTTTCATTCCTTCAAACGCTTTTTTGAGCTTTTTCTGAAGATCGGGCGTTTCGAGATAGTAAACGCCTTCGAGCAATTTGCATTGCTCTTCAGTTTGGAACATTCGATTTCTCGTTTTAGCGTCGCGGACCTGAATATTTCAATTATTTCAGAAGTTTTTAAAATCAAATCAAGAAAAATTTTAACCTCTTCGTTTTGTATGTCTAGTCGCATTGGTTGGCAAGTTGGAACAGGATGGTAGATGGGATAAAATGCTTCTTGCATTCCAGCTTCAAAATCCTTTCGTTGATGACCAAGATGTCGCATAAGTGCAGCAACAGGCACGTCATCATCGAGATCTAGACTCCAATGTCGTGTATTTTCATCCTCCCATCGGCACAGAATGTCACGGTCAAAGTCGACATTAGCCTGAATTTTATTTTTTTTAATAAATTTCCCTTTTTGTTTCTGCAATTTCTACCAGTGTGCTGGATTTTGTAATGAAATCAGCAGCAGTGAGTTTCTCAATGAGATTCGCATTGTTGCTTAAAATGATCCGTGCGAGGCACGCTTCTACCTCCAGTTCACTATTCTCCTTCAAACACTGTATGAAAATTTAACAAAACGAAAATGATGAAAAATACCACATAGCATAGAAACGATTGAAACATATGATTAAGAATGTCATTAATATTTTTTTGAGGCTTCACTCGTAATTCTTGTTCAACCTCGGGTAGCCTAAATATATAAACGATGCAATGTAAAATTATAAAAATCGTACCGATAAACAATATAAATAATATTCAGCCTTCGAATGACATCATCTTTAACCAAACATGTTTCATCATATAAAGAAAGAAGTGCATGACAAAGACCTAAAGCACATCGACCCAAGAATTGCTGAATTTTAAAGTTAAATCTGAAAACTGTATAAAATACACCTCCACAACTTGATTTCCGAGACTATTGAACGACTTATTCGTTGTGCGAATATGACTAAATATAGTTAATTTTTAAATTTTACTTTTGTTCTTACTTGGCAATTAAATTTGTATCGTTCTCCGAAATATACAAATCATCACCCTTGTCGAATTCTTCATCGTCAACTGGCGCTGGTTTCTTTTTCGATTCTGGTTGGGCATGATGAGTTTTTTGTCCCTTTTTCGTTTTCTTTTTTCCCATCTGAAAAGTATCAAGTATATTTTGAAAAACAGACTAAATATGTGAAAAGCACGAAATTTTCAAAGTCAGTTTTTTGTGGGCGGCCTAGAAATTGTTAGGCCATTATCAAAGTCCGCCCGGTTATCTATTGCAAGTCAATTTGTACTGTTTGACCACATATCATTCTATTTCCACAACTTTATATGCTTATTGATTGCCAAGACTCTTTCCTTATTTTATAGAATTTTTTTAAAGCAATTCAAATGTAAAATTATCGTGTTTTCGTTGAACAATCGGGCTAAATGCGCCGCATGATAGATGAAATTTAATTTTGACTTTAAAACACCGAAAATGAAGTAAAATCCAAGTTTTCCTTTTTCAACCAAAAAGTAATACAATTTTTCCGTAGAAATTGTGGGTAAACAAATATTTCGTCATTTCTGCACTAATCAGTAACCGTGTTCACACAAATTCAAGAAATTTTACATTTTATTTAAGACATTAATAAATTTCTTCTTTAAGACATTATTTTTTAAGCTTTAAGTGTGTCTTGACAAAAATAATTCCATTGATTTATAGTCAGAATGGCGTTTGTTGCTCGGCTACTCCCCGGGTTGCCTAAAATTACACGAGCATCAATTGATGCCGCAACGTTAAAAAATGTAATAAAGTGCCAAAATCGTCACGTCTCTCTGTCCACAATACAGCGGTTAGGAGAATACGAGTATGAGGTACAATTTTGAGGTTTGCTTATTAACTAAGAGTTTTATTTTAGGATCCGAAATCAGAATCTGAGGTTGTCAATATCACATATGTGCTTCGAGACGGTACAAAAAAGAAAATTCGCGGAAAAATTGGTGACAATGTTATGTTTCTTGCGCATAGGTCTTTGCAATAGGGAAAAACCATTAAAAATATCGATTTAATTTTTAGATATGACATTGAAATGGAAGGCGCGTGTGAAGCATCACTAGCTTGCTCGACGTGCCATGTTTATGTTGACCCCGCCTATTTCGACAAGCTTCCTGAACCATTAGAAGAAGAAGATGATATGCTAGATATGGTAATTCGTGTATCCGGCCAATCATTTATTATTTTGCTTTCAGGCTCCAGCGCTGAAGGACAATTCACGTCTTGGTTGTCAAATCGTTCTCACAAAGGAATTAGACGGAATTACCGTAACCCTGCCAACAATGACGCGAAATTTCTACGTTGATGGGCACGTGCCAAAACCTCATTAATTTTGTTTGTCAAACCTTTTCATATGCAGTAAAAAGTATAAAGCTAGTTGTCCTTACAATGTTTAAAAATTGTTCGTGTCTAATGCCTCCTCAATTTCTGCACTACTTTCTCAATGTTCATCGGCGGCTGGCAAACCAACAGATGCTCACATTGACCATTCGTCCACAATTTTCTCGAATGTTACCAATATTCATTCTATTAGCAACCGGGATTTTCAAATTATCTGCTTCTGAACCCGAAATTACTTTCGAGGAATACTTTCAGTTTGGCAAAAATGAGTATACCTCAAAGAATTGGCCAGATTGTACAGCATTCATGCGAAGAGCTGTTGATGACTTCAGGTAAAAAATGCAAAATACTAGAAAAACGGAATCTTTTCAAGATTATTCAATGATGAAATCATCAGTTGTCGTGAAAAATGTCAACGTGTCGTGAAATCGTCGAATTCTCATGTTGAAATCGCAAAATGGCACGAAACCAGTGAGAAAGCCTTATGCTTAATGAGATGCCGAAGAGATCGACTTGGAAGTATGAAGAAACTATTATGCTTAAAGCAAGTGCGATTATTTTTTAGCAACTAGGCCGGGAGTTAAGAAAATGAATACATATTACGATATGATGGAACGCAAACCATACCAATATATGCACATTTGCTATTGGAAGGTATCTTTCGTCATTCATAATTTTATATGTACGTAAATCTTCTATTTAAGCAAGGTGACCTCGAAATGGCCGTCAAAGCCGCCTACACTTTCCTTGTTGCGAATCCATCCGATAAGGATATAATGTTAAGCTTAAATTTTTACATGGAGCAGGACGGATTCAGAAGAGAAATGCTTGTGGATCTTGAGCGAATGGACTATGAGGTTTATCGCAATTTTGGAATTAAATTAAACTGAAGTATTTTCAGACAAAATTCATTTCTGGAATTGAAGCATATGATGATCATGACTGGTCGAAATGCGCTCATGATCTTGAAGTTTCATTGGAAAAGGCGATGAAACAAGATGAAAGGTTTGCGTATATTTCATTGAATCATTCCCACTCATAAATTAAGATGTCGACTTCTTTGTCACGATAAAATTGACTGGAGTGTGTTGGAAGCCAATCCGGATATTGAGGTTCTTATGACCAGCATGAGATCTTCGGTTTTGCGATGCGAACACAATTGTCTATACAAATTGGCTAGAATCAATGGGCATTATGTTGGGAATTTAGTGGCCGCACACTATGAATATCTTCATTTCTGCCAGTTCAAACGTATTCGTGCGATTGACACATTACTAATATTTTAATTCGTCATTTAGTGCTCAGAGGCACCGCCGCAGCTCAATCCGTCGCCAATTATCTTCTTTTTGATGATTCGCCATTAATGCGAAGAAACAAATATTTGTACATGAAAAAATACAATAAACCCGAAATTTTCGAGCCAGATGAGAAAATTTTGCAAATTTACAAGCATCGTGAGCTGGAAAAAAGATATTTGGATTTTGTTGAGAATCGATTTCGCATTGAACGAAATGAGGTTTGAAGTGCTAAATTTCTGAAGGAGAGACCATTGGAATTTTTTAGCTTCCTCCAGAGCAGTCTGATGATCATAATCCTCTGAACATGGATTTCCATCTTGAAGACAATTTTCCGTACGAACAAATATCTGTTTTGATCAAGGTTCTTATATTAATATTATCAAAATGAATTATAGTCGGCGTCCGGCGACTGCTGTACGCGGGTAGATTTACGGGGATGCGTCTTTCTCTTTGTCTCCAACGGACTAACAAGTTATTTCAAATTTTATGGGTCGATTCGATAATTTTTCAATCAAATGACGTTGGAAAATGAAGGAAATGCGAAACTCATTAAGAAAAATGAAGCAGTTCACGTAAGAACAGAACTTTTCAAGGCGCATGCGCGTAAATCTACCGGCGTACAGCAGTCGCCCGACGCCGACTATATATGTGATAAGAAAAGACCTGAAGATTTTGTTTTCAGGAGCCTGAGTGTAAGATTCTGAGAAGTCCGCTTCCAACACCTCACTTCGAGCCACTCATCGACGAGCTCGCAATTCGTGTTCGAAATATTTGGCCTGGCGCAAAATTTAAAACAGTGACATGCGGGAATGAAGCGCGTGAAGCGGAATGTGACCGGCCAATTGTGCTATCAGCTGAGCAAGCAGATTGCTCAGAATGGCTCGGCAAATGGTATACAGGATGTGCAATTGTGTTTTGCGATCGGCAACGATCATAATTTGAACATTTTTCCGTATTTCTTTTTCAAATCGGGTGGCTATTCGTCTTTTTATTATTAATAAATGTAATGAGACCTTGAGTTCAAGCTTATAATTGAATTTTGGAATAATTTGGGCGTGGCAATGATATCACCACTGAGCAAACATGCGAACCGAACAATAAGAATTCCCTCATCGTTAAACTTTCAGCCCTACAGTTTTCTGATTTTTCTTCGCAGTGTATAATCCTTCTTTTCATATGATAATGCATTATACATATTTTCTCTCGGAGAATGCACACATCGACAAAATTTTCTGTCATAATTTATGTATAATCGAAATATTTTTCATTTTCCGCCACCGATGTTTAATAAAACGGACCATATTTGTTTTCAATCATTAGTCAATATTTCCAATTCAGAACGTGATCCTCAAAATATGAATCGAACAAACTAAACATATTCATGAGAATGCTTTTGGGCGAAATTCTTCGACATTTAGTTAAAAGCTGAACATTTTACCTTAAACGGAAATTATTAAAAGAAATGCGGGGACATTAAACCGTTGTAAAAATATTTATATTCACCATCAAAAGCGAAGCGCCAAATGTCGGACAAACAATCAGTTTCGTTGTCATTCTATTCTAGCGATATTTGTGCAAATAATGTTGGATATTTGCTATATTTCATTCACACTTCTTTTTAGTTTATATTTCGATATTGAAAAATACATTATTTCAGAATGCCGAATCCGCTACTTTTAGGTATATTAGCCATTGTGATATTGTTTAATTTGGCGGTATGGCTGAACTCGAATGGAAGTTCGATTAGGGAAGGTTTGTAATGTTCTATTGAATAATCATCGAATCCGATTGAATTATTTTCAGTTGTCTCAATTACATCAACGAATGACGAAAAATTCGAAAAAATAGAGAAATTGTTGACAGAGATTAATGCAAATCTTCAGAATCTTGAACGGAAGCCTGAATCTCAATCAAGCGAGAAGTTTGAAGAAATGATCAATGTAATTTCTTTTAAAAGTTTTTAGGTTTGGTTTTTTGAAAAATAAATAAAACCATGAATTTAAGTGAAATCCGATAAGAGATCCAATAAGAACTATTCAGGATGTCATTGAACTTTCAAAAAAACAAGCACCGCTTCGAAAAGCAAAACTTAAAATGAATGTTCCAAAACGAAATGATTTTGCTGATTTGTATGGCACTTTGGGACCAGAGGTAAACAAAATTAATGAATATTGAAACTAAACTATCAATTTTTAAAAATTGATTTATAGGTGTTTTGTCCAAAAAAAGTTCGAATTGGTGCGATGGGAGACGGCGGAAAATGGATGTGCGATCCGTGGAGTATTCCTGACAATTGTGTGTAAGTTCTATTGAAAAAAAAAACCTATTTAAATATCACTTTTTGAAGATTTCAATTCAATTTTTTTTTGCGAATTTTTCATTTCATTCGGATAATTACAGAATTTTCTCATTGGGTCTCAATAATATAATAGATTTCGAGGAAAACATTCAATCGTTGCTGTCCAATCGGTGTTCAATTTATGGATTTGATGGGGTATTTCAATTAAAATTATGAAACCTGTGAACATAGTTTTCTCAGAAAGAACAAAATGTCCTGACAAAATCGAAATATTCTCAACTTCGTGGAATTCCAAAAAAGGCATTTATCAGTCTAAAAACCAATAGATCAGTGGATCACTACAGTATTAGTGAGTTGTTCCACTAATTCATTAGTAAATTAATTTTATAGATGATCTTGTGAAAGACGCAAACGTAAAAGATATAGAAATTCTGAAAATTGATATAGAGCAGTCGGAACATACTGTTCTCATTCCATTTTTGAAAGAATACACAGTTTGTCAAGTAAGAGTACCAATATAAGAATTGTACAAAACATCTAGATAATTTTCAGATTTTGATTGAGATCCATGGTCCAGTTGCAGATCATTCGACGCTGTTACAGGAAATCGGAGGGTAATTGATTTTTCTGCCATTTTTCGATATTAAAATCATGCCATTTTCAGATTAAAGTATCGTTTATTTTCATACGAAGTGAACGGCTATGAGCTAAAAGCTTGTGAATACAGCTTTATTCACGAAACGTGCATTGATAAATATCATGGGTATCGACTAGCCAACTATTTGGAATAATTGGGTCTTGACACGGGTGATACTACGATTTTTCTGTTGTTTTGATTAATAGAGGACAAATTTCTCGGACGATGTCTTTTTTTGGCCACATTTCAAGTGTTCATTCCTTTTTCGTGACATAAACACGCATTCGAAATATACAGGGTGTCATTTAAGTTCCCGCACAACTTTGTAGACGTACATTTCTGAAACTAAAAGTCCAAATCAAACGAGACTCGAAATATTTTTTATCTATAGTATAACAAATATTTATCTATTAACTCTTTTTGATTCGGCCTCTTTTCGCAGCTATGACTTCACGGAGACGCTTCGGGTAGGATGTGACTGTGGTACGCAGGTATTCGATGGAAAGATTGTCCCATTCCGCCAGTAATGTCTTCTTCAGAGCCTCTACACTTGAGTTGGGTTTTGCGGTGACCTTCTCCTGCAAGACCCCATCACGGAAAAGTCAAGCGGGTTCAGGTCTGGGGAGCAATCAGGCCATTAGGATGACTTGATAAAGTCGGGAAAATGGGTCTGGCACCACTCCTGAGTAGTTTTGGCAGTGTATGCGGGTGCTCCGTCCTGTTGAAAGACCCATTTCTGCCCACCGAAATGCGTTTGGGTCCAGGGCATCACATGCTTCTCCAAAATGTCCCGAACGTAGACTTCTTTGTTCATTTTCACCATCTGATCCACGAAAACCAGGTAGCACTTCCCGGTTGAGCAGATGGCACCGAAAGCCATCACACTGGCAGGATGTGAGGCTGGATGATATGTTCTTCTTTTCTCAGAAGCTTGCTGGGATGTTTGGCCAAGTACTCAATGGTTTTGTGAGTTGAATGCCGCCTCCACACTGAACAGCTTCTCGTCGGAGAAGACAGTGACGAGGTGTTCTCCAGACCGCGTGCGAGCAAGAAGTCGTTTTGCTTTTTCGAAGCGTCTCTGCTTGTTGACGGCCGATAGAATTGCCGCTTTTTGGACACGATATGGGGTCAGTACAAGCTTTGTTTTGACGATTTGTTCCATAGCAAAGATGCTCATTCCCATGTCTGACGCCATCTTTCTCATGCTCCTGTGTGGGTTTCGCCTGATCCTCGATTTAACGGCGTTGATCTTCTGAGGAGTGGTTACTGAGACGAGTCTTCCTTGTCTGGGACGGACACTGGTCGTATTTAGCTACTTGAATCGTTTGATGGTGTCGCAAACCGTTCTATGAAGCACACCGACCCGTTGAATGATGTCTCTCGGGCTCACATTTTGCTTATGAAGTTCGATAATGGAAGCGCGATGGATGTTAGCCTTCGCCATTTCTCGGAAACACATCCGAATGAGGTGAAACTTGGGAAATAAGTAAAATACACCTCATTTAACAAAAATAAATTGTATTGGTGCACAAAAAGTGCGACAGTCAATCTCTTCATGGCGTCAAACTTTTGTGCGGGAACTTAAATGACACCCTGTACGTGACCTAGCAACAAAATTATTCTTGGATTCAGTTCAGCCAAATATGCAATCATCTAGATTTCTCAGTCAGATGATTCATCCAATATTTACCGCTATTTTATTATTTGTAATATTGCTCAACATATCTATCTGGTTCAACACATCAGGATATTCAGCAGCCGATGGTATTTTTCGTGCTTGTCACCTTTTGGTCCGGATTATGAAACAAGTTTTATTTTCAAGATTTTGCGTCCTTTAATTTTTTTCGAGATTTGTAGGCTTACTGTCACAATTAAGAGCGTGAATTTAGACTGTTTGGGTTTAGACTCAAAAAATGAAAAGGGTTTTGCTGAATTTTAGATGCCTTTTCAAACAGTTCGGAGAAACAACTTAAAACTTGCAGTTTTTTAAAATGGTTTTTTTTCCCAATAACGTTATCAACTTGTAATTTTTTACGGATTTTCGTTCAATGTTACAATCAACTCCTAAGCATCGATATGCATCTTATGGAATCAGCTCATGTTTCATAGTTTTTCATTTCAGTAATAATCTTACCCCATTCAGAAATAACATTTTTTAATTCTTTTTAAATCCAGCTCTTCCCTCCATTAAGACAAAAAGTAGACGTTCCCCCATTCACCGATTTCCCCCATTCAGTATTGGCCCAGAAATACAGAGAGAGAGAGAGAGATTTGAGAATTGCAAATAAATAGTGCAATCACGCTGCATGAATTATGCGGATTTACGCACTAAACTCTACGCCTAAATATTATAAACAATACAGTACGCAGAAGCTGCGAGCTTTTCAAGAGTCAACACAAAGAAAGATTGAAAATACTTGAAAAATATTCACTACAAAAGGTTTTGTGTATATATATTATTAAATGCAAAATCTTAATTGGGATCGGTCCGGCCATTGATTATTGTGACATTTCTATTTCCCAGCTGACCTTATAAAAAAGAATCGCCACTAAAACTTTTCAGTTCTTTCACTTTCGCTTAAAAACCGTGAAGATGTTATTGATCTCGGGAAGATTTTGATTGAAACCAACAATCTGCTGAAATTTCGCCGCGAATCAACAAATTCGTCGTTTGAATTTATGTTAAAAGTAGCTAAACGGTACTATTTATTTGAACTATCATTTTTCGTATTTTAGGAAGTAATCGAATATTCAAAAACTCAAGTTGAGAAACGAAAAGAAGCGTTAGAAAAAAACAATTTCAACCGAATCGATTTTGCCGATCTTTATGGTGCTTTGGCTTCTGAAGTGTACTGTGCAAGAAAAGTGCGAGTCGGAACAATCGGTGACGGCGGAAAATGGATTTGCGACCCGTGGAGCATCCCGAAAAACTGCGTGTAACTCAAAACTCGATCAGTATATTGTGAATCAACGTTTTAGTATATTTTCGCTTGGACTAAACAACCAAGTTCAATTTGATGAAGATATTCAAGAAATTATCCAAAATCGTTGCAAGATATACGGCTTTGATAATGTGAGTGGTCTCGGTTAGAAAACATTAAGCCATTCATTCTTTCAGGAAGAACAAAATGATTTAACAAAACTGAAATTTTCGAAGATAAATGGTGCTACGAAAGTTGCATTGATCAGTGAAACGACAAACAGGGCACTTAATAAATTTACAATAAGTTAGTCCTTCTGATTTTTAATATGAATGCCAGACAATAATTTTAGGTGATCTTGCAAAAGATGCAAATGTTAAATCGATAGAAATTTTAAAAATTGATATCGAGTCAGCAGAACATTCAGTGTTAATACCATTCCTTGAGAAATATACCATTTGTCAGGTTTGTTGAAAGCATTTTCGATATGCAGACGTTGATTTTCAGATTCTAATAGAAATCCATGGGATGGCGCATAGACATAAAACGCTATTACTCAAAATTGGAAAGTATGATGAGTTTGGAGATTTTGTAATGTTCAAATTGCAGATTAAAATATCGCCTATTTTCCTACGAAGTCAACGGATTTGATATCAAAGCATGTGAGTACAGCTTCATCCATGAAAGTTGCATCGAAAAGTACAACGCAATCCGGATATCCTACTTTTTGGAATAACGTATTTTCTGTTTTTGTTGGGTCTTTAAAAATATTTTAGTATTAATAGTAATATTTCATCACATAAATAAATAATTAACAAACAAACAATCTATTTTCTAATCTAAAGCCTACGAATAATTAGATTTTTCGCATTTTGAACAAATCCCGAATCGGCGTTGATGAATCAGTTGGCAACTTTTTGATATTAAGCAGAGCTTTAACTTTTGGATGTCGAAGAAGCTGTGCTTGTGCCATTCCAGTTGTCGAGACAATGAGCCAATACAGAGGAATACACTGCACAAAAAATCAACTAATTAGATCCAATTTAACAAGTAGAAACAAGATCTACCGCTGGTAATTGAGACATTATTGTGACAGCGAACATCGTGAAAAATGCCAGAACTGCGTCATATGATTTTTGTTTCCAGGTAAGTTGGATGACGCCGGGATAAATTTTTCTTTGGGACTGAAAAATAAAATAACTATTCCACATTGAAAAAGTATAGTAAGCATGGTTTTGAAGAAAATATCAATTTCAACTTACGTAAAGATTCAAAAAACCGAAAACACCGACGGCTACTGGTAAGATAAAATAAGGATCTGGCGATAACATGTCTGGAATCCAAAGCGCGCCTGCTACTGATGGGTGAAAATCAGCTAAAAATGTAAATTAATTTTTCGTTAGAAATATCTCTTTTGAAGTCAAAAAGAGGTGGCATAAATGAATTTTTTTTTATTATTGTGACATTTTTCTATACTCTAATCGAATATTCCCAAAAGTTAAATTTTTAATTTATAGAAATATTTAAAAAGTTTAATAAAAAGACACTTACAGCTAATAATATTCCTAAGAGCAAATGAAGAAAAAATCCAAATAGGAACTGTGCAAACTTTGAGATTTTGAATGCGAGCTGCTTGGAGGCCGTGCTCCGCAAGCAATGATGGTATATTTTCCAGCTAAAAGAATCGCGAATAATATTTTATGAAATAAAATAAATTCTAACAGCTTCTTTAGTTTTTTGCGCGATTTTGGGGTCTCCAGATTTGATTTCAAGTTTCGAACCATCAGCACTTGGACCCACTTTTACTCGGTATCTCTCGGACACTTTCTAAATAATATTCATGTATTTCCTAAAATAAAAATCAAATGCACCTTCAAAATTTCGCTAGTCAAAAAATTTTGAGCGTGTAATCTATCAGCGAATAGCTTTTCAGCATAAATATGAATCGGTGCTGTAGCAAGGCGTAGAAATACTGCTGTCGAAATAAATACACCAGGCCAAGCCAAGCCGGTAGAATGAATTACTGAAAAAAAAGAGGAAATGTATAATTTCAAGCTATGAAAATAATTACCTTCCATCCCCCACTGAATTGATTGTGTAATATAACATTCAGTGGCATATTGGAACGCCGGAGCAATTCCAGGTGGTAATCCACTCAAACATCGACGAGATTTATTCTAGAATAATGATTTGTTTGAAATTCTTAATAGCGAAATTCACCCCTGCATTAGAAATACAACTTGAAGGTGTTAAAAATGATGTTGAAGCAGCTGAGCACGAATGTAGATGTCGAGTTATTGATATTCGGCTCAACATTTTCTAGAAAACGAATTAGCTATCGAAAACTATTGGAAGAAGGAAGGATTTATATGGTACCAACCAGTTCGGCAGTTTTACTCTTCACGTTCATAGTATTAATTTATTTACATTATCACATGTTATTGTAACATTGTACGAATTATTATTACAGGCTTAATTTCCTCCAAGTCTTCTTCCAGCTCCACCAAAAACTTTTAAAACTCGAGCTGGTTGCGTTGATGAATTCGACCGCACAGGCTCCTGGGCAAATGGATTCGGTCGTTGAGTTTGCTGTGATGTCCGAGGTGGACCACGAGTTAACGGTTGCGTTAAAAGGACGATAAATAATACAAAAAGAATCCCAACGAATCCAAAGAATATGGAGAGAACAACAAGAAGAACCATGTGGGCTGGTTGAATTATAATGCCCTTGATACCAATGTCATTCATTCCAAACGATTTCAATTTCTCATTGGATAAGTTCCAATAATGAGCTATAGTGCTTTCTAGAGACTGGAAATTTGTTCCGTCTGCCATGAGAGCTGAAAAACGTATATAAGTAATCGTTGATAAATATAAATATAGTTGGTAGATGGAACTAACAAATCAAACAACTGCGTACAATAAAAAAATTCAAAAAACTTTGCTTGTTTTCCAATAATATAAACATATTAAAATAAACGAGAAATGTGGAAAAAAAATAAAATTTCAATGCAGCGAAAAACGAAAAACAAGAAAAATAATCTTTTTTTTTTAAATTTTTTTCTGCATTGACATTTTTTCCATTTTTGTTTCTTTTCTAAATATTTTTTCTTCATTGCTCTTTAAAAAAAATTTGGATTGTTAGTCTGCGACATTATCCATGTTGCATTGCGGACATTTTAAACACACCGTATTCAAAATATCCAATGCAGCGCGTTCCACACGAGACACCATTCAAATTTTTCCTCGCGAATTTTCCGAATTTTCAATTTCTTCTTCGAGCTTCTTGAAATTTGTAGTAATTCCTTTCATTCATGTTTGTGTGTGCTGACAAATTAACAGAAAACGATATAGTATTCTTGAAAAACAAAAAAGTAAAAAAAAAAACAAGGATATTGGGAAATTCATTTTTTTTTACTAAAGAGCCGAGTTTTCTCAATTTTGATGAAAATGTTTGTTTCTTTTTAATTTAATGTTTTGATATATAATTTACGAGTATTTAGATAATCTTCGTTCATAATGTTGTATTTTATCTTTTATTTTGGCCTAATTATATTTTTTTAGGTAATAATGGCTATGAATATTCCAAAGTCCGGTTATAACCGGTTTATGAAAGAAGGAGCTCAAGTATGCTGATAAGTTATTTAAAATTGTATTAATTTTTTTTAGCATTTCAAAGGAACCGATGAGGCTGTCCAAAGAAATATTGACGCCGTTGTTGAGCTTGCTTCCCAAATTCGATCCGCTTACGGTCCAAATGGTATTCAATTTATAGTTTAGTTTTTACAATAGTTCATAATCTAAGGAATGAACAAAATGGTAATTAACCACATTGAAAAATTGTTCGTTACTAACGACGCCGCAACAATCCTGAAGGAGCTTGAGATTCAGCATCCAGCTGCCAGAATTGTCATCATGGCTACTGAAATGCAAGAAAAGCAAGTAGGAGACAACACAAACACTGTTGTTATTCTTGCTGCTGCTCTTCTTGAGCACGCAGCTCATCTCATCAATATGGTAAATGGGTTGGTAAAATTATATTATTATTATTATTAAAATTTCTAGGGAATGACACCGCAAGAAGTTGCGGCAGGCTATGAACTAGCTGCTGAGAAAGCTCTTGAAATTCTGCCGACTCTTGTTGTTAAGGAAGCTGCGGATTTGAAGGATATCAATGAGGTTCGCCAATATTTGAGATCGGCAATCACCTCCAAGCAATACGATAATGAAGACATCATTGCCGATCTTGTTGCAAAGGCTTGCGTCACCACTGTTCCATCAAACAGTTACAACTTCAACGTTGACAACATCAGAATCTGTAAAATCATTGGAACAGGAGTTAGCAACTCGAAGGTGATGAATGGTATGGTATTCAAGAGAGGCGCCGAAGGAGAAGTCAAATCGGTGACTGATGCCAGAATTGCCGTTTACACGTGTCCGTTTGATTTGACTCAAACTGAAACAAAAGGAACTGTCCTCATTGAGAACGCTGATGAATTGATGTCATTCTCAAAGGGAGAAGAGGGCGAGGTTGAAGCTCAAGTCAAAGCCATCGCCGACAACGGAGTGAATGTTTGTTCAATTTATCCTATTAAAATAATATAAACCATATTTTTTTCAGGTTGTTGTTGCTGCTGGAAAGTTTGGTGATCTGTATGTACATTTCTTGAACAAGTACAAGATCATGGCTGTTCGGCTTACCTCGAAGTTTGATCTTCGTCGTCTCTGCAGAACAGTTGGAGCTCAACCGCAAGCTCGAATTGTAAAATATTTTAGTTTTTAAATAAATTCCATCGTTTGTTTTTTAGTGCGCACCGGCAGTGAATCTTCTTGGAACCTGCGACAAGGTCGAGGTTACTGAAATCGGAGACGAAAACGTTGTTGTCTTTGATAAGAAGGTTTGAAATTTAAAAATTTATTGTTATTAGTTGGCGATTTAGAGCGAAAAAGGAAAAGTTGCGACAATTATCATTCGTGGATCTTCTCAATCAAGAATCGATGATGTTGAAAGAGCCGTTGATGACGCCGTCAATACTTACAAAGCAATCACCAAGGATCCTAAGGTGTTTCGGGAAATTTATACACATACAAATATATGCTTTAGCTTCTTGCTGGTGCTGGAGCTGTTGAAATTGAACTTTCAAAGCAAATTGAGTCTTATGGAGAAAAAACACCTGGACTTGAACAATATGCTATCAAGAAGTTCGCGCATGCCTTGGAGACTTTGCCAAAAGCAATAGCTGAAAACGCCGGAATGAATACAACTGAGACTTTGACGAACTTATATGCTGCCCATGTTAGTGGAAAGAAGAATCACGGAATTGATATCTGGAAGCAACGTATGTGTTTAAATTATTTTGTTTTTGGAATTCAGAGAAATTCATAAAACTAAGAAATCATATGGAAAACTAAGTACATATATTTATTAATACTTTAAAAAAAAACCAGAATCCTGCACGGATTTACGGAGAATTTAATTCCCATGCTGTCTGTTGTACAGAATTCCCACTTTTTATTTTTATGACTAAAAAATATGTATAGTCGGCGTCCGGCGACTGCTGTACGCGGGTAGATTTACGCACATGCGCCTTGAAAGCATCTAGTTAGCTAATTAGTTTATTTTTTTTACGAATCGGAAGGCATAGGTAAGAAAATAAAATAGCATATGTCACACAGATTTTCGAATTATTGATATGTGTCCGCCTACATATCTAAGAAAAACAGTTCATTACAACTCGGCGCTTAGAAAAAGCAAGAGTAAGACTAAATTACAGAGCTCATGGATGCTGTTGAAAACAATATTTTCGATTTGTACGCTGGAAAGCGATCCGCAATTAAGCTTGCGACTGATGCTGCTTGTACTATTCTCAAGGTTGACCAGGTATTTTCATTTCTCTTTCACAATCTATGCACAAAATACATATATACAGATTATCATGGCCAAGCAGGCGACTGGCGGTCCAAAACCAAGAGGACCAAAACCACAGGACGAGGATGATGATGGAATGGCATAAATTTCTTGTTCTTATTTCTTTTTTTTTTTTTGCTTTATCTTGATTTATCTTCGTGCTTCATGGTTCTCATCAATGTTTGATCTTACAAATCGCTGATAACAAGGCGTGCTTCTGACGTTTTTTTTTGCCTTAAAGCAAGACAATTTTTATTGCGCATGCTTCTTTTTTCTAAATTCCACGCTTTGTTATTCCCTGTTTGTTTTACGTTGTTTGCGAATGAAATTGTTTTTTTATACTTTGCATTTTATAGGTAATAATTGGTTGAGTTATTTATCTCATACGATATTAGTTTTTTTTTTTGAAGAAATTTAGTCATATTAATAGGAGAATGAGTTCAATTTCTCCGAAAACTGAGTTGACGGACGCGGTTGCCAACATTTTTGCATGTGATTCAGACCACAAAGCCCAATTTGAATCGTAAGTTATAAAATACCAATATATAGTTAAGAAATTTCATCGGTCTTTTATGGCCGCTGCTCTGCGCGCGCCTAGTATATATTTAAACAAATTGGTGTTCGTCGAAATTATAACCAATTTGATTCTTGTTCAGTTTGGTTCGTTTGTGCAGTGATTATCTTCCGATTGATCCATCAAATCGTGTGAATGTTAACGCAGTTTTGGAAGCGGTTCAAGCTGTTATCACCTTGGAAACCGGCAGCATGGTCGTTTCTCGACAATTTGTTTCCCTTGTAACTGATCGACTGGAGAATAATCACTACGGCCAAGAAGAAGTTAAAGCAATCGCCGAGGGAATCCTGGGAATTATTAAAACGCGCACAATTTCTTATGAAGATCAGGTTTGTTTATTTACTATAATTATGATTATTTCAATTAATTCTCAGGTGTGTATTCTTCGGCTTCTACTCGCTAGTATTTACGAAAAAGAAGGAAGGCTTAAGGATGCTGCGCGTACTTTGATTGCCATAAATTCTGATAGCAGTCCAAAATTCAATGGACCTAAGGCGAATATGGAAGGTGCAAAAGCACAACTCTGCATTCGAATCACAAGATTACTACTAGAATGTGAAGAGGTTAGCCTAAATTATTAAAAAATATTTTTATAAAGAGTTGTGGTCAGATTGATGAGGCTGAGCAATTTGTAAACCGCACTAGTTTGCTCATGGTTGATGTTGATTCGCCAGATCTCATAATTGAACATAAGGCGCTTCAAGCCAGAGTTGCTGACGCGAAGAGAAGGTTTTTGGAAGCAGCTGTGAAGTAATTATTTGAAACAATTCTTGAAAGTTATATTCCAAGCTTATAGATACTACGAAATGAGTCAAACTGACGCTCTTCCAAACAGTGACCGAAGAACCGCTCTAGAAAAGACGATTGTTTGCATTTTGCTCGCAAAACCCGGTGCACAACGGAACCGCCTTCTGGCGACGCTTTTCAAAGACGAACGAGCTCATGGATTGCCATCATTTGAACTCGTCGCTAAAATGTATTTGAATCGACTTGTTCATCGCGATGAACTTGCTGAATTCGAGAACCATCTCAAACCTCATCAAAGGGTTGACGAAAACGGAGAATCGATTCTCAAGTGAGTTTTGTTATTTGTTTTTCATATTATAGTATATTTTTGTTTTATAGAAATGTTATTCAAGAGCACAATATCACAGCTGTCAGTCAATTATATATAAACGTTTCATTCAAAACGCTGGGAGATATTCTGGGAGTTAGTCCAGAAGCGGTTAGTATCCATAAGATTCTTTCATGTCATATTATTTGTATCATTCAAGGCTGAATTAATGGCTGGCGAAATGATCGCGTCTGAACGTGTCAGCGGTTATATCGACCAAAGTGATGGGCTTCTCCACTTCGAAGATGTTCGGCCTATGCGTGTTTGGGATATGCAGATTCTAACAACATTGCAACAAGTGAACAAAGTCAGCGACTTGATCATCGAACGGCATCCGCACCTCGCCAACTTTGAATCATCGAAATAAGACGTCAAATCCCCGGGTTTTTGTAAATAATTGATAATTGGATCCTTGTTTCAAATATATTGTTTTTTCTCGATTCTTGTTTTTTTCGTTCGCCACTCTTCATCAAATCCAGTCGGCGTCGGATCGAAGTGAAAGTGTGTTCATACAGCTACTAATATAATGTTCGCTTCGTTACACAGTCGAAAAACACTCGAGAGGTAGGCTAATGCTAGCCGCCGGTCATCTATTATTGTCGGTGGGTTGAAAAACTGCAAATTTGCATAAACAAATTGTATTACTGGTTGCCTTCAACCGGTTCATCTCCGGTTCACACTATCTGGTAGTTTCGAAATTCGGGCAAATTGAATATAATAGAAGGAGCACCGCATAAATATTGGTATGTTATAGCTTTCTTTCCAGAATCTACTCAATGCGGAAAATGCTTTTAAAAAATAGTGAAACATTTCAACCAAGTTATGCTTACTGTACGAAGCAAAATATAAAGAAAAGAATATGAAGTGAAAATGAAATGTTCTCGAATGATTTATGGGCTTCCGTATAAACGCACCAAAAGCCATCTAGCAAGACCGATAATGCCAATTACCGATGAAATCTCGACTTGAGATCAAGTGAAAGGCTCGACAACACAAGGGAGGAGAGATCGTCCCAAGAACGAAAGCAACTTGTTGGAGGCCGTTTCGCTTTTTCGCTGACGCCTGTGTTCGTTCGTGGATTGTGTGCGCGCTTCGCGAAAAAAAAACAAATCGCAACGAAACGCCGCGATGGCACGCGGGATCCCGTTCCGATGCTACTCTCACTTCGCGGCCTCATAATCTCGACGATACCAGTCCTTACATAACTCATACGGCGCCCGTCGTCTCAGATAGCTGCTGAAGCCGACTGGAAAAACGAGAACAACCACCAAACAATAATAGAAACATGGCGGACAACAGGGGCGGGCGAGCTTACAGCCGATTGTGATGATGACGATGTTGAATACGAACGGGAAGGAGGAGAACGAGAAGGAGACTGACGACGATCATTGAGGATGATGATCTTGTGAATGAGGAGGAGAAACTCGGCGCCACTTTCGCTCCCCTTTTCACTCCCGCCGTTCGTTTATTGTGGAAAACAGTCATTTGCGCATTTTCTCTGAGTTAATTCGTTCTTCACTTTTTACTTTTTATGAGAATCCTTGAAGAAGCTACCTTATATGGTGACCTGTTTGACCACTGACACCAAAATCTGCGACCTATTCCTGAATTATCTTGAATTATTCGTAACTTTAGCTCATATTATTTATTATTTTGTAGTGCAACAAATCAGTCGTCTTTTTCTCGTAATTCTAGAATTTGTTGAAACTTGATTGGATTTAATGAAGGCGTTATCACTATCAGCATATTCCACTATGAAAATTTTCTCATAATTTGATTGTTTTTATTCAAACCAGCTAGATGCTTGTGTAAAATTGGACCAAATAATTAAAGACATCTTTTTACACTTTCCGATGAATTTTTTTGCGATAAAAAACATTATTTTTCTATTTTTGCTACTTGAGCTCAGTCGGATGAAATACTTCGAAATATACTGAGAATAGCTCAAGTTGTCAACTTCTTATACGATTATTTGACCCATAAACTGATCTTGCAAAACATCTTGTCATTTTTTTTGAAGAATTACTTTTGGTCAACTGATACGATCATCTGTCATAGATTTGACCTGCGGTTTTCCAGATATTCCCCCCTTCCCCCTCAGAAACCCCAAAGAACCGAGTCTCTTTTGATCGTACTCTTTTCTTAAATGACTTGTCGTTATTTTTAAATTTATATATTTTCATTGGCCATTGTTGATGGCTGTTGTGTTTTGCATAAGTGTGTTTCACTTTCCCAAATGTTTCAAGCGGCCATCTCGAGACAATGACTTGTTTTCTTCGTTGTTAATTCGTTCTAGTACGTGTGACTGAACCCAACCAATAAAATTGTTATACCGAAACGAACAAAAATGGTATTTGCACTGACTGAAAACTATACAAATCATTGAAAATTATTTTACATCATATTTATTTTTGATATTTTTTGAAACATTAGGAAGTGACCATTACTATTTGCGTATTATAAATTTTTCAGATATTGTAGCTTACAAATTCATTATTTTCTTTTCATAAAATTTTTGTAGTCGGCGTCCGACGACTGCTATAAGCGGGTAAATTTACGCGTGCGTCTTTCGAAATGGTCTCGCCACGTGTGGACGCTTATTTTGATGTTTTCACGCGACAGTTAAATTTTTTTTGATGAGTTTGGCATTTCTTGGAATTTTTAACATCGTTCGATTTAAAAATTATCCAATCAATCCATAGAATGCAAACTAACCTGTTAGTCTGGGCGAGACCAAGAGAAAGACGCATCCGCGTAAATCTACCCGCGACATGTTCAAATCAGCGCATACGTCATACAACGGAGGTGGTTTTACTGTCCCTCTCGGATTTTTTTCTTATTTTGCACACACGTCTTAGACTCTTATATGAAATGATTGGCCAAATCCCTAATTGCACAAATCGCCCCCAAATGAAAAAATAAAAACACCTACCCGGTTAATATTAGGTGAGAATCAACATGATACTCCGATAGCCTCCTATACTTTCTCACTGAAAGGGGAAGTACTGTATTCAAGCATAAAGCACGCTTTGCTCGTCAAAGAGAAATTTTCCCTCAGTGCAATGAACATTATCTCCCCATTTTCCTGATTAAACGAAATTGATAGGCGAGGACAGAAGCATAATCCGAAGTCCAAACTCATAGAATTACTGGAACCTTGCAAGAGTCTTCCTCATCTTGCCACACACCTTAACGACCTGCAATCGAATTATATGGCTTTTATCTTTATCCCCCAAAATATATGAACCGCTGGAAAGAGTTTCAAAGCGCCTCAACATCAGCTGAGACCACAAACAAACGAGCTGTGCCAGGCAGCACCATGCTCACATGCACCAAAAAACACAACATCAACACAACATCGAATGGAAGCAAGAAAAAAAGAGAATAAAAATAATGCAAAAAATTCGCACACAACACACACACATGAACGTCGCGCTTCTCGGCCGTCTCTTCGACGCCGTCGCTTGTCTCGTTCGTCGTCCGTTATGCGAATATATAAAGTTTGTGCTGGTCAGCGCGCCTAGGTGGCCGCGGCGGCCAGCTCCGCGTATCAGTCGGTACCATTTCAGCGGGCCTCGAGGGCGCGTCGAAGGCGGCGACCAAGCAACACAAAAAAAAGAACGACGAGGCAACACACACACACACACAAAGTGAGACCAAAAAAACGGAAAACAGATAGATAGATAGATAAATCGAGTCAACCCAGGGTTAGTCGACACGTTCGGCGAGCTCTTCTCGGATTTTTCTGCTCAATTAATAATCATGTTGTAATAGTGTGTTTCTTCTTCTTAAATCTCTTCGCCGTACTCGCACCCACAAATCCGTTTGTAAGCATTCGTTCTTTTTTTTTATCAGCCCGATATTCGAGTCTAATATTTTTTCGGCAAAACAGACTATTTTGAATACCACTCATAATTTAAAAATCATTATAATATTGTGGATAATCCTCCAAGAAATTCAAACTCTTGAGATATTTCTGAAGAGCGGTTTTCAACTTCTTCTTAGTATCCGATTCGTCTTCTTCAATCTCATTGCAACGTTATCAGACTGTCTATGCAATGTGAGTATATCAAGAAAATGACAAAACAATTAGGCGACGTTAAAAATCTGTAACGTGGCAATTAAATTCAATTCAATCCTCCATAATTTTGCCAAGACTCTATTCAGATTGTATTCGAAATCCCAAATCCCACGTCATGATTTGTTGACCAGACCACCCAAAAGCATTTTTGTTGATTTCGGTGTTATTTTTAGTTTGATGTCTCTATGTCTGATTTTGTGTGTGTGTGTGTGTGTGTGTGTGTGTGTGTGTGCCTTTGCCGCGACGATGGCGGCGGAGGGCCAGTGTGCCGGTTGGTACCGCGCGCGGACGCTGCGGAATTGCAGCAGCAAGCACGCTCTCATGTGTGTACACATTTATGTACACACATAGTTATTCTGGAACAACAACAAAGAATCAAGCACATTATAAGGAATACATAAGACAGCGAACGAGAACGAGGTTTTGAAATGCGTTTGACGATGAGTCAATGAGTTAATGGATGATGAATGTGTATCATCGGTTGCGAGAGAGCACCACAAAACAATCTTCACCAAGATCGCGTTCCGTAATTCAGTTCTTAACAAAGCTTCACCTTCCGTCGTCACCTTCTCCACAATCTCAGGTCTAGGATTAGTCGGTCATTTTCGTCGTATTTTTTGAATTTCGACTCCCGTCGAGCTGTCATTAAACCGGAATTCAAGCAGGGCAATTCCACATTTTTCTTTTGAATAGACACCCCTGAGGGTTCGTTGCTCCAGGTGTGTCCCAGCACCGCGTGACTCACGCGTACACCGGCACACGCGGCGGCGCCTCGACCCCCTCTCCTCCAGCCCATATTCAGGCGTTTTTCCGCTTCGTTTAACGCGTCTCACACGGGACCGATCGAGGCACGCATTATCGTCATTTTTTGTCCTCAAAAAATTTTTTTTCACGAAATTTCGAGTGTTGAGTCAAAGTGCAACACACAACTCTTGGAAATATTCAAAAATTTTTTTTGTTCATTACGTAAATTAAACTGATCTATTTTGAGAGGATTAAGGATTTCGGATAATTATCTCGTCTTTTTTTCCCCCTCAATGCTGATACCAGTTGGCACCGTGAAGGCGGAGCTAACATTTTCATGGCACGACATTTCTCAGCGTGGATGTCACATCCTCATCTTTTTTGAGTTTGAACTTTGACCTCATCTAACCCTAATCAACTTGTGGATTGTTTATAAATTATGAATTGCATATTTATTTTCGTGCGCCATTTAAGATTTGCCAACAACAAGGTGTGTTCGTAGGAGGGGAAGAGGTGTCTGCGCGTCTTCGTCTCACACACTCTCTGTGTTGGTTCACGTAGTGCTGGTCACTCGGAATGGATGGCAGGCGGCTCGCGCCGACCACCCGACTCTCACCCGCAGATTTTCTTCGCGTCCTCTCCGCGCCTCCTCCGAAGGCGCTGGTCATTCCATTCAATTCGCCTCTTCTACTTTTTCTTGTTGCTGCTGCTGCTACTGCAATGGCTACGTGCCAGCCGATACCAGCACCACCAGCGGCAGAAGCAGCGGCAAGCATCAGCACCTCGGGGCAAACAACACCCCCCCCCCCACGAGTTTTTGTTTCGCATTTTTCTTCGTTTCCTTTCTTCTTCCTCCGCCCCTTCTTGTTTTCGCATTTTACCTATTTATCTTGTCAAACAATGCCCTTGTTGGTCACTTTACTCGAAACTGGTTCAATGTGTCAAAATATGTCAAAACTCTATTGGTTTTGGCATTTTATTCGAATTCAATTTCCATTGTCCTGACCAGTTCATTTTATGTTCCAAGTTCTCTCACCCAATTCCAAATTTGAGCACTGACGAAAATGGGCGGTGAGTTCTTCGTTTAGAAGCTCGTGAAATTCTAGATTTTCCGTATGAATTTTTTTTATACTGTTGTTTCTCGAAAATCTCAATTTTGGCGAACATCCGCACGGAGAAGTTCAAAAATTTGCAAGCATGTGCTTGACCTTTTTATCATTTCCTATCAGCTTCTCCTTCGTCGCTTCGACGTTATCGCTGGTCACTCGATGGTCAATTCCGTCGACGAGTTCTCACGAGATTAGAAATGCGGAAACATGTGAAAAAAGGAGACAACTCGTCCAAATAACTTTGTGAGAATTTCGATTTTTCCCAAAAAAAAACTGGCCATTTCGATAAGCTTCGTGTGATGATTCGCAGATTCCGCTCGACCGCCGCATTCCGATATTTTCAGAAATAAATTTGTCGCAAAAATTGCGAAATTCGCTTTTCATTATAGTATATGTTTGTGGTCGAGTCGGCCACAATAACAATAACATCATCAACAGGCAGGAATAGGCAAAACGCAAAAAAAAAGAAAACGCAAAAACACTGAACGAAGCGCGGACGCAAAAATAGTGCCAGCCGGTGTTTGTTTGCGTCCGCGGTGGCGGTTTTTTCCGGGGTTGGCGCGGTTGGTCGCGTGCGCCAGACCGCCAGACATCGCACACTGACGGCGCCAGAGACGCAGAGCTGGTTGTCACCGTGGCTGGCACAAGCGCGGCACCACGAGCGCACTGCTGAGCTGCACACAGCGGCGGCGCCACCGCCGCCGATTTTCCGCGTTGGTCGCGTGAACACGAAATAGTGGCCGGAGGCATGGAGAGGTGGTGTCCAGCAATTTTTGTTGTTGTGACCAATGCGAAAAAATATGCGTGTGTGTGTGTGTGTGTGTGTGTGCAGTGACGATGACGATGATGTTGATGGTGATGATGACCAGCACGGACAGAAACAAACACAACAAAACTAGAGTTGTTTTTGACGGCCATTTTTCATTTTTCAGATCACACTTTATTAGTTTTCAGAGTAACTCACTGACAACTCTTGAGCATCCTTAAATGGGAGGTGTGAAGGAATAGGTTACGGTAGGGCCGAGAATTCTACCTATGGGGTTGCGATAAATAGTATTAATAAGATTAGTGTAAAACATTTTATTGTTCTGTAATTTAATTTCTTAATTAAACAATCTTAAACCTTTATTTGCTTTGATGCAAAACAATTATTTATTCAAATGTTCCTTTACCCTAATTAATTAAATTCTTGAGAATCATCATCTGGATAATAAACTCTTATTATATTATAATTCCGAGAATAAACTACAAAAATACTCATTTGCCATATTAATCATATTAGATGAACTTTTTTTTTGACATTTCCATTATTCAATCTTGTTCATTATTCGACATTCATTTTAATATTATTATTATAGGAACATATGATTACAAAAATGGAATATGGAACAATGGAATATGAAGAAGAGCATGAAGAGCAAGAAGATCTCATGATGGATGATGAGGATGAGGAAGACGATCATTTTGATGAGGAGATGATGCTTGAAGGCAGCGATAGCCCGTCGTCTGTGGTGGCTGTATCACCGCATGGCACGTCTTCCAATAGCAGCACGTCGCCTTCGCTTCAGGTCGAGAGTCCGTCAGCAAGGGTATTAACATCATTCATCAACTATTCCAATAAAATCGCATTGAATTTAGACGGAATCTTCAACGACAACGTCTTCAGGAGTCGTCGAAAAACGGCATATTTGTGACATTTGTGGAAAGGTTTGGGCGGACAAACAACATAATTGTTTGTTATCAATGTTTTGATTATAGGCCTTCTCATATTTCTCAATATTGGAATCACATAAGCGATCGCATACCGGAGAAAAACCATTCAAATGCCATTTTTGCGTTAAAACGTTTGCTCAGAAAGCGACACTTCAAGTGCATGAGAGAACACATACTGGAGAGAGACCGTAGGATTCAATGAATTAGATGATTAATCAGGATCAAATGTGCAGATATAAATGTCGATATTGCGACAAGACATTCGCCCAATATGGTACTAAAACTGTACACGAAAAGAGTGCACATTTGGGAATTCGCAATTACAAATGTCCGAAATGCGGAAAACTGCTGTCATCGCCATCAGCATTGTATACTCATAAGAAAACTCATGGAGATAAAACGTTTCGGGTTCGTTTGAGAATCATTCAACCAAAATCAATATTATCAATTTTCAGTGTGAATTTTGTCCAAAGACATTCGCTCTTAAGAATTATTTGAAGTTGCACGTCAAACAGGTGCACGAGCAAAATGAGAAGAAACACGTGTGCCGATATTGCAACAGAGGATTTGCCTATGCTGGAAGCTTGCAGGTATTCTGTCGAATTTTGTTTTGCGATAACACCGATTGAATTTTGAAGGTTCATGTGCGAACGCATACTGGAGAGAGGCCCTATGTTTGCAGATTCTGTCCGAAGGCGTTTGCAAGCCAGGGAAATTTGCAATCGCATGAAAGAACCCACACGGGTGAAAGACCCTACACTTGCCAGTACTGCCAGCGGACATTCATCCAGGTTTCTTGAAATATTTCGAATTCGATCTATAGGTCATTTATAGAAATCACAATTAACGGCACACGAGGCTACGCATCTTGGGCAGAAGAATTCAATAAATGCAGATCATGAAATGGCTGGTACCGCCTCAAATCGAGAGGAAACTGGAACCTATCGGTGCAGTTTCTGTCATGTTGTGTTCCCATTTGCGAGCAATCTCTTCATTCATCTGAGAAAGCACAAAGATAAACTCTACGGGTTGGTTTTAATTTCTAACTTGCTTTATTATGAATAACTGTTTTTTTTCAGCAATTACTGTAAAGCATGTGGAGAAACATATCCAGTGGCAGAAGCGCTCAACGGTCACATGGAGCATTGCGCCGCTTACCAGAGCCTTGTCAAAACTGGCATCATTCGGCCTCCACAGATGACAAATGAGGATTCGGAGTCGGATGGAGAAATTCGGAGAGAATTCTCATCACTAGGAGTTCGATCATTTCCGCCACCTGTTAATATTTATCAGCAACCGCCGCCACAACGTAACATCCAATTAATTCTGGATAGTTCTAATCAAGTCTTCTTGAAGATCAAATGCAATTCTCTCATCTGCGAGGTCTTCCGCAAATCTCTCTGGGTTCATCTCAACCAGTCCAACAGTCCGGGCAGCTCAACTTTGGGCTTCCGGTTTCGCAGCCACCACAGGTGTTCCCGCACGCAGCAGCGCCTGTTCAGCCGCTACACTACCCATCCTTGGAGGTTTGAATGTCCCGCCAAATAGCAAATAAATTGAATGTTCGTTCAGCTACCCCCAACTGACTTCGGGCCGCTCACTGGATCGAAGCCTCCCTCATTCCAGCCGGATCAATTGGGAAGCTCCGAAGCTTTATCTGCATTCCATCCTCCGGTTTCGAAGAGCCAACAACCGATGAACTCAACGGAGATTCTCAACTCTTTTCTTCCACAAATTCCTCCGACCAACTCGAATCCTCAATTGAGCTTGTCAACAAGCCTCCTTTCAACACAGCTTCTTCTGCAACAGCTCCAGAATCCCGATCAACTCAATTATCTTCTTCAGCAGAATTTGCTGTCGCTCGCAGCCAGTCTTCCACAACAGCCGCAATTCTACCAAGCCCCTTCAACAGCTCCACCAGTGCCCTCAGCGCCCGCTGCGCTTTCAGTTGTGTCAAATCCACCAATGGATCTTGCCTCTTCACCAATTGTTTGATACTCATTAGCATTTAGTCAACGGTTCCTCCCCCCCCCCTTTTAACCATCCATACGGTGCCCACCTTCAGAAACATCAAAATATTGTCTTTCATTTTCATTTAGCCGGTACATCTAATCAAGCAGCTTCCCTCCTTACATGAGTATTAACCATGATTATATTCTTCTTTAATGGGAAACCAAAACCCTCAAAAAACCAGCCCCAAATGATCTCTGATATTTATTATCTACTCAATTATATTTTTTTCGTATTTTTTTATGCGCTCTGAGACCCAGTATTCTTGCCCTTGGACTATATATCATATACACAGTTTGCACCCAATCACATTCATCTAATAATTCTATAATGATACTTGAAATCTGGTCACATTATTCAAAATATTGCCCCACAATTTTATGTATGTATATGCACCCCACACCAAACCTGTGAAAATTATCATGTTTGCGGTTAATTCTACAATTCACAGTTCAGAAGTTTATATATGTATGTATGAACACACATATAAATGCAAATGTACACTTGTAATCATTCATTTCTTACACAGATTGCTAAAAAAAAGAGATTTAGATGTCAACTGGCTTGCTGATATTTTAACCTAAAAATCACCTGAAATTATTCACAAAACTCACACTAGAATTCGACGTATTTAGCGTCATAGTCAAATTAGTCAAAATATTGTCATTTTTACATATGTATGTAGAATCAAACTTGTCAACTTTTACGTGATTGAATTGTTTAAATTCAAATTTGAATTACCGCCCCCGATGGTCCACAATTATTCAAGGTGATCATTTTTTGATGCAATTGTGACAGATAAGAATCAAAATAGTCACCTGGAACGAATGAATTTAATGAGCGCGAATAATCAGGAACAGACGACCACAAGAAAAAAATTGAACATGGCTCAATAATTGTCACATTCTATTAAAATAAACTATTGTCGGCGTCAAACGGCTGAAGTGATCACCTCGAGGTGGGACCTTCAAATTCGCGAAATCAGTGTAGATTTAAATTTATCGTTGACTGAATATTAAATGCGCGTACACTATAATGCAATGTACGTAGTCTCGCGAACTTCTCGCTACACTCATTGGCACATTGCCAATAATTTGTTTTTAAATTTCGTCAAGCCGTTTTATTCCGACAATACATGTTAGAAACACCAAAAAAATCAATCAAAAAACAAATTCAAAAAGAAAATGAAGCGTGAACTTCGTCAGATGCCAATAATGTCTATTTAAACGCATTTTTCACACATTCCGTTTAAAATTGGTTAACTATTCGGTGAAAGAGCACCAATTGCTAGTGTTTAACACAAATTGGACGAAAAATGGTGGGTGTGATTAATCGAGAAACCATCGAACAATCAAAGTTTCCTAGGTCACGTCCATGTCTTCACGAGTGTTGCTATCATTGCTCTCAACAATCACTTTATTATGGGCGAAAAACGCGTTTGAAAACGAAAAAGAAATGTACGAATATTTCTACAAAAAGCCGGCAAGTCATCAAAAAAGATTCGATCATGTTTCAAACAATTTTTAGCAAGTTCTTGCTAGCGCTGAACGCGATTTTCATGATGTTTGGATCGAGTATGACACCGTCGTCGCAAACAATAAACACGAGCCTCGTCATGCCTTAATTTTCGTCGCGTAAATTAACTTTTGAACCGATTTCAACTGTTTTCACTCCATTTTCAGCTTACTCAATGACCAATTCACCTTTGGTGGACTACCAGAAATGTTCTACAAGCGTACTTCATGTGCTGCATTCCACACAGATCTCAATATTGTCGAGCGGTGCCATGATGATTATTTCCTGCTGCGGGCTGATCTGATCAAGTAAATTTGATGTTCAAGACGAAATTCGAATTGATTTTCAGCTTGAAAAAAGTGATATTTGATAAGGATTCGAAATTCGATACGGTTTGCGTCGAAGCGGCGAAAAAAGCGAACGACAAGATTGAATCATTGTATAAAGACAAATACAATTATGTGATGCGCTACGAAAATCGCGTTCTGATGATGTATAAACCGTACGTTGATCATTTCGTTTTTACTTTTCGGTATTCATTCATTCAAATTCAGTTCTCGCGATCACGAGAAATGTATTGGAACGTACGACATGGATGAAGACGTATTCACTTGTGTTCGTCACAATGGAACCGACAACGTTCCAGTTCTCGAAGAGAGCTTCCTCTTCAACAAGTTCGACAAAAGCTTCAATCGAGTTGTGAACACGGTACATTGAGCAACAATTGATTCAGCGAGTGATGCTCTTTGTAGGTTGAAGTTTACTGTCGTGTGCCACATACATCCTACAATTAAATGAGGAATTTCCGATGAAATGGTGCTCAAATAAAGCGTTTTTGATGTGTTTTTGTTCGCATACGAAAATAATTGTGGCTGCATTTAAAAAAGATCCAATCCACTGGCGATCCTAGGCCCGACTTTGTCACAGCACACCTGAAAATGGACTCGCAATAAGTATCAAACGGTAAGTAGGCAGACCTTTAAGGAACTATGTTGCTTGGGGTCTAAAATAAATATTATTTTACATATGCTTATAATATATGTGATACTAATAATGTGCTAAAAATGCGAAATAGTGCCAAAATTTCAGACATAAGCAAATTCCAAAATTTGTCCATTTTGTGATAAAAGTTTTGTTTCCATTCTATTCCGACCGTTTTGTAGTTTTATGTCTGAACAGCTTATTGTCTGCAAAAAGTGCATGCTTTAAAAATATACTTTAATATATCTATATAGTGATATTTTTTTATCCGTATAGTGGTGTACGAGATGAATCTTCGCCGCTCAGTCCGGCCTAATGGAATTTACTATTCATGTTTCTGGAGATGACCTGGGCTGGACACGTTGCTAGAAGAACAGATGAAAGATGGACTACTCTTATAACGGAGTGACGGCCGTGGAATTGGACCCGGCCAAGAGGAAGGCCTCCCATGAGATGGTCGGACTCGCTTCGGAAGGAGATCACCACAAGAACAACTGACGGAGCCGTTATCACCCCGTGGTCCACCCAAGCCAAGGACCGAAAAGCTTGGAAAGCTGTGGTTCGCGCCTCAACAGGCGAAGGACGAACCGACTAAGTGACTAAGCGAAAGTTTCTACCGAAATACAAATCAATCGATTATTCTGGCTTCACTACGTTGTGGTACTATTGATATTCTTCGAGATGGATACACTCTAAAAATAGCTTAATTCCAAGTTTGGACTCGATCTGCCCATTTTGGAAAAGTACGAAAATTGCGATTGGAAGATGATTTTTCTATGCCAAGATACAACTCTGAACGATTGCTAATGAAAATGTTATTTTATTGAATGCGAGGAACAAACAGACACGGTAATACCGTGACGGTGACGGTATCCAAATAGTATATTTAGAAAAATTTTGCATGCGCTAAAATTTCAATTATTATAAAGTCAACCCAAAAATTGGTGGTCTATACAAAAATTGTATAGAAAAATAATTGTATTATTGGCAAACGTGACCTGTTGGTTTCCAATAAATACTAGAGAAAATGAAGAAAGTGCCTCTTTACATACAATTTTGTGAAAGTTGTTGGAAACTTTCATTCGAAGGTTCGCTTTTGTTTGGTTTTCAACGTTTCAATCCCAATTTCTGCAGGTACATTCAATTAGAATGTTTTTAAAAGCGGTTTTTTTCCTCGTGCTATATTTCATTATGATTTTTGGATTGCCAAACGTGAAATGGACAAAGTCGAAAATGAAGAACAAAAACCATTTGTATCGTCATTTTCTCTCGCAGCCGCTTGCGATTCCAACGGGAGAACGAAATTTTCATCACGTTTATGATCTATTGGATGGTAAAAAAACTGTATTCTTGGTGGGGTAGGTGTTTGTTGATAAAATGAAAGAAAATTAAATGCAAAAAAAAAATATATTTAATTTAAGCCTGGCCAATAACCACTTCTCATTCGGCTATTTGGATCGTGAACAGTATCTCGCTAATGAGTGCCCAGTATTTGCAGCTGGATTAACAATAAAAAAGCTGTGCAAGCGGAAATTTTTCCTATTAAGATTCGACACTCTTGGGTATGATTTCGGATGATCTTTTTTTGCAATAAATCGCAATTCAACAAATTTTGGCCCTGGGTTTGAAAAACGGTGAACACGATGCAACCGCGGGGCTTGCGAGCGGGTGTGACTGACACCACCACGCCCTAAAAACCCTTGGTGGAGGACCTTAAATTTTACAACAAAATAGACGGTATCTTTGGGTGGCTGGCTAGTGTAATTTTTCGGCGAGGATATTCGAAATTGCGAATTTGAAAATTGAGATATAAGGAACCGTCGGGAAAGTCGTGCCGAGTTTGCTCAGGCTCTTATAAGAAGCTGCACAATCTGCTGAGACACGACACGGCCAGACCTTCTTTGAACAGGCTTCTGCAGGCTCTTCATAAATTGATAATATAGCCGTCTTTTCTCACCAAGGCATTTTTCTAATATATTTCAATCATTAAATAATTTAGAAATCCAAAAAAAACAAAATTTCTTTTAAAATAAATGTATAAACTATTTGGTTTCAGAATTGATGAGATCCCATTGAACGTAACGAAGCGCTTCAATGACTGTCGGCGACATTTAAAAAAGAAATATGATCTAATTGCGACGAACCAAACACTTGTTCGCTATGGAAACCGAATAATGATGTCCTATAAGCCGTAAGGAATCAGCGGACCAATTGAATAGTTGAAAACATTTGAAACTTAGAAAGAATCACCCGGTATGTGTTGGAACCTATGAATTTTATGACGATTATTTCTCATGTATAATTCAATATAAAAACGGAACGAATATATTGTTCGTAATGGATGATCTACTCAAAGGAAAGTACCTCACCTATCTTTCTGAGAGAGAATTGAGGCATAGAGATGTGGGTTTTTTAATTGCCACCATTTTGATATTAAGAAATATTGAAACCAAACATGTACATCTCACCTGTCACATTTAAAGGCGCATGTTCTGACACCAGAACAATTAAAACTGTCCATGAAATCTCTAGAAAATGTTTTGTATACAGATACGCGTGTTTTGCCGTGTTCCTCGCCCGATCAAATATGACTATCATTTTTTCTCCACCAAGGAACATCGAATGCTTAATAAGGAATAGTTATTTGATTTTGTATTTCTATAAAACAGTTTATTGTGAAATAATATCAATAAAAATCATTCAATAAAAATTATTTCATGATATTTTTGATTCAATTAATTTCGCTTCTTCTTCGAGTCCTTTTTTGCGCGATGGTCGTGTTCGAAGAGTTTCCCAATGTAGAAAAGTGTCGGAATTTCCTGAAATTTGATTGTTCGCTCATTTGAGGTTTTAATTTGGAAATATCAACACATGAATCGATTTTTTAGAAACCTTTAGATACTCCTTTGTCAAGTCCTTGATAGCTTCTTGCTGTTGGATTCTGGTCTTTGACTTGTCGGCCATGATCGCATCGACTTTCTCTTTGGCTTCGGCGAGTTTCGAAATCACTTCGCTTATATTCTTGCTGATTTTCTGTTTTCTCTCGGCTTGCTCGGTTGAGAATTTTTCGAATTCTTCCTCAAAATATATAATTCAAATTAATAGAGGTTTTCAAACGATTCATCGATTACCTCGAGATCCTTTTCTTTCGCCCATTCCTTCAATTTGTCCTCTTTCTGTTGAATCGAGAGTCCTGGATTCTTAGTGATTTCGAAAAAGGACTTCTTTTGCGACGACGTCAAATTGCGCAGAAACTCCGGCTGCTCGCCTCTGTGCTTATTCTTATGATCATGGCGGGCCTCGATCGCAATCGAAAGAGCAATGGCGACGAGCAAAACAAAACGGAGCATTATTGGCTGCAAAAACGAAATAAATGAATTGGCTGAGTCGAGTCGACTCGAGTCGATTCACACGATTCTACGCGGCTATGTGAATGAGTGTGTGACACAAAAAATGGAATGGAAGTCATGGAAACCGATGAGATACTTGGAAACCTTATAACCGGAGCGGATATGAAGTTGAAAAGAAACACCACCATCAATGGATTACACAATGAGCAATCAAATGAAAAACATAATCTCAAGCGCATTCCATATTCGAAACAAGAAAATTTCTCATTTCGGCAAAAAATAATAATTCAAAATAAATTAATACTATAATTGCTTCTGAAAATTGTTTTTAAAATCACCAACTTAATGAATATTTCCATGAAGAATTAAAATAGGATGAATCATTGCTGAAATATGTTAAAGTTATTATGTATTGAAAAACTCCAAAAATATGTTTTTTTTGAAGTTTCTCAATTATTTTGATTCACATAGGCGGAAAAAAATTTATTCAAAAAAATGATTGATATTGAGTCGAAAAGCCATCGAAATTTCACAGTTTGTCTGCGTTGAAACATTCTCGAAATGGGAATGTGGGAAAGCATTTGAATCGATTGACAATATCAATGTTTTCAATTTTTGATTGCAGAATCTGATTCAACTTGTGACAACACGATTGTGGGAAAAAAAGCTGAGAATCGACGGAGTTGGGCGGTGTAAAGCACAGAAAAGGAATTACTCAGTGTCGAGAAGAAAAAGACAAAAAAAATGGAAGGAGAACGAACGAATGAACTCAAAGAAATGAAATGCAAGGGGAATTTGGTAGGCGAATGAATGGGGCAACGAGTGCGCGACCCTCCGAGTCCGCGGACGTCTGGTAAAACACGCTTCGTCTCTCGAATCGATACACTATTTCGACGGGCTTCGTTGACCGTAGCTCGCTCGTTTTGTGGCTCACATTTGATCAATTGATGACGGCTTTAAACCATCATAACGATGACAATTTACGGCAATGCGATGCATCGGCAGGTGTTTGATCGAAAATCCCAGTCGTAGCGTCGCAAAACAAGGTCAATTCGATTGAAATTGTCAGCCTCATCAAACTCGTTTATGAGTATTTTCGACGGAAATTAGAAAATGAGTCATTTTTGGACGAATCAGAGGATGCTATTAATAGAAAATCAAAATATTGGCCCGAATTTTATCGAATTTCATTCGCGAAAAAAACGAGTAGCTTTATTAGTGAAATTTAGAAATTACGGAGAGTTTGATTCGCAGGCTAACCATAGTACGGTAGACGAGTTCCCAGTATTTAAGTCGAAATTTGAATTTACCCGCTGAAAATTGAGATGGGCTGCAAAAAAAAAATGCAAATCTCTCGTTTTTTTTGTAATGACGATAAATTGATCGAATTCTACTAGGAGAAGCCTTTTTACTCTTAAGAAAATTGAAAAAAAAACACATGTGAATTAAGAATAATAATTAAGGAAGATGGTTTGATTATATTAAAACCAACGATTTTGACAAATTGAAATTTTCCAATCCCTTTTTAAAGCGTTGATGTTTAATGTTCAATAAATTTTTGCATGTGCCTTTAATAATTATTGTAGTTTTCGGTGCACTGTAGATAAAATGTTTACGAAAATAAAATGCAAAATTTCCATGGACTTCAAGATACAAAAAATCGTATGTTCCAAAACTATTTGAACGAAAATTGAAAACTCGAATTCAAATATTTTCAATTGAAAAGAAAATGAACAATTTTAGATTTATAAAAAGGAAAAGTTGAAGGAATTATTCGATATTTCAAATATAGTCGGCGTCCGGCGAATTCTGTAGATTTACGCGCATGCGTCTTGAAAAGGTCTCGCCACGAATGCTTATTTTGCTGTTTTCACGTGAACTGCTTCATTTTTCTTGATGAGTTTGGCATTTCTTGGAATTTCCAACGTCATTCGAATAAAAAATTACCGAACCGGTCCATAAAATTTAAAATAACCAGTTAGTCCTCGCGGGACCATTTCGAAAGACGCATTCCCGTAAATCTACCCGCGTACAGCAGTTGCCGGACGCCAACTATACTACCAGTTGATTTCCCTACTTTTCAACATTTTTTCGAATTTTCTTGTGTGGAGATGACAAAACATTCGAAATATACGACAAATTGTCGTCTATGAAATGTGAATGCACTTTTTGAAGTGAATCATTTTCATAAATCTTCAACAAACCCACTTCAAGCAAATTTTGTTGAAATTTTTGAATTTTTTTCGATTTTTGAGCACGTGAGAAATCTTAGTAAAAAAAACGGAAGCGAACCACAAAAATTGAATTTTTTTTTGAAATTTATCCACGAGCGAGCAGCATTTTCTGTGATTTTGTGCATTAAATGAGCTCAATTATGTAGAGAATCGACAGTTTATTTTTCTTGACGTATCAATAACCATTCGCTCTTAACATTTCTCTTCTGTTGACATTATTTGAAAACGCAATTCCTCAATTTTTGATTGTTTGCATAAAAATGCGCTTTTGTATATAAATATCATCTGTTTTTTTTTTCATTTTCCCAAGTTTGAGTTAATGAAAAAAAAAAGAGAAAATTAATAGCATTTCATGTGATCGAGCATCCATCGAGCAAATAAATTTTTGTGTTGTTTTTCACAAATTTTCTCTTATTCGAGCCCACTCCAATTAAAAATAATGAAAGTATATCAATTAATTCAATTATTCATTTTTAGCCAATAAATAATTTTCATGTTTCCGCCTCAAAATGATTAGCGAATTGAAAATTTGAAAAATTCGATTGGATACTCATTAAAAAATGTTCAATTGTCGTCGTAATAATTAATTCAGAAATTCTCGCCGTGTTGGCATTATTCGCCCGAAAATGCATCCGAGTGCGATGTTTCGAGCTTGAGGTGCGAGAGAGAGTGCGCGAGTCGACGAGGCTCCAGAGAAATAGTAAAAGCAGATGACGGAGAAGGCCCGACGGCGATGTGTTGTGCACTCGCTTTTGGCTCTCAGCTTCAAAATGAGCTGTTTTGAAAAATCCGCTAGTCTATTGTTTCAATTCTTATTGATTTCCTTATTTGTTGTTTCGACAAAAAAAGCAATGTTTCGAAGTGATTTGGTATTCATGAAGAGACTCATTCGACCAATTCAACATAATATCGCATAAATGAATAATTTACTCATTTCTACGCTGAGTACATTTTTCTTTTTCTTTTATTCTAGCCGACAACAATTTTGGAATAAAAAATAACCGCTTAAAATTTTTGGCAAAAAAAAAAGAAAATTGCGTTACAAAAAAAAATTAATGGGCTCTCTATTTTAAGCTAATTGTGTGTGTTTTTCTCGATTTCAAAATTATGCTGAAAATTTCTGGCGAAACCAATCCCAATTCTCTTTTTTTCCACAAAAAAAGGCAGTTACGATTGAGGGGAAAAAATGCTGAAATCACATTGCTCTTTAGGCAAGAAAATTGTCTATAATTGCTTTCTCACAAAAAAATTCCTCTGGAAAGTCAATTTGTTCATTTATGGCAATTATTTTTGTGCTTTAATAAAAATATTCGAAATAAATATAATTGGAGAGAAAATGTTGAGAATAAATATTGAAATCTAATACTATTTATGTTTAGAATTGACAATTATATCCATCCATTTTTTAGAAGAGAAAAAAAAACAGAATATTAATGTTCTGATATAATATTTTCATTTTTTCTTTTCATTCATTATTAAACCTTTTCGAAACTCCCGTTTTTCTCGGTTTGAGACCCCCTCATTTTAGAGGGTCCTTTTCCCTTCTCTTTTTTATTCAAAATGCATGAATGTGACGAACTGAATGGGTTCGTCGGTTTTAATGAAAAAACGAGCCGATAATGGAAGCGAAAAAAATAGAGAAATTAAAACCTTGCGAGATTTTCAAGTGGTGTACACAATATTAAATTTCTATTAAATATACACCAAAAGCAAATTGAGAAAATTCCAGTTTTAGCCGATAAAATATGAATATGAAGGAGGAGTTGATGTGCATTAGAGCGCATGTGAATACCCTCAAAATTATTGAATAATTTATGGAAGTGATTAAATGAATAAACGATGTGTATTCGAATGCATGCGAATTGCGAAAACTCGAGAACATTCAAGAGGGCCATACTTAAGATAATGCGAATTACGTAATATTTTGAACTTTCACGTGTTTACATTTTGCGAATAAAAAGGAAAACCAAAAATAGAAGACGTCGGAAATATTAATATTAATTTTTTTGGAGCTTCATTTGTTGGTTTCCTGATCATTTTTTTTACCTCAATGATTCTACAGTAACCCACACATTTCGTGGTCTTGAAAACAATTCATGTCAAATGCATTTAATACTCAGCCAATGAGACCAATTAATCCATGTTTTATCGGTTCTAATAAGAGATTTGCAAATCCTACAAATCGAAATGTGCTCGTTTTCAACAAAATACTACTTTGTTTGTATTAAATCGCTTATTTTCAATAACACCTTTTTTCTGCTTGAAAATATTTCTGAAAAAAATAAATAATAGTTATATTGGAGTTGGGGTGAGCAATTATACTTATTGACGTCATTTGCTCAAAAGGGACCCATAAAAAATGGGACGAGACTCGACTCGCAATGATTCCTCTCACAGGACCATTTTGATTGGTTGAATCCTTTTTCCTTTTGACGTCCAAAAATGCACAAAATGCCCTCAGGGTGGTCTTCCATCGATTTCGTTTCCTAGCTTTTATTCTTCTCCTCCTCCTTTTTCAATCTATTTTTGGTTTTTGGTTTCTAATGTTACTTACATTCTTTTTTTTTTTTGAGTGCGATTAAAAATTCATAGTAAATGATTAGTTAACGCTTCGTCGAGACTCGCTTTTTTTTTGAATTCAAACGAGTCGAAGTGCACACATCATTTGAATTATTAATAAAAAACCACAACCAATTGGTGTTGCTTTTTCTCGCCCGAATTGTCTTTTTTTTTTCAACGAGAGCTCAAATTTCGAGAGTAAACCCCGAATATTCACCGCGTCTCGTTTCTTTCTTTTTTTCGTTTCCTGCTCCGGATTTCGGTCATGTTCGTTTTATTAGCATCATTCATTGGCTGTGGTGGAATTTGGCGAAAATCGTGTGGCAGCTGAGAAAATTAAATCCCAGATGCTTCCATGCATTCAGACTCGTTCGCCGTTTTTTCTTTCTTTCGCTTTTTTGTGTGTCTGCTTCGCAAATTCGCGAGTGCCTTGTTTGGAATTAATTCAAAGTCAAAGAAATCATGTGAAAACTTAAATCGAATTTCAACGTCAGCGGGTGCTCCTTTAAAAATCGAAACAGAAGTCGGGTCTCACACCGTTTTCATATTTGTGAACATCAATTCGTAATATTTGCATTTTTAGATTAAATTTTCGCACAATTCAGCTAAAGCTTGGTAGCACAAAAATGAATAAAAGTCTGAGCAAAAAATCAGAAAAAGCTTTCGTTTTCTTTTGAATGAGATCAGTCAGTTTTATTTTGAAAATTAGGCCTCGCTATTCCAAAATTCGCGACACAATTAAATTAAAAAAAACACTCCCATTATTTTTACTACCTAATTTAGTAAAAATAATAATCAATCAATTTGTTTTGATAATATTCTCTCACTAGACAAAAACATCGAGATGAGTGTTTTTTTTTGTTTTCCAAACATAGATTAACCCTTTTTGTTTTTTTTTTTCGTCGAGATTCTTGAATCCCATTTACCAGCGAAAATAAATTTAATTTTTTGTAACATCCTTTTTGCGGTTGCTCAATGCGATTTCTGGTCCCTTCTCTCCGAATAGATTAGCTCCATCAACCAATTTTTTCTTTTTCCCTTTGCGACTATTTTTGTTTTGATATTGCCGATCAATCGCAGTAATTTTTAATTCCGAATTGGAAGGGACCAAAAATTAATCAATTCATAAAACTTGACATATTTGATAATTGAATTCATATTAGGATGATTTATGAATGTTTTGAGCTTCGCAATAAATTATTTGCCATTTTCCCTCACCAAAAGTCTCATAAATAACCTCAAAATCCTTCTTCTTTTTTTTCTACATTTTTCCCATCCTGATTTATTAGAGCTTAACATTATAAATGGTCTTCAAGCGAAACTACATTGGAAAAAAGTTTTGAAATGAATGGTTTTCAAACCATCTTAATCCAACCGTGTCTTTCGTTTTTCTCGTTGGACATTCTTTGACATACGACATTGTCTAAAAAAGAACCACCCATGATTTTTTTTCCTAAGCACTAATTTGAAATGCAATTGTTTCGAACAGGGTTGCCAAAGGGAGATGGTCCGTTCCGACCCCTTGAAAATCTTGACAGTAATTTCATATTAAACATCTGCGGACATTTTTCGGGATGCCCTGCAAATGTCTGTATTCTTATTAGCTATTTTGACAGTTTAAACAGAAGACCTACGGGGGCTCAGGCCCCGGTCCCGGACGAGGCCCTACAGACCTCAGAGCAGGACCGGGGTCCCAGTTTCTTTTTTTTTTTTGAAAACCCTTGTTTCGGACAATTGAATTTGAAACAAAATCAACATATCCGAAATAGTTTCTTTTCTCGTTTTGGGACCAATTCAATAGTTTTTTGCTTCCGAATTTGAGCCTTGAGAAGCTCAAAATGTTGCACGAAGTTTCAAATTGCAAATCTCTTCTTCCTCATTATCGGATTACTTTAGAGTTGGGCTCAATTAATCAGCACTTCTTATAATAGATTTTTTTCTAATCGATATCGTTAAATTTTATATTTTAACACGAATAATATTTGAAAAACGAAATTTTGAATTTCTGAAAATTTTTCCAAATTTTCAAAGCGTGAATACAACAGAGAATAGAAGAGTGTAGTGGAAATAAGTGGGGGTATTTTTTTTAAATTGCAATTACCAATTAAATATTTCTTCGTTTTAATTCCTTCAAAAATTTTCTCATACAATTTTCTCTAGAATATTGTTGTTTCAGAGATGTCTGACGTCTACAATACTCTTCTTCCTCCCGACGACGACTTCCAGAAGCATAAAAAGTTTTCATGTAAGTGATTTTTACAAGTGTTCTTTATTTTTCTCCTAAATACCTATAAAAGTGGCTGAAATCGACCAAAAAATAAAAGTGCGTGGTTTTCATCTCAAAACATTTTGAACGTTCAATTCCCAAGCGAAAATAAGAGCAAGCTCGAGATTCGTAAACGCGAGAGTTTTGAAAAACAAAAATGTAACATGACGAATGGAATGGAGAAGGAAAACGATTGTTCTCCATTCGAGTGCCACTCCGAATCGACTGATAGCAGCTGACTGACGCGAGCGACTCGGCTCCATTATGTTGGCCGTTTGATCGCATGTGACATGTTCAATTTGACCGGAATTGTTCAACAATATACTGCTAGTCAAGGTATTCGCTTTTCTCAAACATATCTACTATGAAATCTACGTGCTAAATTTTAATTTGATTTTTTGTTTCATTTTTTTAAGCATACGGTCTTTTAGGAATGTGTAATTGCGCGTCATGGTGAATTCACACAATTAATCGTTCATAAGATTTTCGGTCTTAAATAAAATCTATAATCCGCAATATCCATTTATGTTATAATTGACATTTTATCGTTTTCTTTTTACTTCGCCTGTTATATAGGGGGGGAGGGACGAATTAATAATTTTGAGCTGAAATTTAAACACGACCCTCCATTTTTTTACTGAATTTTATTCTACTTTTTTAAAGTTTCGAATTTTCGCGATATTAAACTTTATAAATTACCTATTTTCAATATTATTAAAACGTTAAAATGCAAAAGAAAAGTGCGATTTTAGAGAAAAAAAATGTGAAATTCAAATTATTGCGGGCTTTGTATTTTATTTGTTGACAATCACGTCCCCTAAGCTTTCTTTCTTCGCAAACAAATCATGCTTTTTGAGGCTACTTTTCCTCTTCATCGAGATGTCTAACAAGAAATAAAACTTTTTGGTATTATTATTATTATTAGTGTAATCTGTTTCAAAGAAATGGCAATCCAGGCGATCGGAGTATGTAGTTGCAGATTTGGTGAAAACTCATTCTTATTGTCGTTTTTTGATGATTGGCAATTTGCCAATTAAAACATACATATTGTTAGCCATTTAAAATATTTCAGCTGGCACATCCCTCAAACAATACTTTGATGACATCATTCCATTTGGAGAATATGAAGTCCGCGAGGCCCTCGAACGGGAAGTTAAACGGCATAGGTAGTAATAATATTTTTTTGAGAAGGTTTTTAAAAATTATTTCAAGGTACTGGAAAAATAAAACTGTGAAAAAGATGACATTTGATCAACTGGAAATGAATTCGTGTCTACAGTATATTCTTGAGTCTTATACAGAAGCTCGTTCAACATCTGAAGCTACTGAAGCAATGAATTTAGCCGGATTCTCCGAAGCAAGTTCTTCGGGATCAGCCTGTTTGAGTCCTTGGGATTTCGAAATTTCTCCGTCGACATTATTCGTCGATCAGGTCCGAGTGTTCGAAATGCCTGGATCGAGCTCGATCAATTCGTGTTCGGCGTGCAATTCCGAAGGAACAATTCATTGTTTTCACTGCCGAGGTTGTGGAACCGACAAATGCTCATTCTGCAGAGGAACGGGAATGAAGAGCGGAGTTGCTCATCCAGCAGTTTACACACATCCAATGATTGCAACATTCCCACATGTTTGTGCATTTTTATTATACATAAAATGATTAAATCATTTCAGGCAGACTTGTCTCGTGGTTACTCATCATCATCGACAGCAATGGTCCGGCATGGAAGTCAGTCGTATGGAGTCGGAACTCCGATGCACTTCATGTCGAAAACCGGCGTTCCGCCGCCAGGCATTGGAACTCATGATCTCTGCTACATGTGTCATGGTCGAGGAATCAAAGAGTGTCATCATTGCAAAGGAGGAGGAAAAAAGCCGTGCACATCTTGTGGTGGAACTGGATCAGTCAGGAGTTATACTAGGGTTAAAGTCTATTTGTAAGTTTTGCTTAATGATATTTAAAAGAAGCCCCCGAAAAAAAACTAGATAAAAGTTTTAAAACTATTCAATTTTACTGCAAAAACCCTGATAAAAAAAAATAAATTCCAATGAACTGGGTGTTTTTTTGGTGTTTTTCTGTGATATTTGCGCCCCACATTTTCGCGTCCTTCGCTTTTTCTGATGTTTAAAGCCTCGAGTGCTAATGAATCAAGATCAAAGAGCAACAAAAAAAAAAAATAGTTTGCCAGAAAATTCGAAAGAGTAGCGGAAAACTGCTATTCATTTTCATTTCTCGAAATTTTTGAGTTTCGATGGTATTTTAAATCATCCAATTTCCCCGTTTGTGACACTTTTTTCAAAGTTTTGAAGAGTATTACTCTTTTTGTCCGCCACATTGCCGGTTTGAGTAATTTATCTTTTTCTTCCGAGTTAGTCAGATTCCCTTGAGAATTGAGATCAACAATGCGTTTTCCATTTCAAATGCATAAACTTCAGCAAAACTGAAAAGTCGGAACACTTTACAAAATCCGAAGTACCCGAAAAGCTGCTGATGAATGCGGGCGGTAAACAAATATTCGAAGAGGAAGGCGAATATGTGCGTTTTTACATCGACGAGCAAAATAATGGAAACGAAGATTTCGAATTTAGATTCTGCCAATATCCAAATACCCACAAGAGGAAATTAATGAGGTGTCGAAGCAATTCTGCGCAGCGCATTTGCAAAAGTGTATGGGTGTTTGCCGAGTTATTCGAGTGAGTACAATGATTTGTAGTATTCATTTAACGTATTGATGGGTAATATGAGAAGTTAGTTGTGAAAATTCAAAACGCTCGTTTTTTGAAATTAAATTTCATTTTCAGCAACGTCATGTTCTGATCGCAATTCCCGTCTGTAAGGTTCATTATACTCTCGGAAGTGAAAAGGGATTTTTCTTTGTATACGGCTCGCAGAGAATGGTCTTCTTTCCCAATTTCCCATCAAAATGCTGCATATTGTGATAATTTTTCAACCAAATTCAAAAAAAAAGTCCCGGTGATTTCCACGGTATCTCATTTCACATAGACCAAAATTGCTATTTGAAAATGCTCGTTCATTTATCATTATTGCCTTCTTTTTTAATGCCAAAGCTATGAAAAGTTAGTTTAATTTTTGAAATATTAATAAATTATTTTCTACTTTCACCTTCAACATTGATTCCTCAAATTTATAAATATGTTTCAGCAGGACGTTTTCGAACAAGCTTTTTGGGATATCTTTTTATATAGAAGTTTAGGTGTAAAGGGTCCCCGGCGATCATGCAGATGAGGTCCGCACAGTGGATAAAGGTCCCACATGTGCAGCAAAGGTGCACTGAAAGTGGAGACCTCTTCTTCACTAGGGGCTTTATCATCACTGCGACGGCGTATTGGAGAACTTGTTCTGCACTATGGGAACTTTCTCTGCACCATTATTCAATGGAGTCTAGACCTGATCATCCACTCCAGGCAATCCTGCAGACAAGCATCTCACAAGATGTATTATGCCCCGGCCAGAAAATTGTATTTAAGATCCACAATAAAATTTGGGTGAAATTAGGCGCACTAATGAACACAGAAGCTGTCTGAAAATATCAATATTACAAACGTTAATAATTGAACTCATTTTCTATTCTGAAAAATAACCTAAATAACGTTAAAACCGCTAAACCCGACGAAAAAAACATGAAAGGAATGGAAATGAATAAGCGCCACTGGATGCCACTACGGTGAGCCGGGGTACTGAACTATGAAGATACCTAGAATAAATTTTCTTCGCAAGAACGTATAATGCACTCTGTGGCAGGGTCCCTTTCTCAATAGCATCTGGTTTATTCAAATGTGAGTCTTCATAATAAGCAAAATTATTTCTTGGTGAATCATCGTATCCTTATTTAGCATCCACCTCTGCCTCTCATAGAGATCGCATAAATATTCAAAAATATGCACGATGGAATCTCTTAATTAAGGATTCACACGAATTATTTCTAAGGAAAAATAAAAATTTATGGAAAATTTCAAAAAAAAAAATGAATGTGATCAATTTACTAAAAATTCGCGTCTTTTTATTGCCATTATTTTTTTTTGGTATTCATAAATTTTTGAAGAATCCAACGCAAAAAATTTATATTTTATTTCTATTCATAAAATATGCATTTGATTATGAATTAATTTTTTTCCCATTTTCCATAAATATTAGTGTTATCACTTAAAATCTATAATTTTGGAATAATGGTCGAATTTTGAAATCAAATTTAAACCATCGAAATATTGATTTAAAAATACGAATTTGTATATCAATCGAGAAAAAAATAAAAAAGAAACCAATAATTTTTCGTCTTTTTTCTGCATTGAAATTTTGTCAATTTTTTTCCACATTTTTTTATTTTCTCGGCATTGCCCCAAAAGAATTTTCGAGTATTCCTCGCGATTTTTTTTCAACTCGCATCTTTTTTTCAATATGCAAACTTTGTTTTGTTGCCCTTTTATGGAACATACAAGCTGCATTCGTCATCAAAGTTTGTCGGAGCGAACCCATCAATCGCTTCTTGTCAGCACCCGTCCGTTTTTTTTTGGGAAACACCCGTTGCCGTGTTCGAAATAAGGCGACGGCGGTCTCGGGAAGACAGAGAACAAAAGGCCGAGCTGAATCGTCGTCAGCAGCAGCTCTTTTTGCCTCTGCTTCTTTTCCTATTTTGGTCCGTCGTCTTCGTATGCGTATGCCGTCTGTGTGTGTGTGTGTGTGTGTCTTCATCGATCCTCGCCTTCTCCCGAAATAGTGTGAATTCCGATGAGAGGCGTCATGTATGTGGCCTACTCCTCCCATTCAGGCACATTTTAAGCATCCGCTGCCCGAAGACACAAACATTTTCAACGCATTCTGGCACATGGGACAGCAAAACTCGGGATTCGTTGTGGAAATCGCGAGCCCAAGGCTTGGCCGATTCCAGGTAATTCATTTGCATTTTCATCTCAAATTAGTTTATTATATTTGTTTTATTGTAATATGAGTAATGATGTACTAAATGCGAGTAAGCAATGCCGAAAAGACTAGACATATATGAAAATGATTTGAAAACCAAAAATGGAGTTTTCTATCGAATACCTTAACTTCTTAACATTTTAAGATCTCGGAAAAGCTCAAAAAATATTCAAAGCTCTACCAACGATTTTTAGTTTTTGAGACATTAATAGCATTAACGGATGAGTCTAATTTTCTCTAGGGGGTCCTTTATGAAGACCACATGGGCATTCGGATTTTTTTGTTTTTTTAAATCAATGTAAAGTCCAATTTTAGTGTCAATTGCACCGAATAAATAGGTCCTTGACAATTTAATTTTGGCCCATTTTTCTCATTGAAATAGAGTGCTCGTACATTCGTAATGAATCTCGAAATTGCTCGGGCAATCTTTTTCTTTTTTTTTTTTCGCCGTGCTCGAATCGACGGCAATTTCAAACATTTTTATTCAAGCAATCTAATCGAACTTGCCGGCTGCGTGTGCTGAGCCATTGAAAAAATAACGAGAAGAATTCGACGACGCAGCGACAATTTTCGCCCAATCTCTTTTTTTGTGCTTCAATTTTTCAACAAAAAAAAACACCCCGCGAATGTTCGAGAATAATTCAATTTGAAGGAAAAAGTTCTGGAAAATACTAGGAAATTTTTGCAGGCGGTTCCCCAAAAGGATCCGGATGAATCGACACCGGAATGGAGGATTACGGTGAATCCGGCAGCCGAACTCGTCGGATCACCTCGACTCAGATCGCTTATTGATCGATTATATCATCATCAAAAGCTTTTAACGGATTATGATGCGAAACAAGTAAACCAAGACAATAAAGACAGTTGAATGAATCAGGTTTATTCCAGATATTATCAGCGCTTCAATGCATGGATCCGACAGCGGAGCTGCTCCTTCCACTGCTCACTGTTCTATCAAATGCCACCGCGTTTCCATCGAATATTGTAAGGAAATTCTCGAAAAATCCATTTTGATTATAATTTGCGAGACGAAAACACATAAAACAAAATTGAAATGTTAATTGTCCTCTGTCATATGGTTGCGTCAAACATTCGAGAATCGCAGTGTCAGAGCTGATTTGACAGCGACTCGTTTACGCAAAAGGAAAGTGCAAAGCATCATTACTATCAGGCTATTGAAAATTGAATTTTTGAAAAATGAATAATCAAATTTAAATTCGAATACAGTATAAGTTTGAATTCAGCTTCTAATGCGAGAATTCCGTTTGACGAGTCGAATCTTGGACATGCTTCCCGAATCGAAACACTGGCCTCGTGCAACCCGTGTGATTCTCCTTCAATGCATCGCGAATATGGCTGTTTCCACAGACAATCATGTAAATACTTGTCAAAATGATTCAACGATTCCATTCGTTCAAATTGTTTAGGATATGATGAAGGATTCACTTCCGCAAATCGTCCAGCGACTCTCGTCTTCTGATGAAATGGAGGTCGTCGTCGCGATGCAGGCTCTCACGAATTTGTCGTTCGACATCAAGCCGGAGCAAGTTGCCAAGTTTGTTCCCGTCATTCCGCATTGCCTCAATAGGCTTTGGATTCGCGGTGAGGCCAACTTGAATGCCCTGAGGCTGCTCGTGAATTTGGCATGTTGTCCGGATATGGTGCCGTACATTCTGGGAAACAAGGTTCGACGGAAATGAAAGCAAAACAACCACACCAGTTTTCAGTCGGTCTCGGGACTTTTGCGCATATTAGACACCGATCGTGAAGAGGTTCTTCTAAGAGCGATCACATGGATATCGTGCATGACATGTGCCGTGGATGCTCTTCATTTAACCTACGATAGAATTGCTCAACACAATATGGTTGGAATTCACCATTATTTCCAATATTTGACGAGCCATTTTAGGATCCATTCCACAATCCATCTCATACGTTATACTTTTCTTTATATGGTCCAAAGGCTCGAGAAGAGCTTGAGGCTCAAGCTCGTCACTTAGCATCTCACACAAACAAGGATATCGCGAGTAAAGCGAATAGATTACTCGAGAATCTCAAAAATGTGAGTTGATTGGAAATGTGTCGTTCAAATGAATTTTTAAAAAAATATTTTAAGGTTCCACCATTTCTTGCCGCCGGAAGCCATTTAAATCGCCTCTAATTCTTCAAAAAATGTCAACTTCTATTCTACGCGTAATTATTTTCCTCGATCCTCCGCTATCTTTTTTTTTTTAATTATCCATCTACAAATTCACTTTTCACAGAAAAAATCGCCGCATTTTTTGATTTCGGTTTTCGTCGCAAAAATCATAAAATCGATGGGTATTAATTAAAACTTTTTATTAAATGAGATCCCCGTTGGATCGATTCGTCTAATAAATATGCTATAAATTGACTAGTGTCGCATTCGGATACAATATTCGATGGCAGCTGTCGGTGTAAAGTCGATATTCGGTTAGGAGCTCATTTCCCGATTTCTGCCAATAGATCATCGCTGCCAGAATGAATAGGTGCCACCATTGGTGCGAACAGCCGACAACGTCGAATTTGCCGGGCCAAATCCGTTCAGGCATCATGGAAACGTAGAAAATGAACGCAGTGGCAATCATTGTATACAACACAATTATGTTTGGGAACCATTTCTGAAAATGGGTTGGTTTGATTTAATTATAGCCAAAAAGAACGAGAGACACTGGGTAATTGCGAACCCGAGTAGCGCGGTTATTCAAATTCCGATTTGAACAGTGGGAATTAGTGTATCGCACTACGAAAAATTGGGGCCAATATATCAAACATTGATCCATATGAGTGTTTTTTCCCGCTTTAGGCTAACAAGTAATAGGCTTAGCTTTGAATCAGTGTTGGGTCTAGCCAGAACGAGTTGTTGCTCTAAGCCTTAAGCGAACTGTTTAAAAAACAAAGCCAATTAAATATTTCACGGTTTTAACTAAGCCTTTTATTTGAAGAGCACATCAAGAAAATAATTAAAATTGTTTCTGCTTCATCTTGGATGGGTACTACGCTTATAATTCTGAATTTATAAGCGCACTCGAAATATGTTTTTGTAGTTCAATTCTCGCGACGATTAATTTTTTTTTAACATTTTTCAAATATTCATCAAGACTTTTCCCCCATTTTAAGAAATATCATTTTTCAACTTTACCCCCCCCCCATTTAGCACTTCCCCCCATTAAGACAAAAAATAGACGTTCCCCCATTCAACGTTTTCCCCTCATTCAGTATCTACCAAAAATTGGCTGATTGAATAAAAGTGGATTCTTACTTTTTTTTTCAAGATGGTATTATTCAAAACGACAACTCACTGTTACATGATTGTTCTCAAATCCGCCATGCAGAATCACCCAATGAATTGTTGGACAAATACCGAATGTGATAATGATACAGTAGATAATGTGCAATAATCCAACACGTGATCCTTAATAGTATACAAATCTAATTTTTTTCAAACTTGAATTTCTTACCAACAATTTTCTTTTCGAAAAAATCTTGCCTTGTTGGCACATAAGCAGTTATCAGAAATATTCCGAATAAAACGTAGATGTACGAATTCAAACATTCCTAAATTCGTGTTCATAGAACTAATTGATTAATTAGGAGTACTTCGAAACAGAAGAATGCGGTGTAAATTCCGTTTAAATACATTCCGAGTAGGCCGGCGGATATCCCGAAAATGTCCATTTTTAGACACTTCTGTCTGGTTTCGATGCTCGTACATCCGAATGTGTGATATCCGGCAGAAAGCAGCATACACAACTGCATTCCAAATATCGATAATGTGAACACGATATGGTCCGACGGATTTGAGCCGATCGCCGGAATAACCACATAATTCGTATAATATTGTTGATAAGTGAAATAAATGAAACCGATAAAATGACTCCAAATGTTGATTGTCTCATTATTGATATGGAATGCGCTGAAAACGAATTGAAGAAAATCATAAAAATCATAATTCTTTTGGCAACATGGAGATTTCGCAAGAAAAAAAAAACTAGTTTTAGCAAGTTTTTTTGAGTTTTTCTTCTTTAGAATACTATTTGATAAGAAAATTTTGATCGATTTCCGATATAATAATAAAAATATCAAAATTTTCGTGGACAGACGAATATGAGAAATTTGAATTGCGCGGGCTTCTACTTAATTGGTCCCGCAAAGAACAAAATCGACTTCACCATTCGGCATTTATGCTAATAACCAAAGTATTTAAAATTAATAACAATTATGCTCTTTCATATTATGATAGTTAGAAAGCGTAAAAATAGCGGCTAAAAGTGTTTTGTTCCATACGAGACCCAAGGCGGCAATTCAAACAATAAAACAATCGCAGCTCAAATTCGTCCGTCGTCGACTATACTTGTTCATATTTTAGTAAAAAAAATCACCTTTTCGCGCACATTTTGTGAGTCATTGATGGAGGTCTGTAATGGTTGACAACATAGTCATTTAGCCATAATGTTTTGTGCAATTGATCCCTGAAATAATTTAGAGCCAAACGAATGAATTGCTATTGGATAGTCTTACTTTGAGACTAATTTATATTTTCCATGATTATGACAGACAGAATGATTATGGCATTTGATGCATTTTTTCATCTACAAGACAATGTGTCAAATGAAGAAAAAAAATATAAACGTGAGTATTTTTTATGATAATTTTGAAATTTTGGCAAAAATGAATGCAAATCGGACATTGATTGCCTCATAAATTAATAATATTATTTAAAAAATATAGATTCAATATAAAGTCAAAAGAGAGATTTTTCCGATGGAATAAATATTACAATATGAAGGGAAAAGTTATTAACCAAAAAAATAGCTTGATTACGGCGGAGAATATAATTAGGAAGTTGATGCAACGAAATGACGGCTTCGACGTGATAAAAAGCTGGAGAAGAAGCACGCAAAAACACGTTTTGAGATAAGCGATTGCGCGAACGAAAAATAATTGAAGGCGATTGGCGTTTTGCACCCGAAAAAACCCACATTTGGAAGTGGCGAAATACGATAATAAAAGATGAGAATGAAATGGGAAGGACGCATGCACGAACACGAGAAATACGAGCAATTGAATGAAATGGTTCGGTTATGATGATGATTTTGGTGGCAAGCCAAACTTTTGCGATGGATCGACCATTCTTCGATCGAATCTTTTTTGCGCTGGATTCGCTTGGCTTGTGAGACTGGTTTTTGAAAGCCGACGCATTCACGCACTTGTATGTTGAATAGTGCGCAATATTCAGAGGGTCTCGAAGCGATTAGGGTCAATGTACAAATAGGTGAATTTTTGCATCTGAAATCAATTTTTATTGGATTTCACACATTTGTCGATGTCTTTTTGATGTCGACCAAACCACCACCAATTTTTTTCTCACTTTGTCAGTATGATATAATTGAGAAAAAGTAGGAAGAAAATGCAGTGAAATCATACGATTATTAGAAATATTTTTGGAGTCAAAGTATATTTAAAAATTAAATTGAAAAAAATAAATTAAAGTTTGCGCTTATAAGGGATTATCTACATAATATTATAACCTTTTATTTGGACGTCACATGCACTTTTTGTTTTTAGCTGAAACCCAATAAATAATGATAATCTAATGCAAATAGTAATGAATTGAAGGAATTGATACTTTTTAAATGAACAAAAGAAATTCTAGAAGAGAGAATGACGCTACATTGTGTTTGTTGTACTGTACCCAAAGTGTCGTTCAAAATTTGTAGCCTACAGATATAAGCATTTGGAAAATTTCTGATCGAAATCGAGAAATCACTCAATTTGTGAAATATCTGGTTTAGTGATTTGGCCGAGAATAGAAAAAAAAGTTTCAGATGGATGTCTCGATTCGAAGAATTTTAAAAGGCGAGTGAAAAACGTTGATGTGAATTCGACAAAACAAGACTAGATCGCTTTCGATTTCCTTTTGCCGGATTTTACGGACCATCAACACACTTTTATTAGCCGTAATGTTTGCTTCATTTCTTGTCTTCGCTGGGAAAAACTCATTTCAAATTTGAAAATAATCTCGTAGAATGGACCAGCCATTGTGGACTTCCGGCGGTTGTCAAGGTGAATGCATTCGTCCGAATCCAATCCAGTATTAGCTCAACTTTCTTTCTAAAATTTTCTCTTTTTATTACTGTTGTTACTATTCCTAATTGAATTGAATTATTGATTTTTAAAGTATTTCTCTTGAATAATTTCTTTTTTTTCTGAAAAATCTTAATTTTCATGCAAAATTTTCGAAAAAATTGCGTCGTATTTTTGCAATTTTTCGAAAAATCGTGATTTTTTGCCAAAAAAAAGAAAAAATTCCGCAAACATATGATTTTATTTTTTGCTGAAAATTTCTGAAAAAAAGAACGATTTAACGAAAAATTCATTTTGCCGAATTTTTCGGTTTCAAGCGGCTGAACGAAAATTTGGAAAACAAATTGGCTTTGTGAAAATGTGTCAAGGGCAAATGAGAAGTTGACGAGATTGCTTAACCGTTAGCGCATTTGATATTCGCTAAATTTACGTGTGTCTAAATTCAGAAACATTTCACCAAATCGAATTTTTCGCCACCAATCAGTCGTTTGAAACCTACAAAAAAACAATAATGATGAAATACTAGAAAATACAGACATATTGGCGAACGAATTTTGAATGCAATCGACATACAGTCTTGGGTCTCGTCTGGAAATACTCTTCGGCACGAGTTTTGCATTTTCTTTTTTTTTATATGAATTTCACATACGTACTTAGGTTATTCGAAAGATTGTCAAATGACAAAGCAAATTTTAATTACAAATTTTAGCGTACGGCGAATGATTTTTCAATACCAATTTTTACAAAAAATTTTCTTACACTCATCTTTCTGGAAATTTTTCTCTAGGACCCTTTACCAAAAGAAATTATAGGGGTCCAGTGTTTCAAAGATTAATTTTCGCACCAGTGGACTTTCAAAAAATCAATAAAAATATCAAAAACATTTTTTTTTTCATTATTGATAAAATTAACTTGTTAAAAATGACTACATTTTTAAAATTAGGCTTCGGTAGAAACGATTTATAAACTTGTCGAATTTTAAAATTTCTCACATTGCTCAGATGCACCAATTCGTTTCATATACTTATTAAACTTTGTAAAATTTGGAACGATCGAATTTGATTCAACTCAATTTTGCTTTCAGCAAAAAACATCCTAATACAGGGTCGGGCATAATTACCGGTAGAAGTTCAAACGGATGTATTTCAAAAAGTAAAAGTCAGAACAAGTTGAGATTCAACTAAAAGTTTATCTGGGTAGTAACAAACATATAAATACTAAAGTTGTTCAACTCGGCCACCTTTCTGCTTGATGACGGCTCGAAGACGCTTTGGGAAGGCATCCACCACGGCACGCAAGTATTCCACTGACATCTTGTCCCATTCCTCGACCAACTTCTTTTTTAAATCCTCAACACTTGAATGGGGTGTGGCACAGACCTTCTTCTGCAAAATTCCCCTGACAGAGTAATTCAGCGGATTCAAATCCGGCGAAGAAGCTGGATATTCGTCTGAAGCGATGATACTCGAAAAAATCGCTTTTCACCACTCTTGAGTGAATTTAGCTTTGTGAGCAGGGGCACCATCTTGTTGGAACACCCACGGTTGGCCTTTGAAATTATCTCGGCTTCAATGCAATACTTGATCCTTCAAAATGTCAACGTAGACTTCCTCGTTGATTTTAACGCCTTTTTAACGAATACGAGCGGACACTTTCCCGCGGAGCATATAGCGCCAAATACCATCACTCTGGCGGGATGGGAAATGGTGTGAATGGTTCTGCCGTTGTCAAAAGCTTCTTGGGAGGTCTTAGCAAGAACCCTGTGATTTTGGGAGTTGAATTCTTGCTCGATTGTGAAAAGCTTCTCGTCGGAGAATACGGTAACCAAATGTTCGCCGACTCGCGTGCGCTCCACAAGAAGTTTTCCCTTTTGAAGTATTTTTTGCTTATTGGCGGCAGAGGAATAGCTGCTTTTCGCACTTTTCGCACACGGTATGGGGTAAGACCCAATTTATCTTTGACAATCCTTGTCATCGATCTTCGGGACATTCCCATCTCATGAGCCATCGTTGAGAGGCTCCGATGAGCGTTTCGTCTCACTCGTTCCTTCACGGCTTTCACCTTAGTTGGAGTTGTAACAAAAACTTTTTTTCCTCTCCCAAGTCTGTCATAAAGTCCTCCAGTCTCCTTATAGCGGCGAATCGTCGAATAAACGGTGTTCGGAGGGAGTTTGAGGCGCTTGATGATCATGGGAATTTTGACTCCCTGATCGAATAGCGAGCAAACAGTGACACGATGGATACTAGCCTTTACCATTTGGCAGAAAATTAGTATTTTTGTCCGAAACTTGGAAAAACAATAGAAAACACATTAAACAACTGGAAAAAAATTGTGAGCGCTCAAAAAAACGCGACATCATGAGTCACAATGGCGCAAAAAAAAAATTACCGGTAATTATGCCCGACCCTGTATGTATTGTCATACACAGTTTAATTCGATTTTAACCTAATGTAAGCCTAATATTTGCGACTGACCTCTCAATTAAAAAACTGTTTGCAAAAGTAAAAATCGAGATCGGAAAAACGGTAGCGAAAAATCATTGGTCCGACAATCCACGACAATAATTATGTTGGTGCATTCTGGCGACTAATTTATGAGTTCAGATTTACGAGCACACTCTTTTTGCTACGGTCCCTCCAATGGTATTATTGCATTAAATGGCAAATTTAAGGAAATTTCAATATATACAGATGAAAATAACGGTTGAATTAAAAGAAAAAAATCGCCACAAGTAAAAGTAGAAATTTCACGGGAGAAAAAAAAAAACAAAATAGAATTCTGACATGTTTCTCTGACCACAGCGAAAGACAAATTCCCCTAAATCATCCTTCACATAATAGTCGCCGGACACTGACTACGTATATATGTATGTATATGTATATAATTATTGCTAATTGTATTCATCAATCTATCACGCACTTTTATGGATCACATCAAATGATTCTTACGAATAATTGGTTATGCAATTCCGACTATTTGACATGATCCAAGATTTTCATAGAAAAAATCGAGAAGGATTGAGAACAGTTTAACCGTTTGAAGAATTTCCATTTGTAAAGCGGATTTGCGTTTTTGATCGAATTTCAATGAAAACAAGTCGCTGTTATTTAATAGTTCAAACAATTGTTCGAAATTCTGGCTGGCCGAATTCAATTCAATTATAATTTCGACGGAAACGCTCTTGATATCCCGCCGATTCGATAATGGCTTAATGCGGTGTGATAAGTACATCGTATCAAGGCAGTTCAGTTTAAAATCGCGCCGAGAATCGCTTGTCCTTGACGTGTGAAACGCACAAATGACCTTGTCGGCCAACTGGGAGCGGCGTCGATTGCTGGGGGGCAGCAGCAGCAGCCGAAGTGTTGTTTTGGTTTGCCAATTCGAATATCAGTCCCAAATCCATTAAATCGATCGCGCGAATGAATGACTCATTGCGACCGACCAACCAGCCAGCCGTTCGTTTTCACTTTCGCCTCGTTCGTTTTTTTCCCCGCCATTGTTATTGCAGCTTTTGCGCGATTTTGCCTCCGATTTTATATATTTAGTCAATTTCATTCATTTTTTTTTGCAAAAAGATGAACGATGACACCCGGGTGCCAAGTTACGCAATGTTGTAATACCCGTAAAAGGGCGTATATATGTTATTAGTGTGACGGATGACCTTTTCCTGAGGGGAGAAGGCGCACCGTCGATTCTCTTTTCATCTATTATGTAGACGTTCGTCGAATCGCTCAGTTGACCTGAAAATTCGGATAAGCGAAATATTTTGTTGAACAAAAAATTTTTTGATTTTGTACTCAAATGGTTTCGTTTTTTTTTTGTTGAAATTCCTCCCTTAAGTTTTTTCTTTCAATTAGCAAAAATCATAATTTGAGGATATTGAACAAATCATAATGATTGGGGTTTTTCTCGATTCTCTTCAATTGATCGAATACTTGAAATTTAATTTCTCGAGTTTTGCCACTCGAAAAGTGCCTCTCATCATTGTCGCAAAACTACATACATAAATGAACAAAGCAATTTAGTCACCGTTCGTTCGTCCGTTATGCAAATCGGACATCGGAGGGCGACTTTCACCCGGCCGACTGCCTCCTACCAACCTGGGTGTGATGGAAAGCAGCGTCGCGCGAATTTCGAATCGATTCAATTTTCGCATTGCGCACGACCTTCACCAATTCGCCACCCAAAACAGTCACACCCACACACACACCAAACCTACTTTTCGGCTATAACCTCATTTCTCTCATTTTATGCTCTTCGCTTCAATCCTTATATTTAGTTTCATTTTCAGCTTTTCTCTATCGGATTTCAGAAATTACTGAAACCACATGAGAAACACTTTTAAAATGTTTTATTTTATGAAATTTTTATTTCATTTGTGAACAATAATTGAAAATAGACATGTGTTTTCTTTTTCAAGCAAATCATATTTTCGATTTCAATTCGACTAGTGCCATTTTTAATCTTGACGGTTTCCAATTTGAGATTGTCGTTGTATTCATATGCGTGCTCTTCCAAAATATTATCCTTATAGTATTTTCTCATTTTCACGATTTTCAGGCCACATGTAATGATCGATGATGGCTCAAACAAATGTGGTCGAAAATCGGCATTGTCAATATTCTTCGCGTTCTCCCTTCTCGCTTTCCTATTCTGCCTTCTCTCGCTGATCTCACCATCATGGCAATACGCCAATTTGGAAAACGGTCGAACCGAACATCATCATGGATTATGGCTCGATTGTAAACGCGATTACTCGTTTGACTACGGTCGAACCCGCGAGTATTACGAGACGCTCTACCGGTAAGCAGATGACCATTTGCGGGGGGCAATTCAACGCGAAGCGTTTTGAAGGCGCGACATGCAAGGCTCTCCGTTCGACGTGTTCTATTTGCCGCAATTACAATGCGTCTACAAATTCGACTATTACATCGATCAAGAGGATTTGTATGACCATAATCATGACGAGAATCGAATTCAGAACGATGCATATCAACATTTGTTTTTAGGTGAGGATCATAGATAAAAAAAAACACGATGATCAAAATGTAGATTACTCGGCAAAACGTCAAACAACGTTTCGCACTGTGTGTGTGTTTTTTTTTTTTGAATTCCAGCATTCAGTGTGAGACGAAATAAATCACGAAAAATAATTCTATAAGAATTTTAGAAATCATTTCTTTTATTAGAAATTAAATACTACACTAAACTATTATGTGTATGGTCTGTTTACTTGGCTGTGAGTGGATGTATTGGATTCAAAATTAGAAATATAAATTTTGATACCAATGGGACAAATTTGAAGGCTCATTAGTTGTCATCATCTGAATAAATCGGATTCATTTTTTTTGAGATCAACAGTGTTATTTGAGATTCGCAAGTTCTCAGAAAAAAAATTAAAATTTGCGAATTGCAGGTTGGAAAATTGCGGCTCTTGTTGGAGTTGGGGTCGGCGTTTTGTTCTCGGCTTGCTCAATTCTTCTAGGCGTTTGCTCGTTTTGCCATCGAACTTTCATTTGTGCCTGTACAGTTCTTCTCACTATTGCAGGTATTTCGAACGTCTTTCCTCTTTTTTTTGAACAATCAACAAAAAAAAACTTTTCAGCCATACTTTCAAGTCTCGGGTCAGCGATTTTCTATATTTGGGCAAATTATCAAGATAACAAAGTAATCAAAGAAGAAGATGAGGGCGAAATCTACGAACAATCGTTGGGTTGGGCATTTTGGTGCCACGTGATTGGAACAATCCTTCTATGGATTTGCTCGGTTCTCGGATGTTGCGTTACTTCGATATCATTTAGTAAAAGTCGAGCGAAACTAGTGAAAATTGAAGTGAGATCGAGAAGCATTTATCAAAAAATTTGAGAGCAAATTTGAATATTTAGGTAATCGAAAACGACGATGGCTCGGAACTTCTTTCTTCGCAGAATTTCAAACGAAGTTTCTCAGCGGTCTATCGTGTTGATTCATCCGCTCTACGTCAATGGGAGAAGAGTTATTTGAAGAACGTCAGATCGCGGACTGATGTCGAAACGGTGAGGAGTTCGAAATGCGTCGACTCATGTTCGATTTCCATTCAGAATTTCAAACGAACGGCTTCTGTTCCCAACTTTTCGAAAAATCAAAAGAAGGCAAATCGAAGGTCTGTGAGGCAAAGTGGACAAGATTTTTTCTCATCCAATTCAAATATTACGGAATTTACAAATTTTGGTATTTTTTTCTCAAAATTTTTATTTTATTTTTGTTTAATTTGAATTTTCAGGATCCAATGCCACTATCAACACACAACAAACTCGAGAAACAGCTCAAACAGCTCCAGCGGCTCTTCCGATTCCTGTTGCAACTCCAGTCACTCCAAAATTGCCTCTAAAATCCGCTTTGAAAACGCCAACTCAGACTCGTAAAGAGCTTCCATTGATCCCAAATGAGCCACATTATGAGTATATGCCGTGCGATTCGACGATTGGAGTCTCGAGTTTCCTCGGATCAAGGTAGAATCAATTCGAATCAATTAGAAATGATTGATGGAACTTCCAGAACCCCAACGCGACCGAATCATGCTTACGACGAAGTGTATGAAACAATTGGAGGTGGCGATGCTTATCTCGAACCGAACAGTGTTCGCAACAATCGATTATCGAATTCGACGCTCAGTACAACTGACATGGAGCATTCAAAGTTGCTCAACAAAACACTTCCGCCAGTGCACGGCTCGTCTCAGTCAATTCCAGCGCCGAAACCCAAAACAACACTAATCGACGATAAACGGCCGATGTCATATAATGAAGAAGGCACGTCGAAAATTCGGTTCAGAGAAACAAAGACGGTTGAAGAGCGCGAAAAATTCGTGAAGACGTCATTATTGCCGCCACCACCAATTCTCCCACCAAAGCCGAAATCAATTAGGGATTTTGGAATTGATTTATCAAAAGAGAGTGTCGGATCATGTAAAGTGGAAAGTAATCAGGAGAATCGGCCAAAATTTGCCATTAATCACAGTTTCGAAGAGTATGTCTTGAAATGCATTCAAAATCACAAAAAAACGTCTGATGATGTTTCAGTTCGGACGAATTGCCACCACCGCCTCCAGATTTAGCACTAAACACATTTGCAGCAAGGCAAAAGTACGATATTTTCAGAATTTTATATAGAGGAATATGCATTTTTTTTCAGATCCATAACAAATTTATCATTTCGAGGGGTGACTCCTTCAAATAATACGGGTGTCCATCAAATATTCGATCGGCCAGATTCGATAGTTTCGAGTGTTTCGTCGGCTGAGCCCAAAAAAGTCCCAATGCTTCCAAATATGGCATTGCACAGACGACTGTTGAATTCGATGCCCGATGAGGTGAATATTTAAAAAAGCGTTGGGAATCGAAACCGGTAGAATGTTGTTTGATTTCAGGTGGATCGAAGCATTGGTTCCTCGACGATTCTCGAAAACGACACTAGAGATTCGACGACATCTTACGCGCGGGACGCCGAGATCCGTCTGAATCTGTTCATGAATGACCAATCTTCAAAAAATCAGGACGAGACGACCGTCTAATTACTATTATATTACGTGTATCTGATCTCGAAACGCATTTTGCCTCTTCTCCTCCCGCACTCCTCGACAAGTTCCTCTTTCAAATGTTCACGGCGAAATTTTTTGGAAATCTGTTAATACCACTGATGAATGAATATGAATAAAACGCCATACATACACACAGGCAGAGATAAAGAAAAGAAATAAAAGAGAGTTGGGAGATGATATGAGAATGTGGCGATGATCATCGGCGAATAGCCGTCCCCCGCGTGCTCAATTCTTATCAACAATTTTTTTTTCGCGAGCAGCCCTCATTCACTATTTTTTGGCGGGTACTGTCTGTCGCATTGATATTCAAATCTGTCACTAATCCATGCATGAGCGAACTTATTGCAACAAAATATGGACTAGTCCGATTTCTGCTTCAATTCGTTTCAGTTTTGATCGTGGCAAACACGTTTTGCGGGTTAAAATATTGATAAAACACCTTTTTTTTCGTCAGATTATTATCGTTTTCAACCACGTGTTTTATTAAGCATTTCGTTAAATCAATCAATCAAATTGGAAATTTCGAAGAAAAAATAACACTATTCAGTACTCATCTCTAGATATTTGTGGCCGTATTTGGTCGAATTTGACATTTTTTTTGTCAATTTCAATTCTCTCAAAAACGAAAACTGCTGAATTTCGATCAAAAAATTAACAAAAATAAAATGAATTAGAGAAAATTGAAATGATCCAAAATTTTCGATAATAGATTTTTTATTTTTGAGTATAATCACGTGGTTAAATGGTATACAATGAAACAGAATAAATTAAAATATTTCGTTTTTTTTGTGGACTTTGCTCATTTTCGCGTAATTCCTTTTTGATCACAGATATTAATATGGATTTATCAATTCTTATCATCATCATTTTTGTTCATTAAATCAACATTTTCTTATCACTCAAATGCACCTTTGATTTTTTTTTGTCATTTTGAGAATGCGCGACGTGTTGAATCCGTCATCCTATGATTGCCAATCGCTTATCTTCTATGTGAATGGCAATCGAATCGAGGAAACCGATGTCGATCCGAAAATGACTTTGGCTGCATATCTCAGGGACAAATGTACACTTAGCTACTCGTGAATGCTCATCTCATTTTTGAACAAAAATTTCAGTGAAATTGACAGGCACCAAAATCGGATGTAATGAGGGCGGGTGTGGCGCTTGTACGGTAATGATAAGTCATGTGGAGAACGGCGAGATCAAGCATTTCTCGGCAAACTCGTGTCTCATGCCGATTTGCGGGGTTTTCGGGAAAGCCGTGACAACGGTTGAAGGGATCGGAAGTGTCGCTCGCGGAAGATTGCATCCAGTCCAAGAGAGATTGGCAAAGTATTCGAAAAATTGACGACCAATTATCTAATCAACTCATTTTTAAGGGCCCATGGATCGCAATGCGGATTTTGTACGCCCGGATTTGTTATGGCGATGTACGCGTTGCTTCGGAACAATCCGAATCCATCAGTTGACGAAATCAACCTAGGACTTCAAGGTAAAACAGATTTGATTGATGCAATTGAATCATTTTTTGATTCCCTAATTTTAATTATAATTACTGTCTACTGTCATTGGTTCGTTCTAGGAAATCTATGCCGTTGCACAGGCTATCGACCAATTCTCGAAGCGTTTTACAGTTTCGCAGTGGATGAATCAGGAACATTGAAGGTACTTGGACAGTTTGGAACTATAATCAGTCCTTTTTAGGTGACAGCAGAATCGGAATGTGGAATGGGAGAAGAATGTTGTAAGAAGAAGAAGAAGAACGGAGGATGTAATGAAGAAACGGTTGGGTACACTGGAGGGGAAAGGAAACGAGTAAACCGAATCATCGCCCAAAATCATTACTAGCTGATACTCCGATATTCAGAAAGTACAATTATCCGATCTGTCGGATTGTGCGAAATACGATGCGACTCAGGAATTGCTGTTTCCTCCGGAATTGAAGCATCACGACTTCGAAAGCAAATCATTCGCGTTTGATCATCAAACTACAAAATGGTTCCAACCAACAAACTATGAGTGCGAACCGGCGAAATTTTTGTCGAAATTGGCAAAATTGTTGCAGAGATCTTCTCACTTTGAAGAGAGAACAACCATACGCACGATTCATTTCGGGAAACTCGGAATTGGCGATTGAGCTTAAATTTCGATTCATTGATCTACCAGTTATTATAAATCCTCGACAAGTTCGAGAATTATACGTGGAAAGAGTTGAAGATGAAGGGGTTTATCTTGGAACTGGGCTTTCGCTTACGAATATTGATGATTACATGAAGAGAATGATGAAGGAGATGCCAAAAGGTTTGAATATTCTAGACATTGGGTACACTTCGGGAATCATTTCAGAGAAGTGCGGAATCTTCGAATCGGTCCATGAAATGCTTCATTGGTTTGCCGGAATACATGTGAGAAATGTGGCGTCGATTGCTGGAAACATTGCGACGGCGTCTCCAATTTCGGATCTCAACCCGATTTGGATGGCTGCCAATGCGCAAGTGGTGCTAGAATCCGAGGAAAGAGGCGAGAAGCGTGTGCCGATCGACGAGAAATTCTTTTTGGGCTATCGCAAAACAGTTATCCAGCCGGATGAAGTCATTAAGGCGGTTGTGATTCCGTTCACAAACAAGGTTCGCCATCGGCGATGAAGTTTTGATCATTCGCAATTTCAGAATGAACATTTCGCCGCTTTCAAACAAGCGCAACGTCGCGAGGATGACATCGCAATTGTGACCGGCGCATTCCTTGCCGAAGTTGATCCATCCACTAAAATTCTCAAAAACATCAGGTATCAGAAATTCGTACTTGGAAGAGAAATATTCGAATTTGAGAATATCTTTTGGCGGCATGGCTCCAACCACAAAACTTGCCCTCGACACAATGGATGATTTGAAGGGACGTGTCTGGAACAGGGACCTTCTTGACCGGGCACTTGATGCTCTAAGCGTTGAAATGGCACTTCCGCCTGGTGTGCCGGGCGGAATGCCCCAATATAGGCTCTCTTTGGCGTTGTCATTCTTCTTCAAGTTTTTCTTGAAGGTTTCGCAAGAGATTCAAGTAATTTCTTTTTTTTGTTTTAACAAATATGCGACTACCTGAATTTATATAAGTTTTATTATAATGAAAAAAAAAGTTTTTGAAGAATTTTTTGGAAAAACTATTTAAACTAACTTGAAAAAAACTGAATATTTTCAATTATTCAAAGAGTCTTCAAAAAAATTAAAAAATTGTTATTTTTTCAGAATTCCGACACTTCTGATTTAATTGGCAAGACAACAATTGGCGAAAGTGTGCTGAAACAACTCAAAGCTACACAAGTGTATCAGGAAGTGAACGCCAATCAGCCAATTGAGGATCCTTTGGGACGACCGCTGAAGCACATGTCTGGTGATAAACATACGACCGGAGAAGCTGTGTACTGCGACGATATTAATATTGCGGGTGAGACAAAAAAATCGAAGTGGCAATTAACTGTTAGTGCTGAACTTAGATTGTCTCCATATGGCTTTTGTGCTTTCTCCAATCGCCCACGGAAACTTGACAAGCATTGATCCTAGCGAGGCACTCGCTCTTGATGGAGTTGTTGGTGTTCTTGACGCCAACGATGTCTATACGGGTGCTAAACTCGGACACCATAGCGATACTCCAGTGTTTGTCAAGGATAAAATCACGTTCCATGGTCAACCAATTGCTGCTGTCATTGCTAGGGACCATGAAACTGCGCGGCGCGGCGCAGCAAAAGTCAAAATCGAATACACTGTCGAGAAACCGATCGTGACAATCAAGGAAGCATTAGAGAATGAGTCATTTGTCTTCTCTCATTTCTACATTCACTCATCACTTAATGAAAACGACACTGTTGTGAAAAATGATTGGAGCAAATATGAGAATGTGATCGAAGGATCGATCGACATCGGCGGACAAGAGCACTTCTACCTGGAAACACAACAGTGCATTGTGATTCCACACGAGGACGATGAATTGGAAATAATCGCTTCGAATCAATGCGTCAATGATATCCAGGTTTGTTTCTATATGGAATTGCTGACTCAAAAAAGAAAGTACCCAATATTTAAGATCGAAGTGGCGAAAGTTCTTGGAATGCCGATGCACAAGATATTTGTGAAAGTGAAACGAATTGGAGGCGGATTTGGAGGAAAAGAGAGCACTGGAGCTATTCTGGCCGTGCCGGCATCGCTTGCCGCGAAGAAGTTTGTGACTTCGAGTCATTCCAATAGCAAACATTGAATTCAGATTCCAAAAACCGGTGAAAATCAAGTTTGAACGATTTGATGATATGGCGATTACTGGAACCAGACATCCATTCCGACTGCAATACAAAGTTATCCATATATATTTTTTAAGAAATAGACAAAGTTCAAACCCATTCTTCAGGTTGCTGTTGACAAAAACCAAAAGCTTATTGATCTCGATTATACGGCGTTGTCCAACTGCGGACACACCGTTGATCTTTCGATGGGAGTCATGCGTATGAATTGGCTTTAAAAAAATATAAATAACGAAATTCGTATTTTATAGAACGCGCAATGGTTCACGCGGATAATGTTTATCGCTTCCCAAATGCCGATATCACTGGAAAAATGTGCAAGACAAACTTGGCGTCGAACACGGCGTTCCGCGGATTTGGTGGACCACAAGGGATGTTCGGAACCGAAATTATGGTGAAACACATTTGTGAACAACTTGGATGGGATCATGATGAAGTAAAACGCCTAATTGTTTCATTGGATGACTCATCGAATCATTTCTAGTTCCGCGAGAAGAATTTCTACGAGGAAGGCGATTGTACGCCATTTGGAATGCATCTCCATCAATGCAATGTTCGCAGAACATGGCAAGAATGTCGCGAGAATAGCGACTACGATGCTCGATTGCAGCTGGTCAAAGAGTTCAACGCCAAAAACAAATACACGAAACGCGGGATTTATTTGACCCCAACACGGTTCGGAATCGGCTTCGGATTGAAGCAGCTCAATCAGGCCGGAGCTCTCGTTCTGATTTATACCGACGGCACTGTTCTGGTGTCGCATGGAGGAATGGAGATGGGACAGGGATTGCACACGAAAATTCAACAAATTGCAGCGAGATGCCTTCAAATTCCCATCTCAAAAGTTCATATCCATGACACATCGACGGATAAAGTGCCGAATGCATCGGCGACCGCCGCGTCCGTCGGATCCGACATGAATGGATTAGCCGTCCAAGATGCATGCAGGCAATTGATGGAACGACTTGCTCCATTCAAGAAAGCAAATCCCGAGGGAGTTTGGGAAGATTGGGTGAGAGCAGCGTACGTTGATCGAGTTTCTCTATCAGCTTCCGGATTTGGAATGTAAGTCCTTTTTTAATTTAATTTTGGTGGTCCGCTAACTACGGATTACACTTTTCATTGAATAATTGATAAAAACAAGAATTACTAATTTATTTAATTTTATATTCAATAGCCGAACCTAAAATCGATATTTTAAAAGTATATAATGTGAACAATTGGGTTTAAAAAGTGCTCGACGGGTATTCGAGACAATGTAAATATTCATCAACCAAAAAAAACGGCAATCGTTCGCTTTGATGGTTTGATCTTTATATTCCAGTATTCACCACGAACCAGTCGACTTTTTCAATGGCAAAGGCGCTGAGCTCTTCGGATACAGTGTGTATGGGACGGCATGCTGCGAGGTTGAAGTTGATTGTCTTACTGGAGATCACCATCTTCTGCGCACTGACATTGTGATGGATGTTGGAGAATCGCTGAATCCTGCCGTAGATATCGGCCAGATTGAAGGGGCATTCATTCAGGGCTATGGTCTGTTCACAATGGAAGAAGTGAAAATCAGGCCAGACGGAACTAGACTAACACGAGGACCGGGAACTTATAAGATCCCGTCGGCAGACGATGCTCCACGCGAGTTCAACGTTTCTTTGCTGGGCGGAAGCTCGAACAAAATGGGAATATTCTCATCGAAAGCCATCGGAGAACCTCCGTTATTCCTCGGCTCATGTGCATTTTTCGCGATACGAGAAGCCGTTAGAGCTTATCGACTGGATCATGGACTCATTGGATACTTCAAGTTCGACTCTCCAGCAACGCCCGAAAGAATTCGAATGGCATGCCCTGATTTCCTATCAAAACATGTGAGTTTTGGAGTCACGCTTAATTAGAAAAATTTTAATTGAATTTAGATACCAGAATTGCCGAAAGAAGGAACCTACACCCCGTGGACTTCATCGGTTTAAGATTTTTAGAACGTATTTATATTAAATGAGATGTATGCAAGAAATAATGAAACTGAAAGAATCGTATGCATGCACCCGTTGCACTCGAATTGAAATATTTAGTCTTACGGTCATGAGTCGTTCGTCGAATTGGTGTTTTCGAGGAATCTCTCTGCGCTCGTCATATTGTCGACATCCGACGGCGTCTCTGGCGTCGGTTTCAAATCATCTTGCAGATTGCACAAATCGGTGGTGCAGCAGCACACTGTCACATCAATGTCTGTTCGATTTTTACACATTCCGTCCATCTGAAAATAATCATATCGTTTTTATTTTTTAATACAAGGAAACAATTCGTTTTCAATCATCTTTTTGTTTGTTTAGATTTGGGAGAAGAATGGGTGCATGTAAATAAAAGGAAAAAAATTGCGAAACGTATTGAACGATTTAAACTTTTTTCTTTTTGAGAAATTGAAAAAAGTCATGAAAATAGAAGCGAACAGTTAGGAAATTCAAAAAAAAAAAGAATCAAGATTTTCAATTCAAAATTTTTATTTATGATGAAAACGCCCAATTTTGGCATATTTTATAATCTTGATCATGAAAATATTTTTTACAGAATTATTTTTGTTATCAGAAATATTACAATCACAAGGAAAACGAGCACCTTGAGCAATTGTGGACCATCGAATTTTTTTCCGAGCGGTAATTCAAATTTGAATTTTGGGAATCTGTGGTAGGGATATTCTGCGAAGCAAACTCGCTGTAAATCTGCACACGATGCTCGTTTTTTTTTTCTTTGTCGATTGCGCGATCGAATCGTTATCAAACCTTGCACACTTCCAATAGTTTTGGATCGGTGCCCATACTCTGACAGCTCGCCGTCACTTCCGTCAGATTCGTATTATACGATTCGAAGCAATATTGCATATTCTCATCGCAAAGATTTTCGACGAAATTCTTCGAATCTTCGCCATTTACGATTCCGCGGGATCCTATAATAATGATAGTAAACAAAAAAGAGACTGGGCAAATAAATGAGAACCTTCGTAACATTTGAGCGCAACGAAACCGTAAAATATGAATCCCGAAAGAATGAAGACCCGAAGAAACAAGAGCTGCATTTGACTGTAATCAATCAATAATGAGCCAAAAAAAATTGGAAGACAGACGCGCGCACACACACACAACAAAACGGACACGGGGCACAGAAACTAGAGAAGAGGTGCGAGAAACAATGAATCGGCCACACTTCATTATTTGTTTTCGATTATAAAAGAAGAAGCCGAATTGGTGTGAAAGTTTGCTCGATCGCCGATGCTGGTATGAGCACACAAGGCGCCGAAAATTGCGCGCAAACGAGATACTAAGCGGATATTTGAGAATTGTTGAAAATTCGTTCTTTTTTTCAGAATTCTTCAATTTCTGATTTTTTTTTGTTTCAAATAATCATCCATTTCTTTTTTGGAATATTTTCTTTAAAAAAACATTTGATTTTTACCAAACGGATTTTTTTTAGCGAAAATCTATTTTGAGCTTCATTTAAAGTTAACTCACTTCAAAAAAAACAATTGGTGTCAAATAAAAATGATGTCAAAATGCAAACAAGTGCCAATAAAAACGCTCGTTCCGGTTGTCGTTTATATAATTTAATTGCGATGAGGTCATCGTGGATTGATAACAACACAACTGTACGAATTGAAAAGAAGGCGTTTTGATAATCACAGTTTTTGCTCCATTTATGTACATTCATACACATATAATCATATGGTTTTTGTGGACAAAATAGTATATGATAACAATGCGAATAAGAGGTTTAAGTGCTCTTATCAAAAGAGTACAAAAACTAAAGAAGCTTAACTTCATATTACTATTTTATTATTTAATCTTGCTTGGAATTTTGCATTTGAAACTGTGCGATTCTAAGAGGATGGTTTTATCGAAAAAAAATGGTTCCGAAAATTTGGATTGTGAGAATTGTACAGAAATTGCCCAGACTATTTTGAGAGCATTTAACTCAAAAACGAAATGTCAGAATTGAATGAGACAATTTTTCATTAAATATCTAACAAATAATTATTTTCTATTTTTGCTTGACCATCCTTCAGATATGGCTCGATGGTTTCACTAATTACACATGTAAGCAGCAAAAAAAAAGTGGTCCGTAGATTATTAAAGCAAAGATTACTGTAGATGTTGTCACATGCGAGAAAACCTCAAAATACTGTAGGAAAAAAAGAAAGTTTCAAAATTTTAGAGTTTCGTTCAATTTTGTTGATTTTCGTTTCAAGATGTGTCGGCTAGCACGTATTTTCTAATGAAGGTGTATTTGTTGAAAAAACTATTAAAAACTGATTAAAATGTAACACATAGATATTTTTCAACGGGAAAATGAGTTTTCGACCTTTTTGTGATCTACCAGTAAAAAAATTTGTATTATCGGCCTCAAACGACTGAACAAAATAAAAAAATTATATATTTATGTATTAGATTCGCAATAAAACGACCACCATACACCGATTTTAGCATCGCAGGTTATCCAGAATACGCTATACGACTGTTTAAATTGCAATTTGAATTACCGCCTCGAAAAAGTTTGATGGTCCACAATTCCGCAAGGTGCACGTTTTTTTAGCGATTGAAATATATTGACAATTTTTCAGATGTCTCGAAGCAATGAGACGTGCGCGTGTTTACGTATTGTGCATTTTAATATACGCGCAATTAGTATTTAGAATTTCCAATTTCGTAGATTTACACTGATTTTTGAACTTCCGACCGATCAGTCAGTCATTTGACGCTTTTTTTGCTGTGGAAATTTTCCATAATCACATGCGAGTTCTCTCGATTTCCGGTGTCAGATTTTCACATGACTTTCATAATTTCAAAAAAAAAACACCAGGATAAATTTTCTTTCTCACGTTTTTCAAAAAAAAAAGTACGCTCACTTCTTTTGTGTTCATTAAAAAAACATTTTTTTAGAGATTATAAATAAACAGAAAGTGTCTAGAAAATATTATTTAAGTTTCATTTTCGTGATTGGTTTTTTTTTCTCAAAGCATTTCTGTCTGCCACAATAAAAGAAGTGGTAGCGTTCATGGGTTTCCATGGTTACAAAACAATAAGAGTGACTATTTCCGAATGAAGCCTTACTAGTTCTTTTTTTTTCGCACATAATTCGCCATTATTGGAAAACAAGTTTTCCGAATGGGTAGTGGCGTTTCGCATCAACCCGTTTATGTGTCTCGGTCCACGATGCTCATCAGTCGGACTCCGATTTCGGCGACGCATGTTCATCGAGAATCTTGCACCATAAGAAGGTAGGTTTCGACCTATTCATTCAGAGATTCATGAACAAATTTGACATTCTTTCTGGAATTCGTTTCTAATATCGGAAGACACATTGAGACTCTGAACAAATTCATTGATGAGATTCTCACAAAGCGATTTTCTGTGAGTATTTTCAGGCAATCTTCGGCAGGAACTCACAACCATATTGGAATATCTTCTCATATAGCACTTCCATTGCAATTCTATCCAAATAATGTATATGTGAGCGATGGAATTCTGGCGCGGGAATCGTCGCCCAATAGCACGTCTCATTCAGATTCTCGACGATTCTCACAACCAACTGTATGATTTTTTAAAGTTTTCTATTTAGATTAGCTGAAACTCGAATTTCATGCTTAATTGTTTTGACTCAAATAAGACTAGACCGTTTTTAGCAATATTTCAAGAAAAACTTGAAATTCAACGTGGTGCGCTTCTCCAAAAAATAATTATAAAAAATTGCTACAGGCTCCTGAACTTCTTCCTTCCTACGAAAGTGTGTATCCGCAACTTGGAAGATGACAAATTGCTGCAAAAGGAAATAATGTGTATTGATTTTTGTAAAAAAAAAATCATCCCATGCTTTTTAATTGCTCTTTATGTAATTGTATTTTTCCCCTTTATTTTCTATATTCCAAAATTTAATAATTTCTTTTTTTCCGATGAAATATAAAGCAAAGAAAAGAACAATTCCGAAACACTTTGCTCTTTTATTATTTATTATAAGAGAATATGGCAAAATTAATCCAAAATTTCCACATAGAGTTTTATGCAAAATAATGAATGACTTAACTTCCATTTTTATTTGGAGAGCAAAATTCAAAAGTTTTTTGATTTCTGTATTTATACTATGCTTTTTCTGGTTCATACCAGGGCTGTGTGGCAATTCGGCAAAATGCCGAAATTAAAAATTTCGACTATTAATTTTTTTCAACGATAATTCGAAATATAAATACCAAATTTTCACGGTATCCAAAATTATTCAATGGACATTGATTTTTGTTTTGTCGATTTTTTTCTGACATCAAATTGCCGAAAATTAAATTTGAAAAATCGGCAATTCCATTGCCGCACAGCCCTGGTTCAGACCATGCTTGTCGTTTTTTTTTTCCGCCCGGCCGAGGCCGCGATCAAGGCATCTCGAAAATCAATCTCATATTCGAGCGAGTAAGACAAAATTATCAAGTTCAATTTATTTGATAAAACTCGTTTCAAGAAGAATTCTAATATTCTGATTACGGCTTCTGCTTCGCTTCAACTCTTCTCTTCAAAACAAACAATATTCTGTTTGATATTTTATTTTAAATTTCCAATTTTATGCTTTATAATTTTGCGCCAAAAATACGGAAGCATCATGAATTGTCGCGAGAATTTTCATGACTTCCGCGTCGTTTTTTTTTGGTGATTGATCGTCTTTTATTCGTATAAATCAACGAAAATTTGAATGTTTCAATTGTTTTGAATATACAACGTGGAATCGTCTTGAAATGTTTTCGAATTCTTTTTTTTTATTGTTTATATTTTGTTTTTCGAATGATTCAATAATCAACCACATTGTTTGATTTGTCTTACGGTACGATTCGTCATTTTTTGTAAAATCTGTGTAAAAAGAAACCTGAGGGTGTCGAGATATGCACGGGATTAAATTTTAATTCCGATAGCGATTTCAGATTGATTCAGTCGATTGAGAATTTCAGCGACGACAAAATTTTTCGATTTTTGAAACAAAATACGTTTTCTCGCCCATTTTTTCATTACTTTTTAATATTTTTTTTCCCAATACTTTCCATCATTTTTTTTCTCGTTTATTTCAATTATTTCAATAATTCTTCCGAATTTCGCTGACTTTTCGCTTCGTCCAAGACTTCTGTCGACCACAATTCGAGATATCTCCTTCATGTCGCTAAGAATAATTTTTTTTTGAAGAAATTAAATATATTTTATTTTATTCATCCTCATTGGAATTGTATTTTGTATAATAATTCGTTTTTTTGGCTCGTCTTATCGGCATTTGTCAAAAAAAAAGTAGAAATGGACAATAGTGGTCATGGTTCAAAATAGGTAATTTTGAGATGAAAAAGTTTCAGTGGATTCTAACAAACGTTTTTACGTATATCTGTTTTTTTTTGGGATTTCACTTTACAAAAACATTTTTTTTCCTCCAGCGTAATAAAATTCGAATAAAGAACATTGAAGAGGGTATTAAAAAATGTTTGAGACTAGATAAGAAATCGGCAAAATAATTCGTTGAGGACAACGTGTATATTGTCGTCAAATAAAATGCATAGTCCGCAATGTCATTTTCAGGTTGGATTCGAAATTTAACGTATTCTTTGTGTGTCATTTATTATCTGACAGACTTGAATTTATAGTTGAGACAAACAAACAAAAAACAGTAATTGAAATACGAGTTAAAATACGTAAATGAGAATGTCATGTGTTTACACCTAATGCATTCTACTCGACGACAATATTTAAACGTAGAATTTATACGTGATTGGGCATTTTGAATTTCCAATTTTAAGAGGTCTCAGAAATGAAAATTGTTCAGGAATATCGAAAATTAGTGAAATTGAAATCATTGCGGACTATGCATTTTATTTGACGACAATACACGTGTTGTTTAATTCGCAAAGGATTTTCTCCGCGACAAATTAGAATTTTCGATCTTTTTTCGATTTCTTATCATCATGCTAAACTTGATTTCAACACCGAGTGGACCCAAATCGAAAAAACAATAAAATTCTGAAACACACTGTATTATTTTTCATCAAAGTTGAAATTACAAAAAAGGATATTTAAGATGTCAAAGTTGAAAATCTCTAATTTGTGGAGAAATTATAACTGGAAAAAAACAAGAAATGATCGATTTCACCACAAACATTTTGAATTAATAACGTGTTCTCGAATGCAAAAAAAATTCATTTTACAATTTTTCTAGTCATTTTCCGTATTTTTTTCAAAGATGTCAAGGAGGTAAAATTTTCTTTTTTTTTTGTTCATTTTCTGGAATTTGGACTATTCACAATCAAAATCAAATATTTGTGTTATCACTAATGGTGTCTGATTAGCACCAATCTTATTAGAGATAATGGCGGGGAGTTGTCTCTTATTAAACAAACTTTTGACTTGTCTATTATTGAAAATTCAGAATAATTGTCTTATATTGGGGGAGTTAAACGACTTGACGAAATTAAAAAAAAATATTGACCGAGGCAGCGAAAAGTACGCAAGACTCCGTACATTGCATTATAGTGTACGCGCATTTAATATTCAGTCAACGATTAATTTAAATCTACACTGATTTCGCGAATTTGAAGACCCCCGCATCTCTTCGGTCGTTTGACGCCGACAGTATATACCATTCGTATTATTCATTGGAATTCCTTCAAACAACAAATCCTACATTTTTTTTTTGCAAGAAAAAATAAAGAATACGCTTGCATGTTCACACCATAGCGACCAGAGGAGTGAGATTCGTCCAATTGTCTCGTATTCCCGTTTTCGGTGGTCCGCAAAATCCCCATGAAAACCACATAACAATGAGCTCTTAAAGAATTCATTTTGTTTTAAAATTTCCCTCCTACGTGTATTTTGATTTTGACTAGAATTAATTGATTGACTAGAATTATTGTGCTTCGCTGATTTAGTAAATAAGGACAATGCTTTTTTCCTACCCTACATTTTTTCCTCAATCGTAACATTTTTTTGAAAAATGTATTCACTTTTTATACACAAGTAAAAGGTTTATTAGAGGATTTTCAGTCTACTAGAAAAGAAATTGAAATTTAAGGAATTTATTATTTTTATGAGCATTTTGCCAAATGGGAATCTTGTTTTTTGAATGTACAATGACAAATGGGGGGTCGAAGGCAGTATATTCGTTTCTTCACTCAATTTTCTGAAGCGGCTGGGCCGAGAAGGTCCGAATCCCTACTCATATCTTTCATAAAATGTCTGAAAAAGTTGGCAACAGCCAAATGATCATATGTCTCGTACGAAAAATCACTCTGTTAAATATCGCCTTGTCTTTTTCATGGGGTAGTTCAATCAATTATGGGAATCTAGAAATTAGAATTCCGACTGAAAAATATTTCTGAAAACAATAATCCTGGCATTGGCCACGAATGATGTGGAAAGGTATGAGTAGCAATTCGGATCTCCTCGGACCACCCGCTTCATAAAATTGAGTGAGTAAAAAAACGGATATACTGCCTTCGACCCCCAATTTTCATTTTACATTAAAAAAACCAAGATCCCATTTGGCAAAATGGTCATTTAAAAAAAATATAAATTCCTTAAATTTCAATTTCTTTTGTAGTAGACTTGTGTTTTTTAAAAATGATTGAATTTGTATTGGACAGCAAAAAAAACACTCAAAACCAAAACTAAAAAAAACTATTTAAAAGCTCAAAAATCCTTATTGCTTATGCTTTTTAATGGTACTATGCATATTGCGTAAAAAATGTAGGTTTTTTGTTGAGTTTTTGGCGTTTGCTTCCCAAAATCTGCATCGTATCTCCTCAATTCCAAATCGATTTGATCCTTGTTTTTGTTAGTCGATTTCTGAATTGGATTCGTTCTCAATTTCCGACGAATTGAATGGTGTGTTTGCTCCCAAATACTATAAATCAGTTCGCTCGCGTTTCAGTTCTATCCAAACGTTTCTTTCGCTATCAACATTTGTCAGCAAACACCCGACTGTGTCTCATTCGAATGCCCCATTCGTTCATGCCTCAAACGAAGACTCTTCGAAATTTCAGGAACATGAATCGATCATTACTGATTGCAATTATATTCATGAGTATTACTTGCTTATTATATTATTCAATAATCACCAAAATTGGATCAATTACAATATATCAAAGAAGAAATTATGTTCGGTTGGTTCATTTTCGATTCAACATCAAGCAATTCAAACATTGATTTTGTTTGTTTTTAGAACATCATCTGCAGTCGAAAGATTCGACGAAAATGATGCTCTAGATGAATATCATATTCCGAATCAGCAGATTCATGATATGGCTATGAAACTTAATGTTAGTAGAGAGGTAATTATCATTTTTATATTCAAATGAAAGGAAACTCAACCGAATATTCTCGTTAGAATCGATATCACAAGAAGATTCGATTAATAGCTGCATTCATGCAAAAAGATTATATCGCAGTCACAATGACATCGGCGAATCTTTTCGCTGAAACCGTTTATTGTCATTATTATGATGATGATGGTATTGAATTCGGACAACGATTCGAAACGAAAGTGTTCCCCGAATCAACAATTTATTGTGCGCGGAAACGAAAGACGAAACGGATTGGAATCACTAAAAATGAGAACGATGTGCCGGAAATTAAGATTCCAGTGGTCGACAGAACCAGTGGTGGTGAGACATCCGACGGGCAGATTTCTCTGAGATCATCTTGAAATCTGTTTCAGTTTACACTCATTTCTTATCCGCGTGCATTGCGCCAATGTACGGCGATGAACCCAAATGGTTGCATATTGTTGAATTCATTGAACACTATAAAATCCATGGATTCACCTGGTTCTACGTATACGTCGTTGATATTGACGAGTACAGTCGAAAAATTCTCGAGGATTATGAGAGACGAAAGGAAATTGAGGTCATCAATCTGTATGATGGATTTAAAAGGAATAATCGATTTTGGCACATGCCGCAGATTCATGTAGATTTTTTCTTTCAATTCATTCAAGTTTATTTCTGTCTGTTTTTTTTTTTTGAAGGACTGCTTACAACGAAGTCGAACACACTCGAAATGGACGGCGTTTGTTGATTTGGACGAGAGATTGATGATGGAAAAGGAAACAATTCGAGCATATTTGAAGTACATCAATTTCGACAACTGAAATCATCAATTATTAGTTTAGTACTTTAAACAACGATAGCATTTCGGTAGTGGATTTCCGACAACGCTGGATTCTCAAGGACACATTTCTACCAGAGAAATACGAGGACGACGAACAGCTTGTCTCGTGGATGCCCACTCAGAAATACACGAATAGCTCCTCGTTTGGACCACCTGGACATACTATCAAATGTATAGTTAAATCAGAGACGGTATTATCTATATATATATATTCGAAATCGTAGCGGGGCTCCTAATAAAGAATTTTCAGGTAGTTTCGATGTTCGTCCACTATCCCTATCAAATGTATCCCGGATTCAAACGGATACATATTGATCCGAGAGTTGGCTATGTCAGGTAATGCTTCTTTTCGTATGCTTCTTTTCGTTTTATCATCCATTTATATTCGTTTACTTTACGGAATTCTTTTCCAATGTTGAGATTAATCATAATCACGAGTCTTGATTAATCTCATCAGCCCACTATATAGTGCAAATTTTTATGATCGAATTTTCCGCGTATCGAGAGAACATTATGAGAATTTTATGTTGATTAATGATATATAGATGATATGAGACATTTTTGATTGAAAATCTCGTTTTAGACGTGATTTTGAAAAGATTATTTGGAATTTATAATTTGATTATTTAAAAAAAATTCTATGCTTAAAAATTCAAAAATCGGTAAAAAAAAAACTCAAAAGACCCTATGGAGATTATGCAAAAAAAAATAATTTATTTTCAACCAATTTGTGAGTTCTCTTACAATATCTGCATAACAAAAAAATTATTGCGTTGAAAAATCACACCAATAAATATACATTGATGTTTTAATTACTAATCCGTTTTTAAAAGTATACGAGGTTAAAACACATTGAAAATATATTCGAAAACCCTAAAATGCCATGATAATTGCAAAAAAAAAGTGTTTTAACTATTTATTTTTCCCGAAATTTTCATACTAGCCTACTGTCGGTGTCCCGCGTTTATGGAAAATTGGCCAGGTGCCAAAAAAGATATGACAGCGGTCTTGGAGCGATTTGCCTTTTTGGCACTACGCGCGAAAGAAACGGACGAGTTTTTTCTGGCATTAAGTGGCAAAAAAACTTCACTTTTTGTCCCGCAGAGATTATTAAAAAGATTGACAAACCTTATTTTATTGGTGGACTAATTTTTTCGTAAAATATTAGGCCACATTGAGAGAAGTTTCGAGGCCAGCGTTGTCAAAAAACAGGTGGTACGTTTGAATTGCCGCCACCGCTAATAACAACGAGCAGGCGATTGTGGCGCATCCGCCGAAAATGTCCGCAGATGATTGCTATGAAATTTCTCTTATTAGCTGTTTTTTTCAATTCATCGTAGTTCCGCTATTTTATTGTCGGCGTCGTGCGAATCAGGGCTGTGCGGCAATCGGAAATTTCGGCAATTCGGCAAGTTGCCAAAAATAAAAATTTCGGCTATTAAATTTTTTCCACGATAATTCGAAATATAAATACCGAATTTTCACGGTATCCCAAATTATTCAATGGACATTCCTTTTTGTTTCGCCGATTTTTTTTTTGACACCAAATTACCGAAAATGAAAATTTCGGCAATCGGCAATTCCATTGAATTTCCAAATGTGGAAATTTGGCAAAATGCCTGAAAAACAAAAACTATGGTCTTGGCGCAAAAATAAAATTGGAGATTTACGGGCATACCTAAAGAAAGAAAGAAATTCTGGCGAGCGCGATATAGAAAAACATGGTTTTACTTCGAAAAATAAATGTGGTAGTTTACATAAATGTGACTTTTTAGGCATTATCGCGATGTGAATCTCGGCGATTGGGGCAAAAAATGGCTGGCTGGAATCACGAAATTTGGAAATTTCAGCACAACTTATTATCCAAAAAAGTACAAGAATCGACTCATTGAAAATGTCAAACAGCGGGTTCATTATGTGTACGGGAGAATTTCGGAGAATTGATTAGGGTTTTTTTTAAATTATTTCGATTGTTTAAGCGGGAGTTCAAATACGGTTTTTGTTGTTGTTGTTGTTTATTTTCCATTATGTGACCCACGCACGATATGATGTTTGATATTTGATTAATAAATTATAAATATATCGAAGCTTGTTCTTCTACGAATCATAAACACATCAATCTCGAGGTCCATTAGTCGCTACACATCACATCCGGAATATTAGTATTTTTATGCTAACAGATGCGCATATTTGAAGCCATAATCGAAAATGTCGTGCCGTAAGTTCTTTTTAATTTTTGTTCTTAGAAATAATGGAAATTCGATGTGAATTTCAGCATTTTCGTCGTCTTCTTCTAATGAACGTACTCAAACGCAAAAGCAGCAGAGTTTCGAGAGTGTTTTTAATGGTAATTTCATCGTGATGGACCTATTCATGCAACGAAAAAATTTTTTTAAAAATCAATTTTTTTCAATTGAATTCCCTATGCACGCACGTCGAAAATTACAAAAAATTGACGCGATAAATCGTAATTCTCAGCATATTTATTTTCAAAGGCGCACACGAAAAGTTGTGCGGGTCACGTCGCAAAGTCGGTACTGTATTTTTTTATGGCTGCTTTTTTTCGAATTTTTTATTTTTTGAGCGCTTAAAACGTTTTTTTTTTGGAAATCTGTAAAAGTATTTGGTTTAATCGACGCCAAAGGTTCATCAGAAGCATCATCAAGCGAAGTCTGCATCAAATCAACACAAATAATACTATCTAAATGACGAAAAATAGACATATAATGTCGAATTAAGAGTACTTATACCAATAATTATTTCTTTTTTTCACGTTCTTCAATCCGTTACTTATTTCCTCTTCGACGTTTTTAAAAAATACGGAAAAATAGCAGCTAAAATGAAAAATAACAAATACAGTACTGACTTCGCGACGTGACCCGCACAATTTTTTGCGTGCGCCTTTGAAAATAAATATGCTGAGAATTACGATATATCGCGTCAATTTTTTGTAATTTTCGATGTGCGTGCATAGGGAATTCAAATGAAAAAAAAATGATTTTTTTTTTAATTTTTTTCACTGTATGAATCCATGAGAGTTTAAATCTCGTTTTCAGCTTTGCTAGTTTTGTTTTTAAATGTTTAGAAATTCCCGAAGTCAAAGAGAGAATTCTTAACGAGCTTCGACGTTTGGCACCGAAACAAAGAGAATTGATTAAAGAAACGTTTCCGAAAATATTCGAGTCGTCTCGAAGAAACGGGCAAATTCTTTTCGCAAAGTGCGTTGCTTCAATCATTTCGTCACTCATTTGTACATATTTGTAGTTATTTCGCAGAGCATCCGCATTACAAAAACATTTTTCCGAATTTCCGCGGACTTCAGGACAGCGCGTTGTTGGCGTCGAATGAGCTCGCGAATCACGCATCGGTCTACATGTGTGGATTAAAGGTGAAAAAGGAACGAACGGCTTCGAGCAAAGAACACCCAAAAAAAGAATAAGCGATGAATCACATAATAATAATGATTAACCTCTCAGAAATCAGCGAAACTCAAAAGGAAAAATGCGATTTCGTCGAGGAATTTGAAAAAATCCCACAAACATTTGTCATTCGACATCTTGTTTATGCTAAATAATTAAATTTGATAAATTTATTCACATTAGAAAATCGAGAAAATGCCCAACAACTCGCTCCTAACATAAGGGATTTTCCACACGAGACCCACAAGGCGGAAATTCGAATGAGAAAATGAAGTCAATGAAAAAAAAAAGATTATTTTTTTAAAGAGAAACTGAAAATGTATTTTTTCATTTTGTTTTTTGCGGCTCGGTGTCTTCAATTTCAGAATCCTCCTGCTCATGTTGCTCAAAAGCAGCTCGGGCAAGGAATAGTTTTTGAATATTCAATCTATAATGAATGTCGCTTTAAAAAAACGGCTAGATTTTTGAAAATTACTCATTTTCTCGTTTTTTCCCAAATTTTTTAAGGGATTTTTCCGTTTTTCGCGTCTCACCATCAATTCTTCTACTTCAAATTTTAACATTATTGAATTTTTTTTGTATTATTTGGATTCTTCTACCAATCCAAATACAGGGTGTCATTTAAGTTCCCGCACAAAAGTTTGACGCCATGAAGAGATTGACTGTCGCACTTTTTGTGCACCAATACAATTTATTTTTGTTAAATAAGGTGTATTTTACTTATTTCCCAAGTTTCACCTCATTCGGATGTGTTTCCGAGAAATGGCGAAGGCTAACATCCATCGCGCTTCCATTATCGAACTTCATAAGCAAAATGTGAGCCCGAGAGACATCATTCAACGGGTCGGTGTGCTTCGTAGAACGGTTTGCGACACCATCAAACGATTCAAGTAGCTAAATACGACCAGTGTCCGTCCCAGACAAGGAAGACTCGTCTCAGTAACCACTCCTCAGAAGATCAACGCCGTTAAATCGAGGATCAGGCGAAACCCACACAGGAGCATGAGAAAGATGGCGTCAGACATGGGAATGAGCATCTTTGCTATGGAACAAATCGTCAAAACAAAGCTTGTACTGACCCCATATCGTGTCCAAAAAGCGGCAATTCTATCGGCCGTCAACAAGCAGAGACGCTTCGAAAAAGCAAAACGACTTCTTGCTCGCACGCGGTCTGGAGAACACCTCGTCACTGTCTTCTCCGACGAGAAGCTGTTCAGTGTGGAGGCGGCATTCAACTCACAAAACCATTGAGTACTTGGCCAAACATCCCAGCAAGCTTCTGAGAAAGGAAGAACATATCATCCAGCCTCACATCCTGCCAGTGTGATGGCTTTCGGTGCCATCTGCTCAACCGGGAAGTGCTACCTGGTTTTCGTGGATCAGATGGTGAAAATGAACAAAGAAGTCTACGTTCGGGACATTTTGGAGAAGCATGTGATGCCCTGGACCCAAACGCATTTCGGTGGGCAGAAATGGGTCTTTCAACAGGACGGAGCACCCGCATACACTGCCAAAACTACTCAGGAGTGGTGCCAGACCCATTTTCCCGACTTTATCAAGTCATCCTAATGGCCTGATTGCTCCCCAGACCTGAACCCGCTTGACTTTTCCGTGATGGGGACTTGCAGGAGAAGGTCAACGCAAAACCCAACTAAAGTGTAGAGGCTCTGAAGAAGACATTACTGGCGGAATGGGACAATCTTTCCATCGAATACCTGCGTACCACAGTCACATCCTACCCGAAGCGTCTCCGTGAAGTCATAGCTGCGAAAAGAGGCCGAATCAAAAAGAGTTAATAGATAAATATTTGTTATACTATAGATAAAAAATATTTCGAGTCTCGTTTGATTTGGACTTTTAGTTTCAGAAATGTACGTCTACAAAGTTGTGCGGGAACTTAAATGACACCCTGTAGTCTAATTTTTATTCAAATTTCTAATTTTACTTACCAAATAATTCGAATAAAACTGAAAAATAATAAGTGAACCAACACGGCGCAAAAAAGTGGAAAAACAGCTGATTTGAGATTCTGAATTTCTCGATTTCAACCAATAAATCGTATTTGATATTACTTCTCTATAATAGTCTAAATTGTCAGTCGTATCATTTAACGATTTCATCACAAAAAATGAGATTTTTGAACGAATTCACGTGAAAATTTTTTGAGCCGAATTTCGAGTAAAAACGAGATAATTTAAAATAATTTTTTCGCTTAACTCAACTTTATTATTTTGAATAAAAGAAATGATTCATGTCGTTTGCAGGAAATTGTCGAAGTGATGGATGATGAGGAGAAACTCACCTATTTCATCGCCAGAATTGCCAGAAGCCACTTGAAATGGAATATCACCAAAAGTCATATTACTGTGAGCGGATTGGTTATTGAATTCTCGTTCACAAATCGATTTCAGAACATGATTCCCGGTCTCGAGATCGTATTGAAGTCGTGCTTTGGTGAGGCCGCCAATGAGGAGCTCATCACTGCTTACACCGCGCTCTATGATGTCATCGGAAATCTTTTGGACATTCAGAAGAAGCTTCAGGCTCGCCGTCCAACCTGTTAATTACTCGACAATTAATTGGTATTTCGAATAAATCGAATTAGTCACAAAGCAAAAGTCAAACAAGAATCTTATGGCTTCTCTGCGTCTCTCTACTACTCACATACGTAGAGCTCAAAATTATGATTGCGAGAGTTTTTTAATGCATCAGTTTTTGTTCCCAAATCATTTATTTTTTCAGAATCTCTTATTTTTCTTTTTTTTTATAATTTTATAATGTATTTTCTTTTGTCAAAATGTTCGAGAAATGAGATCCAATTTTATACATCCGGGTATCAATATAAGAAGTAAGAATGGAATGCTCGGAGCTCGATCAGATGAAAGAGGGTATTTATGTAGACTGGTGTGACGCCTGTGCGACTCCAAGACTAATCATTTCCGACGATAAAACTCTCGTCGATCCTAACGTCAAAATCAATAAGGACTTGGTGGGCCGAGTTGTTGGGCCAACATAGCCGACCAAACACAATCGTCAGACAACTTTTTTCGTTTCTCTGACAGGTGAAAAAAGTTTAAACTCTCAAATGTCCAAAATCGAGACCTAAGATTGATGTGAATGGAAAAAAACCAACCGCATCGTGTAATCTTAGTTATTCGTTGGTAATTTCAATAAACTATGTGTGTTCAATTTTTTGTTGTTGGTGTCATGGCAGCGGACGGCCCGAGTCTTCAATAATATTTCATCCGCTGGGGTAACTGCCTAGGTGTTGAGTATTGCTTACTTGAGCCATTCATGCATTGCATGATATATTTCACATTCACACGATTTTCGCATATGAAAAGAATAGCATCAATTATTGCATTCATCTATCTGGTTCGTTGCAATTTATTATTAATGACTAAACGTCTTCTTGTATTTCGTTCATAGAATCCACACATCCAGACAAACCGTCTCTTTTATTTCCTGGTTGAAAAAAGCAGATGAAAAAAAAAGTAATTTAATAATGACTATAAATGTATTATTTCTCGCGACAGAAATTATATTTCGCGATATTTGAATGTAATATCACATTAACAAAAAAAACTGACGAGGTGGCTGGATGAAATAAATAAAAACATTTCCTGTTACAGCATAATTAGTCATAAAATCATGTTTAGTCTATGATTTTGCGAACTTTTTTTTTTACTAGATTTTTCTATAATTGTGGCTCAGATTTGTCTCGTCTATTTTTTTGGCAAAAATTGAAATTCATTACATGAGATGGAAAGCGATTATCGTGTGAGTATTATGATGAAATCAGGAACTTATGTATATTATTATTATTATTATGTGGACAGCATGAATACAATAAATCTTTTGATAACATTTTCAAAGATTTTTGGATTATACGTATTTCGTTCCTCAATTTTTTCATTCCTTTTGAATCGCCTTTTTTCAGCATTGCATGATTAATTAAATTCTTTGCTCCGTACAAATAGTGTGTCGAGTTCGTTTCGCGTTTCGAACTGAGAATAAACATAAAAGAAGTTGTTCAGGCGACTTGGTCATTTATTCAAAACGATTTATTAAACAAATTTCCAGTCCGAATGGAAGTCGAGAATTTGAACAGACTGACCAGTTTTGACGGTATGCCTTTCTTTTTCAAACGTTTATTCGAATATTTTTTTTCCCTAGAAAATGAAGCGAAGATTGATGAGAAAACGATGCGAATTATTTCCAGCCACAGTTTGAAGGTGTCTTCTGAAAACGGATACCGATTTGTGAGCGATTCTCTCGGTTTCTCCCTATTCGACGAATCCGATTTACAGCCAATCAAACAGTTTGGATACGTTTTTCACGGTTCGCTTAAACTCGAATCCCCCACGGAAATTCTTCGCAAATTGATTCCACTGGAGAAATATTGTTATGCTATTGATAGCAATATCTCGATCACCTGCAAAGAGAACGTTTATGACGTCGATCTGTTCGAAGCACTGTTCTTCCCGCTTAAATTATCTCCGAGAACTGCGGTCAGTTGTTCGATTCTTATCGAAATTCCATTGGCAAAGTGACAATTTTGAATTCGATAATCACAAATTAGATTTGCGCCAATGCCAATGCACTAAGAGATATTTGCTCATAATATTGCTGAAATTAGAAGTCGCAAGAGGACCCGTGAATGTCGGAAACAAAAAAATTCGAAATTTCAGATACACTTGAATAACATGTATCCGATGAGCCCAAAAACGATTAAATCAATGTGGTGCCGATTGGTGGCGTACTACTTCGAGCTGATTGCTGGCATTCCGGAGCTGCGTTTGCTCGGCGAAGCCGACAAACTCAAACTGATCGTCTCTCAACTTTGCAACGTCATCTGTTTTCATATTGTTTATATGAACAGCAAAGATTCAAAGGAATTCACTGAAAATGTTTGTCTCCAATTTGGCTTCGGATATTATTGGTCGCCGAATTGCACCGACGACACCTTGTAAGGCTTCACTATTGTGTATTCACATCAACATGAGAATATTTCAGAGTGAATTTCTATTGCGAGAATATCTGGATGGCGATAAATTCACATGTGATTCCAATTCTGAAGCACATCAAAATAACATTCGAAGAATATCTTCTCGCTAAAATGGTGGTCCTCTTCAAATGCTGTAAAATATCAAATTCGTCGTATTTGAATTTATTTCAGCACTCTTTTTTTTCAGCAGAAATCTCGAGAATTTCCCCTGAAGGATTGGAATATATTCGATCCGTTGAGAATAAATATCGAATAATGCTTGCAACTCATATCCAATCGAAATATTTCGAAGACGAAAGTTTGAGCGGTGAGGAGAAAACCGAGAAATCGACTGAACGACTTCAGGCAATTATGAGAATTATTACTGGAGTTGATGTAATCCGTATAATTTTAGAAAATTAATTATAATTGCCAATTATTTAGATAATTGGTGAGCTCGACGATAAGAGTCTGACGAGTATGGTGGAAATTAATCATGGTGCAATGCGAGGTACTCTGCAACGGCAAATTCATTCGAGCTTGAAAAAACGCAATCATAATTAGGTTAATCAATTTTAACGGATTAATAATTACAAATAAACATTCTATTTGGTGTTTTACATATCAAATTTAATAGTAGTTCAATAATAATTAAAAATAATAACTTATTATCAGTGTGTACTCCCGGGAGGAAATTTCCCGGGGAATACCCGGGAAGTATTCGTTTTAAGATTCCCGAAAATTTCGGGAATAATTTCATCTCCACAAAATTCGCGAAAACTCCCAACACTTCCGGAAAATTCGCAAAGACTTCCGTGAACTTCCCGGGGGAGGGGGGGATATTCCCCGAGACTTCCCCGGCTATTCGGCACAGATTCCCTAAAATTTCCCGGGAGCCTTCGGGAGGGATTTTCTACATTTAGGAAAATAAAACTGCTCGGGAAAATTGCGCACCTCATAATTCTCGGGAAAAAAAATTTTCCGGGAGTACACACTGCTTATTACTATTATTTTTATTATTGCCAAGGTAGTATAATGACATTTTGTTCAATTTCGCCTAGTCGCCAGAAGGTGTTGGTTGCGAGAAGCAGATTAATATATATTTTCGCATTCGTGTTTGCGTCTCTTCTCATATTTTCGAAATTCTAGTCAACAGCTACATATTTAGAGAAAATCACAATAACTAGACTAGTTTCACGTTATTTGAAAATCGAACTTTGAACATTTTTGATATGATTTGATTTAGTCCTGTGGCGATTAATTTGATATGTGGAAATTATCGTTTGAGAAACATTCGTTGATTATTTCATTAGTAAATAATCTTGAATATCAAACATTTTTAATATAATTCTTCAATAATTCGCATAAACAATGTCAGACTTGCTTCCTTCTTCCTCGATATCAATAAAACATTATTAACGTTTTTATTTGGAATCAAAGTGTGACGGCTAACGTAATTTGGTTTATGTCAAGTGTCTCGAGATGAAGAATGTGCTGCTCATTCAGCGTGTTTTCAGTCAACTCGTAATTAGCAAGTCGAGATTGTTAAAGCAAGACTAATGCAAGATGTCTGGACTTCGTAAATTGGGAATCGAGATGAGTTTGTCCGATTCGAAATGAACACAATTGAATAATGTAGTTTGCTCAGGTAATTTTCTAACCGAATCGGATTAATAAATCGAGGGAAGTAATCTCGATTTGTTTTCCCCGGCTTACAATCATTTCACTGAGTCGCATTTATCCTGCACGTCTTCAAACTAGATCGCAAGAGTTCCTTTAGGTCAAATATCAAATTGTTTGAAATATTGTCGAAAACAGTCGGAATTATACGCAAATTCACTCTCAATCCTTGAAATAACCAATTTGTTGCATGCGCCTTTGACGTACACTCTAGTTTCGCATATGATTGCAACGCAGAGAAAGCTTAATATTGACTATGTGCCAACTAGACTCGAGGCATCGAGAAATACACAAAACTGCGTACATTACTTTTTTTTAATATTCAGTAAGCGCTTAATTTTACACATGTATGTAGTCGGTTTTTTTTTAAAAAAAAACGTCTACCAGAATCGGTCGCTGTAAGACCTTTTAGATGCGCGAGGCGTGGTCATGTGCTACAACAGATTCCATGATTCCTGAAAGTGAAGATTTCGAGTACAAACTTGAGTGAGAACCAAATTGTCCTGCCTGCAATCGAGCTCACATAATTTGATAAAATGTATTTTTTTACGAAAAAAGCATCACGTGACCGCACGCGAGCCGCAACGCGTGAGATAACCGTTTTGTAACAGACAATACGTATTCATAAATTTACGCTGATTTCGTGAAGTTGAATATCTCATGAGTCATTTGACGCCCATAATTAATACGAAATCGTCTCAACATGTATTGGTTCTTTTAATAAAAAAACTAACCGACATTTATTATAAAATTGTTATTCTCTCGATTAGCTCCAACCAGAGTTATTCGATTAGTGTTTGTGATTTGTGTCCTCCGATTCGTTTATCTGGCAAAATACAAACAATTTTCAATTCAACACTCGAGTATGCCAAATTCGAAGATCACATTTACGTGATTTTGTGATAAATCGAATCAAATACATTCGCAGTTTCTTCGGCTTCATGAAACGTGATTTAAGAAATACCAACGGTAATCTTTTTAGCAAAAGCACGGAAAACAATTGGCGAAAAACACATGCATGACTGAAATCTTCAATATTCAATACTAGACTTTTCGTTTTTTTTTCTAAGAATTAGTTGTTAAATTCTATTCGATTAAAAAACGTTCAAATACACGTGGAAATGTTGAACGAATTGAACATATTTTTGTATGAACCTTTAATATATTTTGCAGTTTTCAATGCACTCGTAGATCAAATTGAACATAATTGCAATTACGCTAAAATTTTAAGCATAAACAACGCCCACTTAATATGTCCGTCCAATACTGAGATCAAAGACCTTCTTGTGTAAGTTTTTATATACATATTATATTAATTTAATGTTTTAATATACATAAGCCGAAAATGTTTTTCGTTTTTTTTTTTGCAATACTTCCGCTTCGAAGAAATGTTCAAGAACACTGTTTGTATAATGATAAGAGGTCCTGCAAAAAGGAAATTCAATTTCCGAAATTGAAATTCTGCCGATTAGAATTCTTTGCTTCTTAATCCAATTCAGTTTCATAACGAGTAAATAATCCTTTGAAATGTTAGTCTATCGCTTATTTCAAAGTTGTATAAACTTCAAAAACATTCAAATAATCCAATTCGTTTCCACTTCACAGTGTTTCGAGTTCATTTAGTGTTCCAAAAAATAAAAGTTCGAATTTGCAGCTGTAGAGAGAAAAAAGCATCGCCAAATCAATCACCAAATTCGAACAACATCGAATTTATAAATCCCCCTTTTTTTACTCGAAATGGATAACAATAATGGAGTAAAAAATATCAAAATTGAAGGTAATTGATAATGACCTCTTAATTATCCTTATAATTGTCAAATTGCAGAGCAAAATGAGCGAGCTATGATGATCATTTCACAGCACAATTTGCGTATTTCCACAGAAAATTCATATCGATTCGTAATTTGTTTCTTACAAAATTTTTTTGGGAATCAATTAGGAATTGTAGCCCAGCAAACAATTCGGATACATATTCCATAACTCGACGCCATTTGTCCTACAGAACCCCGACGAGATTTTGCGCAAATTGATTCCGCTCGAGAATTATTGCTATGCTGCGGACAGCGGTTCGGGTTTGTCGCTTCCGATGATGAACGACAACGTCGATCTGTTTCAAGCGTTGTTCTTTCCGAACACACTTGCTCCGAGAACTGCGGTGAGATTTATTATCATATTGAAATTATTGCAAAATGATTTCTCAAAATTCACATTTCTAATTTTGATGTCTGAAAATCAGAATTTCTATTGATTCAGAAAATCGCTTAAACAGCGATTCATTTATTTGTCGAATCAACGTTTTTTTTCATTAAATCCTCAGACGTCTAGCGGATTCAAAATCAGCAAAAATTCTCAATTGGTATGATGAATAAGTTCATTTGGTGTACTCGAGAGGGCAGATGATATCTGATGTTGGAATGGGTATTCATTAGGAAATTGCAGATTGCCGGCAACCGAACAGAAGCATTAGATGAGAACAATTTGCGATTTATGTGGCTTCGAATGGTCGCGTTCTATTTCGAATGGGTCACTGGTATCACCGAGATTCGCTACTTGAGCGATTCGGACAAACTCAAACTCGTTGTCCATCAATTATGCAAAGTGATTTGTTTCGCAATTGCATTCAATAATCACAAAACGAGAGATGAATTCGAACGGGAAAATGTGTTGAATTTCGGATCAGGATTCTTCTGGACGCCGAAAAGTTCTCAAGATCCATTGTAAAATTGAATGAATTTTTGCAGTTTTGAGCTAGATTTTCAGAATCAATGAGTATAGTAAACGAATATGGACGTCGATAAATGTCCACTTGATGCCATTATTCCAAAAAATTCAAATCACCACCGAAGAGTATTTGTTCTCAAAAATGCTTATTCTATTTGATTGTTGTAAGTTCATTCATGCTCTTTCACAAATCATTCTTCGATATTTAGCAACGTTTACGGGATTGTCCGCAGAAGGACTCGGATTTGTGCAATCAATGGAAAACAAATATCGAACAATTCTCGCGAATTATCTCCTTGTCAAGTACAGCGATCATGACGAGAAGCAGAAGCAGGCGTTAGTATTGGAGCGACTCGAAACCATTTCGAGACTCGTACAATCTGCAAATGTGAGTTTTGTGGTCTCAACCCGGAAATCAATTCCGGCGACCGGCCAAAATTCGCAACTTTTCCAAGAAAAAGTTGCAGATAATTGGCAAAATCGACGACACACTTTTGATAGATATCGTCGATATGAATTATGGAAAAATGCGCGGAACATTGCAACTTCAAATTCATTCGATTTCGAAAAACAAATATTGATTGATACATCCTGGTAACTCAAATCCGATCGGATCCGACAAAATTCGGCTCCGGAATCAATCCGATCCGATTGGCAATTCTACGGATTCGAGGAATTGAAAAATAAAAAAAAAAACTCGGATCTGACAATTTTACCATCTTATCCGTAGAATTTCCAATTGGATCGGGTTGATTCCGGAGTTGAATGTTGTCGGATCCGATTGGTTTTGAGCTACCAGAGACGATGATATTCGTCGAAATTTTTATGTGAATGTCTTCTTCTTCTTAAAAAAAAACGATGAGATTTGAATACTAATGAGTTTTTTTTTTGAGTATACTATAGTATAATTATTTTATTATTTGAATTTTTAATAGCAATGACATGCCAAGAATCGCTATCTGTGCATTTACCCATTTTAATGGATTACGTCACTTTTTTCCGACAGCCGAACCGCAACCAATTGGGAGCAGATTAATGCATTTCACACCCACCTCGAAATTTTCAATATCCGGAATATGGCATGTATTTTTGTCGGAAGCCTCCCTCGCAGTTTTCAACATCATTGTTTTCTTGATGTCATTCCTGGCCAAAATTGCCAAATATAGTATTCAACGCAAATAACTTCGTTACGGTGTTCATTGGGTCTTTACTATAAGAATACAGTAACGTAAACTATCAAATATTCCTTCTTATTTTCTTGTGATATTCTTGCCAAAAACCCCCTCTCAACTATTAAATTATTCATTAATTTTCGAAAAAAAAATGTGGAACAAATCTCGAATTTCGTTTATTTTCCTCCCGTTGCACCATTAGACTTTTTCTAGAAAAAAAAGATATTTTAAAATACAAAATTTGGCAAACATTTTTTCCCAGAAAAGTACTTTTTGTCACCTTTTCACTATTTTTGAAATTCTCAAATTTTATTTGTGTTTTGTGAAAATCGCGAATTGGTAATAGAAATTCATGCGTGCGTTGTGTCATAAACCGGAGTAAATGACGTATAAAGAAGAGAAGAAGGAGAAGGAACTTACATTTGAAACCCTCATGGTCCCCCGTAAATGGATGTCGGTTGCAGACTGACTTTATTCAGATATATCCAAAATGACGAATTGAAATGAATGCATAAATAGTTTGCAAACAATTTTTTGAGCAGCTTTCCAAACCGAATTTTCGTCATTATTTTCAGCGTTGAAATCGAACACTCAAACGTAAACAGTGTACCTTCTAAAAATGGACCATCCTACTCAATGGATCCCATTTCCAAAACAGATCGTGCTATTTCCAACGCATTTGCATTCTCGAAATCAATTATTTGAATTGGTTTTTTTTACTCGATACAATCGAATATCAGGTTTTTTTGGCGATAGATTTGTGCTGAACCGTTTCATTAAATGAATTTTCTTTTTCCAAAAAGTGTAAAATTAACTTTCCAATTTTTTACAATTTTTGTAAGAAAATTCATTTCATGAATAGTTCTATGCGGCTTGCGCTTTTGAATTAACGTTGGGTCAGAATTTTCTTCTTTGAAGGCGAAAATGAAACTCCTATCACCGATTTCAAGTGACCAAAGGTAGGCGGGACCTTTGCCCGGCGGAAGCAGGATACATTTATAAGAGAATATGCAAATTTTTGCGTCTATCCAATAAATGAGGAAGAAACCTCTTAAGTTTCACGTGGGCAAACTTCATTCAAAAACGGCATTCTTCTATTCTAAGATTAATCTTTTATTGAATTCTTTTACTTTGAAAGTATTCCTTCTACTCAATGTACATAATTTCAAAAAACTTTGATAGCTGCTTCAAAACTCCTTTTTTTATTATTTGAACCCACTCAAGACAATTCTGGAATGAAAGCCTCAATTATCACTCTCCGAAAACCCATTAAAATAAAAATGATTATCGTAATTGCCACGCTATGTATTATTATTAATGGTTATGCATCAATATGTACTAGAATAGGTAACCCGCCCACGTATAAATTGTTATGGGTATCGCGTTTCACTACAGAATCACGAACCCTTTTGGGCCCCCTCATTTTTTCCTATGAACATTTCTATTTTTCATCGAGAATTCCTCCACAAAAAAATTTGTGCAAAATTTGTAGTAGTTTAATGAATGGACGAGCATTTTTCAAATATGCAGCACTTGTCGACCTATTCGATCTCCGTTTTGACATACAAAGAGATGAGGGTGGTTATAAATCGAAAATTAATAAATTATCCGTTTCGGTGAATACCGAATGAGGAGTTCTTTCATTTCATAAATCGAAAAAAAAAAACAACTCGAAATTCTCCGCATAAATTGTTCATTCTTTGAGAGGGTTCTCCACAAATGTACCGCATCGAATCTCACAAAGCATTTCGTCCAATTTCCTATAAATGTCACGCAGGAAATCCGTTCTCCAACTTTTATACTTTTTCGCCGAGTCGGGGTTGTTTCTCATTGAGAGCCATCACATCTGGTACTCGGCCGAATTATCTCGAGCAAATAAAGAGAACCGCGCGCCAGTCGATTTCCCCCATTTTCGGATGTCAGATGAATGCGCATGTTATCGTGTCTGGCGGTGATCTCGAATGGCAGACCCCGGAATTACTATAAAATATCCGAATTTCATGATGTCTACCACCATTTGCTTCTTGTGCCTTTGTGTGTGGGTGTTTTTTTTTCTTGTTTGATCCCTTACCTATTTTGGACAGTGATTATCTCAATTCTCGATTCACACATTCTCAAATTCTTCTACTCACATGAAAAATCATTTCGTTTCGAAATGGATTCCGACTCGTTAAGGATTCTCACATTAAAAAGAGGAGTCTAAAACAATACCATTAAATATATTTTTGATGATTTCACATAGAAAATTTAATTTATAATCCTCAAAAAAAGGAGAATAAATAATTTTTCATTCGGACAACCGGTAATTTCAGCAGCAATTTTCAATTCGGTCCATGAATTATGAGATGCATATTGCATTTTGAAACCCGTTTGTTTGGTTATTTTCGACGAAGCATTTTAACGAATTTGATTTAAATATTCGAAAAAAGAAAGCAGTGATGATTAAAGAGGGGAAAAAGTGCTACTAGACGGAACATTCGTAATTAAAGTGTGACGTTTCTCGGATATTTTCCAATTTCAAATCTTTCCTTCTTTTGTTTATTCGATGCCCATTCGTTGTTGTCTTCTTTTGTCCATTATCTTCGGAATTTCGTTTGTACAACTCACATTACATTAATTTTGAGAGAGAGAAAAACGTTCGAAGCTCCGCCCATTCACATTTTTTTTGAAAATCATACACCAAATTAGAAGGTGTGAATGTGCTGCAATTGACACATAAAAAAGCTTTCAAATCCAGATTGAATCTCTAGACGATTGAATCGTATTACATTGATTAGTCGAAATAAAGGTATCATTCTAGCTCATCACTTTTTCTTCTTCTCTAATGCTCGATTTATTGGTCCAATCATATTTGTCTGAATTCCAGGTACCCCTGAAAATATGCTTAATTCGTACGTTACATATTTGCTCGTTCTGGTCGCTCTGCTTTGTGTTGTATCAGCAGAAAGTAAGTATTCATTCAAACTCGATCATGTATTTGTATGTCCATGTATTGATTGGTCTTCTAAAAGCTCTCATGTGCTCAATTGGTTCAGGCGAATGTTAATCCTCGTGTTCTTCACGTCCGCCGTCGAATCCGGTCCATGTCCGCTGTGTTTTCATGTCCAAAATCAAACATTCGTTTCGTTATTCTTCGGTTTTAGAATGCCCAGATTCATTGGTAGCACAATTCGTTGCTACCAATTCGGTAACACAGCGGACATCGAACTGGATCGCATTTCGCGGCGGCACGTGGAAAAAGAGCAATTCGGCGAAAGGTGTGCCCAAATCATTGCGAAATTCCAAATAATAATAAATTGAATATTGGTAAACCGGCGGTCAAGTTTTTACAGATCCGTACTTCCGTAGAAGTGCCAAATGGGTTCGCAATATGAACCCATCCGGTGGAACTCTCGTCACCGGCCGCGGCGGTTTCCGTCCAGGATTCCATTCCGACGATTGGCGGTCATCGATTTTAGCCGAGCCCAATTTCTCCAAGGTGCACATGCATATTCTTATCGTTGGCTTCATTCATTTCAATTCATTTTCAGAGGTCTCTTTTCTATTATTTCGAGAAGTGATCATCAACTACGGAATGGACTTCTCCGTTCGCGTTTTGACGACAATTAAGCCATATTCAATAATTCGCAAATTTGTGTGTTTCGAGTTGTCAGTGAAAACCGTTAAATATGTTCATACATATGTACACTGTTCGACAAGATTTCAAAGAAAAAAACGAATGAAAGAATAAATAGGAATACATTAGAGGGTTTCGATAACCCAGGCAGCAATGGGCGTACTCGCCACTCCGCACAGAATTCCTAGCATCAGAAAAATTGAGGCTAGCATTCCACTGAGCTTTTGGTATCGAGCTGGAACTCCACTGCAATAACAAAACAATCAGATAATGATCAATTTATAATTATTTTTAATATTACTTTGGAGTATAAATTAATGCTAAACTGCTCATGTATCCGCAACTAAATGCCATAATTGTACATCCAAATGTGAACCACCACTCACTTTTAAATACAACCTGAAAATCGTAATTTCCATATTCCAGGATTTCGCCCCCTCAATTTTTACCGGCCAACGTCTGGTGTCAGGTCGATAATTGCAAAACATGAAAAACGGGATGAAAAGGGTCCGAATTAACACAGCGATCCATAGATATTTGGCAGTCGGCTGAAATCATCGAAACCATTGGTTCCCTGTCGATATTCGAGTTTTTCTTGCATTTTGTAATTCTACTAGAAACATTCCCACAAATTCCGTCATTTATTGGTGTTTCGGCGCACAGAAATTGTCGCGATTTCTAATTTTCTCGAAAAAAAAATGCTTGTTTTAAGCATCACAAATTTTCAGACATTCAAATTTTTAGCGTATCAAAAGAAATTTTTAAAAATTGAGGTTAAAAAGTGGGAATAGTATGTAAATATATATAGGGGGGGGGAATTTGAAGTAGAAAAGCAGGGACGATTTTTTGAATCATTAAATCAGCTCCTACACCGTCACGAAGTTTAGGAGAAATTCGAAAAAACCGCCGGTATGAACTCAATAATTCCGTCGAAACGATTTGTAGATGAAATTTATGTATTTCAGAATTATTTTTGGAATAACTATAAAAAAAAACGTCAAACCGCAAATATAGAAACACTCACTTCCAATAATTTCGATTGATAAAATGCCGATAAGTAGGGGTTTAATTTTTGAATTTAATAAAACTACTCACCAACTGAACATAATTGGCTGCAATCGAGCCAATCCACGCAAACAAGTTGAAGTTTAAAAATGTATTGATCGCGTAATAGAGATTATCGCCAAATACGGATTCATCGTCGGGAGATTTTTTGAAAAACGGAGTGTCGGTCATCATCGCTGGAAAAATGAGCAACGAGACGAAGTAAACGTAGAAATTGTTGAAGAGTTGAACCCAACACTAAACCAAATGTATAAATCGATTATAAGGAACAAAAAATGAGTTTTCTACATATCGGAAACATTCCCAATATTGAAGAAGCGACGGATTATCCAAAGATTCTTCGCGTCGAGCTTCAACACCTTTTGCAATGTAATATTGATAGTATGGCTGAAATTAAGCCCGTTTCATTAGCCTCTTCTCCTTCATTTAAAACATACCGCCTTCAATAAAAAGTACAAACTTCCAAGACACATTATCATAAAAACTAAAGAAATCGCAAAATATAATAGAGCATTCAGTTTAATGTCATCAGGGGATACTGAAATTTATAATAGTATTTTTACTGTAATTATAGCTTATTGGATTTCAACTTACTAACTGTTGTGAGAATACTCATTACCGAAGTGAAAACTCCGCATAAATTATTTCCAATAATAATCGAATTGATATAATTGTCGGGAAAATCGGCAATAATTCCATAAATGGAATTCTAACAATGTGTCATTTTTCACTTCTTTTCAACTATATGTGTATATGAATTACTTGATAAATTCCGTTTGCCAAATTCATGAGCATTATGATGACCAATGTAACGATATAAAACCAAGTGACGTCATCAGGCGATGGCTGCACAAAAATAACCATAGCAACGATGATCGCGATGAGAATACAGTTAACGATTAGGGGAACGACAACTCGCAGCATCATGAATCCCCTAAATAATGGCATGAGACCTTCTTGCAAATTATTCTATTACATACACCATAACAACTATGGTGTTTAGAATCATAATTCCGACATTCGGGATTTGAGATGTTACACCGATGATTGACATAAAACTCTCTTGATAAGATGTCCCATTGAACCAATAATCGTGGTAATACTGCAATTAAAATTCTTTCCTTTCTTCGACATGTGTAGATTTAAATTTTTCGTTGGGCGAATATTAAATGCGCGTACAGTGTAATGCAATGTACGCAGTCTTGCGTACTTCTCGCTACACGCATTGGAACATAGCCAATCATTTTTTTTAATTTCGTCAAGTCATTTGACTCCAACAATAATTGCAGATAAATTTTGCCCATTTTGCCATTTTCCAGCAAATGGTCTAAAAGTTGAATTGTGCACGATAAGGAACAATTGGACATGCAATTGTCTTATGGTCTGTTTCAAAAAAATTGATCCGTCACAAATATTTTTTATAGTTTCCAATCTTAGACATCATCTTAAGGAATCATTGTAGTTCGTTGGAAAAATTGTCCCAAAACACTACTGATAGGTTCCACTAAAGCCAATGCGGTTCAAATCGCAACTACGCTATGGTCCCGCACAAACTAACCGATATTTAGGGCTCATTTCGAACATTCTTTAATTCCAATTATGACTTTGTTAGAAATTTAATGAAATGGGATCACGGAAAAATGAATGAGTCATACAATTAAAAAATTCAAAATTTACACATTTTTCCAATACGAGAATGTAAAAAAAATTCTTAACATAATTTTAAAATTTCAAAACGATGAGTTTGATTTATGTCAAGAGATCCGTAATAAGGAATGTGAATTCCCACGGATAAAATCGAAATAAAATAATCGGCCCGGAAAGTCAATTTTTCACTGGTAATAATAGTTTTTTTCAATTTCGAATATATTAATAGAGCAGTAAATTCAAAAAATTGGAATTTGCTGGAAAACGGCAATAAAAATTTCACGAAACCTGTGGAGCAATTGTGATGAACATATTCCAAGACATGAGCATTCCCATACCGTGCATTACAAATATGATGTAAACCTTAAGAAGATAGAGGTTGAAATATTACAATAGAAAACACAAACGTTACCAGAAAGTATTTATCCTTTGGAGCATAGAAACTATCTCGAGAAACGACGGGTTCATTGTAATTTGTCGACCAGTGATCGTCCATTGATCTGAGCAATGTCCATAGTTATTTTTAATTTATTTTTTTTATTATTTGCAAACAATGATGAAGGATTGGAAAAAGAACTGATAACATTTGAGAACCGCCATCTCGTCTATACTTATCGCCGAAATTTCGGTCTACGGCAACACCCTTTTTTGGTCAATTCTTTATTCAACTCAGTGTTTCTTTAACGCTATTCATGTTTAAAAATTGAATAAATTTTTGAGAAAAATTAAGCAAAAATGATTGTGACATTGAGAAAAAAAGTGAATCATCGGAATTGATAAGACACCCAAAAGAGAATGATTTTGGGTTGATCGAGATTTTCGATCGATGTGATTGGTTTTTGTTTTGAGAATGAGTTTTCAATAATTTGTTTTGCAGGTTTAAAGTTTATATTCTAGTTGTATTTTCAAGCCGAAGCTGCAAAAAAATAATTAAGTAATTTTGGGATTCATAATTAAAATATTTTCCTTCCCCCTCAAATTGGGTAAATTTACGAAATCAATCCGATAAAAACGCAAAAACAAACAAAAAGATATTCAATCAATATTTTCGATTGTTTCAGCTTTATCACTTTCGATGAAAAATTTTCGAATTTCATAATTATTGGAATAATGTGTTTATTTTTGATATTGTTTGCATTCCGACTAAAAATCTGAAATTCACGCCGAAAAATGAAACGAATGAATTTTGAGAGAAATGAATTTGCATAAACTGGCTGAGCCTTGAAACGTTCCCGCATGGGTGTGAATAATCGTCTTTTTTCTTATCAACGCGCACACATTTAATAGCAGATCAAACATAATTCTTTCGATAATAATCACCTCTTTTCTCCAAGAAGACGCATTTCGGAATTCTCCATTTCGATTTTCTGAATACAAAAATCATTTGAGGAATCGAACAAAACAGAAACGAAACAAAATTATTTGGAGGAATGGAGGAATGTTTTGAAGCCGACAAAACAAACATGACATTTTCAAAACGATTTCTTTTTTCTTATACCAAACTTTTCGTTTCGTTTCAATTCGAATCCAGTACGAATTTTCCACGCAACGGGGCGGAACAAAATTCTAAAAAAATGAAAACTCAAATGCTAAATTTGAAATGGAAAAATAAATATATCAAAAAATAAATAAATAAATAAAACTCGATAATTTCGTGAAATTCAAATGTTGATTTCGGATATTATTTAGTAAAATGTCGAAACAAATTGACGATGACAAGGTTTTTATTGGGAATTTCAATCGAAAAATGAATGGTTTTCAGAGTAAGCGAAAAGCGAAAAAAGCTGCTGGAGCTGTGCCGAATCAGATGCAAAACGAGAAAATGCTGTTGCCGGGACACGTTCTTCTCAACAGATTCGAAGTGCAGGAGATGATCGGCGGTGGCGGATTCGCGCAGATTTTTCTGTAATTCCGCTCATCGATATTATTCCCAACATTTCGCGAATTGTGTAGGGCAATCGATAAGCAGACGAAAGCTGAATGTGCCGTCAAAATCGAAGATGCCAAACAGGATATTCGGCGGATGAAGCTCGAGATTACTGTTCTTTTGGCATTACGTGGAAACGTATTCGTTTCATTCAGCAATAATTTAATCGAATTTCCCGCTCAGCTTGGTATTCCGGAAGTGATGGGAATGGGCAAAACGAAAACTCCGAATGCACATTTTTGTGTGATGCAGCTGGTTGGCAAAAACTTGTCCGATATTCGCAGAAAGCTTCCCGCTCGTTGCTTTTCTCACAAAACATTGTACAGAGCGATGATACAAGTGCGAGATCAAGGCTAACCCAAAAATCGAAAGCATCATTTCCAATCAGATAGCGAAAGCGTTGTCGATTGTGCACGGCGCCGGTTTTTTGCATCGCGATTTGAAGCCTTCGAACTGCTGCATCGGGCATGTCGACGTCACTCGAATATACCTTATTGATTATGGTAGCGATTGCTGTAAACGAGATCACGAATATTGGCAACTGTAGGATTGACTCGACAGTACCTTGACAAGGGGGGAATTGTGCGGAAGCCTCGGGTCGGTGTCGGATTGCGAGGCACAATCCGCTATATGAGTCTCGACGGACACGCGAGACGAGATTTGGGTCCCAACAATGATCTTGTCGCATTTTTGTATACCACTGTATATTTGTGGTGGGCTTACAGATTAATCGAGTTGAAATTTTCAGATTGAATTGGGCGATGGAACACTTCCTTGGACGTACGAAAGAGATGCCGACGAAATTGTCAAGGTCGAAAATTTGGCAATTCTATCTTATCATTATTATTATTTTTAGTTAAAACAAGCGTATATCGGTGAAAAATTGTGCGCGAAACAGCCGAAAATGACGAAAGTTGCCGAGGTTTTTAGTATTTTCGAAAAATTTCCTCGTGACGAATTGTTTGTTTCGATTTCAGTACATCGAATCCCTAAATTACCACAGTATACCGGACTATGAAAAATTGATCGGCATGCTTGAAGAGTGCAATCCATCGGATTTGAAGCCTGATGAGCCTTATGATTGGCAATTGTATTTGAAATATTCGACAATTTCAAACTATTTTGAATATTTCAGTGCGAAAAATGAATGCAGTGTCCAAAAAGATAATAATATTCTAAATAATGAGAGCGAAGAGGTATTCATTTTCAATTGTTTCGAATTTTTTGAATATTTTATTTTAGAAAGCCATACAGGCGACTCAAAATATTTGAATGAACTCAAATAACTCACAGAAAAATATAAAACAACCCCTGATTCAAAATTTTATGTATTTTATTATCGATTTTCGATAAATTTTGATAATTTCTATTCCATTCAAATTATCGTTTGCTCATGAAAAGTTGTTGTGGCATTTGTTGAATATTGCTCCAATTCATACGAATTATCCGACGGCTCGATGGAATGATGAAGAAATTTGGCAATTCGTTGTCGAACTTTTCTGATATTTGAAATTATATAAATTAATTGAATAAGAAACGGCATAATGAATATATCAATTATAGACATTTTTACGAAAGCCTACAACTAGCTGAAATTAGTTTAATAAATAAAAAATCATTTTTGACTTCTCCAAATTGGTTTCGATTATTGTAATTATCATAGTTTCTCAAAAACTCGATAGCTATTCGCAATGAAATCTGAAATTTTCATTATTTTCAAAATTAAAAAAAAAATGAAATTTTTGTCGACCGTTTTGCAAACGATAACACTTATAATTTGGTTAATTATCCATTGCTTCGGCTTTTTCGAAGTCGAATTGAAATTTCCAATTAAGTTTCGAATTAAATATATTAGTGGAAGAATGAATGGAATAAGAAGAAGACAGAAGAAATTGAAAATGAAAAAAGCGAAATAAAATAATTCAAAGTATTCAAATCTGAAGCTATCGCCGAATAAGGCACGTCCTGAAAAAAATTTTGTATTTTTTCATTTATAACATTTTTGTCAAATTTCTAATTTTTCCGAAAAACAAAAATTTTTTGAATAAATTTTCACTACGTAGAATTTGGGACATTTTAAATTACAACATTGAAAAAAAAATTAAAGTTTGTGTCTCATACTATCGGTTATTCTTCAAGACCTATCTATGTTGTCAGGCGTCAAAATGGGGCACTCGAGGTTTCTGAACCCAATAGAGTCGGTCGGGCCCCCTATTTTTTTTTAGTTAAAAAATCATACCGGACCACAGTACTCAAACAAAGGACTGCAAAGCTTTAAATGCAGTGGTTTGCGACTCAACGGGCAAAGGACGAAATGACTAGGTGACTAAGTAAGTGATTTTTCCGACGAACGAGTCTGCCAGTTCTATATTTTTTTTTTGAAAAATGGGATTCTTATACGCAGGAACATTTGTTGTGATTCATCACATAATCGTGAAATTCTAAGCGAAGTTTTTTTTTGCGGCAAATTTCCCAAAACGATCCGAGCTTGACCCTTTCGGCGAGCGTCGGTCGGATTTGTTGGCGAATTGTCCCAAGTTCCTCGAAAATGTACTCAGAAGAAGCGCGAAATTTGTAAAAATGTTAATGAGTGTAAAAAGTGAACTTCGTGTACGGACAAATTCAGCTGTTGGCCATTTCGATTTGCCTACGTTTGATGGAAATTTGCAAAAATTCACGCATACCGCGAACAATGATGTTCATGAAAAACGAAATTGCGTAGATTTGGCGAAAAAAGCATTTAATTGAACCACTGAAATGAGAAATATTTTATTATCATTTATGTTTCATATATCGCAAATTACTTACCCAGAAAAAATGAAAAACCGCCTTTTTTCCGAAAAATAACAAATAAAAATTTGTTGAAGAATCATTAGAAAAAGGCAAATATTGATTGAATATGTTGTAATAGAAAATATCGATATCATTACTTCGCCGTAAATCATCATTATAATAAACTTGTAAAATTTTTGTTTATAAAATGACCACGAAATTTTGAAGGCAGTTAATGTAGCCAAAAATATGATAATGAGAAATTGATGAGTAATTATGAGCAGAAAGCAATTATATATCAGCAAATGAGCACCATTCTAAACAGAAAAAAACTTTTTAAAAAAATCGAAAACACTTTTAGCGTGTTTCGGTGTATTTTAATGTATTTTTGAAAGAAAAATCTTTTCATTAATAGGTCAATATTCTAGAATACAGGGTGGCCCAAAATTATGGAAATACATTCAAAGTGATGTAATTTTTGTAAAAATGATCGAATTAACTTGAAAATTCACGAATAGTTTATTGAATCAATAATAAACAAAAATACGTCAACATTACTCGATACGATTTCCTTGGTACTTCATTACTTCCTTGAGTCTCTTCGGGAATGCCTCTCGACAGTGGCACGGAGGTATTCTGAAGAAAGTTTGGCCCATTCCTCAACCAAACTTTTCTTCAATGACTCCAAATTGGTATAGGGATGTGCCTTCATCATGCGCTCCATCGAAGATTTGCTCATACTGAGCTCCAAGCTCATCTTTCTCATGCTCCGGTGCGGATTTCGACGAGTTCGTTCTCTGGCAACCTTGATCCTCTCCGGAGTGATAGAACTGCGAGGTCTTCCACTTCTCGGAGGGTTTTCAAGTGTGTTAAGCTCCTTGTATCGTTTAATGGTTTTACAAACTGTTGATCGAGAAATTCTTTGAGCTTTTGCGATGCAACTGTCGCTCTATCCTCATGTCGCCATTCGATAATGGTACCTCGGTGCACTGAATTGGCTACCATTCCAGAAAAAATGAAGCTAGCAACTAGAAAATTTGGGAAAAGGGTAATTAAAACAAGTTGAAAAATAAAACAAAATAAAACTGCTCCACGAAAAATGCGCTAGAATCTGCCAGAAGGCCTCAAACTTGTGTTTCCATAATTATGGGCCACCCTGTATATTTTCTCGTTTTAATTATTTTTTTTACCCACGAATGAATTGAATTTATTGGTAATTCTGTTAACACAAAACCAATCGAACCTGACAAAATTCGGCTCCGGAACTCAAACCTATCCGATTGGATGTTATTTTTCGAATGCGGAGGCGAATTTTGTCGGATCCGATTGGTTTTGAGTTTCCAGAGAATTTGGAACGGAGCCTTGTCGCTTCCCGTCGCCGATAATCTTTTTCGGAAACAAACTATACTTTTCGTTGTGGGATTTTACTCCACATATTTATCCCGATATAAGATGAAAATGTTAAAAATACTAGAATAAAATATATAATTAGGCAAGTGATATAATAAATGAATGGAACTTCATATTCGTCAACAATTGATACAATTAAAGTTGCGAAAGTAATATAATCAGGACGTCTGCAAAGCGAATCCATGGAGGCATGAGCAAATAGAAAAATAAAACACAAGTATTTGCTGTAAACAGCTGAAAATGAGGAAACTGCGATTCATTACGCCATCAAATGGAATTAAAGAAAATCTTTTGATCTCATGAACTTTTTTACCGAACAAAAATTTTGCGGCTGAAATGCTGCGCAAATTATGCACGACTTTCAGATGTAGTTTTTCCTCGTCCAGCACAAACTTTTTTCTGCGTGAATTTGACTGATTCTTACATTCTTTGAAAAACGAGCACACTGCACCGATTTACGGTAAGTTAAATAGCTTCGCGAGTTATCCAGAGTACGATATCCGAATTTCGACTGTTTAAATTCGAATTTGAATTGCCGCTTCGAAAAGTCGAAGAGTCAGGTCCAAACACTCAAAAAAGTGAAAATTTCAAAAAAAAAGCGAGCAAGTATTATTGGTCTGATTTTATTCAATTTGTTTTTAAATTACGATTAGTAGCACGGAAATCCAACTTTCTAATGGCTCAATTATTTCCGGAAACATTCCGTCGAATGATGCAACAGCGCTCCATTGCACACATCGGCTCATATTTCTGCTGGCAGGACGGCGATATAAAATCCTGAATATTGGATTTTCGCTAAACCAAATTATCCTTTGGTATTTCTCAAGACGTCTTATTTTCTAATTTCTAATTTGCTGGTTTGCTATTCATGCATTCATTTTTCAATTCTCTAAAATTTTGCTGCCGACATGAAATTTTTGATGTAACTTATTGATGTCAAAAATTTCTACAAATATTCTTCACATTCCTCAGTGCTTCATGCCGTCTGTAATGTCACGAAACAAGTCTATTTTAGACAAGTCTATCCAGAACCATGTCAGAAGAGCGCGGCCGCAGCGCTTATAGACCCAACAGCAATGGGTTGTCGGCCTATTACAGGTGCTATTTTGTCGATGTTTCGTTTTCAATATATAATTCAAATTTAATTATAGAGAGCGATTCGGAAGTCATTCGCCAGAAGAATATTTAAATCTGCGTATCTCCGGATTTGATGATCGATTGGAGCGCGATGAAATCAAATCAAAATTAACTCACGAGTTTCGTAAATTCGCTCCGTTTGAGGTATATTTTTGTTCTAGCAGCTAATAAATTGATCATAAACGCTCTAGATAAAAGTCGTGCGAAATCCTGACGAAAATGAGCGTTTGGCTTATGTAAATTTTGAGCGAAATGAATGTGCTCGCAAAATTCGCTATAATAATATGGATCGTCTTCGCGAAGTGTTCGGTCGACACGTTCAATGCGATCCCGCAGGAATTTTACGCGATCAAGAGGGAAAATACATTCCGGACAGATTCAATCGAGCGCAACAAGTTGATTTGAAACTTGTATATGTCATGACTTTAATGTTTTCTAGAATGAAAGAGCTCGTCCTGACACATCGCGACGTCAACAAAAGGAACCATCGACGTGGCGATTGAAACAAGACGACAGCGATGCTACTCGAACACTTTTTGTTGGAAACCTTCCGTGTGAAGTGAAAGAGCGCGAACTTCGTCATGTGTTCGAGAATTATGGAAAAATTGAAGATATTGACATAAAAACTCCCCTGAGTGCCGACGCATCCTATGCATTTGTGATGTTCCAGGTAAACATTCAATGTGTCGAATTTGTATTTATCAATTTTAGACGGTAAATCAAGCAATAGAAGCAAAACACAATGAGCAAGACAGGACAATTCGAGCTGGGGGTCCCAGAATGAAAATTGGTTATGGAAAGAGTCAGGTAGGAAAATTTTCAAAAAACCTATTGAAACTAAACCGATTTGAAAAAACATTTTTTTTGCGTAAACTCCCTCGTACCGTCATGAAATGTAGATGACTTTGTTTAATTTTTATATTTATACGAGAAAAAAATCAAGTTACAATCGAAATTAAGATTCCACACTAATTAAATAAATAACACGCTTTATATTTTTATTTTACATAAATATTGTTCAGATATCGCGTCGTCTCTGGGTTGGAGGTTTGGGTTCATGGTGTGATCGAAGTCTTCTCAATAAGGAATTTGATCGTTACGGATTGATTGAAAGCATCGAATATACGCCAAATGATGAATTCGCCTACATCACATTTGAAGATACCCACGCAGCGCAGGATGCTTGCAGGGCAATGAAAGGCTTTGCATTAGGCGGCCGCGATAAGTGTATAATGGTCGATTTTGCAAAGGATCCATCTGCACCGACGGAAAAAGCTTCATTCCTAAGGAAAAGACGTGCTTCCAAATCGCCGGTTAATAGTGGCGGCCCAAGAACACCACCAGGTTCGCCGAAAGAAGTGGTACGAAATTTTGAAGAACTCGATGGAGTTTATGCATCGACGTGGAGTGGGAAGGTATGTATATTTATATACACTGAACATTTTTTAAATTAAAATCTACAGATGATCCTCAAGAAAACGGAATATGCTGTAAAATTTTATCGTGTTTATGGTACAGAGCGTCTGGTAGTTAAATTACTTCGTGATGAAAACGACGACCCATTGAAATTGGCCATTACTCAAAGGTAATTATTCTGAAAATGTGACTGTTAAATTTGTTTGTTGAACTTACAGGCTTGGTCTCGTTGCCCAACAAGCGTTGTTTGAAAAATTGTTAACTTGTAATTCAAAAGAATTGAGTCTTGGAATAATAACGGCAAAGAAAGATCTCGAAGAATTGATGCCACTGATTAATTACTTTATTAACAAAGATGCCGCCGGTAAGATCAAAACTGAAAATGAAAAAAGATTGTTTAAATATTTATTTTGGTTTTATAAAAATTCTTGAAATACTCAAATGAATGTATTATTTAGTGTCTTATATTTTGATTTTCAGGCGTTGTTACAGTTCCCGGCGGAGTTCTTTATTTATTTCCGTACTGTGATTTCAACTTGAAGCTAATCAATGAATTCGCACCGAATATACGCGTTTTCAATTCGGACACTTCGCCATTTTTGCTTGGAGCACTTGCTCTTCGTAGTACGTCGAATACAACACCCGATGGACGATAAAACATGAAATCCGTCCATTTTTGTGATATAACCATCTCATTTGTGGAAATGTATAATAGTACACCAAAAAGATTCCTTATTTCCCCCTTGAAACTGTGTATTAAATAATTATAATATTTTATAAAGAGATCATTCTATTTTTCTTTAAGATATATGTGTCTCAATCAAATTGTACTTATTTTCCTTTCTATTTCTGCTTAATTTATTTCTTTCGAATAAAAATCATTCGTCTTTATGCAGATAATTTAAGTATACGGTAACATATGTTAGTGTTTCTAATATCGTTTTTGTGAAGATTTTTTTCATTTAAAATGAAGCATTTTAGATGAGTGAAGGGATACGAAAGGTACCAACTTGTCAAGCTGTTGAAGGATGCTCGAATCCGGCAAAGGTTATTTTATTTACTAATCTGGAATGTTTTCTAATGGTATTGTGCAGATTGCGCAAAAAACTAATTTTTCGAGTTTTACTCCTAATATCTGTTTATCACCATATGTAGTTTGCTGAATATCATTCTTCCTCTCTCTATTAATGTTTAAAAACGAAACTGTTTTTCCAGGTCAAGAAAACGAAAGATGGAATGAAATTGTGCGGAGATTGCTTCACAAAAAGCTTCGAAGACGATGTTCATGAAACAATTATCAAGAATAATATTTTCAACGTATTTAGTCTTTTTTATTCGCTTTTGAAAACAACGCATTCAGAGAGGAGAACGAGTTGCGATTGGGGCATCGGGCGGTAAAGATTCGACTGTTCTAGCATATGTCATGAAGACTTTGAATGACCGTTACGATTATGGACTTGATCTACAGTTGTTGTCGATTGATGAAGGAATCAAAGGATACAGAGATGATTCATTACTGGTTAAATTCAAATTGTTCATTATTTTTAAATGATTATATTCAGGCGGTTCAAAAAAACAAAGTTGAGTATGGAATTCCGTTGACGATTTTGAGTTATGAAGATCTTTATGGTTGGACAATGGATAAAATTGTCTCAAAAATTGGAAAAAAGAACAATTGCACATTCTGTGGTGTATTCAGGAGGCAAGCACTTGACCGGTACGCACATTCAAATTATTCGCGATAAGATTTGAATACAGCGGTGCTTTCAAAATCGGAGCTACAAAACTTGTTACCGGACATAATGCGGACGACATGGCCGAAACTGTACTAATGAATGTACTACGAGGTGATATTGGAAGGCTTCAGAGGTGCACAAATATCATTACCGGAGAAGAAGGTGATTTGCCAAGAGCAAAACCATTAAAGGTTTGTGAACTTATCTTCGATTTTGTTCCACTGTAGATATTTTATCGTATAGTATTGCTTCGAGAGAGATATTGTTATGTATGCCCGAGTATTGAAACTCGAATATTTCTACACCGAATGCATTTATGCACCAAATGCCTATAGAGGATATTCAAGGTTAGTTGTATTTTGTTCTCCGGTGAATTTATGTACGATAAATTTTAAGAATATTCGTTCGAGAACTTGAGGAACTTCAACCTCGCGCAATTCTTGATCTCATTCGATCTGGAGAAAAATTGGCAGTGAGGAAGGAAGTTGAGATGACAAAACTGATGACTTGTGAAAGGTAATTACCGAATATGTACACTATGCAGTTAGTAAATCTAAAATAAATTGAATTCGTTTTTAAAGAATGGTATTCAGATGTGGATACATAACTAGTCAAAAGTTGTGCAAAGCATGTCTTCTGATTGAAGGTTTAAACACCGGAAATGTCGATTTAGGAGTTCGCAAGGTTTATTCTATTTCTGATTTTAAATAAAAGTCGGTGTTTTTTTTTTAGAAATCGAAGAAACCCGTCACTTCGGAAACGACTGGTTGCGGCTCGAGTAACGGTGGATGTGCTTGTGCCGATTCAACAGATCCCAACGCTTCAGAGGAAACTCTTGAAAAACTCAAAGCTCTTGATTTTTGATCAACTACCGTGTTATTGTTATCCTTGTTGTTTAGGTTGTTGCTATTTACGTATAAAAGACATTTATTTTGCTTGAAGGCTGTGCAAGAGTTGAGAAAACAGTAAAAAAAAAACTAGCGGGCTAGAACAAAGGAAGTGAAAACAACAATTTTCCATATACCTTGGGTATAAATGCAAAATTGAGCTGGGGAAGATACTAAAAAAATTGAAAGAGAACAAATAGAAAGATGTATCTGATATTTTTTTAATACGCTGCAGTTCTTTTGTCGCGCTGTTTGCCGCGAATTTGATTTCGAGCCTTTTGAGTAGCATCGTGATAAGCCATCTGAAAATGAACAGTATGATATTGTGCAAATAATCGTGTTTAATTACCCTAGAAATTTTGCTTATTGATGAATCACTTGTTAATTGGGGAGTTCCTAAACCGAAAACTTCCCGAAGAACCTCGTTCTTCTGCAATTGCTTCATCATTCCTCCATGAAGAACTTCACAAAGCAAATCATATATCAATTTTATAGTGCATGAGTTAAGAACGAGAGTCTCCTCTCCGAATTTTATATTCACTTCTGGAGTGTCTTCATCGTCGTTCAAATATGCATAAATTTCTCTGAAAATGATATCATCTTTCTGGTATTTTTCCATGTTAATTAATATACCTAAAAGAAAATCTTTGAATCCTTTTGTCTTTTTTCGTTTTTCTCTTTGTTGTATCTCCAATTAATCCCTCAAAAATCTAAAAGAACATTTTATGAAATTACCGTTTTTTAACAAAATTATTTAGTACCTCTAGAACAGTATCATGATTGGGGAATCGCGAATATCCAGGCTTTGCTTCTTGCATATATTCATGAAGGAATGCTAATGCTTCGCCAGCAGTTATCCTTATGTCAAGTTGGTCTGCATTCAAATAACCAACAATTTTTGGTTGGTCATCGGTTGCCGCTTTAATTGTCGAATAATCACCGTCCTGAATTAAATGTATTAGTAATAGAAATTATTTATAATTTAAATTAACTTTTAAAAGATGATGTCTTGTAAATAAAAATAATAATATCTTACCAGTAAAAGAAGACACCAAGATTGAAGACAAATCGAAAATAGTTTGCTATTCGGAGAATTATTTCTAATATTAGTCCAGGCAAATCGGCACGCCTGAAGGAAAATAAGAAATGATCGGAAAACCTAATCAAATTAAACAAGCCTTAATGTTTGCGGCGATTATTTCTTCGTTTTCACATGAGATTCGTGACGTCACAGCCATTGAGAGAGCGCATGTTCCTCGCAAAACGCTGCTCTTCGATAGGTCCATGAGAATAGTGCGCATTTGCGACAACGGATCCTATAAATAGAAATCTAAAATCGGAAACCAAAACGATACAATTTTATATATATATTGTTGATTACGTATTTACACTTTTAAACATAATTTTGAATATATCTAAATACCTCTATTAAATCACTGATTTCTTCTCCCGCCTGAATGGCAACAAGTGAGACGAGAACGGCCAAGCGTGTCGCCTCTTCCTCTGTTTTGTTGTCCAGTTTGTTGGCCAACGAAACTAGAGTCATCTGAAAAACAATGTACTGCAATACATAAAATGATACTCTATTTGAATACTTTGTTCCGCAGCACAAATTCTGGAACGTACTGAGACGTTAGGGCAAATATTAGTCCGTCAAGCGCAGATGTACGGATCGACACACTAAAAACATAATTTAAAAAAATAACACAAGATAATTTTACTTTTTGTGCGTAGCATTATCAAGATTCTCCGTCAATTTGTCGAAAACGTCGTCGAGGTTCTCGATGTCTCCTTGGACACTACTCAAGTCGTCGTCGAACGTCAGATGGGTAGAAACCGACTCATCGCTGTCGCTGTCTAAATGCGTAGTTTTTAAATATAAAATCTAAAAATATAATCTAAAATATTACCATGACGACCGAGTCTTGGCCGCTGCGGTCCGCTGTAGGCGTCTTTATCCTTGTTCTTATTTCGACCCTTTCCCATTATATACTGGAAAAAATGATAAATGAAACCGATATTGCGAGAAATAAATAGCGGAATAGAAACGGCTCGTATCTTTTATTGAAAAAAAAGTGGCCTAATGCGACAAATAACGGAGAACGCTGGTATTTGAGAGACGATGGACTGCCAGAAAACATTTCGCAACAACAATTGTTTTGTTGTTTCATAAGAGTACACGATTTTAGGAAAAATAAAAGTGAGGACCAAAGTACATAACGCGTAGGTCTTAGAGAGTGCAGATGGCGTCTCGACAGCAACATCACCTGTTAGAGATGCGCACTTCGGGCGGGAATTTCTTGCAAACAGTCGGTCCGTGACTTTACGTCGGCACATTGCACACATTTCAGTTTAACATCTTTTTGTTGAAGATTTTGTGGCCCATCGCCTAATTTTCGAGCTTCTGATAATGTTTTAAATTGTTCGTTATATTAAACGAAACAAAAATTTCCCTAAAGCTCGCTTTTTTAATTTTAATCATATGCTTGAGGCGTTTCTTTCAAATTTTCCTTATTTTAGGTATTTATTTATTTTAAAATCTCATTTCCAAATAATTTTCTATTCGTGAGATTTTAGAACAATGTTTAATTGTAATTATTTAATTTTTTTAGAAACAAGGGGTAACAATATGGGAGATATTAAAGCTAAATGGGAGAATAGCCCACTTGATATCGTGGAAAATCAAGATCCGAAAACGTAAGATGATGATTTTCGTATTTCCTATAAATAGTTGGTTATGATCATCAGAATACTACCACGAAATGATAAACGGAACATTCTCATCACATCTGCGCTGCCCTATGTGAATAACGTCCCACATTTGGGAAATATCATTGGATGCGTTCTTAGCGCCGATGTTTTCGCGAGATATTGCAAACTTCGTGGACATCAAACTTTCTACGTCGGTGGAACTGATGAATATGGTACCGCAACAGAAACGAAAGCTTTGCAAGAAGGTGTGACTCCAAGAGAGTTGTGCGACAAATATCACGCAATTCACAAAAACATTTATGAGTGGTTCAATATCGATTTCACTCATTTTGGAAGGACTACAACTGATGAACAAACCGAGTATATCGCTCTATATAATCGTCTTTGAAGACAATTCAGTTTCTTACAGAATTTGTCAAGATATGTTCTTGAAGCTTCATAACAATGGATATACCTCCACGCAATCTGTTGACCAGTTGTTTTGTAATAAATGCGAAAAGTAAGATTTTTCGAAAAAAAAAGTCAATTATACTTGTTTGTTGAAGGTTTCTGGCTGATCGCTTTGTGACTGGAACTTGTCCAATGTGTAATTATGACGATGCAAGGGGGGATCAGTGTGATGGTTGTGGAAAGCTAATCAACGCGGTTGAGTTGAAAGACGTATGAGTTTGTAAAATTTTGAAAGGAAAAAAACTTTTTTTTTTTTGAATTTTTTAGGCTAAATGTCATATGTGCCAAAGCACGCCAAACGTCAAACAATCAACACATATTTTTCTTGCTTTGGATAAACTTCAGAAAATGTCAACTGACCATTTGAACAAGGAACTAGCGAAACCTGATAACCGGTGGTCAGCAAATTCCGTTGGAATCGTGAAATCCTGGATGAAGCTGGGACTTGATCCGCGTTGTATCACCCGTGATCTCAAATGGGGAACTCCAGTACCTCTTGAAGGTTTCGAAAATAAGGTGTTCTATGTTTGGTTCGATGCGCCTATCGGATATTTGTCGATTACCAAATGTGTTCTTGGGAAAGATTGGGAGAAATGGTGGAAAAATCCAAAGAACGTCGAACTCTACAATTTTGTCGGAAAAGACAACGTCGCTTTCCATGGTGTTATGTTTCCATGCTCCCAACTAGGTGCCAATGATAATTATACTGTAGTTAATAATCTCTGTGCTACCGAATATTTAAATTACGAGGATACAAAGTTCAGGTATTCCAAATAATGGTTCTCCCAAGTAAAATTTATTTCGTAGTAAATCGAGAGGTACTGGAATTTTCGGCGACGCTGCAAAGGAAACTGGAATTCCTGCTGACATCTGGAGATTTTATTTGCTTTACATGAGACCGGAAACTCAAGACACTGCGTTTAGTTGGGATGACTTTGTTTTGAAGGTAATTTCTAGAAATCTTTCTCTCTTAAACAACAAAATTCAGGTGAATAGCGAACTTCTCAATAACCTAGGAAACTTTGTCAACCGCGCCTTATCTTTCCTCGCCAATAACTTTAATGGAATTGTTCCTGAAATGGAGTTAAACGGAGATGATATTGAAATGTTGAAAGAGATCGAAGAAGAATGCATTCAATGGGATACTCATTTCGATTGTGTTCATCTCAAAGATGCTGTTAAATCGATTCTGAATGTTTCTCGCCGGGGTAATCAGTACATCCAAGCACAAAAACCATGGGTTCTCATGAAAGGAAATGATCAAGAAAAGTAATAATTCCAAACGAAAGTCGACAATTGTTATTTGTAGGAAAAGAGCGGGAACAATTATTGGAGTAGCTGCAAACATTGCATATCACATAGCCATTTTATTGCACCCAGTCATGCCAATTGTGAGTTATTTCATTTAAATGGGTTGGGGAAGGATAGAAATATGACAAAAAAAGGAGAGTATGCAGGCTGTACACCACAAAAAATATTTAAGTGAAAAATTGCTTCAATTAAGGTGTTCTTTTTGCGATATTCATTACTTTAAACTTGAAAGTATGTGAAGAAAATCGAATAGAAACAGCAGTCTCGAATTGATTTTGTTTTAATTTTGTTAATTGATAGTGTAACCTTTTTCTGCTGATCCATAATTTATGATCGTTGCCTCATTTCGATAGTCGGCAGACTCAACCACCAGCAAAAATCAGAATCCGAACAGACATTCCTTGTTTTTTGGTTTCTTGCTTTTTCCATGATTATTCGTTTTTTTTTTCAACCTCAATTCGGTGCGATGTCGTGGTTGCTGTAGTCGAGGGTACCCGACATGGCCTTGGTGTTGCTTCCTCAGTTGCCGGCGATGTCCGTGTTGTCGGCAAATCCAGTTCGAAATCATCGAACGGGGATTGTTGGTCTCTTTTGTCAGGTGTGTGACATCTTTTGTGCGGTGTTGGTTCGCATGACGTCTCTATTGGTTTCCTTGGAATTCGACTAATGCTAGTCGAGGCTAGTCGGATAGTACCGAGGACCCAGGACAAAGTACAACAACCGAAGCTATAGCTACAATAAATCTACGATTATCTATGGACAGGGATACCCTGGCACAGCTCTTAGAGCAACATGCCGAAAAACAACAGCAAAAATTCAATTCTATCAGTGCTGCTTTCACCACGCAGAAGGCAGAAACAGCAGCCGGAAGTTATCAGCATCATCAACTCACTGTCGAATCGAATTTCGCCGTTCCACTACTGTCTGGAGGATGGTGAAACCTTCGATGTTTGGTTTTATCGATACCACGACATTGATAGCAATGATCTCGACGACGCTACCCGCACGCGCATAGTCGTTTCCAAGCTCGAGAACGAAGAAGCTAAACAGATCCGAAGCTTCCTCCTGCCACAGACACCTGCCGACGTCAACTTCACAGCGTTGAAGAAACTTCAGACGGAGTCGCTAGCGAGACTTCGTTATGAGCTTTTTCGATGGAGTAGGTCGCAAGGATTACACAGCCCTTATAAAACGCCGTTTTGCTGCCGCTCAATGGAATCAGCTTCCGCAACACCAAGCTGAATGTCTTCTATGGGTCGCAGGACTCCATGCCTCAGAACACCTGGATTTGCGAATTCCAGCTGAATTCTGAACTGAAACTTACGGAGCTTACGGACCGTTTGGATCAAGTTATATCACTTCGCGCCGACGCCGATTTCATCGGAGGTAGATCTTACGACATTCACGCCATTCCCCGACAAGCCAAATAACCGAAGCTAAAACTGAAAGAATGCGTGAAAGCGTTCCTTATATAGCGCTCCTATATCTTGATAAGGGCGTCGGTCACGCTATGCTGATTCTGATCGCCGCTCCAACAAACGTGTTTAAAAATTATTTTAATTTTCAACTTTAGGTGTCTGAAACAATCAGAAAACAATGCGGACTTGAAATTTTACCAATTTTCACACCATCTCCGAAAGCATATTTAAAGAAAGGACATACTATTGGAAAGGTATGTTAAATGCTGTTCGAAACATTCTAACTGTTCGATAATTTATTCTAATATTTTGTGTTCAGCCATCGCCCCTTTTTGAAAAGCTTGATCCGGTCAAGATCAATGAATTCAAAGTGAAATTCGGAGGAGCTCAATCAACACGAGTAGCTCCATCGGCCGATAAACCGAATGATGCTGCCGCCAAAAATTCGAAGAAACCCGTCGATAGCAAGAAGAAGAAGGAAAAATCGCCGAAAAATGGTGAATAATTTTTTGAATCGTTTTCAAGCGTCGAGTATTGTGTCCAAAATCGCTATTGTCTAGTGTCGTTTATGTTGTTCATTTTTGTAGGCGGCGGTGGAAAATGGTGGATGGCGAGACCAGCGATGTTGAACACATTACCGACGAATCGTTTTTTTTCTGTTCATTTCGCTTTATTTCATTTTTTGCATGCCCGTTCTCTTTTCTCCCTTTTTCTCGTAATAGCTGCTCTACAATCAATCAGTCGTTTCAGATTCAAAGAAGGTCGATATGGCATCTCTCGTCTTTCCGGCGCTTGCTAAAAATCAAAAAACTATCAAACAGTTGTTGGAAGGGAATTTGAAGAAGTTTGAGCAAGCTCGTATGATATCAAAATTTTCATCAAAGTTACGAATTTAATTTCTTTAGGATCCTTATTCCAGCGCGAGAAGCTCACTGCTCTAGAAGCTGAGAATAAAAAGCTTGAATCCGAAGTCAAAGAACTTGTCGAGCAATTAACTGATGCAGAAATCGCCGCCGGAAGTGAGAATCAAAAGAAAACGTATCATACGTTTTTGAATTTTCAGTCAAACAGGTTGCTAAACCAACAGTTGATTCAAAATCATCTCCATCTGGAAACGGAAAAACTGCTTCTGCTCCTGAACCTTCCGCTCCACCTCAAGAATCGAAACCAGCGAAAAATGAAAAATCGAAGAAGGCCGGTGGAAACAAGAAACCGGCTGCAGCTGCCACCGATGATACTATTGATATTGGCCGACTTGATTTGAGAGTTGGACGAATTATCAAGTGTGAGAAACATCCGGATGCTGATGCGCTCTACGTCGAACAAATCGATGTGGGAGAGACTGCGCCACGTACTGTTGTTTCTGGATTAGTGCGGCATGTGCCTTTGGATCAGGTATAATCACGAATCTGAACCATAATTCTATTTTTTGTTTAGATGCAAAATCGGCTTGTGGTTGTGTTGTGCAATTTGAAACCGGCCAAAATGCGCGGAGTCGAATCTCGCGCCATGGTTATGTGTGCCTCTTCTCCCGAAAAGGTCGAGATTATGGAAGTTGATCCGTCTGGTAAACCTGGAACTCCTGTGATCTGCCCACCGTATGTTCACAGACCAGATGAACAACTGAACCCAAAGAAAAAAGTAACTAAATATTAATATTATCCTCTAAAACGAATATCATTTAGATTTGGGAAACGATTGCAGAAGACTTGAAAGTTTCCGACGAAGGATTTGCGGCTTGGAAAGGACAACCATTGCTTGTCGGCGGAGAAACTAAAATGGTGGCTCCAACTCTTCGCGGTGTGTTTGTTAAGTAACCAATTCTATATCGCATCGAAGAATTAAATTATCATTTTTGTGGTTTTTTGAGTACCCAGCCGGTTTATTATAGAACTTTATTTGTTTCCGGATAATATTTATATTATGAAATATCATAAATGTTGTTATTGTTGAATATTGCACGTTGAAATTGTTCTGTAATGGTTTTGAGCCGATTGATACATATTTAGAAATTAAATTATTAAGTGAGACATTATGAATCAATTCAGATGGGTAAGAAGAAATCTGGATTAAATGATGAGCGATTTGCTCACATTAAATCTGATCCACTTTTTTCCGGGTTGAAAAATACTGATAAGAAAGTTGTAATCGATAAAAGATTTGCTGCCGCACTCACAGATGAACGATTCTCAAGTCGAACGAAAGTGGATATGCGCGGAAGAAAACAGAAGAATCGAATTGGTTAGTAAAATTTAATCCATAAGTTTTTAAAAAAAGACTTCATTATTTGAATATTATTAGTTTTAGTAATCAATTTTATAGGAAATGGTATGCTTGATCTGTACGAACTCGAAAACGCCGAAGAAGAAACAGTAAAGAAAGTGTCGAAAAAGAAGACGACGCCAAAACCGAAGGATGACGTATGTTTTCCAATAAATGCGTGAAAATGAATTCCATTTCTAGATTGAAGCGTTTTTTGATGAAAATGAAGACGATGACCAGAATGAGATTAAAGAAAAGGAAGAAGACATTGAAGATGAAGCTGATGACGAAGAAGATGAGGATGAGGAAGAGGAAGAAGAAACAAATAGGCATCGAAAGCTTGATCTGGCAAGAGGAGAAGGAAATTCTCACTTGTCCTCTTCGGATGATGATAGTAGCGAGGAGGACGATGAAGATGAAGAAGATGATGATGAGCAAATGGCAGAATCCATGAAAATTGAAATGGATTTAGCAAATTTGGACAGGTTTCAACGACTTATAAAATCAATTTTTCATTAAAGTTATTTAAAGAGATGCTGAACAAGTGGAATGGATCTCGAAGCGAATTGCTCTGTGCAATTTAGAATGGGACACTGTCAATTGCGAAGATATTCTGATGCTCGTTAAATCATTCATACCAGAAGGAGGATACGTCGAATCCGTTGGAATCTACATGTCGGACTTTGGCAAAGAACAACTCGAACTTGAGGAAAAAAATGGGCCACCCGTGAAATTATCAAAACCTCTCGAAGAATACACAGAAGATGAGATGAACGCGTTAGATTTTTTTGTTTTCCGCAATCTGATGAAATTAAAATTTCAGAGAAACTAAAACGATCGTTCGAAAATATCTGCTCGATCGTTTAAAATATTACTATGCTGTTATTACGTTTAGCGATGAGAAAAGTGCTCAAGCGGTTTATGAAGAATGTGATGGATTTCAATTCGAAGAAACTGGACTCAAAATGGATATGCGATTTGTGCCAGATGATATGGAGTTTGAGGTTTTTTTTTTTGCTTTTTTGGTTCTTTAAACAAATATTCAATATACAGGAGGAACGGTGTCGCGAGTTTTTGAAGGCTGGAGATGTGAATCTCGAAAAATATAAACCAAAAAAGAAGGTTATTAATATATATTTTTCATTTGTACATATGGATTCGTTTTAGCCGAAAAATTCGATTGCTTCGACTAGTACAAAGCTTTCTTGGGATGAAGATGATCCGAGCCGTAAGAAGAAATTCCTCGATGCATTTGCCGGTGATGAAAAAGCAGGAAAGGAGCTTATCGTGGACTCGGATGAATCAGACAACGAAGAAAATAGAAATGCACTTCTCTCTTTGCTTAATAATGACGAATCTCATAAGAAACTTGAGGTTGACTTTAGGTGAATTTACATTTTTAGGATCTTCGTTATAGGTTGAATGGTCCGGAGACGAAGAAGAAAAAGGAGATAATAAAAGAAAGGGAGATTCATCTGATTCTGATGGAGAATACGTCAAAGTTGACGATGACGATGATGAGATTGGAGTGAAAAATGGTGCAAAGAGGAAAGCAGAGGAAAAAGATGAAGATGAAAAGGTTTATTTGGTATTCTTACGGAAATTAAGAGTTTCTTTTTTAGCTTTCTGGATATAAAGCGTATATGAAGAAAAAGAAGGCGAAATTGGCAGAGAAGAAATTAGAATTGAGGAAGGGAGCAAGTGGACAGGTTGATTTAATTTTTAGAACAATTCTTGCAACACCAAAATTTCAGGGAACCACAATTAAGAATGCAGAAGTCATTGAATCGGTGGCTGGTGATGAACGCTTCAAGGCGCTTTTCACTGATAGTGCGTTCGCCATTGAACCGACTTCGAAGAAATTCAAGGGATCCATGTTGGCTGCACGACAGGTCAAAGAAAAGACTTCTGAGAAGCCAACTGCACCAATCATTAAAGAAGATCTTGTTAACAAATTGAAAAAGAAAAGCGAAAAATGGGAGAAGGCTAAAAATAAGTAGAAATTCTTAGCGAATTTTTGGGCAGTTCGGCCGAGCTGTCCCGTTCTAGCCATGCTTCGTTCCAAGGTCACTTCTCCGAATTTCGTTCTTTTCCATTTTGTTTGTTATATTGCTGGCGTCAATCGACTGAACTGAAAATTAAAATATTGCATACTAGCACTTATTATGTATGGGCCTGTTCAGTGCCAGAAAAATTGTCGAATTTGTCATTTTTGGCTAATGCAATCACATTTGTCATTTTTTACAAGAAAACTGACAGTTTCCACTATTTTGCACAGCGCTGAATGGCTCCGTCAGCCAACGCGTAGATTTACTCTGATTATGCGAAATTGATTTTCCCGCCACCGATCAGCCATTTTACGCCGCCATTTTTGTTGTTGTTGTTGTTGTTGTTTGCACGGATTCTCTTGTTCTTATCAAATTTTATTATTGTTTTGAATTCTGAACAAGTGGCCAACCATCAGATATACAAGTTATAGACATTTCTTTGATCGGCTTATCGTTCGTCCAGGTGTGATTGTTATCATGTTTAACCATGAAGTTTTGAAATCGTTGAAAAGTTGACAAGACAAAAAGAGAAGAGATCGATAAAACAGTAACATGCATTTAATTATTGAGGAGTTTCGTATATGCTGCATCTAATCCGTATATCCGGCGGGTATTCAGGAAAGCGGCGCGCATAACTTCATCGATGTGCAATTTTTTGATTTCAGCAATTTTGAAAGCAGTGGCGGAGGCTGAAAATTCAAATTTCTCACAAACATGTGTGTTATTAAAGATTAGTTTACGAAGAAGAAATCATTAAATCATTTTCGAAAAATCGAAACCCTACCCATGCCAGGCAGCGATATTTTTGGTGGCGCGCAATTCGCCAATTGTTTTGGCAGGAAGTATGGTGCATCTGTTTCAAGCACAATCCTATCAAGAGGAATTTGCCGCAAGGTTTCTAACTGTTTCGGTCCAAAACTGTATACCGCAGGAGTAAATCCTAAACTATTTTGTAAAGAAATTAATTAACATGTCCCAAGACAAACCAAAAACCAAATTTGGAAACTGCTCCATCCAAACTTTGGCATTTGACCAATCTTCAGTATAACAATGCCTGTGAATCCGCAAATATCTGTGGCCGTATTTTTGAATTGCCTATGAACATCATTATATTTCATTCGCAAAAAACGAGCACCCTGCGCCGATACGAGAGTTTGCTTCGCGGGTTATCCGGAGTACGGTATCCGAATTCCCACTGTTCAAATTCGAATTTGAATTACCGCCTCGAAATAGTGCGATGGTCCACAAATATTCAAGGAGCTCGTTTTTTGCAATGGTAATATATAGTCGGTTTTCGATGAATGCTGTGCTCTACGACTGCAGGGTAGATTTACGACTGCGCCTTTCGAAATGGTCCCACCACGTGTGAACGATTATTTCACTATTTTCACTTGAAATGTTCATTTTGCATTGATGATTTTGTGTTTCCTTGAAATTTTAACGTCATTCAAATTAACAATTGCCGAAACGACCCTTAAAATACAAAATAATCAGTTAGTCCACGCGAGACCATCGCCAAGGCGCATGCACGTAAATCTACCCGCGTACAAAAGTCACCGGAAGCCGACTATATCTATATATATATATATTGCTACAAATTTAGCACAAACCATACATTTTTGAGAATATCTATACATTCTTCTTCGGCATTTCCGTTTTTTCCACTTCGACAATGGATAACAAGAGCCAAATCATAACGAAAAGCTAATTCAATTTGGCGTTCAAACGCATATTTTTGAGCATCGAGCGACGATTCGCTTCTGAATATGAAAAATTTTAAGAGAATTGTTGGGTTTCAGGAAATTACTTGAAGAGATCTATACCGCATTCTCCAACAGCGACAACCAAAAATTTGTCTTTTTGGCGAAAAATGTCTTCGAGGCATTCCCAGAATCGATTATCACCCGCATATCTGGAAAAATGGAAATTTTGTCACGACAATTTTAAAGAATTACTTCTGTGAAAAATGTGGATGGCATCCCCAAGTCGATCCGATATAATAATGGAATTTGAGTTCATTACTGATCCAGTTGAGATCCGAATCTGTGTTTTCAGGCGATGAAGTAAACAATGATGGATCGATGAAGTTGGCAATGATTCCAGCAAACGCGCGGGGGAATGACCGAGGATATCGGTGCATCCATTGAGAAAGACCTTCTCCTGGCCGAGATTTCAATTTGTTAAAAATGAAATCCGTATGGCAATGGCTGTCGATATATGGAATTTCGAGAGCGTCGAACTGAAAATCAACCATTTTGATTTTATTTAACTATTACTGCATGGTATGTCTAGGCAAAGATAATTACATCAATTAACACTTCTGGTTTGTTTGCTTAGCATGCTATTATGGCAAAGCTTACATTAAATTCTGTCAAATCGATCGCGTTGCACTCGAGTTTTGAATAGTAGGTGTTCTGTTTCGAAGCTTCAAATTCCATCGATTGTTGTTTGACAGTTTCGCAGCTTTTTTTATCAGCTCTAGAAATGTTTGTTAATTCAATATTTTTGATATTAGGATACTGGCGTTATGAAAATAACCGAAATCAGAGGTGAAAAATGTTGATTTTTTTAAAGATAAGCAGATATTAGTTATTCTTTTTGTTATGATTGTGAAAACAATTTTTAAAAACTCACAAAACAGTGTTTTCAAAATGTTTAGAACTCTGTGACTCATTGGAATTGTTTGAAGAAGATTCAGGAGAATTCTGAAATAAAAGTTCAATTTGATATTTCTTGTCAAAATTTTACTTTGCTTTCTAGCGTAGATGCAATCTCTTTGCGAAACACTTTGTTCGCCGATTTTTTTCTCGGTTGATCTTCTTCATTTTCGCAACAATTTGGAATTTCACTTGCGTGGCGTTTCTGATTATTTTTACATTTACTAATTTCAGTTAATAATCGAATTTCTTTACCTCCGTCGCAAGCTCCATGGAATTCATTTTGTCTTCTATTCTATCGGTTTCTTTCAAATTTGGAATTCGTATTTTGCGCGGTTTATTTGAACTCTCGTTTTGTGCTTCAACATTTTTCTCGACTTTTAGGTCACGTAGATTTATTTTATATTCTTGGTCCTGCTGATTTTCTGCAGGTTTGATAGACCTTCTGCAGAAACGGTTGTTATCTTATATTTAATATCAAACAGACTAACGGTAAAAGAGCGCCTTCGTTATTTTTTCTCATTTTTGGAGCGACATAAGTAGCAGAAACCTTATGAACTCGACTACTCTCTTTTGCCACCATTCTGAAATCAAATTTTATTGTATCTTCACAAATAATTGTTTTCAAAATACACAATAGAGCTTGAAAAATGTACTTTTGTATACTTAATCAAGGGCGTCACAAAATTGTCCGCTGAGGAGTGATCGTGCGATGGCGTTGCCATTTGCAGTGCCGCACATTTTTTGGCTCCGCCTACTTTCATGTGCCACTGCAAAGAAGAAAACCGAATGAATCTGTGTTAAACGATATCAATTGTTGATTATTTTTTATCAAAAGAATTATCTTTTTATCAATAGGCCATCTTTTTCAAGTTATAGTTCAATTTTCATATTCATGAATAAGAAAATGATTTATTTATTCTTCTCTCGTTTTTTTTTATGGTATGTTTTTTTAGAATGTCGGATCATTCGGATGATGGAGAAGAAGAAGATTATCCATATGGAATTGACGAAAAAGATGAAGGATCTGAACCAAGACCAACTGTCATATTAATGGGAAAAAAGAGGTATTTAAAAACAATAGCCCCATATCGATTGACAAAATCTATTTCGAATTTATCTTCAATTAAAAATTTTTATCAAAGCATCATAAATTAAAATCACATCTCGTTTTAATTCTATATTTTTTCAGGAGTGGAAAAACATCGATCCGTAAGGTTGTGTTCCAAAAAATGTCACCAAATGAAACGATGTTCGTCGAAAGTACAGCAAGAGTTACAAAAGAAAGTAGGTTCAGTTTTCTACGAATTGTTTATAAGCTAAAAGCTTATTAGTGTAAATAACTTGGTAGTGTAAATAGTAGAATTAGAAAAGTAGAATAAATAAATATAATATTGAACAACTATAATCTAACATTTAGAAATCATTTTTTAGACATTTGCTCGTCGTTCATTAACTTCGAGACGATCGAGTTTCCCGGTCAAATGTGTCCATTCGAACAAAATCTTGACCCCGAAAACACATTTAAGAAATGCGGTAATTTACTGCTACTTTTCGTTTGAATGTGCTCCAAATTGGTTTTTAGGGGCTCTTTTGTACATCATTGATGCTCAACAGACCGATTTTGAACCTGCGTGTAAGACGTTGGTCGATTATTTCTCGGAAGCCTACAGAATCAATGACAAGATAAAATTCGATGTTTTTGTGCACAAAGCGGATGGGCTCACAGAGGAAACTCGCGTTGAAACGAAATTCGAAATATATCATTATGTTTGTTTTTTTTTCTAAATTATATTGTATCGTTAGTTTTTCAGGTTAAAGAAAACATTCGACTTAATATTGGACACGATATCAATATTACCTATCATCTCACTTCCATTTATGATCATTCCATTTTTGAAGCATTTTCCAAAGTTGTCCAAAATCTTGTGAAACAGCTTCCAACACTTGAAAGACTCTTAGATATTTTCAATCAGGTTTGTAGTTAGGCATTTGGGCAATTTCTCATCTTTTACATTTTAGGGTTCTAACGTTACTAAATCCTTTTTGTTCGATATTTTGTCGAAAATTTACATCGCCACTGACACTGAACCTGTAGAAATGAATATATACGAGTTGTGCTGCGACATGATCGATGTCACCTTAGATATATCTTCAATTTATGGGTGATATTATTCTATATTTTCGAAATCGATAATATTGCCTTTTTAGATCCAACGAAAGTGGAAATTCGTTCGACGAGTCATCTGCCGCTGTGATCAAGCTGAAATCGGAGCAAGTCCTGTTCCTCAGACAGGTCAACAAGCATTTGGCGTTAGTCTTCATCATGAGAGAGGAGAATTACGACAAGCAGGGATACATTGATTATAATTTCATGTGTTTCAAAGAAGGCCTCGAAAAAGTCTTCCTTTTGAAAAAATAATTCTTTAGCACTAAAATAAACATTTTCTCATAACATTTATTTTCAAAGCCAATCCAACAAAAACAGGTCAGCTTAGAAAAACAACAATATATACCATTAGAACTTGCTGAATCCCTTCTTAGAAGTGGCGGACTTGTTAACCTTCAAGACGTTGAATCGAACAGTCTTAGAGAGGGGTCTGCATTCTCCGATGGTCACGAGGTCTCCTGGACGGATATCTCTGCAAATATCAGAATAGAAAATATCAACGAAAACATTTTTTAGCTAGGTAGCCTTCAACGTATATTTTTTAAAGCGGACTATTTATTTTTCTTATGTTAGTTTACCCTATTATTAGAATCGCAAAATTGCCAAAAAAGGCTAAACGTAAAAAACGTGGCAGCGGTCTTGGCGCAAAAAAATAAACATAGATAATTTTTTTGGCACTTGACCAATTTTCTGGCAATCGTTTGATATTGACAATAATAAATGTCTGAAAATCGGCATATTTCTGCACATTTCGCGAGAGTAAAGATTTACATTAAAAGTACTGTTAGAAAATAATTTTTGAGGCCTACGAAATAAATTAAAGTTTATAAAAATTACCTGAAGGCTGGAGAGCAGTGAGCTGGCACGTTCTTATGTCTCTTTTCGTAACGACGGTACTTCTTGATGTAGTGAAGGTAGTCACGTCTGACGATGATGGTTCTGGTCATCTTGTTCTTGAGAACGACTCCAGTAATGATCAATCCTCTGATTGGGACATTTCCAGCCCATGGGCACTTCTTATCAATGTAGGTTCCCTCAACAGCCTGAAAAATAAATTTAAAAAATTTTTTATACATTTTTAAGCTTACTTCGCGTGGAGCCTTGAATCCAAGTCCGACATCACGAATATAGCGTGGAGTCTTCTTGCTTCCGGCAAGGATGCGAGCCTTGTTGTTAAGGTTGATGGTAGGCTGCTTCAAGAAAGCCCTTTCTGTCTGATCAGACATTTTCCCAGGTCCTGAAAATGAACCAATGATTTTCGTCGGAAATTAAAAAAAAATACACAAAATCAAACACAAATTAAACGAAGAAAATACAATATAACACTCTGAGCATAATAAATTAAATCTAATGTATAAAAATGTGCACAAATTCATCAAAAACACTTAGGAAAACATCAAAAAAGAGAAATTTTTGTTGTATTTCTCTCGGGTCTACGGTAGTAAATGAGGAACACGGCGTGGCAAGACCTCGCGCTACGTAAAATGCATGTCCCTAGATATTCTGTTTGTCTGAGTCTCTCGTTTCGCGTGATGTTTTGTGCAATTTTTTTAAATGTTATAAATGTCGAAATGTTAATGTTTGAAATGAAAAAATAATGAAATAATAAACAAATGAACAAATTGAATTTAATATACATAAAGTTTGCAATTTTCATATTTGACGAGTGAAAGCCACTAATTTAACAATTACACCAATTTTTCGCGAAAAAACGTGCAACTCATATTTCGGCGTTATTAATTGCGCAAGAAATTTTCTGATAAGACTCAAATGATGAATTACTCTTGAAATAAAATAGAATTTTGCAATTTGGCATAATATTTTATAATTTTTTATGAATCCGCTCAATAGTTGTGAAGACACTTTTTTCAATACACCGTTCGGCTTTTAACCAGGCAACCGAAATAAATTGCTCCAATACAGTCTGAAACTTTTGCAAGAAATATTTGAAGAGGGAGATAATAGAATTTATTTATTGCTAAGTTGTAAGTTATAAATTACATGATCACCAGTGAGTTGATTAAAAAGCAGTATTAATGCACTTATTCAGAGAAAACGTGGAAAAAATTTATGAGTCTTATTTAAAAATGGGAATAAAAAATCTGGTACCCGCGATTTGAACACAAATATGATTAATATTGAGAACATAGATGAGCGGGGGGAAAAATTCAAAATGAATAAAAATTTCGAATAGATTTCAGGATGACTTCTGGTTTATTAGATTTTGTAGATCTATGTTCTAAATTTTAACGGTCTACTTGATATACATTTACCAAAATTTGTAACGATAACAACAATCGAAAAGGCGCGAGATTCAAAATCTCGAAAATTGAGCACTAGTTGATGTAGAGAAAATTGGAAAAAAAAAACAACGTATTCAAATACCAAAAATTCCTATTTGTGGAAAAATAAGTGATTAGAAATCAGCAAGAAATCGGGATCTACCCAGCGAAATTGCAATATTCCAAAAAAGATAAAAAGAAAAAAAAACAAAAGGGAAGCACCAATGAAAGAAAGTAAATGTAAAAATTATTCTACTAGAGAAATCGGGATTTATCCAAGTGACATATGCCATCTAAATGCAGAATGTTTTGTATGATTTGCAAAAAAGTGTTAGTAATTAAGTAAGAAAAGGTAATTATTTTACAGGTGTCGTCGAGTCGAGTCGAAAGAAAAAAGCAATGAGATTGATGGGGGCGAGGATGACGCATATCATAGGCACCGACTTAAATAACAAAAACAAAAAAGGTATAAATTAATAGTGAAGGTTTTTGGAGTGGAGTTGGTTGATTGATTGATCACAGAACTTGGAGACAATAACTACAATTAAGTGGATGAAATTAGGTGGAAGGAATGGCACTATTTTAGGGAATTTTCATTGAGATATTAAAGAGAGATGAAAAAAAAGTGATGGGTATGGAGAACCAGTAATTTTCAAGAAGCTTCGTCCCACAACGACGATGTTGTTGGTTGTGACGTGGACATTGCAAGAAGACGACTCGTTGCCAGATCTAATTCAGCGTGTTGCATTTCACTGTCAGCCTCATCGTCTGTAAAATGTTTATTAAAAACTAATAATAAGTCCAGTTTAAAACAAGATAACAAATATTAGGTCTTACCAGAGAAATCAACAGCCGGCAACGGTTGCTCTGGTTGATTATTCGGCGAGAAAACACCGTTTACAACGGCACCATTCTCTCCGAAGAAAGAAGTGAAAGACATCGATGACGATGCCCTAGGTGAATCCTGAAAATTTGGCATAAATCAGCAAGCGTCTCTATCGGTTTACCAATTCTTCGACTTTTGGAACAAGCATCGGCTTCGTGACGACAGGAGGAGCCGGGAGAGGTGTTTCGACTTTCGGAGTCGCCGGCTTCGGCGTCACAACCTTCTTGTTCTTCTTTTCCGGAGAATCTTCAGTCATCCAGGGGAGCAATGCAGAGATCTTACGCTTTTGACCCGGCACTCGTGACACCGAGCTTGAAACGCTATTCACTGGGAATAACGACGGCTTCATCGTATCGTTCGATTTCACATCAGGCACTGTGGCTGACGATGAGGGTTTCGGCGTCGAGACAGGTGTTGTAAGCGATGTGGCAGAAGACGATTGATTGGTCGAATTGTGCGTGAATGGGTTGAAGCGATTCGTAAACGTCATCGATGTTTTCGAAGTATTGACTGCCTTTGGTGTGTTGCCAGAATTCGATTTCGGCGTTGTTCCAGATCTTGGCTCAGAGTTCATTTTAATCGAGTTTGACGAGTTGCTCTTCTTCTTTTCATTCTCAATGCTCTTCTTTTTCTTATCAGTCGACGCTGATTTGGATTTGTCGTTCCATTTTGTATACGTCTTCGTTGAGCCATTCTCTCGCTTCTTTTCACGTTCCTCTTCTTGTTTATTCGTCACTGATTTACCCGGATTGAATGATGTCGACGATCTTTCGCAATGAACTTTTCTCGCCTTTCGCGGTGTTGACATGGATGCTGTTTCTTTTCTCGACGAATCCTTCGTGATAATCTTCAACGAGCACCCACCATCCGCCGATCGATTGATTTTCAACAGAATCCGTGATTGGTTGGTTGGCGTGAGCAACGGATTCTAAATTAAAATTCAAAATAAAAAAAAAACTGGATTTTAAGTTTAAAATCAATCTCACAATTTTTGATTTTACCGGTGTCACCGACGAACGCATTTCATCGGTAAGCCGTCGGAACTTCAGAAGCAATTTCCCACTGTCTTCGGTATATACTTTGGCAAGCTACAAATATTCAACAATGCATTTCCGGAAATCTCGAAAATACCCGATGAGCGAATTCGCCATTTCTTCTGATGGGAGGTGTTTCGAACGAACTACGAGCAACAGCAGTGGATGAAGCAGTTTCAGCAAATTCTCTCTTCTCTTCATTCGACTTCTTTCCGCGCTTCTTCTTCAACATTGTCGAAATGTCCGGCACAGACGGCGATGAACCAAAATCGGCAACATTACCAGTTGTCTTCAACTTCATCTTGCGTGGAGACGGTTTGCCAGAATTCGTGCTATCGTCAGATAAAGGCGAAATGGGTGCAACGCGCCGAGTTTTTGCTGATGTTACGACAATCATTGGGTTTTGTCCATTCTTCATCGGCGCAGTTAAACCTCGAATCTAAGCAAATAATTTATAGCGTATACAAATAAAAAGAGCGAAACAAACCTTTTTCAACGCAGAAAAATTCGCGGCTCCAAACTCCTCTTCTTCGTCAGAAATTTCATTCTTCAGGTTCTTCAGCACTTCATCCATTTTATTATTGATCGGCTTTTTGGGCATCACTTCCCTATCGTCATCCACTCCAAGCTCCGGGGATGCTGATCCACTTGAAGAGCTACTTCTCTCGGAATCAGACGACGATAACGAGTCTGAATCTGAATCTGAAGACGAATCGGATGAAAAAGCATCGTCTTCAACGTCATCATCGTTGATTTCTCGTCGTTTTTCTTTGACATGTTCTTCTTTCTCTTCCACGATTCGGTTTCGTTCATGTTCCTCATCAACATCATCAAGATATTTTTCTTCGTCTTGCTCTTCTTCATCTTCATCCTCACCTTCATCATCTTCAACATCTCGTTTATCGTTTTCAATTCCTTGAAGAATCGGAAAACGGAACAAATATTCATCCTCAGGTGATTGACTTGATTCGCGACTAGGCGGTGAATCAGAATTTCTCCAAAAACCTCTATTCGGCGGTCGCTCGCTCGGTGTTTTCATAGCATAAATTGCAGCAATATCAGGCATCGGTGAGTTGTTCGAGGAAGGCCTAGTCAAGAATTCCTCAAACGTTTCTTCTTCTTCGTCTTGTTCAAATGCCGCGGCGACATCTTTCTCGTCGTCGTCAAGCTCATCATCATCATCATCGTCGTCGTCTGCGTATTGCCGCTCAAGTTGTGCACGAATATCTTCTTCATCCTCAACATAGTCACCACGTTTGAACATTTCATCTTCAGGATCAGGGATATCAGGAATATTCGGAACTTCGAATGTCGACACAGCCACCATTGGTTGAATATAGAATTCTTCGTGATCGTGTGTCGGCGACATGACCGGCGTGACATAAGGCGATGGTTTCGGCGCTTTCTCATCGAAATCTTTGTATTCGTATTCTTTGAGAAGGCCGCGACGCTCCTCTCCTTCAGTTTCAGCTTCCTCTTTCATATGTTCAGGTGTCTTCGGCGCATTTTCCTTCATCAATTCAACATCGACAAGACCAGACTGAATGGCCGGAAGAAGCTTGCTCGATCCGACAAATTCACCAACATTCTCTTCGGCAGCCTGTCGGTCAGCTTCCAAAGCGCGTCTCTCATATTCCGACTCGAGAAATAAAATGAGGTTCTTCTCCGAATCTTCCGAAGTACGCTGAAATTCGAATAATAGATTCGGGCGAAATTAAATCGTAAAACGAACAATAGTGTTTCGAAGACAAGTGGTTCGGATTTTGTTTTGCAATTCAGTGACCCGATCTCCAAGGTCCATTCCAAAACGCATCCAATTATTATCAACTAAAAATATGGAATTCAAATCGATTAATGAGAAATTGAATAAAACGAACATTCTTCGTAAACAGTATCAGTATAGTTCGGCGTCCAAAACTGATGAAACGGCAACATCCTTTCGACAACATCGCGCATTCCGCGAAAGGGAGTGCGCGTATCAATCTTCAACAATTTCCTACTTTGTGCATTCATGTAAGCGGCGACTCTGAAAGAACCAATTCAAAATAAAAACTAAACCACATTCAAATACCGTGTTTCTCTTTCTCGTCGCTTCTGTTCTGCAATCTCTTCCAGTTCCTCTTGCGTTTGTTGTCGGATTTCATGAACCTTAGAAAAAATCTTTTAGAAAAAAAAAATCAATACTCAAAGCATACCTTTATCGGTGATGGATTCCGAGATTGAGAATCGACGACAGGAGCTCCAGTATCATTATATACAATCGCATCAATGGGCACCATTTGAGGCGTGTTGTGCGATGCCGGTGAAGGATGAGCCGACATATCGAATTGATTCCGAAGAGGTGTCATCATCGACCGTTGCTGCTGCTGTGGTGTTGGCACCTGCGACAGCGATTGTTGAGGCTGCTGAATAAGTTGTGGCTGCTGTTGAGAAATGATATGTTGCTGTTGTTGCTGAATTTGCATTTGCGGTTCCTGTTGCATCTGATATTGTTGAAGTTTCTGCGGTTGTTGTTGCTGCTGCTGCTGTAGAGCGAGCTGGCTTATTCTCTCAGGATCGAGATCGTTTCCAGCGTTCACAATATGAATAACAGTTCCAATTGGCAACGGATACTTGTGCACATTTTCACTAGTTATTTTGATACTGTTAACCGGCGCATTTGTAAGGCTGGCCAAATCAGCAACAGTCATCTGATTCTGCACAGTAATTGTTTGTTGTTGAACCGGCTGCTGTTGTTGTTGTTGCTGTTGCTGAATACTATTCCTTCGTTGCGCATTCGTCTTCTTCCTTCCATTCGTCGTCAACGCATTCTGTGATGCCAAATGCTGCCGTATCGTTGGCGTCGCGTTGCCGAGCCTCAGCTGTTGATTTTGTTGCTTCAGCACTTCACCAAGCGTCTGATTCTGATTGATCTGACTTGTGTTGATGTGATTCAGCGCTTGCTGTTGCGATTGCGGCTGCTGAGTTATTGTAATTATCTGAGGCGAATTAACCTGTTGAAGCAATGTTGTCGATTGGTTCTGAAAAATAAATTGATGAGATTTGAAAAAAAATAGCATTTGCAGCAATACATCAGCTTAGTTATTTTTTTTTTCGAAATCTGCGTGGATGCATTCGCATTCGTCAAAAAAGAACAAACGGAAATATTCCGACAATTTGTAGATTTTCAAAAAATTTAATGCGGAATGCGGGCACCATAATTTTCTAAATTAAAAAATTAAAAACTTTGCTACCTGAATATACGTGGTTTGTGTTTGAAACTGCTGCTGATTTTGCGGCGAATTCTGCACCATCTGCGGAGTTTGTACCCTTTGTTGTTGTAACGGCGAACTACTGGCTTGTTGGTAAACGGCTTGCTGGAAAAAAAAAACAAAACAAAATATCGAAATTTGAAAATGAATATGTACCGATCGATAGACACTTGTCCTCGAATTCATACTCGGCACAATTTTCTGCTGTTGAGACTGTTGTTGATTCGTCGAAATTATTTGAACAATTTGAGTCTGTGGCTGCTGTTGTTGTTGATTCGTTTGGTAATCAATAAATCTACGAAATAAATTTAATGAGATATCGAATGCAAACCAATGAATATCTTACTGAGTTTGACTAGTAGATGGAATTGTTTGAATGGCGATTTGCTGCGTTTGCGTTTGTTGAGATGGAACAGCGTACACGACTTGATTGTATGAAGTCGACGGGGATTGTGATTCGGTTACGAATCGACTTCCCGGCGGGACCACTATCGATGTTTGTGGAGGATCCTGAGAAAATTAACTGATTGGCGCAAGAGAAACAAAACAAATGTTACCATTAACACCTTCTGTGGCATTTGTGGAGTCTGAAGAACAGTTGTCTGATTCGAATTGTTCTGATTCCGGTTCCTTTTAGCCGGCGGCCGTTTCGGTGCCGTCGTCGGTTGAGGTTGAGACTGTTGCTGATGTTGTTGCGGCTGCTGAACACTAACCGTTTGAGGTCGCGACGTCGATGCTGCCAAATTTTGAATTTGCGAGAGAATCGCGTCGTTTCCTGCTCTGAAATCAAAGAAAATCGCTGTTTACGCTGAATGACTCTTCAAATTGGAAGGTACAAATTGAATGAAAACGAAATTCGTTGTAATACATCTTTGACATCGAGAAACTATGGCATTTCATTAAAATTCGTCGTCGTTTCCATGGTTTTCACGAAAAGTGCTGAACTTTTCAAAAATTCTACTGTACTAAATTAAAGTTAGGTCAAGAGTAGTTCGAATTTCAATAATTATTTTTTTTGAAATTCCCCTATATGAAAATTTAATGATACTATTTAGACGAATGACCTATTCTAACACGATGATCAAAATTCTATATCGAATTGTTTTCAATTTCTTTGAATTTTTATATGATTTTCGAACGCAAAAATCCAAAAATAGGAATAAAAAACGTGTCGCGAAACAGCGCCGCAAAAAATGCCATAAATATGACCGACCGCGACAGTCTCTAGACGACGACAGTATCGGTTTTTGTGGAACGTTTCGCATGAAACATAAAATTGTTTATGATAAAAATTTGGATGTTATATGAGAATTATGAATGTTTTTTCAAAAAAAAAATGAAAACAAGAACTCACGATTGACTGAGATTTTTTGCGAAAATCGCCGAGAACTCGCTTTCGAGTTTCTCGAGACGTGCGGTGTTGTCGACGTTGGTTGAACTGCTTTCGGCACGCAACCTCGTCATTTCGCTCATGATCTGTGCTAGACGAATCGATTCCTCGGGCGGTATCCGTGTTTCAGCTATCGCTTGTGTCGGTTCCTGCTGAACCCGTTGCTGCTGCTGTTGTTGTTGCTGAGGTTGTTGCTGTGCAATTTTATTCATTTTCGGAACCACCACTCCAATACAATTTGATGCTAAAAAAATAAACAAATAAAAAAAATATATATATCTACTGAGAAATAATTCTCGATTAATAGAAAAAACCTTTTTTCCGATTCGCCGCCTTCGTCGCAGCTCCCTTTTTGGCCGGTGTCAGTTTTTCCTGGGGTTGTTCTTGCTGCAGAGGTTGCTGTTGCTGTTGCTGAGGTGTGTGCTGTTGCTGTATGACCATCCCATGCTGATCCGTAATTTGTTGTTGCATTTGATCAACTTGTGGCATATATGACGTTGACGGCTGCTGAAAATGAGCACAATCAAGCATATTCAAGAAAAACGGTCTATTCACACATTTTATTAAATTGAAAAACGCTTATTACAACTATTTTTAATGAAATACAAAAAAAAATGTTCAATATATCTAAACTCGTCAGAAAAAAATCCAAAATTGTTGGTTGAAATTCTTCGAAAATCCATAAATCCTAGCGGAATATATGATTTTCTTTTTTTTTAGGAATTTTTGTTTTTCTTCAGGTAACAACTTGCATTTCAATATTTGTTTTATTCTTTCGAATTTTCATCGGATTGCATTCAATTACTTTTTGGAAAAAAAATCAAAGTTCGAATAAAATACGGTTAAAATCGTATTCAGCTAAATATTTTGTATCGAAAAATGAAAATTTAAAAATCACTCTTCTCATTTTTTTCCACAATTTGAATCTCTCTTTGAGAGATAATTGAGAAAGAATAAAAAACGAACCATTTGCATAAGATGCTGCTGATCATGCGTCACATACTGCTGCCCATTGTCCATCATCTGCATTTGTTGCTGCTGATGATGATCGGCTTGGGCTGATGTTGATGGTTGAGTCTTTAAATTAACTTATTTTTTTTTACAAAAATTGAAAAATAAAGTTTTACCTGGTAGTAATTGGAATTATCCGTTTGATCTAGATTGCTCATTTCGGCAAACGGATCCACGTCCAGCGAGTTTCCGTTGACTTGAACAATCGTCGGTTGTTCAAACGCATTGTATTCCTTCAAAAATATTTTTCTTTTGAAAAAAACGAATAAAAATCTCACCACTGCCATACTCGTTGATGCCTGCATCTGATCATAATTGTTCGTATTCTGCATCATGTGCATATTTTGATAAGAGGAATTGCCACTTGGTGAGATTGCCAGATCATTAGGAAACTGAAATTACAAATAGTACTTGGGCATTTTAATCAAAAATATTAATAAATATACCTGGAAATCTTCGATCGGAACCGACAGATCATTGTTATAGTTAGGAGATCCACCAGGATCGTCATTCAGTGGGATATTCTTAAAAAAAGATATTTTAAAGAAACGTCAATTTTTTTCTTAAATTTTTTGTTTTCGAAGTAAAATTTGAATAATTTTCACAATATGAAAGAAAAATCCAAAAATGAATTGCAATTGTGGTACACCGGGGGTGTAAAAATAAAAAAAATCGGTTTCTCGCAGGAAAAACTGTTGCTCAACGACTTTTTACTTATTTTTCGGGCCCCAACAACGTTGATTAACTCCATAATTTTTGCAATAATTTATTTAAAAAATCAAACCTCTATCGACGGATCGTAAAATGAAGGGCTGTCAGACTTGAGTTCATTTAATGGGTAATTTAACCAGTCGTCATCGTTGCTGCAAATGGAATACGAAATGAGTGAAAATCGTCTCAAAACCACTTACTATGCCATTATTTTCCATCTAAGTCATCATTCGACCCACAGCTTTACACACATAAACTTGATGTGTAGCGAATGTTCGAGTGATTGCAAGAGCAATGCTCAAACTGCAAAAAAGAGTATAATATTAAATGACAAAAAGTGAGAAGAATGGTGGTGAGATCGACGACATCGCGCACGTCAAGTGCCTACAGGAAATACGCAACAAGTTTGAACGATCGAATAAGAGACGCAGAGTAGGAAATGAGTTTCGAATCGAGCGTTTTTGTTACATATGTGAAACAAAAAGTGCTAAAACAAATTAATACCGGAATTGAGAAACCTATAGGATGCATTGTTCTACAAACGAGTGACTAATATGGACAGAGAACAATTAAATTTCTCATTTGACGACATGAATTGCTTGAAAAAAATTGAAGAGAATATTCGAATAATTGATGGGACGATTATTTATTTCAAATGGTTGGCGAGTCGGAGTTTGAAAATAAACATATGTTGCATTAAAAAGAGCAAACCAACCGAAATAATTAGCTACAACTAAAAGAATGTTCGTGCAGACGCAAAAGAATCTGGCTTACAGGCTATTAAAATGTAGATCAAACTCGAAATTGTGCATTTTTTATTCATCGATCAGCTGTTCGAAAATGCGATTCTTTCAAAATGTGATCGTTTGGAGGTATTTTGATAGCTTGTAAATAAAAACCATTCTTTCAATGCGATACTTGAAAATTGGAAACACGTGTGGAACGAGTTTAGAAGCGCGGTGGTCGAACCAATCCCATTTTGAATTTTCCTAAATAAGGTAATGCACGAATGAAAAAGTGATGTTTGTTACAATTATAAATATTGTGAGAATTATTTAAAAAAACGGTTCAAAATGGTTATGGTCGCGTTCTTCCGAGGTTTACGCGAGCGATGAAGCAGAGATAAAAAGCAGCAGCAACAAGCAGCACGAGAATAATTGACGGCGCGCTTAAAAGTTGAAAACCCGCAATTATTGTACAATGGAAACATTAGAGAAAAATGCAATAAACACGCACCGAAATGGAATGGAATGTTGTAGGTTATTGATCGAGCGTGCTGCGTCAATGTGCGTGAGATCAAAAAGAATGGAGGGGAACGCGATGCGGAGGGTGAGTGGGGCGAGCGAGACAAGTGCTGTGTATGTGGTGAGCAGCGAATAACGATACACGAAAAAAGAAACGCTAATCCATCGTTTCTCGACAATTATTAATTTGTACACGTTTCGAAATTGTGGGGGTCGACGGCAAAAAGGCGCAGAAACAACATGCGACACCGTTTTGTATTGCAATATATGCGCAAAGCGACGCAAATTGATTTTAAAGCAAGTGTGTATACGCGGATACAGCGTGCCGTCGCGAGAGACACTGTCTGGGCGCTCTCGTCGATGACGCACTATCTCGACGACCTGTTTCGCGTCGTCGTCCCTCCGCGCGCGTCGACAGGCTCTCGTCGCAAGCCTTGGCTGCCTGTCTTCCTCGATGCAGCGGCCGCCGCCACCATCCGCTACCACCAACACCATCTTCTATTTCTCCGTCTTCATCACCTTCTTCTCATAGTTCTTGTTCCCGTCGACCACTTCTGTGGCGGTTCGCCCTCTACCGTCGTTTGCTTGTTTCTCATCCCGTCATCGACTGTCGTTAGCCTCATTTTTCCAATATTCTCCTGCTTATCGGTTTTCGCTATACATTAATATTATTGTTGTTATTTATTAATAGTGCATTCCATTCAAGTCCATTTCGTTCATTTTCTTTGCCATCCCTTATTATATGTGTTTTTCTACATATAATCCTATCCGAATTTTCGTGAACGTGTGTTCATCATATGTTCGTCGCGTTCCTATTCTTATCCCTCTTTTTATCGAACATTTCTTCAGTGGCGGTCACTCTTGTCAATCAGATAAATAACAACTGATCTAAGTTCTGTGATTTATTAAAGTTCTTTTCATATTTATGTTTTTATGTATGACTACCATTTATATAATTATTACATAATGTAAAAAAGATTGCATTATTTTTCCATATTTATATTATAAAAAATTCGAATAGCAATAATTGTCAGTTATCTACGATTTTATTTTTAATTAAATGATTTCAATAAACGAATAATGGATTAATTACATGTTTTTATCAATAATTTAATCGCACAATCTTATCAATTTATACCTCTTATCTATTGCTCTTTAGTTGAACTTTCTAAACTTACTAACCTATAAATCATTGTATTTGTGATCGGCTTAAAATTTTTCTAAAAGAAAAATTAAAATGAAGTCTTATATTTGAAAATAAAACGCTGCATATTCTAACGACAGTAATTAAAAGTACTATTACGTCACCAATTTCTCATTTATCTTATAAACATGCTAAATTTTAAAATTTTCTGAAAATGGTTCGTAATCTGTAATACGACCACAGTGCTCTTCAAACGCGATTGAACACGGATCATTTACCAGAGATCCTATAAGATCATATACCTCACAATTAATTGGCTGGATTTAAGAAAGAGTGAATGGTCGAAACCCCGCTGTCTCCGAATTAATGTGTAATAGGAAATTAATATTTGGAAAAAAATTGATTTAGGGGAAGAACTGTCTTTTAATTTCTGAATGTTTTTAGTAGTCTGTGATTAAAAAATATGTTTTCTCTTGTTAGACGTATATCAATTGAGAATATTAACTAAAACGAAATCACGAGGAATATTTACGAAATTAGGAAAATAATTAAATAGATAATTTTCATCTCAACAAATCGTGTCGTAGAAACGGGGTGAAAACGAATGTTTTCGTCTCTGAAAATCACACATTCTCTCAAATTTCGTTTGATCGGCTATTCTCCAGCATTTCATCGAAATATCTATTCACTACCGCTTTTACAGCCCGATTTGCTGTGAAAAATACTTTTTTTTTTTTAATATTGTTACAATTTGGACGAGATTTTCATTTCGTATTTTACGGCCACGGCCATGCTTTCCTGTACTCGAGTACGCGAACTTCATTTTTTTTAAATTTTCCCCTATTCACACACTGCTGCTTATTGTTATTAATAAAAAAATTATTCTAGACTGATGATCACCGGACCACTTCAAGTGAATGAAGAAGAAATTATCCGAAATGTCGAACAGATGATTAAAAAACAAGGTCTTTTTGATAATATCCGAAAACAAGCAGTGGAACGACTTCGAAGTTCAGAGTCCATAATAGAAATGGAGGTTAGTAAAACTTGGATCATTTTTGTAATTCTTCCACAATTTTTAGAAGGAAGCGTTAAAAAATATCGAAGAAGTGTTAAAATCAACGTCATCAGATAGACCAAAGGATCAAATCCAGAAACTAGTGAGAAGTACCATTGAAAACGATCAGAGGTTTGCATTAATATATTATACAAAATGTTATTTCCGGTTTCAAACGACTGAGCGAAATTAAAAAAAAAATTGACTATGTGCCAATGCGTCTTGAAGCAATGAGAAATATGCGAGACTTCGTGCCTTGCATATTATCGTATTCCCCATTTATATTTAGTCAACGTTAAACTCAAATTTATAAAGATTTTACGAAACTGAATTTCTCGCCAACGATCAGTCAATTGGAACCGGTAAAAATCGTTATTTAAAAAATTTAGGCTGCGATTCGAAATATTATCACAAACCCGAGTTGAACTCAGTAATCCGTGGGTTAACGAGGTTTTAAGCGAAGATATTAAAAGCAAGGTATATATAATTCTATTTTACTCGACATCTGACGACTGTCGTGCCCGGAGAAATTTACGGGTACATCTGTCATGGTCTATTGAACGCCGACATTTTTTTTATTTTTACGTTAAAATTTTATTTTTTTCTATAGCAATTGTCATTTCCTTAATGTTATCAAAATTAGTAACTATCAAAATGATCTCTCGATGCGAACTAATAAGTTAGTCTGAGCGTGACCACAGCGAAAGGCTCGTAAATCTACCCGCATAGAACACGGACCATATTTCAAAAAACGAAAATAAGATTAAACAATTTCAGGTCTCTCAGCAACTGAACGAGATTTTTGCTCCTTCTTCATAAACTCCTTTCGATTTTTAATAAGATTAATCAAGTCATACAAATTTACGTGTAACGTATTACGTGCTAACGATTTCACTCATTTTCGAACAAAATGTTTTTAATAAACACACTTATAAGTTCATTATTAATTGTTGCAATTGTATGCGAGGAAAAAGAAGATGACGAGGAAATTCTACTTAAAAATATTCTATCATTCAATGACGATTATCTGGCAGATATTCGAGAGTTTGTGCGAGTTGTTTTCATGCATATACACATGAATTAAGCGAATATTCTCGAATAGTGTTTGATGGTAAAGAAGATGATTTATCAATCAAAATTGGAATATTGGCTATGTATTTTCGAGTTTATAAAAAAGTTGTGCAATGGGGAACGGATGGAAAAGGGTTTTGGATTGGTCCTAAAGAAAAAAAACAAATAATCGAATTAATTAAGATTTGAGCACTTATATCCTGTCCCTTTATATGATTTTGATTTCGATGTTGCGGCGTTGTGTAAAATAGGATTAGTGAAGTGCATCGAATCGATTTTATATCAAATCAATTCAACCGCACCATGGATTCTTCAAAATTCAGTTTCTTTAGAGTAAGCCTTATTTTCGGGTTTAGTTTCTTATAAATTATTTTTCTGGTAATTTGTTTCAAATTGAATATGGCGACTTTCGAAATTTCGAGAAGCAATCAAATTCGATTTGAAACTGGTCTTATTCAGAATCGAAGTTTGTCGTCTTCGATTCAAAACTAATTACCACAGTAGCTACTATAGAAGCAGATTGTTGTGTGCCGACAGGCCATTTCGGGTCATGTTTTGGACTACCCTACTACTGTTTATGTTAACAAAAGAGTTTCTTTTGACAAGTATTGTCGAAGTCGTGCGGAAATTTGGATAATGCTTAAAAAAAATCTCTGGAATAGGTGTGGCACAAAACGAAATGTGTATATTTACGGGCTACACGTTTAAACGTGGGATAAAAGGGAAATTCGGTGAAACGCTGGTATTTAATTCAAATTTCGATTTTTTTCGAACTATTTTTATTTTCGGATTAAACTGAATTTGTGCTATATTGTTCAAATTTCCGAAGGTTGCCCGTCTTCGACAATATTTTTCTTTTTGAACATATCTAATAGATTCGACCGCTAAATCTTCTCGATCCGGGATTATTGTTCCAATCTGTTTCAAATATTAATTTGGAGAAACAAATTCCTCAAACTATATTTTAGAGAGCTAGCACTTGCCAAAATAATCGATAATCAAAGAATCGGATTAGAAATATCAGCATCTCAGGTGATTGGAACTATCAAAGATTTTAAAAATTCAATACATCAGGTTCTTTGTGCATTGACAAATTCACGAATTGCTTCTTTTGAATATATTCCGTACTGTAATTATCGAGTTGAACAAACAGAGTTCGGCCCAAAAGTTGAAAACATTTTTTTGTACTTCTGAAAGAAAATTTCAAGTTTTAGAAATGGCACGGGAAATCATTTTTTCGTGAAAAACTGATTGATGAATTCGTAGGAGGTCCTTTTCAATGCGCCACTGAAAGGTTTTTAAATTTCTTTTTTGGATTTTGTTTCTGACAAAAAAACGGCTATAGAAAAACGAAATCTCATGTCATCACAAAACTGCGTGCGCCTTTAATTACGGTATCCAAAATATTGTTCTGAAAAAGTGAAAACTCAACAATTTGTCTTTTTTAAAAATCACTTATTTCGGAGGTTTGCGTCAAAAACTCAAGCGCGAATTTAGAGAAAATAATTGATTAAAAACTCATAATACAGAAAAATGGTTGGGTCTTGTGACGATCATTTCGGTAAGCCGCTTTTTCTTTTCAAAAACTGATTATATTTAAAAAAAAAAGAGAACCTTTTAGTTTTTGCCCGGATCCATGCTGCTTAAAAGTTCCAGAAATTGTGCGGAAATCAACAACATACAAACCGTTATGCGCCCTTAATACATGTCGAGAACCAGGATCGTGTAAATTAAAGGTACATATTGTCGGCGTCGTCTGGCGACTGCTGTACGCGGGTAGATTTACGCGCATGCGCCTTGAAAAGGTCTCGCCACGTGTGAACGCTTATTTTGTTGTTTTCACGTAAACGATTTATTCTTTCTTACTGGGTTTGGCATTTCTTGGAATTTCCAACGTCATTCGATTAAAAAATTACCCGACCCATAATATTCGAAATAACCTGTTAGTCCTTGCGAGACCATTCCGAAAGACGCATCCCCGTAAATCTACCCAGCGATCGCCGATCGCCGAAAGTGTTAAATTTAAACATTAAAAAAAGACTAAAACTCATTCGGCCATGAAAGTCAGAATAAATCGGCGAAGTGACCCAAATTTTAAATATCAATTTTATGATATTATCACCATACAGAAATTGTTCCCTCGTGTTATTTCCAGCGGAAATCACATTGGGTTCCCAGTATCCCAACATCCACAGTTTAAATCGCATATTATGGTACTGCAGATATCGCCAGAAAAAAAATCAAAAACCAGTGAAACTCTAAAAATCGCTTTTTTCGACTTCGGAAAATTGGCTAAATGCCAAAAAGATTAGAGTCGAGGTCTTAGTGCGCGGTGTGAGCGTTTAACCTATCTTAAATCTCTCAAAAAATGTTGAAATTTTATCACTTGCGCCTTTAACGTAGCGATTTTATTTTTTCGATTTTCGATTACGGTTGCTATTTTTCGACTATCGTTCAAGGCGCATAGAATAAATTGTTATGATTAGGTTTTTTGAATTTTTGTTTTCCGAATCTGCATAGTATCATTAGAATTACTGCTTCGAAAAACGCTGTGGTCCACCGATATGCTTGTTTTTTGCAATGGTAATAACTTCGAAAAAATAAACGGTAGCGTACCAAACCGAAATGAGTCGAGAGACATGGTGTACTTACGGTATCGTTTTTTTTTTCAAACATAGCGGCAGTTTTACCGACCGTAAAATACAAATCAACAAAAAACCGGCACTGTGTATTATACGTATAATTAATTTTTTTTTAAATTTTTGATTACATATGCTCTGGTAACTCAAAACCAATCGGATCCGACAAAAATCGGAATATATTCTGGAAAAATGACGAATCAGAAAAACTTGCAGCGATATCCTATGCATTGTGTGTGTACGCCGAGCCGCACATATTGATCTTAGCTAGAGTAATCTCCACAGAATTTATTTGTTGATCGTTTCTTTTTATTGTCGAAGTAAAACGACTTGACGAAATTTAAAAAATTATTGACTATATGCGTCTCGAGGAAGCGAGATTGTGTGCATGGCATTATAGCTTACGCGCATTTAATACTCAGTCAACGATACATTTAAATCTACACTGATTTCGCGAATTTTAAGGCCCCGCCTCCCTTCAGTCGTTTGACGCCGACAATACAGGGTGTCATTTAAGTTCCCGCACAAAAGTTTGACGCCATGAAGAGCTTGACTGTCGCACTTTTCGTGCACCAATACAATTTATTTTTGTTAAATAAGGTATATTTTACTTACTTTCCAAGTTTCACCTCATTCGGATGTGTTTCCGAGAAATGGCGAAGGCTAACATCCATCGTGCTTCCATTATCGAATTTCATAAGCAAAATGTGAGCCCGAGAGACATCATTGAACGCCTCGCAGTGCCTCGTAGAACGGTTTGCGACACCATCAAACGTTTCAAGGAGCTAAATACGACCAGTGACCGTCCCAGACAAGGAAGACTCGTCTCAGTAACCACTCCTCAGAAGATCAACGCCGCTAAATCGAGGATCAGGCGAAACCCACACAGGAGCATGAGAAAGATGGCGTCAGACATGGGAATGAGCATCTTTGCTATGGAACAAATCGTCAAAACAAAGCTTGGACTGACCCCATATCGTGTCCAAAAAGCGGCAATTCTATCGGCCGTCAACAAGCAGAGACGCTTCGAAAAAGCAAAACGACTTCTTGCTCGCACGCGGTCTGGAGAACACCTCGCCACTGTCTTCTCCGACGAGAAGCTGTTCACTGTGGAGGCGGCATTCAACTCACAAAACCATTGAGTACTTGCCCAGACATCCCAGCAAGCTTCTGAGAAAGAAAGAACATATCATCCAGCCTCACATCCTGCCAGTTTGATGGTTTTCGGTGCCATCTGCTCAACCGGGATGTGCCCCCTGGATTTCGTGGATCAGGGGGTAAAAATGAACAGAGAAGTCTACGTTCGGGACATTTTGGAGAAGCATGTGATGCCCTGAACCCAAACGCATTTCGGTGGGCAGAAATGGGTCTTTCAACAGGACGGAGCACCCGCCCACACTGCCAAAACTACTCAGGAGTGGTGCCAGACCCATTTTCCCGACTTCATCAAGTCAACCGAATGGCCTGATTGCTCCCCAGACCTGAACCCGCTTGACTTTTCCGTGATGGGTCTTGCAGGAGAAGGTCAACGCAAAACTTCACTCAAGTGTAGAGGCTCTGAAGAAGACATTACTGGCGGAATGGGACAATCTTTCCATCGAATACCTGCGTACCACAGTCGAATCCTACCCAAAGCGTCTTCGTGAAGTCATAGCTGCGAAAGGAGGCCGAATCGAAAAGAGTTAATAGATAATTATTTGTTATACTATAGATAAAATTAAAAAAAAAAGATAAAAAATATTTAGAGTCTCGTTTGATTTGGACTTTTAGTTTCAGAAATATACGTCTTCAAAGTTGTGCGGGAACTTAAATGACACCCTGTATATGAAACAATTAACATTGAATAATTTTAAAAATGATTACTATTATACTTTTTCAACACAACAGTATACATAAAACCATAAATTCGCCAAGAAAACACAGAAAAAAAGTTTTTAAATAATTTGATTAAATAATTTTCAGTTGAGATTACTGTAGCTATGATCGAAATGTGCGACTCACTGTACGCACGCAATGCATAGGATATCGCTGCAGTTTTTCAGATTCATCATTTTTCCAAAATATAAATATACGATTACAAACCATTCATAAGATTGTATACGACTCAATACGATTTACATTTACGTATATACTGCTGTACGCAGGTAGATCTACGGGGATCCTCCTTTCTCTTGGTCTCGCACGGACTAACTGGTTATTTAGCATTTTATGGGTCGGTTCGATATATTTTTTTAATCGAACGACGTTGAAAATTAAAGGAAATGCGAAACTAATAAAAAAATAAATCGTTTACGTGTAAACAACAAAATAAGCGTTCACACGTGGCGAAACCTTTTCAAGGCGCATGCGCGTAAATCTACCCGCATATAGTGGTCGCCAGACGCCGACTATTTAATTTTATCTTATACGATGAAGGAATGCTGTTTATTCGTATACGATTAGGATTCATTTACGAGTAATTTTCAGAACTTCGAAAATGACTATTTGTTCAATCTCCGTCAAAATAAATTCAATATTTCCTGTGGATGTGAGGTAATTCAGTTGCATACTTTTTATCTGCAGGCCTATTCTAGTCTGTAAATCACAATATACTGAGCAAATATCTAATTATACGAAGTTTAATTAAATAACCATTTGTCGATTAAATTACTTTAAAATTTTGAAAAATTGTCGTGTAGATCGAAATTAGAGAAATAAGTGTCAAAAAGAAATGCAATTTTCTACTATTAATTTCAAATGAGTTAATTTTATCTGAAAGAGGAAGGATATTGCTTCTGTCGTTTTTATTATCCCAATTTGCACTCGCAAATTTCTACATTTGTTCCGTCACAAAGGAAATATAGAAATATTCATTTTTCAGGAAGAGAGTATGATTTATAGACCAGACATTGGAGAATGCGTTCATCACAATCCATGCAATAAAATATCTCTTTGTCGAGGTACAAAAACAGGTCATCTTAAATCTATTCCCTTTTTTTAAGAAAATTTTCAAGAATGTGTTAATATACATTCGGGAAAAGGATACAAATGCGTATGTCAACTTGGTTATAGAATGACTGTAGCTCATAATTTTCATTTCTTTTGTTTTATTTTCATTGGTTTCAGAAGAATAAAGAATGTGTTCCTCTGGAAATCTCAATTCCACAATATTTCGGACACGCCTACAGTCAAGAAATGGAGAAAGATACCGAATCGAGTTGGTTATTTCTATAATTTATTCATAAATTAGTTCAAATTGAAACACTTAATTGATCAAAATAATAGTCGCAAAATTAAAGAAAAATAATAGTCGCAAAATAAAAAAAAAGTGTATAAAGCGGCCAAAATGAGGTTGACGCTATGATGAAGATCATATAAATGTGAAAGCAAATTTCAAATTATTCTTATTTTCCGCCAGATTTGCGCGGTGGGACCGAAGGGGTTGTCATGTTGCGATTTATGGCCGCCGTCACATTCTTCCATTTTTGTTTGTGCTCCGGTTGGCTTTTCGAAGGGAATCGGAAATCAATAATTTCGCGTATCCACGCTCGTTTATCCACATCCTGATCCTAAACAATTATTATTTCAAACTTGTTCATTCCAAAAAAAGTAGCAACATACCTTAAAGTACAATTTAATTGTGTCCTTGAACAACAATTTTCCGAGTTCTCTCGCATACACTTGAGTGTTGCCGTTGCAGTTTTCAAAAATCTCAATCTCCTCTTCCTCACTGACATATGGATAGGCGGTGTACATTTCTTTTTCCTTCTTGATCTTGTTTCTCGCCGATTCGCGTTTTGCCGCCGGCGACGGCGATGTCGACATTGTCTCATCCGCCTTTCGCTTTAAACCACCATCAATAAGAGAACGTCTTTCGAACTTCGGGACAGTGGACTTCGGAGTGGCGTCAACCGAATCCGATCGCGTTGACACTGCAGGAGTATTCGAAACTGTCGTATGGGATGGTGTCGTGACAGTTGGAGTGATCGGAGTGACCGATCCATCAGAAAGCTTCTTGTTAATCGCATTGGTGCAAGCCTTCCACTTCGATATATGCTGAGCCTTGTCAGCTGTTGGGAATCTTCTGTCCAACACATTATGCAACCAATTGCGTTTTCCAATATCTTGATCCTAAAAAAGATAATAACCCTTTGGAATATTTATTAAAACAATATACCTTGAAAAACAAGTGTTGCGTATCCGGAAACAGATGAGCGTTCATCATTTCCGCGTAGGCCGCAAAGTTTCCGTTAGCTTTTCTGAAGCACTCCTCTTCGATCTCTTTTGGGAAATATGGATATTGTTCTTCTCTACCATCGGCCGCAAAAATTTTGGTTCTGAAAGAAATTTGCTTTAATCAAAATTATTTGCCAATTGTCTGAAATACCTATTCTTGTTGCACATTTGACCGCAAACTTTCCATCGTTGATCATTACGCTTCGGATCGGAAATCGGGAATCTCGATTCTACACATTGTCTAAGCCAATCTTTTTTAGCGGTATCCTAAAATGTTGAAATTGAATATAACGACAAGTCATAATTGATTATGCACCTGATCTTTGAAAAATGTTTGAATAGTAGAAGCAAATAGGCGCATTGCCATTAATTCGGCATATTTGTATTGATCGCCGCGACATTCTTCGAAGCATTCTTTTTCGTAGCTCATGGAAACAAATTTGAACAAGGCCGGCGGTTTCGAGCCACTTGGAATGCTGATCGACGACACCGACGACGATCTTGACTTCATCTGTTGTACTTCCTTAAGAACTGGCTTTGGTGTCTTCTCTTCTTTCGGTTCCGATTTTATAAATCCGTTCTTTTTTGGAGCCTCATTCTCTTCAGCTTTTTCCTCGGACTCCTTTTTTTCAACAGCACCACTTCGACGATCCGGATTTTTTGGTCCAATCGGTCCCCTCGGCCCACATGGCGCGGGACGCATTGGATTGCCACTAATCTGCACAGCTTCGCGCATGTTTTTGTTGATGAAGTACGAGCAGTTCTTCCATTTGCTCACTTGAAGAGATTTTTCTGGAGTCGGGAAACGATAATCAACAGCATCATGAAGCCAATTTCTCTTGTGTGGATCTTGTTCCTTTAACAACGATTATATTCATTTAAGAAATTGATACTGATTTACTCACCTTGAAATACAGTTCGATGGTGTCTTGGAACAGATGTTTCGCCAAAAGCTGAGCATATATCGGAGCCAATCCATTGGCTTGTGCGAAACATTCCTCTTCGATGTGTTTTGGAACGAATGGATACGTCAATTCTTTCACAGATGGCATCACAACTCCATTTACGATTCGCTTCGGCGGATTTCCGCTAGCGCCAAACGAATAATTCGTATCACCATTTTCCTTTGTCTGGAACGTCGGAACTTTCGCCGCTGGCTGAGTTTTGGCCGGTTTGCTCGGCGGCACATATCTCTTCAAGAACGTGTCGGCTTCAACGACACGTTTGCGAGCCATTTTGTCTATTTCATCGTAATGTGCCATAATAGCTTGATCAATTGTCGAGATGGGACCGTCCGAAAACAACTCGCAATTCAGCCCTTCGTCTTGAATTATACTGCCATCTTGATTTGTGCCGAAAGTCTTCTTGATGAAACGCTCGAGCATCTTCTGTCGATGGCAAATTCGATCGATGTCGCACTTCAAGTCTGTCATCAAAAATCCGAACACATCGCGAGTGCTTTTGCGGATACTATCAATCTGTTTTTCTGAAATTCCAAAAATGCCTATCACGCGTTAGACCGACGCTCTTACGCATATTCGCTAGAACTTCTATTTCAACCGATGTAATTCCGGCTGTCTCGTCCTCTTCCATCTCATTCTGCATCTCGGTCTCCATGTCATTCTCCATTTCCATTTCTTTTCCGTCTGTGTCTGACGACGACGACTGCGGTTCGTCATCATACGTGATCGACGCCAATCCCATTCCATTCAGCTGAAAGTATGAACCGAATTAGGATCAGAAAAATGCTGCGCGCGAATTACGTTGAGCATTTCATTAGCTTTCTCTTCGCACGCTGCACGCGCTTCGTCCACAGAGTCGCACATTTGCAAGACGGTGAGTGTTCGGCCGTCGACATCGATTGCCGAACCATCCTTAACCGAGTCGTCACCGAATTGCTCCTCGGGCACAACGACAAACTTTTGATCGGTCGCATCGAATCCGACCGCAGCCTTCGTTTCCATCTTAAGCAGAGTCTGACTGCAAGTTGAAAAAGAAACTACAAGACGGAGAGGGAGAGACGACACAAGAATGAATGCGATGAAGATGAAGAAGAACAAACGGATAAGTGCGAGCTTGCTTTCTGACTAGGAAGCGCTTGCGACTAAATATGGCGACGTCGGATAACACCAACTCAAAATTAACTGCCGAGTTTATCACCCAAGATTAGATCAACAAAAAGAAGCGGAAAAATATAAAATCCTTGTGAGGATTTCTTATCAGCACACTCACTCAACTCAAACACCATTGATAATGACTACCAACGTATAACAATAAATTACAAAAGTTGAACCGAGCTGGCCGAGTTCGCTAAAAAAGGGACGCTGGGAAAGGTACAAACGAGTCAGATTAGAGAGCAAGAGAGACGGATTGACGCGGCCGTCCTCCTCGTTCTTTTCTCCCTTCTTTTCGGGCGCCTACGACGCTCCGGAAGGTACACACCACAGAGCGGCGTCACCAGTCATGGAGAGAATTCTCGAAGCCCGCGTGTCCTCAGAGACTGGAATTAGGTGAATGAATGGATGTGCGAATGAATGATAAAACATTGTATGAAAAGCAAGGGCAAACACACTCTCGCACACACACAGCAAGCAGTAAATGTAAGTTGACGGCAGAAAGGAAGATGAGGAAGAACGAGTGAATGAAATCAATCGAAGAAGAAGATCATAAACAAGAACAATAGATACATTTTTCTTGAAATCGAACCGAACCGTACGCGAGAAATCGGTGGAAATGAGCCAACCGATCACGGCGAACCGACGCGGACAACAGCAGCAGCAGCAGATGTTGAGTGCTGCGTGGCTTCGGCTATCGTGTGCAGCATGTGAGGGGGGAGTGTGGCGAGGAATAGAGAAGACAGCGGTCGTCGGCGGCACAGAACAGCAGCAAGCGAGAACGAATGCATCGATCGGAGAGGCCTCTCTGCTGCCTTCCTTGCCATGTCGCAGTCGGTGGTCGTCGGTGGCGGCCATCATCATCTTCTTCTTCTCGGCCGCCTTCTCCATACTCCACCACCACGACGCCCGCTCTCCTTCCACTTCCACAACGAATGCTACCACCTGCCTAAATTCCGGACATCGTCGTCAATGACTATCACAGCTCCATTAAAGCCGACTTCGCGTGATTAAACAACTCGTGAACATTGTTTGCTTTCGCGTTCGCGTTTCAGACAGACGAGCACGTTAAAAAATATACAACGGAAAAATTTGAAATTGGAATCTGTAATGATTAAGAAGTCGAAAAGGGAAGAATGGAAAAAAATATGTGTTGTTTATTATTCACGCAGTCCCTGGTGAGAAACAATAAGAAAGTCGCGTGAGTAAGAACATTTTCAAATGCGATAAAATTGGGATTGCATTAACAAAATAAACCCTTATATATATATATATATTCGAATATTTGTTCAAGAAAAATCAAAACGAACGATATATCCTGTAACGGAATAATTACGGTAATGATCGAGGGAAAACGCAAGTAAATAAAAACATTTTTATTTTTGTTTTTATATACAGAAAGTTGAGAACAAGGGAAAATTAGCACCCGTATTAACATTAGCATCCGATGACGTAGCCTTCACACATTCGAAAAGTGGGCATCGATTCGTCTATGCACAATCTGTAATGCATTTCGAGAGGTGCGAACAGCCAAATGTGTTGACAAGCAGACCTTCAGCGCAGTTTCGCTGATCATCGACACCGAGCGCAAAAACGCGTCGTAGATCGCCGCTGCGTTCTCACGTAGCGCATCAACCCGTCGCCGACTCATCGACATCAGTTGTGCCGGTATCTGAACAACCAACAATAACGCACATGCCAAATATTATGTGTACATGCCATCAGCGCGTCCTTCTCCCTAACCGTTATCGCCGCTGTCGACCAATCGATTATTTCGGAATACGGCAACACCCAAGAGTCTGAAACAATAACTGGAATGCAGCCCGATCGTAGAGTTTCGAGAAATCTAAATGAGCCCAAACGGCGACCACGCGGAACGAGACAAAACGTTGAGTTGGACAAAAGTGCATCGTAGTCCCATCTAAAATATATCGGTGGTCTCGCAAACAATCTCTCTCTCTCCGTACTTTTCGTATTCCTGATTGTCGTGCGCACATCGATCGTCCTGATACACCTAAATCCTTCAATCTAGATTCTCATTTTTCCACACTGAGCCTCACCTGCCAGTCATTGTTATGTTTGCACGTCGTCACCATAACAATGTCGACGGCATTGTGCAAGTGATGCACCAAATTGCGGGTACTCGAGCCGATGCCTGCAAAAGGGGAGACGAGAGAATGAAGAGATAGATGCGAGCGTTATTGTCCAACATTCGCTGCTGCCGCCGCCGGCGACGAAGGCGGCGATGGCTTCTCTCATCGTGTTAGAGTCTTCGGAATTCATTTGGCGGCAACGCGGAAGCAACAAAACGAATATTATAGGTTAGTAGAGGGGCGCCGATTTCGATAATTGCTACTAACAAAGGCGTTATTTCTTTCATTTTAAACAGTTTTCTTCTATTTTTTTTAATAGTTACATTTTTTCTTGAGAGGATCACATTTCAATGTGCAATTTGGCGAGAATTGTATAGACTGCTGATTTAAAAATAATTTGTAGTTTTAATCGAATCTCTATTCGACGGCGATTGAAATAAATTATTTTCGACGATAATTAAAAATAAACAAAAATATTTACCGTACACGTATCTTTTGCCTTTGAACGATACCAAATACTGCGACTTTGTTTTGCTTGTTCGCTGCAACTGACGCAATTAGACGTTCGCGGTTGTGATTTTCTCACAAACTTTCTCTGGTTCACTTTCATACGGATGATTATCATGAAAAAGCGGCAATGAGATATCGAAGCCTTTGAAGAAATTCGCGTCATTTGCCGACGCTCTCGCAATCATTGCCAATCCAGTGTCAAAGTTCAAATTATGGTCGTCGTAGTCGGGAAATGTGCCGTGGTAAAAATTGAAAATCAAATGATTTCGGCCATCATTCCACACGCTTTGATCGAGTTGTGCAATGTATTCTGGCACATTTTTCACATAATTTTGACTAAAAATTCGACAAGAAAAAACAAGATCATTTCTATCGAAATAATTGATACCTTCTTATATCTCTGTCAGTCGTGTCGATTCCCAGTAAGAACAAGCACGCTTCATTCGGATCATCTGTGTAATATTCGCTGAATCCGATTAAGATTAGAATTTTGAAGAAAATCGCAATAAAAACCTGTTCTGAAAGTATTGAAGCATTCGCTGCCATACCTGCGATTTTGGCAGCTGCTCAAACTCATTAACAACCGGGTGAATGTAGAGTTTTCGCGAAAATTGGCACCGTTGGAAGTCGAAGCAATTCTGCATTGTACAGATTGTCCTTTAAAAATATATTTTCTTATTTCTCGATTATTTTCTAAATTTGGAATTCAAAATAAATAAAAAATCTTTATTTCCAGATGATTACCAACTTTCCTCATTCGAGATAAATTGGAAAGTGCAAATTTTTAAGAAGAAGTTAATACGACTTGTTCCGTATCACTGCATTTTTAATGAACATTTTCTTGCATAGTAAACAAGTTTTCGAATTTTTTTAAAAGAAAAACTGGTAAAGTTAGAAAAAAAAGGAGAAAATCTGTTTTTTGCTGCCTACTAAAATATTTTTGAATCGAGGAAAACGGTGATTACGGTACCATCTGTTCTATAGATTAAATCGATTTTAATCAGATTTTAGGCATTTACATTTTAATTATTTCGAATTTTTGCGGAAAACTTTTTTAATCTTTCAAATATTTTAGAGAAAAGTTATAAGATATTGGCTACGTGAGGACAGACGAGAATCCAGCCGATCATGCAACCAGAGGACTCACAAAGGAAGAAATGGATAATAAGCTGTGGTGGAATGGCCCAGAATTCATCACAAAACACGAAGAAACCTGGCCAGAAGATACCCAGCTGTTCCAGATCAGTGATCCAGATGGCGAAGAGGAAATCCACGTCAATGCAGTCAAACATTACTGCCCAGATCCGGATGAAGTCATTTACAATTGTAACCGAACAAACTCTTTCGAAAAGATGACACGGATCACCAATTACTCACTACGATTCATCAAAAAGTGCATATCGAAGATGAAGTCAAAGGAACGAATACAGGACACCATCCCGGAATTACATTCGATTCCCGAAAACTTCACAACCAACACAATGATGTCAGAAGAACTTGAAGCCGCTGAAAAATTACTCATTCGAGATCAACAAAAATTGATCACGAAGAAACAACTCGAAAATTTGAAGAACCTCGGATTGGTACAAGATAATGAAGGAATTATCAGATGCCACGGAAGGATGCAGAAGATGGACGGAAGTCGAGATGAAAAAAGACCAATTTTGCTTCCACCAGATTCAAATTTAACAAATATGGTCATTTGGAAATACCACAACCGACTCCATCGACCGACAGGAACCACAATATCGGAAATTCGACAAAAATTCTGGATTCCAAGAATCAGGTCGCGAGTTAGACAAATCATCAGGAGATGTATTCCCTGTGAACATTTCAACAATCTACCATTTTCTTATCCGGAAATGCAGGACCTCCCAGCGAGCAGAGTCAAACGGTCACGGCCATTTCAACACGTTGGAATCGACTACTTTGGACCATTCAATGTTCGTACTAAAGGAGATTTATGCAAAGCATACGGATGTATCATAACATGCCTGACTACTCGAATGACGTTCTTAGAATTAGTCAAGGACATGTCAACATCTTCCTTTCTGAACGCTATGAGAAGATTTATGACAATATACGGATGCCCTGAAACAATCACATCAGACAATGGACCACAATTCGTGCAAGGACACCAAATGATAGAACACGCAACCCGATCATTCTGGAGTGCGGTCAATGAAACCTGCACGCAAAATCGTATCAAATGGAAATTCAACACTCCTTTCGCACCATGGCAAGGAGGAATTTACGAAAGAATCATTCGCATCGTCAAAGAATCTTTATTCAAAACAATCGGGAAACAAATATTGACGGAAGATTCCCTACGTACAGTTCTTTACGAAATCGCAAATATGACCAACTGCCGACCCTTAACATACATCGAAAACGACATTGACGACGTCACAGCAATTCGTCCGATCGACTTCATTCAGCGACATTTCGAGATACCTCAATTCACGGATTATCTCGTCAATCCAATCAATCATGAAGACGACGAAGATTACATGTCGCCAGAAGACGAAATTCGACTGAAAACACGACTGGAAACGCAAAAAGCTCTTAAATCATCTATCGAAAACGTCGAGAAATTCTGGAAAATTTGGACTACAAAGTACATCCAAGAACTCCGAGAAGTGCAAAAAACAAGAATCGAAGACAAACGATACGCCTCAGCACAACCCCAAGAAGGAACCATAGTCCTAATCATCGACGAAAACCAACCACGTCATCAATGGAGAATGGGAAAAATCGAAGAAATCATCTTGAGCAAATCTGGAGCCACAAGAGAGATAAAAATCATTGTCCCAACAAATCCAAGATGTGGTGGATGGGGAAAAAGAACGATCCGAAGACCACCGAATCGAATCATCCCTCTTGAAATCGAAAACTCACCTCAAAATTTCCTCGAAAACGAAAATTCGAAGACTCAGCCAACGCCATCACATGATTTCGAAAAATCGATGACAAAGGAAACTGATACGAATCTAATCAGAGGAAAAACCCGATACTCACTCAGACAACAGAAAAAAGTGAACTACGACGAATCAAGACAGGAGAACGGAGACGATGAAGCAAGATCATCCAATCAAGAAGGATCAGAACGAAAATCATCCTTCAGAACGAACAAGATATCAACTTTATCTATGGCTATGATAATTTTGATGATCGCTACCCAAGGATCTACAGCAGCTGTTGTCACAACTCCAAGTCAAATATCACAAGAAGACATATGCACAGACGCCGGAATCAGAATTCGTATGGAAAAATTCAAGAAAGTTGAAGTCTGTGTAAACCATTATTGCACAACCAGGGACAGCCCAAGCGAGGAAAAATGGAAGGATATTTGGTTACCTCCATCTATCAAACGACAAGAGCAACTCATAAAAATGAAGAAACTGCAGAAAGAGGACATAAAAATCTCCCAAATGACATGCCCAGCCATTCCATTCTGCAAAACGATCGACTGCACTTGGTGTCTACCAAATCTAGCGAACCCAGAATGTCACCCAATTTTCGCCATCACGGGAGGAGTCATCACATTCTATCTGATCTTGACAATGCTCTACGTGATCAGCACAGTCCCGATTAGACTCGGAGGACCATGTCTCCTCGCTATCAAGCTCATCCGGATTTTAATAAAATTGGTCATCGTGATAGTTATATTCATGGGAAATCTCGCCAGCATTATGTGGAGAACTATCAAAAAGTGGAGACGAAGAGCAAGAGGCAATCGCCAAGAAATATACAGCCTAGTTCAACCAATCATCATGATCATATTAATTGTATCGACGACAAATGCTTGCCAAGAAATTGAAATGATGAACAATAGGATGCAAATCTGCACGAAATACGCAAATGGATCAACAAATTGCCATATAAGGACATCAGAAATAATCCAAATGAATCCACTCAAACGCGAAGCATGCATACGACTCAATCATAATGGACAAGCCATTCGTGAGATTCGAATCAACTGGAAATCAATCGAACTAAAATGCCTAAGAAACCCACGATACTTCTCACGTGAAGTAGAACAAAAGGTACTGAGCGCAAAGCGATGCCCACATATGGGATCGTGCACCGGAAAGAAGTGCATGGACATCAACAGAAACTCAATCCTTCCCGAACTAAGCGAAGCCAACACCTACCTCGGAACGACAGGATGTGTTGCAAGTTGCGGATCGTTAGGATGCGATTGTTTTTACCCCAGCAGCGCATGTCTCTTCTACAGGTTATATGCAGAACCTACAAGCGACGAAATCCTTGAAATCATGGATTGCCAATCATGGGATGAACGACTGAAATTAGAAGTGGCCATCGCCAATCTACACACATCTGAGAACAATTTCAAACAATACAAGATTCTCACAAAACTGAACGAACCATTTCAACTCGAAGGCTTCGAATTACGATTATCATCCATTCATATTCCACCTTCGCCAATTCTGAAAAGCTGGTTCATTCTATCAAGGAATCACACCATCATGGAAGAACAAGAACTGAATTTACCAGTCAAATGTTCATCGCGTCAAGAAGCAAAAAATCTAATGAAATGCACTTTCACCGAAAATTGCAAATGCGAAGCAGCTGAAGAAGAAATGAAGTGCAATTGCATCAACTACAACTTCAGTAATGAACTACAAACTCTAGAGAAAGTTCTACCAATCTCAACAAGTATCTGGAATTTACGACGAGTAGGAAACACAATCATCGGATCAACAGATGCGACAACATCAACAACAATCACGAGCGATATAAATCAAGATGTCATTCCAGTAATTCTACGATCACATGAAATCTGTAAAGTTCAAGTCGAAGCAACGATCGGATGTTACCAATGCGAGCAAGGAATAAAAACCGACATTATGCAAATCCGAAAAGGAAGACGTCATGGCAGATATCAACTGCAGCTCCGAAAAATTCGCGATTCCATGTTCACCGGCAGGACGAAAATCCACAATCCGATTCTCATCGGAAACTGCGCGGTTCAGAAGAAACTGCGAGACCACCTGTGGAGGAAACCAGACAACTCAATTTGAAGTGATTGCATTACTCAAATTTCACGGAAATTTGTGGGACGCATCATGGAAAATTATCGAAGGAAAATCGAAAACTTACGATGAAATCAAATTACCGGACTTCAATCATATCTGGACTACGTACCTCAACTACATGAAGACACTACTGATCCTGATCATCGTCATCGGAATAATCGCAGTCATCATCTATACCACCATAGCCCGTTATGGCAGCCAAATTGTCATCTCCACAATCATCATATGCATAAAGATTGCATTATTTATCATAATATTGCCATTCAAAATCGCACGAAATTGTTGGAGATCCATGCATGTTATCACCATCATGTATCTAACCATACGCATGACAACTGCATGTACAATCAGCTACACAATCTCAACGTCATTGATTTCAGCCCGGAAAACAATGAACTTCTCATACACTGAACCCGAAAGAACAGACTATTTGGCCAGAAGAAGATGCCATAGAATCAAAGAAATCTTCCATGAAATGTTCGCGGCAGGACATGTCTTCGAACAAAAAGCGGACACGGCAGACAAAACGCTTGAGGAAGTAGCAAAAATGCGAAGCAATGCAATCGGAAACAGATGGTCCGTGAACCGATTCAGAACCGAACAAGAAGCACGGGACAAGATTATGGACACAATCATCACAGTGCAAAGCTCCTTCAATCGATACGCTCAAGCCATGGACAAAATCACAGATTTGCTAATACTGGGAGACATAGACACCTTAGAAACGGCCATCCGCATAGAGAACGAAGGAATGGAGAAAAGCAGGATCAAAGCAAGATTCGAGGGAATCATGAACCGACTCAGCTCAGCCTACAAGACAGCAAAGTTGGAACACGACCGACACACACAGGAAAGATTGATTGCCCAGAACAAAGAAGTTAACGAATGGAGAACAACGGCCATGGAAGCTACGATTCAAATCAAGGAGATCAAAGAATACCTCCGAAGACATCAATCCGACAAGGAACAAATGACAGGATTACTAATGGATCATAACCAACAACTATTTGAGGCCATTCAAAAAACAATGCGAGAATGCGCCAAAAACATTGAAAACACTTGCCAGTCATTCGCGCCGGAGGCCCAAGGTCGAGCCAGAAGCACGACAAAATCTCCAAGGCCAAACGCAAAATCCCGAAATTCGTCATCCCGCTCGCCAAGATCAAGCAGCAGTGAAACACCCAAGTCATATGCGAGATCAAATACGAAATCGAGATCACGATCGAAATCAAGATCACAATCACGATCAAGAAAAACATATCGTCAACATCATCGACGAGAATCACAAGATCGCAACAATCAACGCCATCGAAGAGAATCAGAAGACAGCAACAATCAACGCCATCGAAGAGAATCAGAAGACCGCAACGATCAACGCCATCACGGGAAAACCGGACTCATCATACGACGGATAGCCACTGAAAACACCCGCGATGGAGACGACTTGAATTGTGCATTTTGCTACAGACCGCACTTTTCCGACAAATGCTTCGAAATCACAAACGCCAAGGACCGAGAGCGTCATCTGGAGAAAACGGATAGATGCAAGAGGTGCGTGAAGCGGAACCATCGAGGAATATGCCATTCGAAATGTTATTACTGCTCAACTCACGGAAGGATGGAAGCAGCAAAGACCCACCACACGGCCATTTGTCGACTCCCCAACGTCACCGTCCTTGAGGGGGAGTGTCATTAATGACTACCGGAAAGTAGTCTAAAGGCCATCACAAATCATTCCTCGCCATCACAATTCAATATCTGAAGCACATTATTGAAAGTTTAAAATTGATAAACTATTATTAAATTGTACCGCCAAAGCCACACGCCACCAAAGCCACCTACGCACACAGTGTAACCTTTATATTGCATTCGTGTGCCCCTATAAAAGGGAGCCTCAACGCCCATTTTTTCAATTTCTTTCCCTTCGTTGGTTGTTGTTCAACTTATATTCAATTTATGTCCAATTCATGTTTAACTTATTTTTAATTTATTTCTTTTACAATAAAGTTTAATTACCCAAGTTTGAGGTTGTCCATCTCCTACTGGTTAATAAATTTGGTGAGAGCATTATGCATATAATATTAGTATTAAAATATAATTAGTAGTCGATAAACAATTATTTTTTTGAACTCTATCATTACGTAATATCTCTTACCTTGCCGACTGAGTGCTTGATTCCATTTGTTCGCTTAGGCGAATAAGCATTATAATTAAAATAATTATATTTTTCATCAATCGCATTCCTATTTTTTCAACAATTATTTCTGTAAAATAAAAAAATGCATCAAATAAATTAGAGTATATAAAAACTCATAGCTTCACTTATAAATATGCATTTATTATCATTCTCATATTTTCATCCAAATATCATATATATGTATATGTTTTTTTTTTCATTTTCAACACGAGTAACAACAATTGTACAAGATTCGCCATATAAGTAATGTGAGGAAGCAACCGTATGGAATGGAGCAAATAGAAAGAAAAATAAACATATTTTCTCCAAATTAATATTATTATGCACAGTAGAAAGGTGTTAGAAAGAAAATGATGTTTTGAACCCGTTCGATATTATATATATATGGTATTGATTTTGTTCGGAAATGTTGTAAAGCTCGTCTTCGTCGAGGTAAACGTTAACTTCTTTTCTTGTTAGTTGTTTATTTTTGTTGCCACATTCAATGCCGCGACGATATCGTCGAGAGTTGGCGATACTGGTCGAGGACGCGAAGAATTGATAATATCAGGCTGGCATTTTTCGGCCCTAAAATCAAACGAATTGACTTAAAATTGAATTTAGAGCTCAATTAATACTCACGGAATACTTGTTCTCGCTTGGATTACAGTTTCATCATCAGATGTACGTCGAGAGGAGGATCCACTTAAATGATACGAGATTAACTAGTATGAAAGAATATGCAAACCTTTGAGAATTTGACCGAGCGTCTAAAATAGCTGATTCACTTCCACGTCTAAGAGTACTTGAGGCGCTCGATAAGATACTCCTGAAAAATAGCGATGAGAAGGTGAAAATCGAATTAGAAATGAATTATATATAATCATAGTTAGTAATATTACATATAATAATAGAAAATTTCTGCTTCAGAGAAACCAGAATTCAAAAAAACGCACGATGTAATCTTTGAGTCATTGTTGTTCGAATTATCACGCCTCATCAATTGCAGCTGATCCCTGAGCGAAGTTTTTCCGATCATCCGAACACCTGTCGATGCCGCTCCAGCCGAGACAACCGACATGTCAGACAGACTTCCGCCGTTACTCGATGCCGGCAATGTCGTCGCGCGCTGCTTGATCATCGGAGCGTAGAGTGCGTCACGGGCGTCGCGCGCGTCAACAACATCGTCGATTTCTTGATAATCGCGTTGTTTGCCGCTGCTGCCGCCACCAATGGGACTAATCGAACATGAAGCGGCGTATTGCGATGAGAGTAATGCCGGCGGCGAGACGTAATCGCGTTCTTCGTGTGTCTCAACGTGCGAGTGTCGAAGCATCGACGTCACGCCTGCACTATCCGAGTTTTTGAATATATTGTTGAGTTCATTCGCGATTCGATGAGGCATTTCCGTGCGCAGTAGTGGAGGAAGGGACTCATCTTTGGATTGTTCCGATCGATTCGATGATCTAATCATATTTTGGGATACAATATGAATGTAAAGGTTGTGAAATACCTGCTAGATGGCATTGGTGGAAAATCATTTTCATGTGGAGAAGCACCATTTGTGTTTGCTTGTGATGAGGTCGTATTGGTGTGACAAAGCATGGGGGATGGGATCATTCCTCGATCAGCCGATTCATACGTCGAGCCGTACATATTCCGCATGTTTGGAGTTTTATCAGTAACGTCGTCATCCTCAGAAACCAAATCGCTGCAAAAAAAAATGGATTAGCCGACAACTTTGCAAAACTCAATTACTTTTCCTCGGTGAAATGACCATCGTCTGGTCGCTGCATAGCGTATTTATCGTAGATTGGACCAGGAATGTCTCGTGGGAACACTTCATCAGCGTGAATTATGAGATTCCTCACAAGTTCGTTGACATAGTTATGATAGAACACTTGATCTTTGCCTTCAGGAATTGGAAGCAAGGTGGGACCGAAGCAGATCGCCAAATTATGCGGCTCCATCATGTTCTCATCAGCGAATTCGCATAGATGCGACAAGAAGGCGAACAGAAAACGTAAGAGAAGAATGTGCGAAAGCGGCAGTTTGACAATCAAATCACGAGTCTGAAAATGAAATAAATTAAATTCATTTCTTAAATTTCACAATTTCCAGATGTCATGCTTAGCCGAAAAAATGGAGCACGGCGTGACCTGACCTAATTTGCCAGCAATCACGACGTGGCTTCACAACAACCATCAAAATCTTTCATCAAAATTAACTTTCTTTTCGATTATTTGCTGTTCTCTTTTTTGTATTCATTTCCAGCTTAGTTGGATTGAGACCACTTAATGATGTCTTCGGTTGATAATCGCCAAAACAACAACTCGGTATTAAAACCAAGGTTTAATTGAATTCCAAATTTCAATGTTTTAAACAGATCGAAGACAACAAAGTTGACGAAGTTACAGCAGCTCTTCTAACTCCGCCAGCTACTGATTTTTCGAAAAAAGCGGCGAGTGGAGTCTCAACTGCATCTATCAGAACTGAAGTCTTTCCGACCGATCATAGTATTTCAGCAGAAGGCGACAATTGTTACGGGGTAAGAATAAATAAATGATTAATCAATTTGAAGCGGATCTTTTTAAAGGATACTCATTCAAAGGTTTCCGAAAGTGGTGCCGAAATGAAAACTCTCCTCAAACTGATAGACAAAGGTAAGAAGGGGCTCTCATTTCATAAGATATTATTCTATGAGAAATACGAATACATTCCAAGATACGCAGTTTCCGAAATTTAGAAATTGCCAAAGTTTCGACATCGGAAGAATTTGAAGAAGAACGCTCAACGACGCCTCCACGAACTCACGAGGCAGCTTCTTATAAAAGCAGCGCGCCTCAGTTTCAATCACAATATAAGGCAACAAATTAATGACCGAAAAATTGAAATCGAATATTTTAGAGGGACCATTTGTTCCAAAATCCTTCCGAATTTGAGCCACTTTATGAATCGGCGGAGTTTACCAAAAATTATCATTCTGGAGATTTTGCTCATCAGATCACCAAAGAAAACCGAATTACGATAACAGAAACTTTATACGTTCCTGTCAAGAAATATCCAAAAGTATGAAATTAATCAAATCTCTTCTAGAAATGTGTTGAATTCAGTACAATTTCGTTGGAAGGATTCTGGGACCTCGCGGAATGACCGTAAAGCAGCTCGAGAAAGAAACTGGATGCAAGATTTTTGTGCGTGGTCGGGCTTCGAACATGGCGGTAAGTAAAACACTCATTGCCAACTGTCATGAGAATTTCAGTTTAATCCTCATACAAAAATGATGCGTGGAGGAGTGATCTCGAACAAATCGTCTCTGTCGACCATATCCCAAGGTGCTTTGACAGATGATCCACTTCACGTCTATATCGAAGTGACTGATTATGAAACAAACGCAAAACGCAAAATGTCGTCGGCAGTTTCGATTATCAAAGATCTTCTTTCACCACCGGTAAATTTAAGCAAACCTACAATGTTTGATCTATTCGCGTCTAGGCAGATGGAAAGGATGAATTGAAAAGACAGCAATTAGTGGATATTTCGCTCATCAACGGAACATATCGTCCAACCCCTGCGACTGCTAATTCTGTTCACCGTCCTCGAAGAATCAACCATGCTGCACCAAACGTGACACTTGATCCAACATCGGCTCCGATTGAGGAACTTCAGCGAATGACATTGAATAGAAATGATAACGCCCAAAAGCTGGAAGCAAAAAATCATGCCTACAGGTTGGTGCCATGATGATGTCAAAAATCTAGTACTCAATCAGAATTCCACAACAGCGAAAATGGCATTCACCGCGAGGATTTGAACAAGATGCCGAAGAATACGCCAATTCGACGTCATCTCGCGAATATGTTACCGATATTGTGAACAAAACCAAACAGGTAAGCCAATGATATTTGGCTCTTAATTCGACTAACCCGTTCGTACATTAAGGCTGCGAGAGTAATTTTCAAAGACGATGGCACATGCGACGAAGAGTCAACGCGAATCGGCCGCCCGCTTTCACCGGCAACTGTCGCCGAATCATTGAAGTGCGTTTGGTCGGCGTTTGCCCCGTATTCGTTTTGAAAGGCAATTTATTCACAAATTTCGAAGAGCTCAATACGAAAAGAAGAAAAAATTATGCCATTTTCCAAAAAAAATTCCGAGTTCAGCATTCTCACACAATTACTTGAATAAAATCTTAATACTAAATATTTGTGTTCGTCCAGTCTGTGTTTGTCCTTGTGTGTGAAATTGAAAAAAAAAACCACTCTTACGCTAAACGTTTTTAGGCTGGTTCAGTCATTGATCGACTCTCACAAAAATATTCCAATCGGAAAGATCGGTGAGCCGCAATCAACTCATAGTATTGTTGATCATCCAGTGCTTGACCCAACTCCAGTCCTTCAGCCGCCAATTGGTAATTTCTAACCCACTAAAAAAAAGTAAAAAAAATTAACAGATTACTCCTACTATCCAGCGCATATGACATCGGTGTCTGATAGTCAAGCCTATATGTACCCGCCGCCGCAGCAAATGGTCGATTTCATTCCTTCGCCATACTATCCGTCCCGCCAATCCGATTCGATGCCTCTTCCACCACCACCGCCACCGATGCCTTTATATCCTCTCCCAGGCTTAGTTTATATGCTCCCCGGAAGTTATATCGAAAAATTTGTGCCCCAGGGATACTAGATTAATTATATGATCGTTTTATCAACTCGATTGTTTGACACCTACTCGTTTATAGCATCTAGCCTCGTTTTATATTTGAATTTTCAAACAAATTTTATATGATTTTTTAGTAGAAAGCAAGAAATAAGGAAAGTATGTTTTCGATTATCGGCACCGGATCGTATTCGCATTCTTTTTTCACATTTTTACCCTACCGTATTTGCATTATATTTAATATCACATTTTGGCGTAATTGTGAAAGTTCCTTATGATTCCGATGAAACATCACCTTTTTAATAAATTCGGCTGACGACTCCGCTTTTGCACAATCGCAAAACTGCTCGAACATGAATATCGGGAATATGGGCTCGCGCAACTCGCGGAAGTATAGCTTTAGTACACCAGCCGCCGAGTTTGACTCTGTTCCATCTTCAAGGTACGAGAAAAGATCTTCTCCTAAACATTAATCATTTTTTTTAACTCGAAAATCTACAGCATGCCTCGTTCGTAAGCTTCTTTGAATCGATTAATTTCTGATTGTGATCCAGAAACTCGAAACAATCCCTGATTTCGCAACGAGAATCGCGATAAGTAGCTGATTGCCGATTCAACGAGAAGCGGAATTGCTTCACCAGTGGCTTCAACGTATTCGTCGAGGCTTCCACCAAAAAGTTTCGGTCTTGGTCGAAGTTCCTGATCCTTGTCCACAATTCCACCAATTCTTTTTGGCTTCAATCGTCGGTCGTCTTTCTGTGGATGAGCATGACCATTTTCCGATGGCGGTCCATTTCTAGCGTCGGTCAGAAGCCCATTCGGTGAGGTTTGGAGAGAAACTCCTACTTTCGCCAGAGCTTCTCCAATTGCTGCGCTTCTTGCTTCAAGCCGTTCCATAAGATTACCGTTGAGAAGAAACAGCTCAAACTTCTATAAAGCGTTGCTTAGATTTCTAGAGAAAATACGAATCTACCTTCAAATAGTATTGATATGTTACATATAGATCATTTCTCCACTTTGTGGCATCTCCTTCAAACGCAGTATTGTAGAGCGTTAGAAGCTGTTTCTCAGAGGCTTCCAGCGACTTCCAGACCTCGTCAATTTCAAATTGAAGACCTTCAAGTCGCTTTTCAATTTGCATTTGCCGTTGGAGAAGATCAGCGGACAAGTTTTGTTCGGCAGAAACTTCGCAAATTGTATCGCCCAACTGTGGTCTACAAAATTTGTATTCAAATTGAAAATACTCAAATCCAATCAATTTCACCTGAATTCGAACATTTTGGGTAACATGAAAAGCTGATGATTTGCCTCGAAAAATCTCTGCTTGTCGGCTTTTGCGTCCACCGATGATCTTAATGTGCCCAACTCCGCCAAACAATCCATTTCGTGCTGTGTGATGCGTTTACGCTCATCAATCACTTTTTCTAAACACAATTCATCAAATTCATAGAACAAAGAAAATCGAATTTTCTCACCAAGAATAGCACGAAGCCAGAAATCCATACCCAAATCCATACAATCGATGAGATATGATAAGTCTTGTGCAAAGAAGCGATGAAGAGCAGCATTCGCCGCCTTTACACAAAGCAAATACTCGTTTCGCGCTTTTATACATTTAAGGCGAACTGCTTCAAATTTTTCCTCTCGCTTAATTTAAAATTTGTAAAATTTAAATGGCATTCGTATGGACTTACTCGTTTATAATATTTGACAAGTGAGCGATGCCTCCTCGAACTTTCGAATTTCTCAGCATTCGCTTCTTCATATTTTCTCACATCATCTTCCGCCGACTTCTTTTTTCGCTCGATTCCGCACATTTCAGCATAGCAAAGTTGATAAGTTTTCATGGCAGTCTGCAGCTCGTTTAGAACCCGATTGAGCTCAGTATGAGAAAATGAGCCGATTTCACGACACTGCAAAATGATGGCAGTGAAATTAGGTGGAAACAGAATGGGCTTACTCGTTTGGAGATTTTTGCCAAATCTTCACATCTTGTTTCGATACTCGATGTCATCTGTTTGCTATACAACTCGCTGAGACTCTGAAAAAACGAATTTTGAAAATGTGTGAAAATTGAAATTGTATTAATAGTTTCGAAAATGAATAACGCAATTAATCATCAATTATCTAGCAAACCAAATACTCTTACATGTCTCTTTTTCGATTCCTCTTTTGTCTGCTCAACTAAAGTGTGCCAAACTGTGCTGCAAGTGTGTTGTGGCCAAGCATCTCTTCTTAATAACGACATTTTTCAAAAATTAGCAATTTTTGTAAAAACATACCTGCTCCTTTCTGATTTGTGTTTTTGTGCTATGCTTTTAGACAATTTCTCCAGTTTTGCCGCATATTCGCTCTCAATTTCTCCTCTCTTTCGAAAATAATCCTGAAAAATTAGAATTATTATCAAATTTAATTTAATAAACGATTCTTACCTGTAACTCTGACAAACTACTTAGCTGCACATCAGTCCGATCACCCAAACATTTGAGTTGATCGCTCATTTTGACCCGAAACTCTGCAAAAAACACCATCTTCAGACGACTAGTAAAGCAAGAAATAAGGTTTTTTGCGAGCAAGATTGAAATGTCGGATGGCCAACATTCTTTATCGCCTGCCTTTTTCGGACACAGGATAAACAACACAAATAGCACATATATGAATGTTTGCGGAATGTTTAAAGGATTTGTGTAAGAATCTCATGTAGCGCAAAAGAAAAAAAAGAAACATTACGAAATTGACCATGGAAAGACATTATTTCATCTTGATTTACGACAAGCGTTCTTTTTTTTTTAAGTAAAAATGATGTTTTCACCAAACATTTTGGTAGAAATTGATTTTTTCAACAAACATTTCATCTTTTAGGAAGCTTATCGTAAGAAATTATAATGAAAAAACATTTAATAAAAAAACCATATCAATATTAAATACTTATGGCTATTTTTTAATATATAGAATTACTTATAAACTTCTACCCTGGTGCGCAACTCGTTGGAACAGGTGTGGTTCTTCGAGCGAACACATTGACGAAGTATCAAATTACCAGATTTCTCATTCAGAAACTGGACTCATCGTTTAGACGAAAAATTGGAATGGCAAAATAAAAAAACGCTCATCAAAAGAGCAAGTCGCGCACACTGGGCAGCCAGAAGAAAAAAAACACAGTGACCACATGAAAATACGAGGAAGATGATGCTTTTGCTAACCGGGAGTGAAAAGAAATGAAGACGAGATGAAGAGCACTTTTTCACGGGCGGCGCGCGCCCAACGGCGGCGGCGGCCTCGGCAGCCACATTGAAAGACGTGAACGACAAGCACAAAGATGAACGACATCCCTCCAAATGTGGCGGATCCGACGGGTCCCGCCAGTCCGTGCGCTAGCACACGCCTCCTCCTTTCATTGCATAATAGAATCGGTATTGTGCTGGCGCTTAAGGGGGGGGGGAGAAAAGACAGAGAACGAGCACAAACCACCCCATCCTTGTCTATTTCAATATATTATGGCTATTTAGATGCCAAAGCTGTCGCGCATGCGCACTTTCAATTGTATCATATTCCAAATGGGCACCACTAGAATTCGTGAAAACCGTGAGAAATAACGCTGTTGACATATATATATAACACGGTGGTAGTGGCGATGTCGGCGACACACCATGAACACAGGTATTTCGAATAGTGCAGGCAAGTGTAAAACGACGCAACAAAAAGAAGATGGATGAGATAAGCCGATGGCTACGAGTCAAGAATTAACTCACTCGAGCAATTAATTGCTCAGGTCACTTATCAGCTCCTAGGTTTAATGAGAGATATTCTGCTGGTTTGCGTTGAGAAAACAGAACAAATAGTTGATGAGAAGAATGAAGAGATTTCAATTAACGTTCATTAACATACATACATTCTTTGGACCTTCAAAATCAAGTGTAACTTTAGAATTCTCTATTAGTCAAGACTATACAATCTGCCAAGAATTGACTATACAAGTCCGAAAAAATAAAGTTCGAACAATGTTGTGTCGCAAACATGCATATATAAATATTTTTCGAAAACGGTCGTCTCTTCTAAACGTTTTTTGTCCATGTTGCCTTATATTATTTTTCTGTAACAATTTTTGCATAAAGCATTTGCAAATATAAATAAGAAGAACTGCTGCCTATGGAAATAACGAAAATAATACAAATCTCTGAGGATCTCCTCAAATACATAGAAATTGAAAATGAAAACCACATAACGTCCACTTGATGTTTTTCTCCTCTTTTTACAATACATATCGAACATTTTAATGTTCTAGTGCGCGATTGAACATCGACTAACAATTGACAGCCCACAACGAGAGGTGATCAGACCAAAAAATCATCAATTATTCGTATCAATCCGCAAATAACAGCAAAATTTTTATATTTATTTTCATGAGAAACGACTTCGTTATCTGATATCTAATAAAATGAATAATGGATATTCACGTAACGTACGAATACTCCGGAATTTCGATTATTATATCATTCCATAGAATTTCAATTTTTATGTGGCGATTTGAAGACAATTTTCAAGTTCGCTTTCTTGAAATTTTAATTAAATTTTTGATTTTTTTTTTAAATTTTGAATCACGAGATTTATAAGATCTATTATCTCTTTTAATAAGGATCGATTGATCTGTTTATTGAAAATCAAACCTCGGCCGATCATGCGATCCAAAATCAACAGTAAAACATGAAATAAATTTAGAAATGATTAGCTTTAATAAAAAATCACGCTCAATGTGGAAATTAGGAATTATTTCATATGAAAAAATTTTAACAAAGGAAATATAAGTTTTACACGAAGTAGACGTAGACAACAAATGTTACTCTAATAACATTCCAGAAAAGTGAAATGTGATTACTCAATTGATTTTCTAAGGTAATATGAATGTCGCAAAGAAAAATCGAGCGAAAAACAAAAAAAAAAGAGTTTGAAGCAACTTTTAACGAAGTCAGAACTGACAAATAACAATAATAACGGGAGAAACCGACGAAAATTAACGACCAACCTTGAAAATCGTAGGTGTCATCAACTCCGATCGAAGCGCAAAGAGGTAGTCGAATACTCATTTTGGGCGCATATCACACATTGATCACCCGCCGCGATTTAAGATATTGACGAAAAACGCCGAGACTAAAGAGTAGAAGGATGTGTGCGGATGGAAACAGGCCAAGCAGGCGGAGCGAGCGGGTCCCGTAACACACACACACCGAGCCACTCACACACACACACACATGAGATATATATATAATCATCATCATCATCGGATATCCAACGAAACGACTTTACATTCTTTGTGCTATTCGTTCGGGGTCTCCCGTTTCATTACCAACCTGGTCAATTCCGAGGTGAACACCGATTCTTTCGGCAGTCGATTCGTTTAATAAGCTCAATTACACGTCAAAATCCGGAAGCCTCGAAACCTCTTTGGCGTATACTCGTCGAATGTTGGCATTCACCAAAACAAGAACAATCGCAATAAATTCTGGCAGAAGAGGGTAGGGGGACAACTAGAATGCATCTTCTTTGTGCCTGATCGCCAACACCGTAATATAAATGATCCCAAATGGAAATGAGAAAATGAAAATGGAACAGAACAGAGATGATTCACAATTTGAGAAGAATATTTTGACAGAGAACCAATTCGAGAAAACCGAGTGGGATTTTTGAAATATTCCAACCATCAATTATCCTATAGAAAATTCTCACCAGCCGAACACATTTTATTGTTTGGCCCTAAAAAGCGCGTGTGTCAAATTACAATTAGCAATAAATCATAATTATGAGTCCCAACACACCAACCGTTCCAACAGAAAACCAAAAAAAGGGCACCCACCTTTAGATGTGCATTCCAAATCGTGCATCATCGCTTTCTCTTGCTTCTGATGTGCTTGCTTTTTCAAATCTTGCGAACATCGTCGATCGACACTTTCCTCGGTCGTTTCCGACGTCATCGAATGTCGATGATATTTGATGGGCTGCAAATCGAAAAATGATGATGAACGGAAATCAATCTCGCCGATTGGAAAAAAAGCGAATCACGAGAATCGAAAATAATTTATAACATAAACGAATGGAATGAAGAGATAAATAAATATGAACAAACTTCGAACGCCTTTTTTAGAAATTGAGTAATATTTGTACTCTTATTTTTATAATTGACTATGACAAATATGAAACGAATAAAAACTATGTATTTATAATAAAAATAACACATATTTTAATAAAAATACCAACTGTTTTTATTCGATCAACAGTTTTAAGTACCCAGTAATTATCAAAAATAATTCAACATGAAGCCAATCGGATTAAAATGGGATATAAAGCATTGAAACCGGTTCGTTTTTGTACGCTGGATAGTAGTTTTTTGACATAAATTAATAGCATTATAAAAAAAATATGAAAACAAGAATAAAATCTAGAGAATTTGGGTCTTGGTTAACTTTGTAATTTTCGGCGACTTATAAGTTCTGTTTGTCTAACTAAAGTTGTTCAATAGACTCGGAAATTTCCAACTTTCGAAACGATTAGTTATTAATTTGTACAAACGCCCTCTTACATTGTCGTTTCAATACTCGCAGATACGAGTTGATGTGACTCACACTTGATTTATGAGCACTAACGATTTGCGCCCGCTCATAAAACGATGGCAATTCTGACATAAGGGAGCGAATCGGCGAACAAAACGTTTAAAAGCAAACAAATGAGGTATAAAAATAAAATTAGATATTAAAAAAAAACAGCTTCTGGATTTTGCAAAACAGCGCAGAAGCAATTCACAACGAGCACAAGCAGCAACAACACAAGAAAACCAATGCCCCTACAAATGAGTCATATTTCATCGCGTCGCAAGGGTGCAGGATTATCCACAAATGGGACAAGATGTGCGCGCGAGAACGCACACGTACTAGAAGCGCGTCCAGAGAATCGGCAGAGGACAGGGTGCGGGAATGTTTATATTAGTACCAACAACTCGACAACATCAACTAAGTATTATAATAGCACGCAAACCCAGCCTCCAAATGGATATTGTTGGCCCGCGTGCGCGAATCATTCACTTATCTTTATTGTCCATCAAATGGTTGACGATTCGCCCTTTTCGCAACAAGTTGTAACACCTGGCAACCGTCCAAAACATTTTTTAATAAATACGGTAGGAAATTCTAGACAACTTTTCGAAATATTCAAACAATCAAATTCAATATTCTGTAAAAGAAAAGAGGTGTGTATAAAAGTTTCTGAGTATAAGTACTGGCCAGATGAGATTTAGAAAAAAAACACACATGAAACTATAATAAAAATTGCAATAGAAAAATGGCGGAGCCTAGAGCAAGCGTCACCTAAAAATTTTCTAATGCGCATTTATTTCCAACATAATGTACTATACTTCCTGAAAAGAATTAGCCTTTGAATTGCATTTGAGAAAGGTTTTTCTCATCTGAAAAAAATGCATTGATATCCAAAAAACTGAATCACGATTTAATAACAATGCCAAAAAAATGGTCAAAACGATTTGTCTTCATTCTAACTGACCCATAATATGAAGGTCGAATGCGCACGAGCCACTCAACACTACTGCAGAAAAAATTCAATCAATACGGAATTATAAATTGGGTTTGAGCAATTATCGTAATGGTGACCCTTTTCTGCAGACATGAAATTGAACTAGGCATTTTCGGCGAAATTCAAAATTGACGAAATTATGAACGAAATTGAAAAGGTTGAAGAATAAGACAAAACCGTGAGTCTATTTGAACAGTCGTCGAAACTCCCATTGGAGCAGCCGATGGAGGTGAGGGCGGCGAGTCTAATCGACACAGGAGAAAATACTTTAAACGTGTGAAACGCAAGAGTTTCGAATGAATGTTTGCCGTAATTAACAGGCTGGCCGGCGACCACGGACATATACAAACATCATGTACGGAGCAGCCGCGCGCCTCGCCCCGTCTGCTTTGCTAACAACAATTCGTTTGGCGATTGTCCAAGCAAACCAAAAACGCCTTCGAATGCAAATTCAACGCAGGTGGCTGGCTACGGCTACGGCTGCTGCTGTTGAGGGTGTCGCCGCGAACAACGTATTCATGCGTGACTGTATCACGGTCAGTCCGTACATCTCCCGAATCCGGTATGTGCAATTGTGATTGAAATCGACGAGAAACTGATCGCAGGCCGCCGACCGACCGCTTGTTCGACACATCGTTCTTTTTGTTCCATACGCGGCTGCACCCGCAATTAAAATCCATTCAGTTCGACATGTCAAGCGGCTATAATTAAAGGAAAGCTCGGTGAACAAGAAAAAAAAAACAAACAGAAGGTCGTGGTTGGTTTCTGCAGGCGATCAAAGGGTGGGATTTCGAATAAAAAAAAACGAGAAGTGTAAACACTGGTATAAAAAGTGAATTCAAACGCGACCAGATGTGTGTATGTGCTGAAGAGAAGAGTTATTTTCAGAATTGAATAACCACCTGCGATCATGAAAGACAAATATTATTTATGCTGATTTCTCTTCTGGCGAAAGCATTTTCTAAGGAAAATAAAATTGCAGAAACCGAAAACACTCAAAAAAATATGGAATAGTGAAAACCCAATTTATGACGTGGCTCAAAGAAGTAGCTTCAACGAAAATCGATTGCTATATTTTTGGGGAGCTGAGTTAAATGGAGGCAATAACTCTCGTTTTAGACAATACTGCCGTGTTGCCCGGGGATTCAGAAAATGTGAAAAAGTATTGTCGACGTCGCGCGAAAATTGGCTGAATGCAAAAAATGAAAATTTATGAAAGCTTTCTTGGCGTGCAGGGTGCGTCTTCATCCCATCCTTACGCTTAGCTCGTAAATCTAAACTTTTAGCATTTAGTCAATTTGGCACTCTCGCAAGCGAAAATATGAGAAAATTATTTTTGCGAAAATATAAATTTCACACACCTCGAAAATGTTTAGAGTCTCCGATCAACATTAAAATTTCTTCATACCAGGATATTTTAGCATTTTATAGAAGGGAAAGGCCTGCTTTAAACAAACGAAAATTACTCTGATTTGGAGGGTTCCACCGGCTAAACGATCATAAATTTTTAATAGCGTCTTTGACAATGTTATTTTGCGAGCTCGCCTGAAAATTGGAAGGTTAAAGAGCGTCGTGCGTAATACTCCGCCGTTCAGACATGTGATTTCAATCTCATTATTTTTAAAACAGAAAAGAGAACATTTAAGAGAAAGAGAGAATAGTTGTGCAAAAAATAATGCAAAAATGCTTTTTACGAACACCAAAGACAATAATGATTATTGTATTGGGTGTTCTGTGAGGGCACCGACACGTTCATACGAGTGTGCGAGCAATAATCCGTTCGACAAACTCGGATTAGGCGACAAAATTGTATATCCACACCACAAATAGAATAGGCGGCACCCTTTTTTGCAAATTTCGATTCATTCATTCTAAAAAGGAAGGATGCGATGCGGCAAATGACGGAAATTATCTTGATCGCACTGTTGATGTGCGGGAGAGTTTTGAAGTTCGCGCGACAGGCACATTTATCTCAATTTCTATTCGGCAACGTCGAAAAACAACTTATTTAGTTTTTTTTAATTCAAAAATGAAATATGAATGTGCAGTTTTTGAAAATTCTCTGACTGTGTTTATGTTGCTTTTTAAAAATATCTCTAGCCTGTTAAAAAACACAGCCAACTTTTAAAATAGTGAATCCTTATATGTTGTTTAATTTAAATGCAACATTTTCATCGAAATGTTTTGACAAGTATAACCTTGGAGGGCATAAAAGTTTTACGGAATCGACTAATTGCGAATCATCTATAGATTGCGCATGCGAGGGTCATTATTCGAGTTAAACTCAAATTGCCTTCCATTTAGAGTAGATAAAACTTGTAGAGAGGATTGAGAGAGATAACCAATCAAATGAGAATACAGAACTCGAATGGCGCATAATGAGGTCATCAAGGAGAACATGCTGGGAAAAATAATTGATTCTCATTGCCAAAAACGTTTGACTGCTAACGACGCAAGAACAATTTCGCTCCGGAAGGCCACAAAATGGTGTTCAAAATAAAAAATATCTGGTGCCAATTGGCAAACAAGTATTTAACCGGAAATGGTTCGGTCCTTTTTACGAAAAAATGTAAATAAATGGGAACAAATGGTACATACGAATAAATGAGGGATGTCCACACGAGTGCTCGAAACAATAGGAATTGTTATTCAAATGATTGCGGTATCCGCGCGGTCAAAGAAGACATGTTGGACCATTGTTTCAAATGAAACAGTGCATTTTATGGAATGAGAGGTGGGCGCGAATTGAAAGAAATCAACGATGACAAACAATCTAAGAGTTTAGTGGTATAAAAACTGTAGAACAAATAAATCATATACTTAAGTGTTTAATTTTGATATTAATACGGCCGGCTTTCGCGCGTCTTCGGAAAATTGACCAATTGTAAATGGCAAAAAATTAGGGAAATGTTTTTGCATGGGCTTTTAAACCTATTTTTAGCTTGTAAATCTGCGCTGTTAGTCAAGACATCTCATAAAATTTTTTGCAATTTAAAAATCGTAATTCGAGAATGTAAAATCAAAATCCATTCAATTTTTGTTAAAAATTAATTGTTTCTTTTGTTTCCAACTTCAGATAAGGTAGTTGAAATCTTTCATACTTTAATCTACATTGGAAATCATGTTATAATTGGTTATAATTGCAAATAAATCTAAATTGCGTATTTGTGGGATTTTTAAATTGTTAAAATGATAATGAAAACAAAGATGTCAATTTTTATCGTATTACAATACGTTTTCCAAAGAACATTGAGCTTGAATTTCAAAAACACGAAAAAAAAAAATAAAAAAATTCAAATTTCAAATGGTTCGAGAGCGTTGTTTTCGAGAGGGTAAAGAGAAGTTGGGTCTCGTCGCGACTGCGCTGCGTTAGTGCACTCGAGTACGGTAGCCGTCTCAATGACATGGAACTTGAACCGTTGCAAGGGAGATTCTTTACATTTTCGATGATATTTTTATTGTTTCAATTATTTGCATTTAATTAAAAACTAATTATTATAGGATGGCGTATCAACCGCCGCCCTTTGCTCAAAATCCAGGAAATTCGCAGCAGCAATTTTACGCTTATCAAAATGGTGGTGCTCCTGGTAACTTCCAAAATTCGCAGCAACCTCCAGGTAAAAACAATTTCAATTGAAAAAACTACCAGTTTTTGATATTTTAGGGCAGTATCCTCCCGGGCAACAACCACCAGTACATCAGCAAGCGCTCGGCCAACGTATTGTTTAAGTTTGCGAGAAGTTGCAAATTTATTTTTTTTAGAACAATATGGATATAATGCCACTGGGGGCCCACCTCAGCCATTTCCTCAAATGAAGCAACCCAGCCCTCCAGGAGCCCAGATTCCATCTCAAGCCACTCCGCAGCCGCCAATCCCAAGTTCGACTACGCAGCAACATGCTCCTGCTACTGCTGCTCCAGCGCTTCCCAATCAGTATGCAGCTTCTCAGGGTATAAAGCCTGCAGTACCAAGCCCGTTCCCACAAGGTGCTGGTGCAAACCAAGCCAATTTACCTCAACCGCCTGGAGCTATTCCACCTTTACAACAATATCAACAACAGCAGCCACATCATTCCCAAAATCTACAGCCGTCTCAGACACAGCAGCCGCAACAACCGCAGAAACTTGTTGCGAACGGAGTTCCAAGTTCCTTCCCTCCAGGCACCTCTGGAACATTTCCTCCAGCTCCTGTTGCTCCTATTCAACAGCAACCTGGACCTCAGCGCCTTGGTCCAGGAGCTCCTAGTGCATTTCCTCCTACATCAGGAAATCAACAACAACAAGGTCCCCCAGCACCAGGCGGTTTTGCTCCACTAGGTCCTGGAGCACCAGGAGGTTTTCCACCAGGTGGCCCTGGAGGTTTTCCTGCTGGTCCCGGTGGTCCAGGAGCTTTTCCACCAGGTGGTCCTGGAGGTTTTCCTGCTGTTCCTGGTGGTCCAGGAGCATTTCCACCAGGACCTGGAGGACCGAATTTGCCTTCAAATTTCCCACCAGGACCCGGAGCACCGAATGGTTCGTCGAATTTCCCACCTGGCCAAGGTGGTTCAGGTGGATATCCAGCTGGACCGGGAGCTTTTCCACCAGGACCTGGAGGATTCCCACCAGGTTCTAGGGCGCCTGGTGCTCCAGGGGGCTATCCCGGTCCACCACAGCAACAGCAACAACGATTGGATCCAAACATGATGCCAAGCGCTGTAAATATTGTCCCTTTTTTACAGTTGGTTATATATTTATTTAGGTTCAAGTTATGGATGATGATATTGCCAGAGCAGGACTTTTTCCTACAGGATACCCGCATGCTGAACTTCCTCCTCTAACTTCTACCAATATTTTTGCTCAAGATCAAGGTTTTCGTAATTTTAGAAATATTTATCTTCTAAAGAAATTTTACAGGAAATTGTAATCCAAAATTCATGAGATCAACCCTTTATATGGCACCACAATCCAATGATATGTTGAAGTCGTCACAAATTCCTTTCGCCTTGTCCATTTCACCTTTTGCTCCATTGAATGAACTTGAGGTAATAAAGAGTCATTTTTTTTAATATGGTCAACCGAAAATTAAATAAATATTTAAATTTTAGCGTGAACCGCCTGTTGTCGATTTAGGACCTCAAGGACCAGTTCGCTGTCAACGCTGCAAGGCTTATATTTGCGCATTCATGGAGTTTCAAGACGGCGGAAGACGATTCCGTTGTCCATTCTGCAACGCGAGCACTCCAGGTTTTTAATAGAGGGTTAAAAAATCAATTTTCAATTTCAGTGGAAGAGACATATTTCGCACATCTTGATCACACTGGAAGAAGAACTGACATCGAAATGAGACCAGAATTGTTTTTGGGTGCTTACGATTTGGTTGCGACAAAGCAATATTGCAAGGTTTATTGTTTTTTTCGATTATTCAAACTTCCATTATTTTAGAACGGAGTCCCTCCGAAAGAGCCTGCGTTTATATTCATGATCGATGTTTCTTACAATGCATTGTCAAATGGAATGGTTCCGCTCTTGTGCCAAAATCTCGAAAAAGTTTTGAGTAGTTTGCCTAGAGAGTCTGGTCAACTTGATTCATCCATTCGCGTCGGATTGGCTACATTTGATCAAGCCGTCCATTTCTTCGATTTGTCTTCAGCGACGCCAAAGATGCTCGTCATGAGTTCGTTTTTTTTTTTAAATTTTGGCCACACTGTTTTGTTTATTCATCTGTTTTCAAATACGTTTAGGCGACGTGCAAGAGCCGTTCGTTCCATTGGTTGATGGTCTTCTTCTCCCGTACAATGAAGCGCTCTCAGGCTTACGAGCTGCGCTTGCTGAAATTCCAAAGATTTTCTCAGCATCGAGAACAACCGAAACGATTCTTCACCCTGTCGTTCAAGCTGGACTTGACGCATTGAAAGTATCACACATTTCTATAGATTATTTATATTGGGCCTTGGTTTCTTCAGTGTGCGGATCGGGCCGGAAAAGTGATCCTGTTTACGACAGTTTTGCCAACTTTCGATGCTCCTGGAAAATTAAAAACTAAGAACGAACGAAACCAGCTAGGAACGGATAAAGAGAAAAGTGCGCTGGTGCCACAAGATGATTCGTACACAAAACTCGGTGAGCAATGTGTCAAGTCTGGTGTGACGGTAAGATTCAGTTTTTCAAATCTTTGTTTAACCTTGGAATATTCAGGTTGATTTATTTTTGTTCCCGAATGCTTTTATTGATGTTGCAACTATTGGGCAACTTTCTGCAGTCACTGGAGGAAGCATTTTTAAATTCCAATACTTTTCGGTATGAAAAATTGTTTCTTAATTTATTAAAAAGATACGAGTTTTAGGCCGACAAAGACGGTGTTAGATTGTTGAAAGATTTGGAGAGACATATTTCAAAGAAAATCGCATTTGATTGCATGATGCGTGTTCGAACGTCTGCTGGAATTCGTCCAGTCACCTTCATGGGATCATTCTATATGGAAAATGCGACAGATTTGGAAATTGCGACTATTGACGAGAGTAAGGCGTTCATTACGGAAATCAAACACGATGATAAACTGCCGGATCAATCTGCGTTTATCCAAGTAAAATTTGTTGCTTTTATTTCAATTGATTTATTTCCATGTTCAAGGCTGCCACATTATACACCTCAATGACAGGTCAACGAAGACTTCGTATTCTGAATATGTGTCTGCCAGTCTATAATGACTACAACCAATTGTTCCGACTAGCTGATCCGGAAACTTTGACATCTTACATGTTCAAACAAGGTTTTTACTTAAAAGTAAAAATCATTTTTTTGAATTTCACCTTTTAGCTGTTCAATTGAATCGCGAGAAAGGTAATAAAGAAACTAAAGATCAACTTTCTCAACGATGCGCCCAATTCTTAGCCACTTATAGGTAAAATTCACATTATAATTCTCAAAAATTATCTGTAAAACTTTTGACATTTTAGAGAAAAATGCAACGAGTCGGCTCCACTCGGTCAATTGATTTTACCAGAATCTCTCAAACTGATGCCGCTGTATGTCAATTCGATTTTGAAAAATGATGCGATTAGCGGTGGAAGTGAAATGACGGTCGACGACAAAGTGTGGCAGATGGAATTGATCCGCGGAATTCGTGTCGAAGATGCGATGCCGCTCATTTATCCGCGAATTCTTCCAGTTTCGGACGTCGAACTTCCAGAAAGCGGAGAATTAAAGGAACTTCCAAAACCAATTCGATCAAGTATTGAATATTTCGATAACACGAAGGTGACTGTTTGATTTAATTGAAATCAATGAGAAAACAATTTAGTCTCGAATGTCTCACAAGAATTTGTTTTTAGGCGTTTATAATTGACAATGGTGTTGTGCTTTTCTTGTGGATTGGACTTGGAGTTCCTCAGCAGTGGGTACAGGACGTATTCGGAGTAGGAGCCGTAACACTGATTGACCATGAAACGGTTCGTTGTTTTAATAATTTAGCTGTATTGCTAAAGTGAATAATTGTAGGGAGTTATTCCGGAGAAAGATAATGCAAAATCTAGAGCATTGCGACGCATTATTGACTTGCTACCGAAGGGAATTCGTCAAAGAAAAGTGTTTGTAATTGTCGAAAAGAGTGGGCTTGAACCGTGGATGAAGAAGTTCTTGATTGAGGTAAACACAATTGTTAGAAAATTTGAAATAAATTGGAGATTTCAGGACAAATCATCGCCCACGAGCATGTCATACGTCGATTTCCTCTGTCATATTCATCGAGAAATTCGCAATTTGATTTCGTAAATGTTTTGAGAAGAAATCAAAATGTTTAGAATGTTATTAGATTGTATTTATTTGTTGATAATGTTCCGGCATAGAATTTGAGGAGCAGGTTACCGGTTCTACGCCTTTTCTTTCCGTGCCCTATATATTTTATGCAGTGCGACATTATTCTTAATTTTTACGGCTTCGGAATGTGTGTATCAAGTGTTTTTTTTAAGCTTAGCATCTTTTTCGTGTTCCAGTCAAAATTGCGTTATAAAACTCCTGAGAATTGTGATTAATTTAATTTATAAGTTTATTCTTTATTAATTTTGCTGTGAGAAAGAGAAAAAGTATATTAATAGATTCTAATTTATTTATTGTGATCCCAATTGTATTAATTCAGCATTGTACGGTATCGTTTATTGGTGTTTTATCTGGATTTTTATGAATAAATAAAATTCATGGTGGAATTTCGACGAATTATTTGTTGAGGCAAGTGTGCTCTAGCGAACCGCGGAGATTTTGAAATTTTGAATTTCATGTTTCGAAAATTTTTGTTTCGATCGAATTTCATATTCACTAAGAACCTAGAATTATTCAGGAATGTCTATTTCTCAATGGATGAAAAAAAGCGAATATAAAAATTTGTCAGATCGGTTTTTAATAACTGAAAAGGACAGAAAAGGTAGTTTTTTGTTAAATTATTACGAAACCGCTAATACATTGTCGGAAACAACATCACCAATATATCCAATTATTCTAGATTATTTATATTATTAGTATTTCAGGAGCTTATACCAGACAATATTATGAGATTTACGAAACCCGTCTCAATGAACTTCGACCTCGTATTCTTGAGAATGCGGATATTATGATAGGTGTTTTGCCATTTAAAAACATACATTTGACTGATATGTTTTAAGGAAAAGGAAAATATGAATTATTATCGTTAAGTGATGTGAATAACGATCAGAAAGGTTTGATACTTGGAGTTATTGTAAAGCAAATTGCTCAAAGACCATCTATACTGAAGGTTTTTTTTTTGTTTTTTGTTTCATATTTTTATCATTTCCTCAAAATTTTAGTCCCTTCTTAACGAGGATAAGGTTGCTTATGAAACTTATGAAGAAAATGATGAAGATGATTCGGAAATTCCAAGATATGTCGCTAGTAGCGAGGATCATATTGAACTCGAGTCCGACAAGCAAATTGTTCGACTTGAAGGCAATATCTCAATGAATGATTGTGCGACTGGTTGCTGTGTTGGAGTATATGGAGTTCTTGTATGTTCTTGATCTTATGGAAAATATATTTTTAATGGATACAACTTTTTTCTTTCTGTTCCATTTTTTGAAATTGCTTGATTTTTCACAGTATAATCATTCGATTTCATTTTCACGAATGCGGTATTGATTATGATTTTTTCACAGAGTGCCCAAGGTGTTTTCAATGTTGAACAAGTTGTATGGCCAAGTGTTACACTTCCGCCACCTCTTAAAGAATCACGAAGAAGCGTAATTGCGATTATGGGAGGGCTCGAGCTCAATGAAAATATCAAAAACCATGTAAGAACATATTCTAGTTTTATCAGCAACGCGTTTTTTAAGATGGACTCTCTCTGTGGATTTCATTTATTCAGCGAATGGCTTCATGGTGACTTTACCCCAAACGAAGTGGAATCAAATGCAATGAATCGTCTCGATAGGATTGTCATACTCGGACCAACACTTGCTCCAAAAAGTGTATGTTTTATATGGTAGTATATATATATATTTACGTATAACCAGAAGTACAGTACCGCAGAAAAATTTACGAAATAATTAATTTTTGAGTGGTCCAATCGAAGTGAAATTTTTATTATTTTTTCCATAGATTAAAATGTTTCATTCATCAATGTTTCTGCAAGATCATGTTATGGAAGTTTACTTTTTTCAAGTAAAAAAATCGGTGTATAAATTCAAATGGCTATACATAGAAACAAAAATCCAACCAGGCCCAAGTTTTGAATGTCCAAATGGCATGTCCTCTCTGATGTATTCATACAAATTCTTGTCCATAATACTTTCGATTCAGTACAGTTCCACCGTCATGCTTTACAGTTGGAACTTGGTACTTGGGATAAAACCTCTTTCCTATTCGACTTTTTTTTCGATTATATCGTTCGAATTACCAAACAAGTGGCCTAAACTCCATAATGCTGCATAAGTCATCTTGTGATGTTAGTACTTGTAAGCCTCGGTTTTTTTTTGCTCGTCCTAATATTGAAAACATCAATTACTAGAGATGTTTTGGTAGTCTTCCTGTTGATTGTGGAAAAATGGGGAAATGTTTGGCCAGACCGCAAATCAACTTCTCCATTTGTCGACCGCTGTTAATGCGATCAACTTTAGATATACTTAAACCTTTTTGGTCGACCCATCCTAAAAAAATAATGAACATTACCACAATCTATCGAAAACTAAAACATATATTTGAAAAAAGAGAATAACTAAAATTTATCGATTTTTCCATTTTTGCAGATTTCAAAAAAGTCCGCTAGCACGTTTTTTTCGAACTAGTGTAATTCATTTTAGTCGGCGCCCGGCGACAGCTGTACGGGGGAAGATTTACGCGAATACGCCTTGAAAAGGTCTCGTAACGTGTGAACGCTTATTTTGCGGTTTTCACATAAACGGTTAATTTGCTCTTAATGAGTTTGTCATTTCTGTGAATTTCCAACGACACACGCAGTGTATCTACCCGGGACAGGATTTCCCGGGATCCCGGGAATATCGTTTCCCGGGTTTATCCGGGAAATCCCGGGTCTCGTCCCGGTTTCGTCCGGCAACTACCCGGGATGAGCGGATTCCGGGAAACCCGGGAAAAAGTCTGCAAACACCGCGCGCGCAAACGCACACTCTTCGAATATTGCGTATTCTCGTTTTTTTAATAATTTTCTTATTTTAAAAGATTCCAATGCTTAGAAAATGGCGTAGGAAGTCCCTATTTGGAATTTTTAAAATTTAGCAGAAAAATGAGCAGAATTGCAATGTGCAAATAACGATTTTTCCAAATTAGCAAGAATTTTATACGAAATAATGGTTTTAAACTTTCTTCAATAGACTATTTCAACGAAAAAATGTATTGGAGATCGATGAAGTAAACAATAAATTATATTAATATATAATATACAATGAATTATAATAATATATAATATCGCATCGCGTTCAATTTAAGCCAGACCTGTGAATCACAAGAAATTAATGAAGTGCATCGTTTTCGTGAATTTGTGCCGTTTTTCGCAGGGCTGATTTAAAAAGACCTTTCGTCTTTATCGATCACATTCACTGTCATCTCCTCTTGGTGCAGATTCAAAATTTTCCAAATAGGGACTTCCTACGCCATTTTCTAAGCATTGGAATCTTTTTAAAATAAGAAAATTTATTAAAAAACGAGAATACGCAATATTCGAAGAGTGTGCGTTTGCGCGCGCGGTGTTTGCAGACTTTTTCCCGGGAAATTAAGTTTCAATGAGTCCCGGGAATTTCCCGGGAACCCGGCCATTCCCGGGAAACTTCGTCCCGGGTAGACACACTGGACACACGATTTAAAAATTATGGAGCCGACCCATAAAGTGCCAAATAACCAGTTAGTCCGCGCGAGATCAGGAGAAAGACGCATCGCCGTAAATCTATCTGCGTATAGCAGTCGCCCAACGTCGAGTATATATTATATTAAAAATAAATGGAACTCTTTTCAGAATCTATGTGATGTGCAATCTGTTGTTCGGCAATTGACCCTTTCGCGTCAAGAGAAGGAAATTTCGACAGAAGCGATGTCTGCTTGCGATTTCATGCTGTCTTCTTGCACGGTAATTATATATATATATATATATATATATATATATATATATATATATATATATATATATATATATATATATATATATATATATATATATATATATATTATATATATATATATATACGAATCTTCAAAATTTGACTAATTTATGAAGGATGTGGCGCAAATTGACTTGGTACCAGGTATTGGAGATCCGTGCTCATCGTTATGGCCCCAACCCCCGATCCATCGGTTTGTTATTTTTATATATTCGGTGTCCGGCGTCGAAATGGTCTCACCACAAATGAATGCTTATTTTGAAAATGTTCATATTAACTTTTAATTTTTCTTGATGAGTATATCATTTCCTTAAAAAATTAATATCATTATAGTTAAAAATAACGGAATGGCCTCTAAAATGCAAAATAACCAGTTCGTCCGCGCGAGACATAGCAAAGACGCACCCTCGTAAATCTACCCATACACAACAGTCGCCGAACGCCGACTATATATTAAATAAATATTAGCATTGTTTCAGAGTATGTTTTCCACAGTCGGCTCCTTCCAAAAAGACTATCAATTTAGTCACGAACCCTTATGAATTTGAAGTGGACGGTCTTCATATATTGGCAACATCGGGTATCTGCAATAATTTTTTTTAAATTATTCATCCTACGTTTAGGTGAAAATGTAACAGATTTGGTGAGAAGCTCGCCTGATTGGACAGCTTGCGATGTTCTCAAAAATATTGTCGAATGGCAGCACATTGCACCAAACTGTCCGGACACACTCGATGGATTCCCATTTGCGGAGCGAGACCCGTTAATAATGCAAACCACGCCACACATCATAATCGCCGGTAATCAAGCAAAACAAGAAGTGAGTCGAGTGACAGTCACAGATGTTAGTGGAGAATCATCGGAATGTTTTTTAATTTGCCTTCCGAAATTTTCGAAGACCCAAGCAGTTTGCTTTATTGATCTTGCAGATATGTCTATTTCTTTGAGAATGTTTGAAATGGAACATTAACAATTTGTAACATAAATATGTGTTTCAATTAAATTTAACATTTGGGAATTGATGCAACAAAAGTGCTTTCAACGTTTCCACATCAAACTCGAAGGTTTTTTGTCCGGATTCATCTTTTTCAACCTCACTTTTCACCGCAGACTTAACATTTCCTCTATCCTTTTTCATTCGAATTGCCCTATCCATCTGAAATTTTAATAAATCGAATGGATGCTAATAAGTTCAAACCTCGATTCTCGGAATGTGCGATTCATGGGATTCGCAGCACTTCTGCAAACTCATCTTGCCCGTCTGTCGCAATATTTTGATTTTTCCGCGACAATTTCGTGTCATGCACCTTTGAAATTCAGAATTATTTTTTTGAAAAAAGTGAATGGATTTATTTTTTGAATAGACCAAAAGAAAAACGATGTTTTTGGAGTGTCCTCAAGAGAATATATAATTATGCGAAATGTACCTGGCAATGACGTCTTCGTTTTTCAATTCATATCTAGGAGTATAGCGCGTCTTCTCGAAAACTACATAATGGATTCCCCCTCGAGAAGGACTGAAATATTTTCAGATATAATATTTTTATGTGCATTCGAAATACTGAATACTTATTTGAGGACGATCGACTGCTGATAATGGGGATTAGAGAACGACTGCGATTGTGCTTGGAAACGAAATGTTTCAAAACTTCTTTGACTTCTTCAGGACTGAAAAATAATATTTGAACATTGTGCAGACAGTTGGAAATAAAAACACGCAAAGTATTTCTGAACTCTACATAATACCAAATGCAATTTTAATTATTGACGACGTCGTACGACTGCAGAAAATTGGATAAATGCCAAAAAAACAATCACAGTGGTTTTGACGCAAAAATAAAAGTGTAGATTTACGAGCCTAAGTGTAGGAATAAGTTAAAGGCGCATACCGCGCATCGAGACCTCATTTTTAAATTGTTTGGCATTTACCTTATTTTACGTAGTCGCACGACGCTGATAATAGTTTAGTCACAAAAATTATTATTGTCGAGAAATGACAAATATATCCAGGTGTCGTGGGATCCTGCGTTTTGTACGCAATGCTAAGAGACAGTTACCGTAATCCTCGCAGCGATTTACGGAGATTTTTTTAAATTTTCTTTCAATTGTTTTTGCTGAATTTTCTTATTTTCTTTAGAAATCTTATATTTAAAACCTTTAGAAACCGAATTTAATTATTTATTTTTCAGAATATGAACTTTTCCATTTGTCCAGTTGAGTTGGGAATTATTGTGAAGATTTTGACGCTCTAAAAATTATTTTGAAAATGAAGAATACAAAAACAAGATAATAGAAACGCATACAAAAAGCAAAGCACGGTTAAATAATTTTATTAACGACAAAAATGATTTCTTTTTAATCTTTGCTGTTTTTACCAAAAAATATCGTTTAATAGTGCTTATTCTGCTAAATACATTATTAAACTCGGTTTCTGCAAAATTTAAAAATTTAAATTAAAAAATTTTGAAAGAAAATTTAAAAAATTGAACGAAAAATAAAAAAAAATGAATATGCGAAATTAAAAAAAAAGTCCCCGTAAATCGCTGCGAGGATTACGGTAACTGTCTCTTAGCATTGCGTACAAAACGCAGGATCCTACGACACCTGGATACATTTGTCATTTTTCAACAATACCTGTATGCTTGCGGACCAATTTTTGTTTCAAATGTTTGAATTTCTGCATCGTACTAGGGATAACCTACTTATCAAATTAACTAGCTGTAATTTATAACAAAATGCTGGTTTTTTGCTATTGTAATATTTCGATTAATAATCAAATATATAAAAAAAAAACAAATTTCAAAAAGTGTTTCTTATCATACAAAAAGCAACAATTGATTTGAGAATATATGCCTATTTTAATGGAAAAAAAATGTTTTTTAATATAAAAGAGATATACTTTATTTTTTTCTAATCACACTTATTTCGCGTAAAAGTACCAGTTAGAAATGAAAAATCACACGGCGAGACCGGATTTAAAGGCGCATGCGCGTAGATATATATTCTTTGGTGGTAAATATTTATTTTTACGCAAATTACAAAATTTGTGTAAGAAGAAACTATCAACTAAAATTTGTTTCGAAATGTTCGAAATTTTTCTTACGAGGAGTTTTCGATGGTCTCTTGAGACGTCGAAGGCAGAATCGATGACGATGTTCCTGCAATTTCCATTTTGTCACCGATGTATAAATTGCCATATTCAATATATATATATATATATTTCCATATAAGAGCGTCGAATGATTCATTGTGTGATCAACACCGACAACAACCACCCAAAGAACGAGAAAAAATCTTTGAAAATGTTGTTCTTCTTTTAAGAGAAATCGAATCAGATGTCATTGATGGTTATCGACGCGAATCGAGTTTTTAAGTGAAATTACCAAAAAATTGAACCAAAAAACGCAGAAATTCGCAAATAAGCTTCAGACGAAAGAGTTTGGATTACGGTAGCTCAGCTTCGGAGTTTTGCTAAGTTGCTAGGAGACTCGATTTTTGACGATAAAAACGACAAAATAAACCAAACGACGAACCTTGTTCGAATATTCGAAAATAGCTGTCGACAAAGTCGAGGATCTTCTGGAACTCATCGGCCGAAATGCGCTCCATCGCGTTCTTGAGCATGCCGCCCAACTCGACGAGGTCGCGCGCCATCGAAACACCGGCCGGGCAAAACCGTCTCTCGCACCGAAACACGTGTATAATCGATATCAAAACGGGCGAAAAATTGTGTGTTCGTCGGGACGCTCAGAAGTTTCGGGACGACAAAAAACGAATAACACGACGGAAGAAAAAAAAGTTTGTATGATTAATACAGAATAGAGTGCAGACAAGCAGACAGGGCCCGTTTTTGCGACACCGCCGGCGTGCTCAGAAAATTTTTGGCAAAATGTTGTCGTCTTGCACTTGGGCCGTCCGTCGGACACGCCAATTTCGGTGCCGAATTCCTAGACGAAAAGTGTTTGATTAATCCGCTCCCGTCGTCGCTTTTTTTCTTTTCTCGCGCCGAAAAGAAATGTTCGCAGAGGAGCTCTTCGCTGAATTTTCAGTTAACACGAAATTATAGAATATATGTGTGAACCCTATAATTTGTCTGGCAACATTTCCCAAAAAAAGAAACAAATGGTTCGAAAGCGATAGTGTCTGAGTGTCGAAATAAATTTGCGCAAGAATGATACGGAACCTATTGAAAAGTTTTTGTTGCATTTTCACAATTGTTGCATTTTTCAAAATTGTACAATATGCTTTTTTGCGTCTCAGGAGACCAAATGTATACTACTAAAAAATACGATGTGTTTTGTGATGTTTTAGCACGTCCGAGAAATCAAATGGATGTAATATTGGAAGATTGTCGGCTGCTTTATTGTCCATAAATCGAAATGACGTCTTTTCGGTCGCGACCATACTCGATAACATTGTCATCCAACCAACCAGCCGTTTGCGCACAAACTATCTACGAAATTTAATTCAGAATTTTCAAACCAGCTTGATTGAATACGTCAAACCTTGAGTTTGGAAACAATTCAAAGCATATTACAAAAATATTAGAACATACGGAAGCCATAAAGATATTCGTCACAACGGAAACCGGTTCCTAATCGAATACTGTATTTTCTTTTCAAACTTTCTTTTCGACACATATACCGTATTCTGCGCATTTCCGGTGAAGTTTATCTACTAAATATTGCATGGATTTTTAAAACTTTGAAGTTTTGAAAGTTTAAAAAAAACATTATTATGACTTCAAAATTAAACAATTAAGTTTCTGCAAGTTGAGAAAATGTGAAGAATTTAAAATATATGATAATAAGTTATACAGTTTCTAAAACTCGAATACTCATGAAATTTCGATGAATAACAATGATAAAAAGTTGAGGTTGAAAGTTCAATTTCAAACCTATAAATAATATGAAAAAGTAAAAACTTAAATAAAAACAAATTATGTATATGTGTTGTGAAAAAACAAAGTTTTACTTTCAAGAGGCTGTAAGATGCCTGTTTGATTTAAACTTTCTTAAAAATTCCGTGAAATTACGAGAACAGTGGGTCATTCTTCGAAAGAAACAATAAAAAATTAATTTTTTTTGAAAAAACACGTATTTCGTATTTTTGAAACTCTCGAAAATAACGACTCAGCGATTCGGTCGTTACGAATAGGGACACTTTTTGGTTTGGGATAAGCGGCGGACAATTTTGGTCAAAACTGGGAAGCAATTGATTTATTCGAAATAAAAAAAGAACATGCTATATTGGAGGTGTTGTGTAATTGGAGTGTCGTACTGGTAGAGTAAAAACGTTTTGGGACAAACCGCGGAGGTTTTAGGAACCCCAAGGCTCAAACCAACAGCGGTTCGTCCTTTTCGAATCGCTGAGAACTCAACAATTCGTAAACCGCCGTTGTTTTGGGTATAAACAGCGTGACACCACGGGAGTTCACACAAGTTGCCGGTATGAGCGGAACGAATCTTCGATGGCGCGCCCACCGCTGGAAACATTTTTCAGTGACCACTCACCCTCGTGGAGTTATTTTTTGTTCGCTGTCTTGCCTTTTTTTACCGACTAAACACCGACAGTACGTTACTCCAATTACACATCGCCTTCAATTTAGCGTGGCGGACTTGAAGATACCGTGCGGGCGGGCGTCCGCGAATTTTTCGGTACCAGACGTCCTAGAAAGAGTTCACAACAGTATATTCATAATTTCTTATTCCTAATTCACAATGTATACACAATTTCATTCTGACAATATTTATTACAGAAACAAAAGCTTAGCATTTCGTAGGAAGCGTTTTTGTACAAGCATTTGGGTAATCTAGAATTATTCCCAATTAGAAAAAGATGACAAAAAACCTTACTATTTACAAATATCTTCAGACTAGATTATTTGGAGATATTCGGGGTGTATGAAAAGCTACATATTAGGGAAATACACAATTACTAGGATTCTTTTGAAGAATAGTGATAATAATAAAATTAGGTTAACAAACTTGAAACCCGTTAGAATGGATGGGAAGAAGTAAGGAAAACGAAAAAATGAGAAAGTAGAAAAAAAAGAACCAAAGGGACAAGAAATTAATTATAACTGAAATGAACTGAAATACAATAAAAATACGAAAAAAAAGAGGATGATTAGGTTACAAAAGAGAATATTAAAGATTAAAAAACGCACAGGATGAGAGTTGACATCGGTTGTGACTATCACAATCAATATAACAACAAGGATGTAGGGATTCGAGAAAAAAACAAACACATGAAGTTTATGCAAGAATAATGAGTACAAAATATACATGGTTTCTGGCTACCCGGCGGGTAATCGGAATGCTTATGAACATGAGATCCTTTAAAATTCAGAGTCCCATCCTGCTTCAACGACACCCGTAGCGAAGTTATCAAACGCTGGGAATGTGTCGAAGTTCGACGTATCAATGTCAGAAGCAACCGCCGGCGTGTACGGTGGTCTGATGCGTTGAGCACGGAAGTCGACAAATGGGAAATTGTCGAACCATGGATGGTTGCGGATTTCGGAAACATTTCCGAATCCAAGACGTTCCGTTGGCTCATATTTGCACAGTGACAGCATAAGGTCAATGGCCTCTTTAGTGACAAATCTATTTAAAAAGAAATTCAATTATTGCGGAGTTAATGAAATTGTATATCTTACCTTGGCCACGCCCACTTTTCAAGACCCTTCAGGATCGCATTGTAAGTGACCATCGGATCATTGCTCGAAAATGGTGGTCTGCAACATATTCAATTAATCGCAATTAAAGAAATTTTCAAAGCTTACGATCCGGTCAAAAGTTCGCACATGAAGATACCAAGAGCCCAAATGTCGACCGAAGTATCGTGTCCCTTATTGAGAACAATTTCTGGAGCCACATATTCAGCAGTTCCGCAGAAGGTCCAAGTTCTTCCGCCATTCTTCAATTTTTTGGCAAATCCAAAATCAACGAGCTTTGGCCATCCGTTGCGATCAAGAAGCATGTTCTCCGGCTTCAAATCGCGATAAACAATTGATTTTCGATGGAGGTACTCGAGGGCTTCGAGAGCTCCAGCGGCATAAAACCGGGTCATGTCATTGTCGAAACGACCCTTCTTGCGCAAAATGGTCCAGATTTCACCTCCGAGACACGGCTCCATGAGCATATAGATCTTTTCGCTGTCGCGATAGGTCTTATACAATCTGACTATAAAGTCGCAATCACATGATATCAATATCCGACGTTCCGAGACAACATGGTTCTCCTGTTTTGTTTCCACAACATGAGCCTTGTTCATCACCTACAATAGAATGTCAGTTTGAAACATTAAATTCTGATGGTTCAAAGACATACCTTAAGAGCATAAACTCGAGACGGAGAGCGAACCAACTCAACGCGCCCAAATCCACCCATTCCGAGTGTGGTGATTCGTTTGAGCTCTTCCAGCTCAACGTCAGGCTCATCCAACACGTTACTGTAATTATCAGACATTAGGATTTCGTGTATGCAAATTTGCTTGAAACGTGCAAAGCTGAATGAATAAATGGATGCGCGGAGAGCGAGCTTGCGAGAAGATGCGAGAAGAGAATATGTATGTATTATTATATTTTCGTGAGTGCGACAATGAGGAGAGCGAGGACGGAATACAACGGGCAACAGCTGATCGCGTCCTTCTCAAATTCAAACCACCAAAAAATTAGGCACAACACCACTGTTTATTATGCGAGCCACGTGTGCAAACTGGATATCCCAGCATAACGAGCAAAAACTGTTACGAACTCTCATTACAAAAAGTCCAAAAACTGTTCAGAGCCCTCATCACAAAGGTACACAATTTTAAGTCATAAGACTATTTGTTTGAGAAAAAATAAACAAAATCAAATGTTTTTGACTGTATTCACGTGAAGCTCCCATGTGTCACTAGTGTACTATGTGCTCATCAGCACACCCAGCTCGATTTTCACCAACTCGCTCCTCGATGTCTGCTCAGCCCCGTCCGCAAACATATACGAATGGTGTATAACAAAAAAGCTTCGTAATGAAAAAAAAAAAACGATATTTGAATTTAACAGATTCTCGTATTTTGAACTCCGCCCTACGCCCTCCCCAAAAATTTTTACCGCATGACCTTAGATGTCAACTTTATCAGCAAGACAATTTCATGAGATTTGATAACTGGAATTTGAATTGTACCTATCTCAAAATTTTGATGATAACTTATCTCTAAGACCTCTACCGTAACTCACAAAATCTGATAAAAAATTTGATTTAAAAAACGTCTGCTTACCTAGCTTTAGGCCTTATCTCGTCGTCCAAATCCATAGTGTCGAGCGCTTTACACAACTGTTCAACGTGCATTTTAAGTAGGTGTACGGGTCCTTCGAGGACGAAAAATCGTTCAAAACGGCCTCTGAAAGAAAAATGTTGAATAGTTCGAAATAAGCCCCCCGGAATTATTTGTTCATCGACCGGACAAGAGAGAATACGAAAAACGGTTCCGGCGCAGGCAAGCACACACAACACACGCACGTACGTGTTGCTTGCAACCGAAACCAGCATATATAGCCGAAACTAGCCAACAGTTTCAGACCTGGCCGCATTATATGTGCCCTCAATGCGAATGCGAAAATGGGCGGGATGGGAATCAGTGCCCCGATGGGCGGAGCCACAGTAGGTGTCACGGTGGCAGAGACGCAGGAGAAACATGATAGACACATAATAATGGCGGCCTAGGTGTGCAATGAGATGAGTGAGACACAGTGCGTTATCGATTGATCTATATATACATGCAGCTAAGAATGAATGCATGTTTGAACTATGAAAAAAAAAACAAGATGATGACAAGAGATCGAGACAATCAAACAATAACCGCGTGGATTACACCGTTTTTTGTTGTCGCAAATATACAGAATGCGCATAGATCAAACTTGTAGATCATATAATGCTTCACGTGGTGCTAGAAAGTGGGACGAGTACTACAAGGTCAGTTGCACCAAACAAAAACGAAACGAGAGGAAACGTCGAAAATGCAGTTGCCATGAATCATGATGATTTAGACATCAAACTCCAAATTTGGTGCAAATGTAGGTAGATCATAAATTCGAGAGATCACATAACTCATTAAAAATTATGAAATTTCAAGCCCTAAAATCTAACTTTTAATATTTTTCGGTGACGATGTAGTTTATTGTTCATCTGTCTCAAATACTCTTAAATTTATTCTAATTTCGTTGGATAATATTTGAAAATACATAACTAGGGCTCTAATTGGCACACATTTGTAGGCGTTCGACGCATTTTTTCTCGTGTCCAATGAACTTTTCTATACGTAAAAGAAATCAGCAAATTTATGCCAATTATTTATGAGGCACGCGAACATTATTTTGAAGGAGCATGACGTGACAAGGATGGTCCGTGACTATTCGGGACCATATGCGTGAAAGGTCAAATGCGTCATAGTTATTTGATCTTTGGTCATTCGAACACAAGTCCTTTGTGCACTACACAAGAAAATTTTCCCAGGAATATAGTTGTAATCAAAAAATTTACTGTCATATAAACAATTTTAATCCGTTGACCAGAATATTCTTATTTTATGCCTTCTTAGTCGAGTCATGGGGTTATTTAAGTACAAATTATTCGAAAAGTTAAAGCTATAAGCCTGTGCAAACAACGGCGAACAAATCTGTAGAACTGCTTGTCAGAAATTTTGAACAATTTCTTTCACCATATAAAATTGGGTACAGTTCATTTTGAAAATCGTTTCAAACTTTAAAACTCCATGTGTTTCCAGTAAAACTGCCAAACAATGGAAATCAAAGAGGCTGCGAATTTCAAGATCAAAAACTGTCACCTTCGAATTGTTACAACCACAAAAACCTTACCAATTTGGCGACCGTCATGATAAAATTCGATTTATTCGCAGAAATGGCTGAAAATGATGGCTAATCTTATTAAAATGTAAAATACAAAACGAAACATCTAGAGTAGAGAATTTGTTGTTTTTTTCCCTTGTTTTCTTGTTGCCAGCTGCCGACTGTTCACGTGATGATCACAGTCCGAGCAAAGAGATACATCGAGCAGAACGGATCAAACGATTCTACCAGCCTCTGCACGAGATATCCGGGTGTAATAATGAGAAGATGAATTCAGTGCGAAGGTCAAAAGAGTGAGATCAGAACATGTATTACATTTTGAATTTCTGGATAGAAAAAGAACACTGAAAGTCTGTTTGAACAGCTGATTAGTCAGACATGAGAGCACAAAAAATCGAATCAACAAAGCATTACAGAAAAATGAGAAAATTCAACTAAATTGTAGTCAACTGATTTGTTTTTTCAATAAAATTTTCTAGAAAATGAGCACTCGAGAATGAGTTCAAATATTTGATTCTGATTTAAATTTGACTAACGAATAATGGACCTAGCAACGAAAAATGAAATGGGTACTGTAAATATATGATGAAGAAATCTGCGAGACCCATGAGACAATTTAATACCGTGCGTCTTTTTTTTCGTTTAATATATTAAAAATTTATTTCTATGAAATATTGTGTCTTATTATAACTTATTTTCATAAGTGTCGCAGATTTTTTCATCATTTAATCACAAAACCCATAACATTTGTTTGCACCACTGCATTATAAAAATGTGTAATTTTTTATAATTTTTATTGTATGAATAGGTCTACATACAATTTTCAATTTTGATAAAAATCAACTCATTTCAAATCCAGATATCTAAATTATATATATATAATCAATAAGGTACATTTTCTTATGGACCTATCTGTGCAATAAAAAATGTAAAATATTACCGATTTTCCCAATGCGGGGAATAGGTTCAATAGTGTTCTTCTATCACGTTAAGCAAAATAATTCACAGATTTGAGCTCTCATTTAACATGAGAATCTCACCAATTTTTAATTTTTATCAATATCCTTATTTTCCTTCTTTCACTTTCGTTCGCTATTGTATTTTGCTTCCTCCAAAAATATTACAGAAATTTTGATAACGACAAGGCGCCTCTGCAGCTGTGAAAGTTCATATCGGAATATCAAAAATTCACTTTTTTCTTCATTCGACAACATTTCGATCGACAATTTCTCGCTACAAGAGACGCAGACGCGAAATACCGCAAGATCAAACAATGAATATTATGATTAGGTTTATTATATTATTGTATGCATACGGTGCGCGGCGTTATCTCACCGATCGTGCTTTGATCGGTTCGACGTTTGATTTTTAAAAATCTTCACTTTCGCGTTTTCGCCCCATTAAAATAATGCATTAAACCAATCGAAGGAATGAAAAAACAGGGATGAACCATGTTTAAATCAGAGAACAGTGATTTCGATTGTTTTAAGAAATAAAATTGATCGGTTTCAATCAAACCCAAGTTGCCATGAAATTGTAGGCTAAACAGAATTTTGTAAAAAAAAATCTGCAGTTAAGTGTATATGAAAGGCTGTCACTTAATGGATGATAACGTAATTTGTGGGGCCAAAAGAAATTCTCATGACTGCGTGGATTAACAAACAAAAATCTTTGTCTGTGATTGTTTCTCCACATGAATTTTAGAATTACAAATGTACAAAAAGACTGAAGTTTTCAGTCAAGACCATTCTCAAATCTTGCAAACCACTGCGCCTCTTGCAATTTTTAATTATGTCTCATCTGATAATTGGTTTGAATTACGATTGGATTCATATGTGATTCTCTGCTGAAATTACTCTGATATTCTATATTAAATCAAATTCCTGTTTTCCTTTTTCAATTCAAAATTTTCGTAATGGCACAAGATGCTCTCATGACAGACAACGTGTTCCTTCGCATCTGAGATGTAGGAGAATATAAAGAATCAAATTCGTATCAATCGAGTGCAACAGGAGAACAATGTCAAAGGTCGAAGCATTGAGTCTCACCGAGCATTGGCACACCTGTGCAGTTCACATGAACCTCAAAGCGCCGCATTTTTCTTTTGTCTACCGCTTTCAAATAAAAATTGTTCTTGACATGGCGATGATGTGTTATATTAGAAACAGGAACGCAAAGGAAACAAATCATCGCCGACTCACTTTCTTCCACATCGCATTTCGAAATCTTGACCGGCCGAGATTTTGCTCATTTCGCCTTGATCGTCGCAGACGACCTGAAAAAAAGACCAGTTTTTTTTTTAATCAAATGACGACGAATAATTGCGGATTTGGAGTAGAGTACAAAATGTTCATTTCTCATCAATCAAATCACAGCGAAGGACGTGCGAAAATTTAAAGAATCCAGTCATAATTGGCTGTTATTTTGCAATTCTCTGGGGTGTTTACCAAAGTCCAAAAGCTAGTAATTATACTCAGTTATTTTCCGTTTTCTCCTAATTGATGTGTTGTTGATTGTTGGCGATCAAAGTCCACTTAAGAAATATTCACATGCAAACACTTTAGAAAGACAACTTTTCTTATTTTCATACCGTTTTTTGATCACTCAAAATGTCTATTTTTAGTCAAGGATGATAGTTTGACTTTCTACAACTACTACTGCAGACGCCAGCTTCTGTCTCAAAACCAGTTCAACTATTTTTAGTGTGATTGCGGGAGTCCACATGGAATGGTAACCTTGATACCACAAAATTGAACTGACGTCACCACCAGGAAAAGGTGAAAGAACTATGAACACGGGAACACGTAATTCATGCCAGTTCGAACATTTTCATATACCGTAACATTTCCAATGACCAAACGCAATCATTTGCGAAAAATAAATAGTTTTCTTGTAGAAAATCACATGATTTCTATTATCGGTAGGGCGGTCAAACAGCCGCAAAATTGTGAATGATCTAGTTGGCGGACATTGAACGAGTCTATCATGGAAACAGCGTCGATTAAACCAAAGGGACTTAACTTTTGAAAAAAAATCACTAATATTTATAAATTAGTGTTACACGTGTTGTTTTATAATGAGTTTCAGTATTGATTATATCAAACAATTTATTGTGCGCAATTTTCTTTTGTGACGATTCGTATTCCAAAAAGTGATTTGTGAGCTTTTAGCCAAATGACATAATCAACCCGCAAAATCCCGAAAACAAACAAATTTTGCGAGAAAACTTGATTCTCAAATTCGTTTTTCTTGCTTCCTCTCAAAATTTCATTCGAAATCAATTAACCAGGGCGAGTGCACAGACTGTGTTTTGCTGCTCAACAAGACTACGATCTGCGGTTGAAATTGATTAGATAAACCATCGTCTGAAGTATGAGTCTTCTTCCCATTGAAGATGTTAAAAATATCATCATATCATATCAAAAGATTCGCATTCATACTTTTTTTCTGTCAATTTGATCACTTTCTAGTAGAAAAAGTGAATCCGTGTATGATTGGTGTATCACATGGTTACAGAATTTCATCTTATCTCTACGACCAATAATTGACGAAAAAAGTGGCCATTTGAATGGTCGTTAAAAAGGGAAAACTGATAAGAGACGTCAATAATAATAATAATAATAATTGTTATGGGAAAATTGAGCATTTATGCTCATATATAGCTCAAAGAGTAGGAAATCAAAAATGTGAAATTCAATCTAATAGAGAATACTAAAGATTGAAAATTCAAAACTTAAAAGTGAAGCGTTTTTGCCTACTTTAATGGAAAAAATTAAAAACGCTTCCATTGTTAGAACGACATATCATATATTCATCATTCCTAGAAAGTTTTTAATAATCTCAACAAATTTTCGTTTAAACATCTTTTTTTTCAAAACCAGGAATTGATTTTGATATTTCATAACTAAACAAACAATTGTGAATTCCCTTAAGAAAGTTTCTAAAAACATTTTTTTTTCAATAATATTTCTACATGAGTTTTTTTTCTGACACTATAATTTTCGAAAATTCAATACTACTACGATTTTAGGTCAATTATCTATAATTTATAATTTCTGGTGTCAATAAAAGTTTAAAATTCTTCACTCTACTGTTGTATAGAAATTAGACAATAACATAAATCGACTGGAAATCTCAATTACACTTAGAACAGCGTTAAGACCCGTTAAAATCTTTATTGTGTTACTTATGTGTTGCGTAATATTAGCAAGAGCATGTTTTATTGTTTGATTGACACTTTCCCATCACTGTGGGAAAATTAAACACTATTTTAATAGCCCCAAAGAACAAATTTTGTCCATCTTATACGTTCGGTTCCTACAGGGTGTCATTTAAGTTCCCGCACAACTTTGAAGACGTATATTTCTGAAACTAAAGGTCCAAATCAAACGAGACTCGAAATATTTTTTATCTATAGTATAACAAATATTTATCTATTAACTCTTTTCGATTCGGCCTCCTTTCGGAGCTATGACTTCACAGAGACGCTTCGGGTAGGATGCGACTGTGGTACGCAGGTATTCGATGGAAAGATTGTGCCATTCCGCCAGTAATGTCTTCTTCAGAGTCTCTACACTTGAGTGGGGTTTTGCGTTGACCTTCTCCTGCAAGACCCCACACGGAGAAGTCAAGCGGGTTCAGGTCTGGGGACCAATCAGGCCATTCGGATGACTTGATGAAGTCGGGAAAATGGGTCTGGCACCACTCCTGAGTAGTTTTGGCAGTGTGGGCGGGTGCTCCGTCCTGTTGAAAGACCCATTTCTGCCCAACGAAATGCGTTTGGGTCCAGGGCATCACATGCTCCTCTAAAAAGTCCCGAACGTAGACTTCTTTGTTCATTTTCATCCCCTGATCTGCAAAAACCAGGGGCGCTTCCCGGTTGAGCAGATGGCACCGAAAACCATCATACTGGCAGGATGTGAGGCTCGATGTATTGTTCTGCTTTTCTCAGAAGCTTGCTGGGATGTCTGGGCAAGTACTCGATGGTTTTGTGAGTTGAATGCCGCCTCCACAGTGAATAGCTTCTCGTCGGAGAAGACAGTGACGAGATGTTCTCCAGACTGCGTGCGAGCAAGAAGTTGTTTTGCTTTTTCGAAGCGTCTCTGCTTGTTGACGGCCGATAGAATTGCCGCTTTTTGGACACGATATGGGGTCAGTCCAAGCTTCGTTTTGACGATTTGTTCCATAGCGAAGATGCTCATTCCCACGTCTGACGCCATCTTTCTCATGCTCCTGTGGGGGTTTCGCCTGATCCTCGATTTGACGGCGTTTATCTTCTGAGGAGTGGTTACTGAGACGAGTCTTCCTTGTCTGGGACGGTCACTGGTCGTATTTAGCTCCTTGAAACGTTTGATGGTGTCGCAAACCGTTCTACGAGGCACAGCGAGGCGTTCAATGATGTCTCTCGGGCTCACATTTTGCTTATGAACTTCGATAATGGAAGCGCGATGGATGTTAGCCTTCGCCATTTCTCGGAAACACATCCGAAAGAGGTGAAACTTGGAAAGTAAGTAAAATATACCTTATTTAACAAAAATAAATTGTATTGGTGCACGAAAAGTGCGCCAGCCAAGCTCTTCATGGCGTCAAACTTTTGTGCGGGAACTTAAATGACACCCTGTACACCACATCGCAAGTTCGAGAATTGAACAAACAAGGTCCAAAACGAGATAGCAGCAGCAAAACGGGCGGTGTCACGTGAGAACTGATACAGAACGAGCGTGCAAAAATGGCTATGAAATGGTTCGAATCACTTGCGTATCTTTTATGATTGGGGGTCGAAAAGCAAAATAGTTCACATTTTATACATCCTGGGAATTTGATTACTTCCTAGTTAATAAAATCATTGTTTAGACGAATGATACGATTTTCGATTGTTTGCTTTCCAAAAAATCTGCACTTTTAATTTATCAGACTGCAAACTCATTAAAATCATGCAAGTATGACGAACTCTTTTCCAGACAAAATTTATAGGATATAATTCAACTAAAATTAAAGTGATTTTAAACCATTTGGTAAATATTTTGATCTATTTTTTTAATACATAGGAGATTTCTTTTACTATGAAATTATTCTGATTTTTTTTAAATAAAAAATAGTAATGATTAGATTCTGTTCGTTTAATCTTAAATACTTTTCTCTAAATTAATATTTCTTCATTTCAACGATCTCAGAATGCTTACGTATTTCGTTTCGTTTATCTGATTCTATATTACCATCTTCTACCACCATGGAAAACGGTCTTATTACAATAAAATGGTATTTCTTCAAAAAACAAAAATTTGATTAATTGGGTTCTTTTATAGTTCAACTTGTTTTTTTGTGGCATTTTCTGGCATGACTGTGTAAAAATACAGCGGAAAGTAATAACGTCATTTCGATATCAGTTGAGAAGAACACTGCGAACTCAGAGGATCTAATTCGTGCCCAGGTACCGTGCGAAAAGACGCCAAATGTCTTTTGTCACGAGTGTTTTCAGCCGGTTATCAACGCCGGTTCGCACGCCGACGAGCTACTGATAGCGTGTGAGGGCGGACAAGACAGTATGTGAGATTATGAGACGACGATGAGGCGATGTGTCAATTGGTACACAGGTTCGATGGCCTAAACGTGAATCTCGGCCGAACGTAGCCCGCCCATCCGCCTATCGTTTTTTTTTAGTTATTTCGCAAAACGATGAAACGTGAAATTTTGCAATTTTAAGATGATGGATCGTTGTGTAATGCAATAAAAAGATGCCAAAATAAAAACAATGCGAATTCTATCAATTTTTGAAAACAGGGACTACTAATTAAAATAAATCGTCATAAATGAAATTTAAACAAAATTAAAAGATGACGTTTCCAAACTATAAAATCCTTGAGCTTAACTAATTTCTAATAAAAGTGCCGGAGTGTCAATTCCAGACTAATGAGAATTTTTTTGCAAATTGAAAAATGCATTTATGTCAGATTTCTAATATGGAAGAATTTTGTAACTCCTAATCATTTTAGCTAATAATTTTTGTTTTTTGAAGATTTCTTGGATGATGCATATATTAAAAAAAAATGCGATCGTATGCCATACGTCAACGGCGCTTTCGACATATTCGTACGTACTCTAAAATACGTAATAATCTTCTGGATCAGTGATCACAAGTATGAAACAGCGTCCTTGAACCGGCATTTTCTTGCAAACCAAGAAATCGAATCGGCTTATCCGAATCATGTGTTCGATCTCAATGATCGCACGTTTCTCATTTATTTTGGACCCATTCGTTTCCTTCTTTTTTTCTGCTACAATAGACTACATTCGTGCTATTCACATGTGTCAAGCAGAAACCGAAACAGATAGAACAATCAGATGAGTGGGACGGAGTAAAAAAGAGCTTATTGGATACAGTAATTGCTGATAGTCTTATCATTGAGTGGACTTTGATACTGAACACGTGTCACTTAGATATTAAAAATTAAGAAAAGAGCCTTAGAAAAATTCGTATAGTCGAATGACTAACCAAAAGTTGGATGTTTTGCCAATAGAAAACCCATATAAATTGAGGACAGAAGCTAAATGCATGTGCTCTTCAACGTATGATTCAATTATAAAAATCGTAGACGTCGTGCCCTCGGGTTTACATAAATCCATTTGCAAATCTATCCAAACTTTCGACGAAAATTAAAACTTTGAAATTTTACCGCTTAATTCCATGTTTCTTATTAATTTTCTGAACCCGGTAATTTGATAAAAATTTCATTGATTGTGCTGTTTAATCGATAATTCCAACAAGTTTTTGCGAGTGCACATGCACTCAATTTTTGTTGATAAAACGAGAAATGACGCACATAATCTCAACAGACATTCGTTTGACAATAATTGACGGGGGAATGTCAAATTTGCTATAATTTCAGAATTTTTTGTTCATGATGAATTTTGCGTATAATTGGTTACAATTTAATATTATAACCAACATTACGTAATATTACATTCGCAAAAAAAACGAGAGCTCTGCGCCGATTTACGGTGAGTTTATTTCGCAGATTACTCAGAGTACGGGATCCAAATTCCCATTGTTTAAATTCAAACATGAATTTCAGCATCGGAAAAGTGCGATGGTCCACAATTATGCAAGACGCTCGTTTTTTTTTTGCGATTAACGCTAAATTTCTGTTTCCATTACATATTTAACAAAATTAAATTAAAATTGATGAGTGTAAATTGACGAGTGACGAGTGAACATATATTTAAAAATAAACGAACCGATCCACGACAGACTAAGTAGACATACTGCGGCTTCGCCTTAATTTCCTCTCTCGCTTCGTATCTCTGTTCCGTACAAAACTCGGCGATTCTCAACAGAAGCTCTTCCGGATATCCTCCAAATCTCGCAGACCTGTTCAAATTAATATTTTATTTTCCAAACAATGTTTCTTTTACCATTTTAGATGTCGCTTAAAGCTCATGGTCTGCTCGCGTGCCGATTCAACCATGATAGCATGGAATACATTTCTTTCGATAGCCCACAGCTTACAAGGTTCGATGGCTATAAAAACGATCAGAGACTAGGTAATGTTTCGGTCAAATTGTGTTGTTTTCCCACGAGATGCTGAGTGCATTTGATAGTAAAATTGTTTTTTGCACTATCGAAAACAGAATCTCATGATAGAATGAGAAAACACAAATAAGGAACGCGTAGAATAAAAAAAAAAAACGGAAAATCTTAAGGGATATTTTGAGATCAAATCGAAATAAACTATTTAATTTGAACGGAAATTTGTAAATGTAGAACATAGTTAATCTTATACCTCGAACAGTAGCTGTCCGTTCACAGTGGTGCAAAATCGCTAATTCGCCAAAGAGAGCACCTTCTTCCATTGTTCGAACAAATCGATTGTCTTTGACTACTTGAACCTTTCCTTCTATAATTATTTAAATTTTTATGTTTTTAGTGTTTGAACCAATTACCTTGTATGACATACATTATGCTTCCCAAGTCTCCTTGACGTATTATCACAGCACCTGGCGCGACCTGCACAGGATACATAGCAGACGCAATCTTCTCTATTTGTGCTGCATCCAGATTTCGAAGGAACGTGTTTAGACAAAGCGCATTTCCAATTGTCTCGAACGCTCTGAAATGTTATTTTGTACATATTTGCATTTGATCCTTTTATGATCATTGTTTATCAGCAAAACAAAGTCTTCAGGAATGACATAATGTGTAGAGGAGCACGCCATTTTCCTATTTACAACAGAAGCGCATGTTTTGCCAAAAATGCAACTAAATATTTATTTGAAATACAAAACCATTCATTTTTAGACAATTCATTGAATAATGAAGAAATTAATGGGAAGAACGCAAATGTTTGATAAAAAATTAACTCAAAACTTTGCAAGAGCACGTGGGAGCGTAGGCTAATAATTGAATACGAATATTTAAAGAAAAAAAATAATAACTTTAGGTGAAAAAATAAAAAAAAAATACCGTGCCTTTGTAGGCGCAGATAGTTTATGAATGAATATCTTACCACGATTGTTCTACAGTACCGCGATAATTGAATTAATATTTAGTTTTTATATCGCTACTTATATTTTTCCTTCCTAAGTGTTTATTATTTATCGATTTGGAAACAACCTCTTGGGCACATATCGAAGTGTACAATGCCTGAATAAGTCCCTTCGATTTCGCATGGCTTTCATGGGCTGGTGCAAGATTCGGCGAAGAATGTGCGAACTTTTATAAATGTCTCGAAGATGGGTTGCGCGCGACCTAATCCCCTTCGAAATGACCTCAACTCTATTGTTTGTTCTAAATGGGGCCAAAGCACACGGTGGAGCCAAAAAAAACGTTGCAAGAATGACGAATGATTCGGATTTTTGTTTAAATTTGATATTAGACAATTCGTGACTTTGATTAAGTTCCATGTATAAAATATTAAGTTAAGCATACTTGTCACTTTTTCCGATGATTGTGCGATGAACTTGAACATCAGGTTCCGATGAAATTGCAGTTTTCCTCGCCGAATTTGCCATGCGATATTGTTCAAGCTCCTAAAATTTTTGAAAATTAATTTGTCAATAGCGATTGTTTCAAATAACCTTGCGAAGTTGTTCAATTATCTCATCCTTCGCTTCTAATTCCGCTAGAAGAGCTTCACGGGTGAATTCCATGGTTGAAACTGAAATCAGCGTTTCGATTATTCAAACGAATACAAAATAGTTGTTCTAAAGAGAACGTTATTTATTTTAGGAAATTCACAAATACAACTGAAAACAAACAATGAAGATTTTCTGGACGGGAAACTAATAACAACAGCATATCAGGCCGTCGTCATTTTCTTTGGTGCACTTTTCGGGTTTCCCACGAAGTTTTGTGCGAATTTTCTTTCTTTTCTTTTCAACTCGAAAAATCGTGTGATTTGATTAATGTTTTACTTTCTCATTCACCATACTTCAGAAAATCAAAAGTGGAAACGAGAGATGTATGGATCGAAAATTGTCGAGTAAAATCAAGCTGATGAAATGAAGACGTTGGAAAATTAAAAAAGGGAGGAATTAGCAGAAAAATCATAAAAACACTTACACTTGTTACCAAAAAAATATAAGATTGAATTTTGGAAATTTGTTATAAATATTAATTATTAAAAAAAAAAGGGTCAAATGGATTGAGCCTTAAACGGATATGTGCGTATTGTCGTCGTCTCATGGAAGGAAAAACTTATTTGATGTTTTTATGCGATTTCTCAGCCGGATTTATCATCGTTTTCCTCTATTTATTTTTCAAACCATTTTAGAAGCAAAGAAAATTTTCAAAAAAATTAATCTCACTGTTGTAAATCGTGAAATTTTATTTTCGGGGCGGATTGACATTATTTTATTTTCTCGCTTATTTTTTCTTGAATGAAAAAAGACGAGACGAGAATATAATGGTTTCTTTTGACTTAAACAAAATATTTTTTGCGTTTCCGAACAGACACGCTTTTCAGCAGAAGGTTTTCCGATTTTGGAACGATTCTCACACTTCTTGAATTTCGCTGTTTCTGGTTGCTTTCTTCGTCGAGAAATTGCTTGTAATTTGCGAACGTCGAGATAACTTCCGACAAGTTTACCTTCTTTCTTGCTTCCTGTTTTTTTTTTTCATCACAAGCAAACCGAACAGTTTTTGAATTTTTTCGAACTTTTCGTGTTCGCAAACCGTCACTTATTTGTGTTTCTTCTTGAGTTTGCAGAATGGGAAGAATGAGTTGCAAACGGAATGGCGTGTGTTTACGCAATTGGTGGCGAATTGTTGCAATTCTCAAAATCTGAAGATCGCAGAGAATCTCAACATTTCACGGATCGAACAATGCTTTATTTATTTGTGATGTCATTCATATGAATTCTTTGGTTAAGATGGCACCTGTGCGCGTGGGAGTCATGGCACTTCACGCTGTCGACGGAAAAAATTTGGAGAGGAACTTTTGTTTATGATCTCATCAATATTCGAAAGGTTTCCAACCAAAATTAAACATTAATATGAAAATTTATTAAGTCTTCGAGTTTTTCTTCAATTCAATTAATTTTCGTCCAAATTATGAGAAATTGTTGATGAAAGTGATAAGTGAGAACATCGAAGAAGAGAGAAAGAAGAAGAAGAAGACGAAGTAAAAAAAAACGAGTTTGGTTATAATTTTTGCGCATGCACGATTTCTGAAGCGATCTCATGGGAATCCATAGACGATGATTCAGATGGCCGCGAGCAAGAAAAGAAACAGTGAGCCTATCGAAGAGTGCATTTCGAGAGATATTTCGGCCGCCGACTCGGCTTCTCCGAGATTCTATGACTTGACGTCACGTCGCTTCTTTTATTAATATTGTGCAACATTAATGCGAAATGATGAGAAGATTACGCGATGAATGACAACAGATTCTTAATTCTTTTCTTTCGTCGATTCTGATGAATCAACCATCAGGCGACCATTAAAAGTCAACAAGAACTGTTTGGAATTTAAAGAGTTTTGGATATTATCAGAATTGCATATTAAAAATTAACTATAGGCATTGAGAAAAATGAAAATGGCGAAAGCGTCCAAAATGAATTTTGAAGAATTCTTCAAGTCGTCGGTTTAAATTCAGACGAGAGAAGCATTTCATTTCTTTCTTTTTGGCGTTTTCGTCCGAATAAGGTCACGCCCCTTTTTAAAATGAACAGGACGAAAAAAAAACAAATTATCGTAGAGTGTTGGCCATTGAATTGAATTTATAAAATTGCTTGCACTATACGAGCACTTCTTTTCATTTCAAAACAAATTCGAAATGAATAAAACGTATTTTAAACCCGAAATTTGAAAATGGAGTTATCGATTAATCATGTTTTGCTTCGACCACAAAACAAAAAAAAATTATTAGAAATTAGAAATGCCAAATATGTAGTAATCAATTGTAACAAAGCATATTAAAAATGCAAATTAAAATAATTATTATTAGAACAATATATTAGAACTATTATTAGAACATTTAGAACATTAATCAATCAACAAATCTTTTCAAAGAATGAAATTGTTTTATTTTAGAGTTCAGATTTTGAAAGGAGTTTAACAAAAAACAAAGACAACAAAGGGAGCTAATGTTTTTTTAAAAATTAATAGAAATGTTTTTACTCAGCAATTAGAAAATATTGCACCTCAATCTCTACAAATTAATATGCTCGTTTAGTTTGAGAGCAAATTTAAAAAAGGGAGGTTGGAGACTTTCCCAAATATCCACTAAATGGGAAAGTACCGATATTCAGCAAAATGCTTTCGCAAGAAGTAAAAGATTACGGCTATTCATCCACATGTCTTAAAGAAATCTTGTCATCGAATAATTGAAGACGACGTCGTTGGCATCAAATGCAACGCGGAATCATATTATGTGAAAGCGTATACGATAGAAGTGACGAGAGATGGCGTGACAAACCGAAATTATCGAAAACCAGAAGCACATCAAATAATAAATTAATAGATATTGGGTTCTTGTTTTTGAGAAAATCATAATCGAAAAAGGAAGTAGAAGTGCTCTTTAGACTGAATCGAAAACGAAATGACTAAGTCGGCTCAGTCGCGAATTGACGAAACATCTGCCAATTTTTGGCGAAATTCACTCGATGACTCCCGAAATTCACAGAAAACGTCGAAATAACCGCTGAATTTTGTGAGCAATTCGACAGCGGCTGCTCGAACAGAAAAGTAAAATTTGAAATATTTTGAAAAAAAAAAATAAATCAAAATAAATCGTGAAACCTATTGAATGTCCAATTGCTGGCTTCTATATCAATGTTTGTTTTTTTTTTTAAATTAAATATAAAAGGGAAACAATCATTTTTGAAAATTTTTTCTATTTTCATTCAGCGAATCAAAAACGATAATGCTATTAAGAAGTCGATATCCAGCGAGTATCTCCCAAAACAGAGAAAATTTGGGTTTTCGTGATTCCCGGAAGTCTTTCTTTTGCTGCCGGTTTTTTGTTTACGGATACTGCTTTAAACAATTCTCAAACATAATCCATTTGAGCAACGTTATGAGCTATAGTTTTCTAAATTATTTTTTGCGATATTTGTCAAAATCGACAAATATTTATACAATGATATTATTTACAAAAGAAAAGTCAAAAGATGCATCATCTAATTAAAATATATACATGATTTCATTAAAAATTGAATATACTATTGCTATTGGTAAACAATCGTTTATAATTAAATGCCATAGAGAGAAGCTAAAAATGGGAAAAAATATGAATGGAACCTAAAATACATTGGACGGATGTGCCTCAGAAGTCATTCTAAAAGGAAGTCTAAATATACAATTATTTTTAATTTTCAAAGTATAAATAAAATATATGCAAAAAACCTTCGTCGAAACCAAACAATTTGAAAAACCCGCATTATTCACTATCATAATTACATAATAAGAATTGAAATTGGTGTCGGCTCGAAAATTTCGAAGCGGTCGTCTCATCTGCATATAAAACAGGTGGCATGATGAATGGAAAATAGGGAAAGAAAAAACAGCCAAATCAACATTTTTCTAAATACCCAAGAGATTTCAATCTCGATCAGCAATAAAACACGTAAATAACAATAATAATATTAATACAACAATAATCGAAGAAATGTCGCCATAATAAAATTTGTAGCCAAAATATCGTTCCGGGAGATCATTTTAAATAATGGGCGCCGTAAAAACAACGAGCGACAACGAGAAACACGCGATTGAGGCGTATCCCGGGAAATGTCCTCAGATGTTTAAAATAAACTTTTTCAAGTATGATCTTTTAAAAAATTGTGCAGAGCCTATTCATAATTGTATTTGTTGGTAAATCAACAAATTACTATTGCATAAAAACAACCCGTGTCTTGCATAATTGTGGACCATCGCACTTTTCCGATGCGGTAATTGAAATTTGAATTTAAACAATGGGAATTCGAGAAATGCGGTAATACGAATAATAAAGCTATTTCGCCGTAAATCGGCGCTCGTTTTTTTGCGGTTGAAATATAGCCGGCGTCCGGCAACTGCAGTACGCGGGTAGATTTACGGGGATTTCTCTTTGTCTCGAACGGACTAACACGTTATTTCACATTTTAGAGGACATTTTTTTTCAATGATATTATGTATTCAAAGATATGCCAAAATCATCAAGAAAAATTAAAGTTCACGTGAAAACACCAACTTAAGCATTCACTCGTGGCGAGACCATTTTGAAAGACGCAAATCTACTCGCGTAGAGCTGTCACCGAACGCCAATTATATATACAAAAAATTCGTTCGAAAACTTCGATGCATTTTTATCGTCTGCAGAGTTAATTCGAAATAATTACATAACGAGCCGTTTAATTATTTTTCGACTAGACATGCATTGTGAAAAAAAAACTCCAACAGTTTAATTTTTCAAATTGCACATATAAAATAAATGAAAATGTGTGGCTCACTCAAGTTTCGAGCATCAAAAGAGCAAGATTAGTTATCGCAATTACCAAACTCATTATTCGCATCGAATACGAATAATTAAACGTTTTTTCCGGCCTTCCGTATAGCCTAAAAACTGAAAACAAACATCGAAAAAGCACAAATTGACGAGATGGAGAAAATGACAGCAGCCCCGAGGCGAAAACGACACAAAAAGGACGACATGCGCACCGATGCGAGCACCAAAAACCCACACAAAAATGATAAATCGTTGGGGAAATGAATAATGAACGGATGAAGAAAATCGATTAAATAATGAGGAGTTTATTTTTACAAAAAGAAACAACTGCGACAAACAATTCGTTGTGAAACTACAATAGAATTCGGAATTTCAGCAAATTCAACTGTTGCTACCCGATGAGTGGAACAGCGAATGCTTTTTTCTTTTCAAAAAATAAAAACACATAAGACAACTTAATTACACATAATGAATGGGTTTACGAGTGAAATTCGAATTTCGGTTAAAGTTTTGATAATCGATAAGTTCGTTGAGGATAGTCGAGTGAGATCAGTATGGCGACACTTCCTCCAGGACATTAGCGCACGCCGACCTGCAAGTTGTGACAGGTGAAAAATGTCTGCGCACGATGACAACTTACGGCATTTCCCGATGAAGCGACAACGCCGTCAGTTTTCTTTTTTGGCAATGGACGACGGAATAAGAGGACGTGGCGCTCTGGACCATGAATCATGTAGTGAATCCATCCCGGCGACTAAAAATATTAATGTATCTTGGAATATCAATTCCCACAGTCTTTTTTATTACTTCGGCATTTTCAGATTATTTACCACAAAACACTGGATTCACTTTTTGGTCTCATTTATAATTTTAAACCAGAGTTGGGGTCGCCTGTTGTACGTCGGTAGATTTACTAGTGTGCATTTCGAAATGGTCTCGCAACATGTGAAGGTTTTTTTTTCGTTATTTTCACGTAATATTTTTCGTTTATATTTTCTTGATAAGTATTTCATTTACATGTATCACTGAAAATAAGAATTATCGAACCGACCCCTGAAATGCGAATTAATCCGAGAGTCCGTGCGAGACCATAGCGAAGGTGAATGCACGTAAATATACCCGCGTAAATGCCAAAAAATTCGGTAATGATCCTTACGGTTAGCTCGTAAATCTACACTTTTAATTGTGCGTCAAGACTAACCCTTTTTGGAATTTAGCCAATTTTCTGTAGTCGCGTGACAACGACAATATCTCATTTTAAAATAATTGAACTCGCATTAACAGCGAAGTCCTTACTCTGGTAACTCAAAACCAATCGGATCCGACAAAATTCGACTCCGGAATCAACCTTATCCGATTGGTAATTCTACGGATAAGATTGGAAAATTGTCGTATCCGATTGGTTTTTTGGGTTTTTTCGGATCCGATTGGTAATTTGTCAGATCCGATTGGTAATTCTACGGATAAGGTTGGATATTTGTCGAATCCGATTCGAATTGAAATATTAAAACAAAACGGATTCAAATAATTACCAATCGGATTCGAAGAAAATCTAATCGGATACGACAAATAACCAATCGGATCCGAAAAAACCCAAAAAACCAATCGGATACGACAATTTTCCAATCTTATTCGTAGAATTACCAATCGGATAAGGTTGATTCCGGGGCCGAATTTTGTCGGATCAGATTGGTTTTGAGTTACCAGAGTATTTTATTAAAATTGTGTTTGAATAAAAAGCAAACCTGCTGAATTCCCAAACTTCTCCATTCTGTTTCTGACATCAACCGATTTGTCGGAATTAATTTGGCGACTTCCTGAATGATCATTTTTAAAATTTACTTTTGAAAAAATATATTAAATTACCTTGGTAACGTGAACATGACGGTATTCATATTCATCGTCTTCGTATTTGCTAGAATAATAGAAGTCGTTAGCTCCGGTAGTCATTGCGAAAGAGTTCTGAACAAAAAATGAAAAATAGAAACAAAAATCGAAGAAAAAAAGGTACAAATAGGGACTTTAACCCATAAAAACAAGCATATGTGTATATTAAAAAAAATAATAGATTTTATACGCCACAATCAATTACGATGCTTATCGATTAAGATTCGCATCACTCGACTATTTGCAACATCCTTAAAAAGCAAAATAAAATTTTGAACAAATTAGAGGAATACTTGTCGGAAATCAAGAAACTCGTCTTTGTGCATAGGAATTTTTTGCTGAAACTTATTTGAACCAATCGAGTAAAATAAGTTCAGATATGTTTTTGAATCAGTTGGTTTCGTTTCATCGTCAGACGCAACTAAATACAGAACTTGATTTTAAACCATTGTAGTTCGACTCACGAATGAAACTGTAATTCAGAATCTTGATATCCGACATCTTAAAATGGAAGAAATACATTAAAATTGGGAGATCTTTGCAAATAACTAGCGGTAAAGGAACCAGTAGGAAACCATTTAGAGGGGAAAAACAAAATTTTGTTTTAATATATATTCAATAATTTGATGAGATCATTCAAGGAAAAACAATATACTATTTAGTTCGCACTGAAGAATGCAGAGTTGAAGGCACGAAGGAATATCATTCGGAGTCGGAATAATCCATAGACAAATCTAATCGATTTTTTATGAAATCCATCTCCTCGCTTGAGTCGTCAAAATGTAATGTATCATCACTTTCGCTGTCTTCTCTTTTTACACGTTTCTTAATTCCTGATGCGGCATTAATTATCCTAAAAATTTATTTAAAGATTTGAATTATTTCTTTTTAACTCACAATAAACCACTTGGTGGAGTCGCGCCTGCGGGTACTCGATCAAATCGATGAATGTTTCCATGATCAGAAACTGCTAAAACAACGCGTCCTTGCGAACAAAATACTACTTGTCTTATCGGATAACCCGCAATTTTTCTTTTTAGATCTCTTAAAATGAATGTAATTATTTTATTAGGTTTAAATTTTTCTTACGGTATTTCAGATTCAAAATTCCTTAATTTATAAAAACTAATACATCCAAGATTGCTGCCACATACGATCCACTGAAAATTTTTTGAAGGAATAAAAGTAGCGTATAGTTTTTTCAAACCTCATTTCGCGGATCAATGTCAAACTTTATGAACCATGTTTCCCCATCCGGGACACTTTTTGTCATTAGCCTCACTGAACTCGTTTCCGGTTTATATGAAGGAATTGAACTACGCAGCGTATCAACATTTTTGGGGGTGCCAAACCTCCACATCGCAATTGCAGCTTCTTTTCCACATCCCTGGAACACTAATCGATTAACCAAAACATTACTTGAAACGTACTTTTGAGAAAATGTAGTCTGATTTGCCAAAATAGCGAACACAGTCGACGTAATCAGCATGCATGTCACAATTTTTCGCTACTGGTGAATACACAGGTAAGTAAATATCGTCTTCACTGGAAACTCTCATAAATTTTACTTTAACCATGAAAATCTTACGTATGACGCGCCAATATCTCAATTGTCTCTTTAAGTGCCATGTTATCTTCATCATTTGCACCAAATACATTCTCCAAAATCGGTTTTCTCTTTTTTGGATCCGGGTGCCGAGTATCATCTATTGGAGCGGTATTTTGAAGTACAACAGCTTGATGTGGAACAGCCAAAATATTTCTTTTGCCACATGATAACATTTTTTCTGCCTAAAAATATTAGAAGTATAAAAAATTCGGGCAAACACATACGTTTCGAATAATTTTCATTTCGCGATTTTCTGCTAATTCCCATTTCAGAACAGTGTGATCCATCCCGCATGACAATATATTTTTCCCAGAACTATGCCAGTCCTTAAATTTTTTTATTTCAATTATATTAAATACGGTATTACCAGTGACAAAATCTGATCTAAATGCGATGCCGGTCCACCCATAACGATTAAGCATCCATCATTACGAATGTGCCAAATTCGAATCTTCAAAATTAGTAAAATCATTAAAAATCCGATTCTCCAACTAACCGATTTATCCTTTGAAGAAGATGCAATCAGATTCGAGTTGGTTGGACATGTGCGTATTTCGTTTACGGCCCCGCCGTGTCCTACTAGTCGCTAAAATATTTTATAAGCCAAAAACGGCAATTACACTTACATTAACAAGCTTTTGTCGCGCTGTATCGATAACAAAAATGAAACCGTTATCTCCTCCAACAACTAGCATGTAGGGACTTCTTCCCATTTTTGCCTCATATGTATCGTAGCACCAGGCACTAGAGTATATATTCTCCTCTGAGCTAAAGTTCAAGTACAAGTAAAAGAAAAATCGTCTTACTTCCAGCACTGAAAGTGTAAGTCGACAGAAGGTGCAATCCGTTGGTATCCAAAGGAACTTCATATACGCTTACCTAAAGTAAATGACAAAAATAATTCCTTCAAGACCTCAGGAAAATAAAAACCAATCGAGCTCGAAGAAAAACAAAATATTCTGATTCGACTCAAATATCTTCGAAATCGATTCATTCATTTCTTATTTTCAATTTACAAATCGTGTTCGATTGAAAGCCTCGCACTTTTCGAAACAGATTGGTTTTTATTCGATTTCGATTGAGAACGAGATTATTTTTGAATTCGATTGATTTTCATTTACCAGGGACTTACATATCCGTATCCGCCGGTCGCTACCACTGATAGGCAATCATCAGGCAAGTAGTTATTAACGGAGCATGTAAATAGAGTCTGTCTATGATATTCCTAAAAATAGACATTCTGGTGAATAAACGAAATAATGAAACAATACCTCGAACTTAAGAGTGTGTGACCATGCACATGTTGGATGATCCTCGCCTCGCAACGATTGCTCATTTTTGTGAAGGCTGATGGGATCAAACAATGACTTTAACGATCCCATTCTGAATCTAACAAATACAAAATAGCAAAAAAATACTGTATATATAGTGCAGTAACAAAAAATACAATTAAACTCTGTTTCGATATTTTCTGAATTTATTCCTTCTAAAAATTTAACTTCAAAATGCTAATAAAACACAATTTTTGAGTTATTGAAACATGATACGGCGTTATTGAGCTAGAAAAAGTTGAAAATCTTATTATAATCATCTAAATTTAAAAGATCAGATAAAAGTAGATAGACATTCCGTGTACAAAAAAGGAAAACAAACACAATAATGCCAAAATATATTCAAAAACCGTGTTGCCGCCAAACGTAAATGCGTTCGCTGTGAGAACCTGCAGAGTGCCGTTGTGCGTGCGCCTTTAATCGATTTCGACACATTGCTCATTTTCGACGTTTTGGAGGGTTTGGAAGCTAGAAATATGGACTAAGAGACAGAATTATACTATTTCTCATCAAATTAATTGTAAATCCCTTTAATTTCAACTGAAAATTTAAATATTAGTTTTATTTTTTCCTAATGTCACATAAAAACATTTATATAAAAAAGCTTCAATATTAATTTATAACGACATCATCATCTTCAGAAATTTCAATAGAACATGGCGAATCATTTTCAAGTTGAAGGGTGGATCCTTCATCGTCATCGGAATTTTCAATGAATTCCGGTGAATCTTCCGGAGACCACTCAAATGTGGCCGCTGCGGAGAATGTGTCATCCGCCTCCATGGTTTTGTTCATTGAGTCCAAATCCTCAATTCCAGTTTTTTTAAATTAAAATATTGTTTGAAATATACCTCATATTTGGTAAGGAATCGTTCATAAACTGGTCCGGTTGCTTTCACATGCCATTCATCAACCAAAATGCATCTCTCATTTCCGTTCCAAGTTTCTACCATTACCTTTAAATAATTTATATAATATTAATTTAATGGAAAAAAAACGCAAAAATCTCACTTGAAATACATCTTTCGGAGCAACAGACGAATTAATATACTTTTTGAGCCGACTATAATCAATTCCAAGTTCTTTATACAAGTTAATTCGCTCGTAAAATCTTTTAAAACTACAATAATTATTATGTGCTATTTAGTATTCCTACCATTTTCAGTTACCTTACACGATTCTGAATACGAGTTATCCAAATAGGGTCTTCATCGCGCATTTTCATAATTCTCCCCATTTTGATTTAAGTCGAATATCCATATAAATGAGACGTGCGTGAGAAAAATTTAAAAAAAAAAGTTTTTAATAATTCTATGAAACTAGCGCCAATTACTTTCGTTTTTTTGTTGTTTTGATCTCCATTCAATTTGATTTCAGGTGTGTCATTTTGAAAAATTTGAAAAATTTTGTGAAAACTTCGTATCCCTAATTCAAAAACTGGTTATTTTTCGGGAGAATGCTTTACTTAATTACCGAAAAATGGTTGAAAGCATTCGTTTCGACCATGATATTAATTCAATCGTTATCGATTTTTCCGTCATTTGAGGCAATTTATTGGATCACGATATTGAAAATGTTGGTGGCAAAACTTCGTGGATGTTTTGTTTGCGCTTCGCCATCTTTCCTGCTTGTTCTGTCTCGCATTTCGATGACTCATCGACCGTTGCAAATTGTTTTTCTACCCTGCGCCCTCGGCAAAACCCTTACTCTTTCGCATGTCGAAATCATTTTAATCAAAAACGATTTTTTTCTTTTCTCCATAATCATGATTAGGCAATGATTTCGAAATTCCAGAACGCTTCTATGAAATGTGATGATGATATGAGCCTTGATCCTGATGACGAAGCCCAACCGAGTGTCAAGCAGCTACTCGCTGGATTTCAGAAGAAAATTGGGAATGATTCGTTTCGAAAGCCGCCGCGTAAGTTGCTCTTAATATTAAAAATATTGATTTAAAACATGAAAAAAATCAATTTGTGAAGGTATTTTTCTTTTGCTAATTTTAAATGTAATCCTTATTTTTTATCTATTCTTTGCGTAATTGTGCAAAGTTCGAAAAATTTTCACTTCCACTGCCATTGTTTTTGGCCATCGGTCGTTTATTATATATTTTTTCAAAATATAATTAAATTCCAAGAAAAGATCATTATCTTGTTTGATCTATCGAAGAAATTATATGGTCGATTACCAATTTCACGAAATTTGTGTTTTTTCTCAAACTTTGTTTCCCAAATTCTACTATCCCATTTGCACATAATGAAACATTTTAATGGGCAAAAACGTCATCGTGCGGCAATTAATTGCCGAATAGGTGAATTCTGGCATGTAATTTATAATTGTAGATGGATTATGAAGCAGAATTGAATAAAAAAAGACTCATGAAATCAGACAATTCCATTGATGATTTTTTCTTAACGAAATATTAATTTTCAGTGCCGATTCGTCGCGCGCCTCCACCACCTCCCCACCGCGCAGAATCAAGACTTTCGAACACCGACGAATCAATTAAGTCTCGAAGAAGTCCCGGACCTAAGCCAAAAGTGGCGCCGAAACCTCTGCATTTGGTAAGTGGAAATGGAATCGAAAAAAAAAACAAGGCAACGGCACGCAGTTGCGCAAATAGTAGTCGAATTCTGTCATTGAATTCTGAATGATGAGTCGCAAACAACAGGCGCGTTGACCAAGTTCGTCAAAACTGCCACCGTCATCGATTGCAGCAGCAACCATAGTAGCGACTTTTCACTTTTTGGCGGCGAGCGAACGTAATCCGCAATAAGTGCTGCCTGACATACCATTTTTTTAATTTCTGTCTATTTCTGTTTCTCCGCGCTAGTCAGTTTTTGATTTTCTGCAACAATGAATCCAGAGGTTTAGGAAATTGATATCTGAACTCAAATTAAATTCATTTTTTTAGCTGAATTCGAACTCGTCACCTCAAATAATGTCACCGACGAGTTCTTGCCAAACTCCAGATATTCTCGTTTCTCCCGTTGGAGATGAGAATGACATCAATTTCGAATCATATGTCACGGATTCCACTATTGTAATTTATTTAGTTTCAAACAAAATTTTACATTTTTTATATTCAGAATTCTCAAAGATCTGATAATGATGTGAAATCTCGTGCAAAAGCCCTTGAAGATATCGGACTTGTGCTTCGACCGGATCGTTTTGAAAGGCGTGAAAGGTACTTTTTAAAATATAATTTTAAATTTTTCTATTACGATTATAAATTTGTACTCAAACGAAATATTGTGAAATCTTTACAATTTCTTTTGAAAACTGAATTCGATTGAAAAAATCTAGGGAAAAAAACGAGAAAATAAAATAGCTACACTGAAAAATTTCGAAAAATTGAGAACAAATAAATAGGTGTACATTTATATTTGCCCAATTTCGTTGATATTTCGTTTTGTCTAACATTGAGCATTTATTTTGGCGAGTTTTCTTTCAATGTTCAAAGATACAACATTTCAAGAAATGAATTTGCAGGCCGATTTCGGAAGTTTCAACAATTTCGCAGGCAAGTACGGAATACGATGATGGCGAAACGAGTGAAGACGATAGTGTAACCGATGGACACTCGTTGAACATTCATCAACTGAATAGAAAAAAACATGAAGATGATTTCGATGAGCTTCCACTTCCAAGACATGAAAGGTTTTATTTGCTCAATGTTCTTCATGTGTTTTATTTTTGAAGAAAAGCGACATATTGCGCTAATACGCACACCGAAATTATGCAAGAAATGGAGCAAATGGGTTTTGTTAGGTGAGATTTTGTGAAATTCTTCTTCTTAATTCAACAAATCGGTTTTTTTTATAGAAACAGAGATTCGAAATTGGTCAAAAAACAGACGAGGTTGACAACAAGACGAGGTTCGAATAATGACGCCGAAATTCCAGCAGATGTCGGCAAATTGCGTGATACGCGAAAAGTTTGAAGAATTCGGAAGAATTATAAATTATGGAACTATAAAATTTAGGGACGTCATAATTCACTCTTCGTTCCGTCAACATCTGGAATTTCGACGTCGGATAGCGAATTTTCGCGAAATTTGAGCGGAATCAGCGATCGAAGTAGTACGTTGACCACCGGAAGCAGCGATCAACCCGAAATTATCATTCCGGATTATAATACTGGAGACGAGGAAGAGGTATGTTTCAAAATAAACATTTTGGAAACAATATTTTTTTTTGTGTTTAGGACGCACGTCTCAAAAAACTTCACTACGCTGCCGTTGAATTCCAGAAAGTGCAAAGCAATTATGTGCAATACCTCACTGAAATGGCCGTGGTATTTCTTTCGAAAATTTATTCAAAAAAATTATTTTCTTAGCTCTATCCAACTTATATGGAAAGGTTTGGAAAGAATATTGGCAAGGATTTGTTGGCACCGAAGGAAGGAGTCGAAAATGTGGTGTTGCAGCTCAAAAAGATTCTTCTACAGATTCTCCCTTCTCATGAGATGCTTCTGAATGAGATTACTACTGTCATCAGTAATTGGTAAATTTTTGATTTGTCAAAAATTCTTTTGATTGCGAAATTCAGGGACTCGCGCCATCCAAATATGAGCAATGTTATTTACACCTATGCCGATTTCTTAAAATGCTGCCAACCATTTCTCAACAAAAAATCTGAGTTTTTGACTAATTTGCTTGCATTGAGGAATGAGAACAAAGAATTTGACGAGGCCACATATATGGTATAAAATTAAAAATAATCCTTCAATTGGTTCTTATTTATTTTTTTTTTAGTTTGAAACAGAAGTGTTTAATCGCGGAAAAAAAGGCGCTGTAATCCAACAACTCGATCAAGTGCACCAAAATTTCATGAGATACAAATTGCTCATGCTTCGATATTTGGAGTATTTGGAAGAAGGCACTGAGGAGCACAAAAAAGCTCAAGGTTGGTCTGGAAACATTGTATTAATTATAATTAGCGAATTTTGTAGAAACTGTCGAGAAACTTGAGCAAATCACTCAAGCGGTCAACGCGAAAATGGGTTTGCCAACGACCGAAGAATTGACGAAATTGTACTATCGGTTTCAGGTAATATTATATTTTCTTGGAATTGAAATGTCGAAATTTCCCGTTTTTTTAGTGTCAGTTTAATGTTCTTCAACCTGGTCGAACTCTAATTCGCCAAGGAGATGTGCTGAAGCAGACTAGGAAAGATCAACAACCACGATATCTTGTATTGGTGAGCCGACGCCCAATTTTCTAATTTCTCCCCGTGTTTTGTTTCCAGTTCACCGATTGTTTGTGGATATGCCGAGTAAATTCGCGAAGTCATTTCGATTTGCATCGTTCCTACCGGATACCGGTCGAAGGAATTCGAACGAATATTCTTGATCACGAGGACTATGCGCGTTGCCTTTTTATCCGAAGCAAAGTCAAGAGTGTCAATTTGATATTCGGAAATGAAAAGGAGCGAGATATGTGGGATCAAGACATTCAAAAAGCGATACTTGCCAGAAAAACCTATAAAAGAAGACAATCTGAGGCGATAATCAAACAGACAATGAACAAGAAACAACTAAATGTGAGAGTTTTCCAAAAAAATCGATTCAAATTTGTAATTTAGAAACATCTGGACGAAGCAAAAAATCAAGAAGTTGAAGACGGTTCTGAAGGCATTGAAGAAAGACCGCAGGCGATTGGACAATCAAGATCACATTCACTATCAGTTAGTGAATCAGATGGTTTCTCTTCTGTTCCTCAAACTCCAATTGGTTGGTTCAATTAATACTGACCGAATAATATTCGTATTTAGATGATACTGATGAACCCGATTTGAATGCGTTCTTGAACGGAAAAATGGCCGAAGCTGGAACTAGTCAAGGCTCAAGATCTCTTCCTAAATGTAAGTATGCAAATGATCGGATTTCTGAAAAAAATACCAATTTGAGTATACTTCCGATTTAATCATAACTGAAAATCTGAATTTTATTTTCAAAACTTTAAATTTTTTGAAGTGCCTGGAGGGGATGTAAAGCCGGTGTGGCTTCCGGATAAAATGTCAAACGCTTGTCTGATGCAAGGATGCAGCACCGAGTTCAATCTAATCAACCGGAGGCACCATTGTCGAGACTGTGGATGGGTTTGTTCTTTATATCAATACATAGATTTTTTTTCTTTAATGTCTCATCCTTCCAGTTAATATGTAGCGATTGCACAGGAAAAGCGCCATTGTCGAAATATGACTATCGAAAACAGAATGTTTGTCCCGAATGCTATGAGAGAATCCATGAGAAATGTGAGCATTGCAAATGTGCATTTTAACAAAAAAAAAATCGAAATAATTCAGATATCAGTGGCTATCTTTTTCCTCAAAATCGACTAAGCACGAATAGCGATGGAACATGTATGGTTCGAGTGGGGAAAAGACATGTAGGACGAGATCATATTCATTTTTAACATTTCGCGCATTTGTGGCTTTTAGGAATCGCAATCTATAGAAGCTCGAAAATTATTTAAACCTCCTTACAATTTTATGCTCAAGAAAGTGGATATTGATGAAAAACGAGCTGGCCTAGCCTTTGGAAAAGTTTACTTTAGGTAGACATATAATAAAAACATTTGAAATCTCAACGCTAGACGTTTTTTTTTCTTTCAGGATTCGAAAAGGATCTGAAGTTGTCCGATACGCTCTTCTAACTAATGACCTTCGACTGTTATTTTACAAAGCCGAATTAGTATAATTTTTTATTTGAGACCTTAAATTAGAAGTTTTTTTCAGGACTGTAAACCTGTTTTCGAAGTATTCGTTCATGGATATAAATATCGCGAAACAGATCTAGATGGAAAAGACGGGTGGCTATTTCAGCTAGTTCATCGAAACCAAATCAAAACTGATGATACCAAAGACAATGTAGTTGCCTTTCGTGTAGATAACAATGCGAGTGCCAAACGGTGAGTCCCCAACAAAGAAAAAAAATGGATGTGTGTCTCTCACGTCAGAAAAAATAACTAGAAACATTGAAATTAGTTAAATATTAATTGCTGAACGCCTGAATTTTGCAAACAATTACGTCACGCGGCTTTTAAAGAGTTCTGCAAAATACAGATCGTTTCGCATTTATCAGGCACATGATCATTTGCATAACAAATCTGAATGTTTGCAAAAGACCAAATCGCAGTTTTCCCTATATTTCTAAACCTAGTTTTTAGATCTCGGTTTTGTAGAAATTTTTCGACGTAGCGTGACTGCGGAAAATTGGGTAAATGCCAAAAAAACAATGACAGTGGTCTTGGCGCAAAACGAAAAGTGTAGATTTACAAGGATAGATTGAGACCTCTTTTTTTAACTTTTCGTCATTTAGCTAATTTTTTAAAAAATTATTTGTTTTTAATTAACTTTTCAAACATTCACAAAGATAATGGTAGCCCCGTATTCCCAATGCGAAAAATGAGCACCATGGATATTTGTGGATCATTGTATTTTTCGCCCGGAAATTCAAATTTGAATTGAAACTGTGTGTGGCAGGGGATCAAAAATCAAAAGGTGCTTTTTTGTTAACGTAATTGTTGTAGGTATGATGATTTCACTACTTTTTAAAACAAGAAAAAATAAATTCAAGTGGCAAAAGTTTCCATGAATATTTGACAATTTGCAGATGGTCCTCAGCTTTTGAGCGAGTTTTAACACTGGATGACGATGCCGAAACATCTAATCGGGCCTCCGTTTAAATTAAAACTAATCTTTATTCCAAATCATTCATTCTTTCGATATTTTCTTGTCCTTTTTTGTGATGTCTTTTACACCACTCCCTACGTCATCATAGAATAGAAAATCCGTAGGAGGTGAACTTTATATTATTAATAGTGCACTTCCTCTTTTCATCAGCCAAAATGCCTCTTTCTAATTGCCAATTGCATTTTTCTTTTTTTTTTCCGTACCGTTTCTCTTCCATTTTTTTCGTCATTTCTCTCGCTCATCACAAATTTGTAATTATGTATGTACTAACACTGTATATCTAGTCCGTATTTACTCTTTCTATTATCATCGCGAAAAACGAGCCCTCTTTCGTTACTGTAATTATCTATAGAAACCCGAATTCGCAACGTTCAAATTTAAAACATTCGATGGTCCGTAAATATTCACGGTGCTCGTTTTTTTTCGCAATGATAAATAGTAATTTTCTAATTTACACTTTTCACTTCTGCGATATTTCGGTGATTTCTGACTAACTGGTTCTTGAATTTTATCTCATTTTTAGTCGCTTGTATGTAAATTTTAAATAATGAATTGATTAGTTTATCAGACAGTTCTAATTTTGCCGAAATTAAATGGAATTTTATTAAAAGTGTCGATTTTGTTTTGACGAAAAAAGCTCTTTTTTAAAATATTGAATACATTGATAGATGAGTCTTCACACCCCCATAAAACTCGAAATATTTAGTGGGTGTCTGGACACCAATTTTTGAGAGGTGGTCCCTGAAAGACAAACGCAAAGAAACAATGGTCTGACGTCGTAGTACTTGAAACTCTTTAAGTGATTCCACCAACCATATATGTTTAGTACATTTTTTGTTTTTTTTCCTAACAGCAATCAGTCTAGGCTTTTAACATCCGATTTCAGAAAATTCAGTACTGTCACATGAGTGATTCTTTTGGAAGTCTCTTCAATCAAAACAATGAAAATAAAAATGTCGAAATTATAAAAAAAATATATCTCGCGTTTGAAATCATTCTTGTTTTTTATTGATTGAATAATAGGCTTAAATAGTTAGGTAATATTTAAAATTTTCATCCAATTGTTGAATCGAAACAACACAAAGATTCTCTCTATTGAGTTTTTGGCCAATATGTATTAATTTTTCATTTTTTCGAGAATCACGACAAATATTTGAATCGAATTGTATACTAATTGAAAACTTACTATGATCCTTGTGTGATTCAATCGACTTCGGACTATAAATTTCTGGAAATGCCGCCATCGATGACTCATAATTAACGAGAACTGGGAATACGCGTTCGCTTTTGTCTCGACGAACGGGCGGAAAGAAGTAATCAATCATCGATTTCCGGCCGTTCAATTACAAATACTGATTCGGTGAACTTCAATTCCCATTTTTCACATTTTTTTAACCAAATATTTGTGATTGACCCTTTAAGCTTGCGTTAGTTATTTCAAGAGCTTATTTATTAGGTCTATTAGAAACCACCCCCACTTTTTAACCCCCTTTTAAATTTTTTTTTTAAATTTGCAATAATTCAAGTTATCAAGAGGAGATTCGCAGAACTGATGTCTAAATTAGATTTTTCAGAAACTATTTAGTGTTCTTATGAAAAACTGAAAATTTTAACAATTAATAAACTATTCTCTAAAAACCCAGTTCAGAAAGATTTCGTATTTCGTAAGATTTTTGTATTTTCCAACAATTGTCAATATTTCAAGTGTCCAATTGTGCATTTTGATATCAAGCTTTGCAAGCCTACATAGTTTCTGAAAAATCTAATTTAAACATCAATTTTGCCAATTTCCTCTTGATAACTTGAATTATTGCAAATTAAAATATTTTTCTGTTAAAAATTACTGTTTGAAACTGCAAATTTTGAAATGCAGTGAAAAAGTAGAGGTGAAATCTAAAAATTGGGGGTGAAAAGTGGAGGTGGTATCTTAAATAAAAGGAGAGGTTAAAAAGTCGGGGTGGAATAGCAGGGGTGGGGGTTAAAAAGTAGGGGTGGTTTCTAATAGACCTATTGTTTTAAGTAAAGGCCATAACAACCAAATCTAAAAAAAAACATCTGCGGACATTTTCCGGAATACGCAATAATCGGCATTTTTTTTGTTTTCGCCCCGTCATTTCTTAAAATCAGCTATGGTAGGGTTCTTCAATCAAGAACTCTATCGTACCGTCGGCTTGGTCCAGTATTTGATTTTTCGCGTCTTTGATAATGAACATTATTTCAATACGTTCGATACCTTGCTTGATATCTCAATGTCGGAGTCAAACGACTTGGCGAAATTACAAAAATTATTGGCTATATGCCAATGCGTCTCGAGGCAGTGAGATTGCGTACATTGCATTATAGCGTACGCGCATATAATATTCAGTCAATGATAAATTTAAATCGACACTGATTTCGGCCCCGCCTCCCTTCAGTCGTTTGATGCCTACAATAGATCTGTGCTATTATATTTTCCCTTTACTCAATTCCCATTCAACACTCGAATTGAGAAGAAGATATTTGTTCGACTACTCCTCCACAATCCCTGCAAATCTGCAAAGAAAGTGCAAGCTTATACGATATATTTAAATCGACATTTGTTTTTGGAAGCATTTCTTGTTGGGACCTTTCTAAACCGGATGCTCTTGCTTGCCATTCGTGTCGTCATATGTCATTGGGCACCGTGAGAGCCGACACACTTCGTGTTTGTTTTTGACTTCGGTGATCAGGATCAAGTGTGTTGCTCAAACATCACCTACTCTTCTGTTTAAGTCAGCCGTCTGCGAGTTCGATTTCGAATAATGAGAAGTCAGAAGGCTGCAGGCGGTGTGCCTTTTAGTTTCAGCTGCGTTCTGGCTTTAGAAAAAATAATTATTTGCAATTAATTAATCAATTTTTAATCCACGTCAAGTTTTTCGAAATCCCTTCAAGCATTATTCAATGTGAATAATGATTTTTTTTTTCAAAAGAAACGATATTCTTGGTTATTTTTTCTGGTTTTGAAAACTCTCGAAAAAAATCAGCTGATTCCATTCCTGACATTTTCAAAAATTCTGATTTATTCTGATATCCGTCATGCTTTTTTGGTCAATCTGACCTGCTATTTTACTTAGAATCGTAAACCTGCAATGATTGCAAATCGTAGTAGTTGTTTAAAGCTAGCCTCGAACATACCACTTGGCCAATAATTCGCTGAGAAACCATATGGAAATTGCTGGAGATATGCTAATTTTTCAGTTGAAAATTTTTATTAATTTTGCATTTTTGGCCAACAACCGTAACATCTACGTAGACATTTCGCGATTTTGAAAACCTTTCGGTAAAAAGTAGGCTTGTCATTTCGGCTGGCCGCGCCCCAAACATGATTCGGCCCGGTCGAAGCCGACGGTAATATGTCTTGAGGAATTTTATATATTATGAAAAATTGAAAAAAAAAAGTTGACGCCAACCACGACGCATACGGCCGAATTACAGCCGACTGTTTGGAAAAATCTTACAAGGTTTGAAGTGATTTTTCATTAATGGAGACTTTTGGCATTTTTACGCAAATTGATTTCTATTTCATATGTTATTTTTTTTTTATAATGCTCATCTTAATTAAAATGCCTCAATTGGAAGAGGAAGTACATGAAAAACGCATTTTTTTTGCAATTCAAATCGATTTCCGCGGATAGTAACGAGAACGTCTTCGGAAAAGACCATAAAAACAATGAAATTTCTCCTCGAAATTTGTCCTCATAAAATTGACTGGTTTCCTAAAATTTTTGGCTGAAATTGTTTTTTTGTGTAAAATATCACATTGAAGTAGATTTGACTCTTCAATCTACTTAGTCTTGCCTAGATTTTACAGTTTTTTTTAATTGTTGAGTAGAAGAGATCTTCTTGATATGACTATTTATTTTAAATGTCTTGCACAATGTTTAAATGTTTATCCGACGTTTCGATCTTTAGATCATCATCAGGGAAGGTCAATTTACCTCAAACTTGGGTAATTAAACCTTTTTTTTTGAAAAGCTCAATAAGAAAAATAGGGGACCTAATTTAGTTGTGTGGAATTTTATGAGTAGGGTTTGGAAAATTGATGGGGGGGGGGGTTCAAAAGCGTGGAGTTACATTTTTCTTTTCAGAAATTACCTAGTTAGAAATCGTGAAAATATTTGAATTTTTAATCGGTCTCGTTTTATGTCCAAAGAACGCTTTTGATTAATCATCATAATCATACTTCAAATATAAATGTATAACACATATGAGTTTTATATGTATATGCATCATATGCATTGTATTTACAATTGTCGGCGTCCGATGACTACTATACGTGGGTAGATTTACGCGTGCGTCCTTCGAAATGGTCTCGCAACGTTTGAATCCTTATTTTGCTGAATTTCCAACGTCATTCGATTTGTAAACTAAATTATCGAACCGACCTATAAAGAGCAAAATAACCAGTTAGTCCGCGTGAGACCATGAGAAAGACGCATCGCCGTAAATCTACCCGCGTACAGCAGTCTCCGGACGCCGACTATTTATGAATATTTAATGTTAACCCCTGATTGTAAGAATTTTTTGAATATTTTTTTAAATCTGCATAGTATCATTTTATTTTAAAAAATTGTCTGAAATTAAGGAAAGGGTTCAACGATGTTACTCATTCGAAAAACAGGCAAGAGCAAGAATCATCGAATTTCGATTGGTATTCAATTTCCCACGGTCATCAAATGACCAAATAAATTATTTGAATTGGTCAATAAAACGTGCTAGTTGCAATTTTTCATTGTGTTATTTCGAAAATTTCCAGACCGACTAAAAATCTCTCATAGTTCAAAGCGACTCATTTGGCGAAGCACGATCTAATTCAATTAGCTCATCCATTTTTTTGTTCGCTGCGGGTCCATGGAAACATTTGCCCAAAATATCATTAGAATCTATGCCCACTATTCAACAAACCTCTCTTTTCATCATTTAAATATCAGATTTGGGGTTTTTTTGCGACGCAGATGTCGCCGACTTGAATCTC